CGAGCCAGCCGCGGGAATATTAGGATATTAGGACGAGACTCGGCAATGGTCCGACCGATGAAGTACACACCATGTACTCCGGACTGCACATACAAAATAAGTAGGTCGTGTAGGAGTACACTAAAAATCACCCTGGTCAACTCGGGCGCAACCCCCCCCCCTGGTAGCGTTAGTTTCAAATTTTCATCACCATCAGCATAGTCGACTGCATGGTCTGGATCTGCTGAGGATCTCCCGCGAAAGTTCGGCCCAGGATCCAATGGAGCCCCCGGTCCAGGTACGGGCCCCTCTTGCCCCTCCGTCCAGCTGCCGCGCTCAGCACTTGAGGGGGGGCGATGGGGGCCGGTGAGCCGGTTGTTAGTTAGCTTGTTAGCGGCTGGGCGATGGGTTCAGCAGCGGCAAAGGGGCCTTCGAAAGGAAAAGAAACCTTACGATGCGTGGGTCAGTGGCAGGTTGTGTAGTCCGGTTGTATACATCCGTTTATGCTGATTGGTGATCGTTGATTGGTGATTGAATGAGATAAGGGAGAAAAGCATTGTTGAGCGTGATGGGGGAGAGCATAGCAAAAAACCCCATCCTTCTCGCCCGAGGGTATTTTTGCCCCCCTCGTCCGTCGTGTACGAAAAGGCAACGCCTGCGAGGGCCAAGCCACAGGCACCATCGTTCCCGGGCGGAGACCAGCAGCAGGAAAGTCCATCTGGAGAGGGACGTGGTTGGGGGGAGGGACCACACGCTTGGTCGGGGACTTGGGACCCAACGAGGGGGCGTTTAGCACGCGCTCAGTCCTCTTGACATTCCCCCGGTGCTGACGACGAAGGGGAGACGGAAGTTTGGGAGCGGGAGTGGGACTGGGATAGTCTTGTCCCCATCCTCAATCCTGTGGCTGAAGGAGAGCATAACGATAGTCTCCGCGGCACGAGAGGCCAGAGAAAGGGTGGTTACGTTTAACTATGCCCGGGTTGGTTAGGATGATTTTCTCAATTCCCATCAAACGCAGATGCAGCTCACCAAGTCGAACAACCTTCATCTCAGGGTCTCCACCAAGAGTTCAAGCGCAGGCTCAGGCCTCCAAGATCTGGCTCTGACGTGCCGTTTGGTGATCCTCGACGGTCTTTTCGCCCCATCACCGTGCCCATTTTCAATAGTCTCGCTGTGTGCACTGGCCAACTGCCCCTCAACTCGGTCCCTCTCTTCTCTCTTTCTGTCAAGGTCGTGTGGTCCACGAGTGGAGGGTGGTTATTGGTTCTCTTGACTTTCTCTGGGCTCCTTCACCTCCACCGTATCCATCTCCTCGGAGCCTCTGCTCTCTCAATTGTCTGGACCGTTAGGTCCCCGGAGAGATCGTTTTTGACCCCGATCGTCGAGCGATGAGGGGAGAATTCTCGATCGGACCCTGCTGACACTAAAATTTCCCTGGCACGACGGAAGGATCCATGGTTGTGACGGATTGACGTTGGTCGATGCTGGTTGGTTGGAGTGGACTGGGCTTGGGGGTGAGGGGGTGAAGAAGACGCAGAAGCGCAGAAGAAAGTCGGGAGTGGGGACCCTCCCCCCTTGACTAGTGAGTTAGACCTTTGGCTAACCCCCGACTCTTCCCATTACTCTATTAATCTTATTCTTAAATGTTTTTTTTTATTTATAATTCTTCTATCTTTATTCTCGTCAAGGCTCTCGCAGTTCAGTACTGTAGTATTGTTACTGTAGTATTGGGTTTTCAGGGGAATTCGTTGATAATATGCGGATCCCTCTCTTCTTCCTATGTAGCTCTGTATATCTTCTGATCCCTCCAGATCATCCACGTTGACTTGACGGGGGATGACGGAGTAAAGTGACCCTCCGAGACTCGAAAAAGTCGGGCAGACCAATCAACCCGCGGGCTCCACCGGCGATCGTCCATGGCACGGGGTTTGCTCGATGATGAGTGCACTTTGTGGTATCAGACTACTACGAGAATGCTTTAATCACTATTACATGATTATGATTTATACCGGGGTATTCTTTTTATAGTAGAAGTAGAATAATCATCGAACTTTGCGGTTCTCTGATACTGTACCATGGAGTACTCCGTATACTGTGTTTTCTGGGGCGGACGATAAACGCCAGTTGCTCAAAACCCATAATTGGTCAGCTTATCGACCGCTTTCATAGCCGCCTTTGCCTTCTTCTTTAGGCCAGGGCGACGCTATTACTGTAGTCCCGATTTGACTATCCCCTTCCTTGTCTTTTCTCTTGTCTTTTCTCTTCTGTAGGTTCTGTGAATTCTGCCGGACTTTCTGCCTTAGAAAATTGGGTTTGAGCAATTGGCGCTTATCGTCCACCTCAGTTTTCTTGGCCCGTCATATCAACAGAATCATAATCCTGGCCCGGCAACAAACTCAATTTCTCGCCCCTCTTAGGACCTTAAACGCTGAGTATATTCTTAGTATACTCTTATTATACTAGTATATAAGCATATTAAGTATACTGAGTATATGTATTATTTTCTGCACACCGTCAAACTTACGGGAACGGGCGGAACTGTACCTGCTTCTATTGACTGTACTAATTATCGGAATACCCTATACCTGATGATAATTTCGTGTATCTCGGTGTAAAGGATCTCCCAGTTTCTTTCTTCTTATTTTTTTTTCTGATACCCGATTTTTCTCCTTCTGTCCAGTCTTCCTCCACTTGCGGCCATGTTTCATCTGTCAGTTGAGCTCGAGGCCCTCCGTATTTCTCCGCCGTCCCAGCCCTCGTCAATTTTCTCTCTTTTTTTTTTAATTATCATTATTATTTAATTTATTTCTTTTTTTTCTTCCTCATTAATTCGATTTTCTTGCTGCCTATCCATACTCCTTTAAGAACGTGAACACAAAACCGTGATCCTACATGTACAGAGTCGTCATGGCAAAGTCTAATCCACGATATTTCCATCTTCTAGAAGGTCAAGAAGAAACTCCATGCGCTTTTAGACTTCTTTGTAACCAGGGAGTTAACTTCGATATACCGTTGACCTTGTCCGGATCTTCCAGTTGTCTCGTTAATCCTGGGTTCCGTGGCTTCGAGGAACGAGTCCCCGTCGGGCCAGTTATCGTCGCATGTCATATTCTTTTTCCTCTGTTCTTTGCCCCCCTCCCACTTGCTGCATTCTCCTCATCTTTGAAAGGTAGAGCTCCCCTACGACGATGTACATCCCTCCTCTTCCTCCGGTCTTTCCCATCCTGCAGCACGCCTCTCTGGTATTCTTTTTTCTTTTTTTTTCCTTCCTATTATTTCGCTCTCCAAAATCTCCCGTCTATGCGTCGTGTCTCTTTTTTTTGCCTTGATTTTTCCCCAACTACTGTACTTCGTACAGTACTGAGTCCAGTATTTCGTACTAGACCAATAATTCGATTTATTCTAATTTGCCTACTCGTTGGTTCGCCCCGCAGTGAACCCTCCGAAAAGCTGCGTCCCACTCGTCATCCTATCAAACCCTCGACCCTGTCCGTTTTAGTCTTTTAGCATTTAGAATTAACATTAACCATTAGCCTCCCGGTGCCTCGCGCTGACCCCCGACTACCCAGATTTCTCCCCTTCTGCTACCATCCCACCGGTGACCAACCGGCGATCGTCCTCATTTTCTGTTTTCTGCACGTCTCTGCTGCTTCTCTCGGCTTTGGGAGGGGGTCCTTTTTCCCCTCCTGTGACCAGCCAACCATTGCTATCTGTCATGAAATGATGCGCCCCCTTTCTTCTGGTCTGATTTTCTTCGAATCAGACCCTCTTCCTTGTTCGACGCTCGACTCTCTACTGTAATTTGATCTTCCCCCCCTGGCCATAACGGCCGACCTGCCTGCAGGATGGACTTTCTTTTGCGTACAACTGTACTAGTCGTATTATGTGATTATTATACTATCATTCTAGACTACTTGTATATTCCTGCTTTTGTACTATAATAATCAAATATGCCAAATTGTACTCGTATTACCATTCTCTTCTCGTCATCGGTTCTTCTAGTGGAGATATCGTCCTCGACTTCTTCGCTCTTCCCGTGACTTCAACCTTGTTCCCACTACCTCGTCTCTTTCTCTCTTCTCGTCTCTCAACTCCTCTCCTCTCCTCTCCTCAGGTCTTCCTTCTTCCCCTCTTCCGTCTTTCCTCTTTTCCCTCTCCTCTTCTTATCCTCTAAGCCCTTTTGGAATACGCCACCACATCACTGACTCCCTCGTCTTTCCCTCCAAAACCAACCAACCACTTCACGGTGGATCCCCAAACTAACTGGACCAACTAAAATCCAACTAAAAAAAATCCATACTGGATCCTCCTCTCCAAAAGCTTGGGAATTGCCGCACCGAGGGATCCGTGGAACCGCGCCCCAGTCGATCCCCATCTGCTCCCAGAGATCGGTGCAACCTGTTGACTCGCTGACTCTCGACGGTCCGTGCTTGGAGGCGATCCTTGGAATTCGACCAGGCCGAGGAGGGGTTAACTCAAAACCACCCTTCCGCCTCGTCTTTCTCCATACCCTGGTCGATCTCTTAGCTTATTTTATTCTTTTCCCTTCCCAACCCCCCCCCCTTGGTGATCGCCTTGCTATCATAATCCGGGGTACCTGGCATTTGACAAGAGGGAATCAACCTAACAACTCGAGGGGTCCTGCCAATACCCCATCATCGTCAACTCTTCCCTTTCCCTCCCCTCCCCCTCAGGGTTCACAGCTTCAACTACCCCCCCCCCCCCCCCCCCATCAGCTCCCAATCAACCCAACACCACCACGACCGGACGCGACAAAGTCCCTCCCCCCGTGGTTTCAACCTAATCACCACGACCTTCGCGACACTCCCACACACACACACACACACACCCCACAACCCTCGACTAACTTCCAACCCCGGACCTTCTTCACAGAGATCCTCACCTTTAAACTCTTACCACCACTCCCTCTCTTACTTTCTCTTACTACTTCTCTCCCGCTTTCTCTCTCTCTCTCTCTTTTCCATTCCCCTACCTCACCACCACCCCGTCCCCTTCCCACCATGGTGAACGGGACCGCGGCGGTGCTGGAGCCCACATTCACGGGGTATGTGGCCACCACGCAGGATGCACTGATTTTGTTCGAGGCTTGCTTGACCGGTGTCTTGCACCATGTTCCACGTCGACCCCATGATCGTGAACGGAGCCACTTGGTGCGCAGTGGTAGCGTCTTCATTTACGAGGAGAACTCTTCAGGTATAAAGCGCTGGACCGACGGTGTGACCTGGTCGCCCAGTCGCATCCTCGGCAACTTCCTGGTCTATCGCGAACTCGAGAAACCCTTCCCTCCCGGGGAAAAGAAGCGCGCCATGAAGAAGGCCAATCGACGACCAGTCCCCGCCACCAGACCCGGCGAGCCATACCCGCGACACGATAGCAACGGCTCCGGTTACTCCCCCACATCACCATCAGGTCCGTTTGGCGACAACCGAGCACCACACCAGTCGGAGGTGGAGCGGGCATTGGTGGGGTCGCTGGTAGACTCGTACGGCTTCAAGGACTCGGGCTTGGTCAAGAAGACCATGAGCGTTACCGTCATGGGCGTCACGCACCATCTCGTGTCGTACTACAGCGTGGAGGACGTGATGCGCGGTGTACTCAACCCTCCGTCCATGGTCGAATCCTTGCGCTACATTCGGCCGCGAGCCGAGCTCACTCAAAAACAAAGCTTCCGTGCTCCGATCGATGACCTGGAGACCAGCGCTATGGAGAACCCCCACGACCCCTCACATGCCGCACTCTATGGTTACCGGCCGCAGCAGATGATGGCCCCGCCCAGCGCTTACGGTATGCCCAACCCATCTGCCGATTTCTACATGCACGCTGGCCCCTATGCTGCTACGCATGCCCCGCAACAACCTGGCCCGCTCGCCAGCTATTCGATGGCCGGTTCGATGCCTGGCCAGCCCGCACCAAACCCCTATCTTCCCTCGCCTGCGGCTGCGGCCGCCAACACTGCCGCGATGGGTCCCAAGCCCGAAGACTATCACGCGTTCCGTGCGGGACCTTACGGCGGTAGTATGGACAGCGTCAGCCACAGCGCCCTGTCTTCCAGTATCCCAGGCATGAACACGGCGCTATCATCCTCCTTCAGCGAGCGCAACCGTTCGGCCTCGGAACACAGTCCATCTGCCTACCGCAATTCATCCATTTCCTCGCGCAGTGTCGCGACCGATGCGACCTCCCCCATGGATCCCTCCACGCCTGGAACATACTCGCGCAGCAGCTTCAGTCTGTCCAGCCAGCTGGATGCTAGCAACCCCAATACTCCCATCGAGACCCGCGGTATCGGCCCCTTGATCCCAATGTGCCACGACGCGACTCGAATCCAGTGCACCCGTCCTACTATGCCCCGGACCGCAGCCAGTATTACGTGAATGCGGCCACCCCGGTAAATCATCCTCATTATGCGGCGGCGCAGCCACTATCGACATGGACGACAACCGCGCCTGCACAGCCCCAAATCTAATGTGGGACTGGCGAGTCGATGGGGGAGTGAAATCAAATCTCTCCCGCGTGTGATATCTATTTTGTCTGCTTGAAACGAAAACCTCACCGGTGGTCCTGGTGTTGGGCTTGGCTTGGGATTATGTTTGATTGGTGCTATGCACAGGGCAACCGGGCCGTGTCTTGAGTCTCGTTTGTTTATCTGACGTGGTGGAGTCCTTTTTTCCTTGCCTTTGTCGGTACTCTCAGCGACAGGTTTGACTATTTTGGGAAAGGATTTTTGGTTTTACATCCTCTTTCTGTTTTCTGCTTTGGAGCGCGAGGAGTCGGACGGCCTTTTGTGTGCTTGGAACCTCGCACTTGTCCTTTTTTTCTTTCTCGTTTTCTCGTTTTATCATGTCTTGGGAGGTCTTCTTGCTTTGCTTGGCGATAGACTCTGTGCTGGCTCTTGAGGAGCGCGCAGGATTACTTGCTACGCTGTGCGTGGCATGAAATGCCTGTCAATACAGTGCAAGATGGCAGGGATCATCGGTGGAAAGTTATATCTCTGGCTTTTATCTAAGCTTATTAGGTGCAACACCAGGTGGTTTTCATACTCCTGGTTCCCGAATCCACGGGCTCATTCCGAGATTTGGGTTTATGGTTCATCTCCACAAGCACTGAGATTGACTTTCCGCACTATCCCTCGCCCACACGATGTACTCATGATGTCTGTCCATATGGGCTTTGCAGCCCTTCCTCTTTTTTTTTTCCCTCGGCTTTTTCTTCTATTTGCTCTGGTTTGGCTCTTTCATTGGTGGATTGGTCCTGAGTTGACCTCCTAACTACTCCATGTGTTGGCTCTCTGCTTTTCTCCCTCCGGGGAATTCTGTCTCATCTTGACCTTGTTTCCTCGTTCTGGTCTTTGGCTCTTATTCTCAATAACCCCCCTGTCCATTGTTACCTCTCAACCTATCACGTGTTACTTTTATTCCGGGGAAATAAACCCCATCCAGGGCGGCGTTTTTGTGATTCCTGACGATGTGACGCAAACAGACTTCCCTTTTTCTGTTCTTTGCCTTTTTCTGTGTCCCTCTACAACCGCTTTTTTTATCCATGCTACGCTACTTTTTACCTTATTCCCCCCAACCCAAAAAGGTTATTCATATGCTATTTGATTCTGAATCCTGGTTTTCCTTTGTTGATAATCTATTGAGATCTTTGTGATCGAGCAATATCGACTGTCGAGATACGTTGTTTGCTAGGTTTTAAAAGGGTGGAGAGCGATGCTAGCGTTTTACGTTGAGGCTGGGATAGAGATCTGATCTAGGTTTTTATCTATGCAATGTTGCTTGGCTGTTGGCTATCTGATTTCTCTTCATCTCGACCTTGAGGTAGTTTGGTTCATTCTGATTCAACTCCAAGGGATGGGAGGATTTGGCTGTAGTTTCAACTGGAAGTCGGCTGTAAAGTTCTACTTCAGCTGGGGAATTTCTTATTTTCATGTTTGAAATCTTCATAGCACGTTAGTAAGGTAACTTGGCCATATTCGCCTATTTGTATGGATTTGCATGGCTTCAAGTAGTCGTTTGGCCTCGGGGTTAGCGAATTTAGTTTGACGAACTATTATAGTACTTGGGCTTTGACAAGAATGATGCAAACTGCTCATAGGTAGTATAGTCTATATTTCACTAACTTGAATTTTAATGGTTCCTTTTAAAACGGACAATCAGGTCTATGAATTCATACTAATACATCCCAGAGAACAAAAATCCAAACATAAAACATAGTATAGTACATGGTAGATCAACAATGAACCACCAAGGGAATCTCCAAATGTCTTCACGTCCAAGTAGCCAACATTGGTTTCACCCAGACCAGCTGGAGAAGAGCGTCCACTCTAAATAGATCTCGAATCTTGATCGAGTAGATCTTGTAGTTCGCAGTCACCAATGCTGCTAAGCTTGCATAAAGCCTAGCCAGCAACAAGGTGCACACCACTTCCAAAATGGTATCGCCAAATATCGAAATCTCAAGGGCCAGACACCCTGCCTGCCCAGTCTAGATAGCCACGCATGCCAGAAAAATACTGACAGTAAGCGGCAGTCGTCAAAGAGTGATAACCCACCCAGCACCAACTCACGTCGGCAGAGGCTTCCACTCAAAGATGTTCCTCCAATAATCCGACACACGCTCACAGATACCAGTATACCCCTGCCACGTAACAAACTTCTCTTCCAACTCACAAGCCGTCCACTTAACCTCCTTCCAAAAGGCCTTTTCAACATCCTCCTTCTCACTATATCTACCCACAACTTCTTCCGGGATCGTCCACGCCCGCGTGTACTCTCCCTCATCCGTAAACGCCGGATTCACCTCATGCTGATCAAAGACCGTCGCGGGATTGAATTTTGGGAAATTGGCATGGATGAAGAACACATCCGGTGGAGGAGCATCGTCACCACGCACACGCGCTTTGCCCGTGCGAACTAGCGCATAGTCCTGTATAGGATTGAACTGCGCCATTGCAGAACCCGCGAAACCACCACCTTTATCTTTGCGGTGTCCCAGTGCGACGATCGGCTCGCTGACTTGGTAAAAGGGTTCTTGCATGGCCGTCGCCGCGGCGAGGAAGGTCTCTTTATCACCCTCGCCGGCAGCACCCTGCGAAAGAAGCGGATAATAATGCGACGGACCCCAGTAATTGTAATACGTAGCGAGAAGCAGCGTACGCACATGCGTCTTCTTCGATACCAATACCTCGCCAGACTCGGTAGACTGGCGCAACGACGGCGGTGGCGCAGTCGTGCCGACAATCTCATAGAAGAGCGGGGAGACAGTCGATCCCCAGAAATCGGGCCAGGTGACCATGCCCGTTGAGCGGAAGGGGTCTGCGCGGAAGAGTGTTTCGGGTTTTTCGAGGGGGAAGGCATCCGCGTCTAGGAAGAGGATTTCCTCGAAGGAGGAGAATAGCATTGCGAAGGGCTTGAATTGGTATTTTTCTATCGTTGCGGGTGCGGCGGCGAGGATGCGTGAGAGGACGATGCATCGCGCGTCTAGCGAAGGAAGGACCACGTCGCAGATGTATTCTTCGTATTCTGCTTCGTCGGCGAGAAATATTTCCATCGGGAGAGTTGAGCCTGTTCGTCGTAGCATGCGTAGCGATATCACCAGGACGGGGAGGTATGTGCCTCCAGCCGTCGAGACTATGCCCTTTGTGCCGGGGACGTAGGGGAGGGTTGGCGCGGAGTCTTCCCCCGTGATAGCAGCCACGAAGCTCGTATGCGCATTCTTGATTAAGGCGATATCCTCGGCGTCCACGCTGAGATAGTTTGGGCGCGGGCGGGCGTCGTTCGGGTCGAATCGCTCCGTCGGGGCTCTTTCGTCCTCGACAATCGGGGTTGTTCCTGGCGCATATTTCTCGAGATACCGGTGGAACGTCCACCAGAATTTCTGGTGCGCGTCTGTTAGGTCGGGTAGAGCATCTGGCGACGACGCGGGGCCCCATTGTGAGAGGGAGGGTGGTGGATCGGAGCGCCAGCGCGAGACGGACCAGATCAACAGCGACGCCAGGCATAGCGCCGTGAGCAGAGTGCGCACGCGCAGACAAAACCGGGGGAGGACCATCGCGACGGGTCCCAAGGAGACTGCGCGATCGCGATCGCGATGGATTAGAACCCTGGCCTGTCTGGCGCTGGGGCAGGGAGCACTGAAGCTAAGCTACTGCACCCCACCGGCTCCAGAGCTAGAACTGGTGGATCTGCCGCGCTAGTATCGAGATGACAGCTGCAATCTGCGATCGGAGGTGTTGGCTGCAGATTGTAGTATGTCAAAGAGATGGCCCGATCATGGAGAAAAAGAAGGGACGCGGTTCCTTGCTGTACCCAGGTGAGATTGCGGAGAAGAAGAGAAAGAAACGCGAAATGGACAGTTCGTTTGGAGGAAGAGTTGGTTGTGAGATGAAACGCCGGACGCCCGTAAGAGTGGCCCCTTGGGCCTTGGGCCTTGGGACCCACTGGAATGCAACACTCGACATGGTTGATGTGCTGCATTTTGCAGAGTATGAGAAGTGTTGTTTGATTGGTAGTCTATTCTTTAAAGATTAGAAATTGTAATGAACAGAATAAAGACTATTCGTCGTGGTTTCCCTGGTTTGTGTCTGATAAAAATAAGTACCTTCAAAGGGATGATAATCACACAGGCAAGCCACAGTGGAGCCTCATCTTCCTTGAAAGTAAGAAAGAATACATTGTATCTGCGTCAGCCTCGATCGATTAGTATGAACAAAGTCACAATTGCAGTTGTCTCAAGGGCTTCAACTAACAATGTAACAGAGATATAGACTGAATGGACATTAAGTAGTTCATTCTAAGCATAAAGTTTACTTCTTTTGTCCATACTTCCGTTGCTATAATGGGCTACAATGATCTCGCCACACCTGTTCAATCGCTTTCTTCGCGATACATGGTTGAGCGATAGACTCAATGAATGACTCTATATATACAAGAACTCAAAGAAAAGAACAATGCATTCTATTCCCGATGGCATATAGTATGACTTCTTTGTCGAGATATACTATATACGTCGAGTCCTCATCCACGATACTAAACTCCAACTCATCAGCACTTCAGCTCTTGATCATTCTACCTCAAACAAATTCATCATTTCTCCACTCACAAATTTTCAAATCACCTCTATTTCTCCATCAAAAATCATGCCTACCAACGGCTGGACTCGCCCTAAGCGCGGCAGCAAGGCCGCTAAAAACCACAGCTTCGTCGACACCTATTTCCCCAAAAAGGGCTCCAGCAGCTCAAGTGGTGGTACTAAATGCCGCTGCAAAGACAAGTGTGTTTGCAAGAGCAAGAGCAAGAGCACGAGCACGAGCACGAGCAAGAGCGACAGCAGCAGTGAAAAGGGGTCAAGCTCCTCATCCAGCAACAGTGGGAAGTCGAGTTAGGAGGAGTTTGTTTCGGGCATTGTTGTAAGTCTGTAACTTTCTTGTGAGTCTAATCTCGGTCATCGCAGCAGTGGTCACTGTGAAATCGGGGCTCAAGAAGCAATTTTACTGCCGAGTATCGCATCCAAAGGTATTCAGTCTATGCGCGTACTCCCATCTGTCGTCGGGATCTGCGAGGAATCATCGAGATGAACGGTGGAATCGGAGGATGGGTTTTATGATCGTGTTCCAGACAATGATATCGAAAGGACCAGCAAGTTCGTGTGAGCTTTTTCTTTTCTTTTTGCTTTGCTTTGAGTCATTTTGAGTTCGAGTTCGAGTTGGAAGATGGTGGTGTTGTTTCGCAGTGTGATTCTATATAACAAGTTATGCTCTTTTCCATGAAGTGCCTTTGCTTATACTTATATACTCCTTGAACCTTAAGGATATGATCATTTGCCACAGTATATAAATGATGTCTCTACTGTAAATCTAGATTGTGAAAAGTGCTGTACTGTGGCCAAAGTTAATAAAGCCAAAGGCCAGATGAATAAGATGGTGCGAAAATTGCGCCTCGTTTTATTAGAACCCATGGGGAACCAAATTCCCAAAAGTGTAGTATCAAAGAAAATTGACCCATCCGTGCTCGAAGCCTTCAATCTCTCTTGCGGGTTTCACCTTCCTCTGGTCCGCCAAGGCGACGCTAAAATATACGAGCTGGCCAGCAACTGCCTGACTACCCAGCTGTAGTCAATGAGCGGCTCGCTGTCCCCACCAGGGCTGTCAGGCCACCCACCCACTTTAAGCTTGCCAAAACAGACCCTACAGTTTTGTCAAGTTATCCTAAGAACTTTAGCCAGTCCTAGCGCGATTTTGGTTTTTATTTTGGATCTAACATGACCAGAATGACGCTTCAAAGAAATATACGACAGGCAACATGATTGCTCCAAGTCCACAGCCACATCTCATGGATGCATATAAATATTCGGCTCACGGTCTAACTTGTATGAGCTAGCATCTTGCTTTTTCAAATCAAAATCACAATGCGAGTTCTGCCACTTTGTACTATCGCTGCCGGCTCTATAGCCCTTAGTAGGGCCAATGGATCACCACTGAATCGACGAGACTCCAGCACAACCATCCCTCTAGTGGCCACCCAATTTGGAACAGTATTCGATGTCCCAGTTACCATCGGCAACCAGACCTTCCAGCTTCTCGTCGACACCGGTAGCAGCGACACCTATGTTATGAATACCGGCTTCACATGCATCAACGGGACAAGCAACCTAGTCATTCCCCAAGCCGACTGTCTCTATTCCAACAAAACATACCATACATCGAGTACATACCGACCCGTTCAAAATGAGATGTTCGGCATCCAATACGGTGCCGGTCTCGCAAGCGGTATCCTAGCCTACGAAGATGTCAAAGTAGGAGGCATTGCTGTCCAGAGTCAAAAGATCGGAATCGCGAATATATCTAACCCGATGGGTGACGGTGTTAACAGTGGTTTGCTTGGCCTAGCATATCCGTCCATTACATCGGCACACCCTGCTAACCATACGTCGAATGAAACGTACTGGTTCGACCGCCTACCCTATAATCCACTGCTCTACACTATGCATAAAAAGGGCATCGTCGAGCCTTATTTTAGCTTGGCACTCGCGCACACTCCTCAGAATGAGTCTACTGCGTTTGGGGGATATCTTACTCTCGGGGGCCTCCCGCCTGTCAATCATAGTGAATTCACTACAGTTCCCGTCGAATTCACAAAGAATATACCACTCAATTATACCTCTGGAAAGAGGGCTCGAACATATTGGTCTACGACACTTACGGGAGGGATATATGGTTCATCGATGAATAACTTGACGACAAACTTGACTCCATTTCAAGCGTTTATCGACTCGGGTAACTATATTTCATTTTTACCATCCGCTATTGTCGACTCGGTTAATTCACTATTTTCCCCTCCGGCAACCTACGACGCAGCATCGGGAATGTACATTGTCGATTGCTCAGCAAAGGCTCCGCAGTTTGGCTTGATCATCAATAATGCGACATTCTGGCACAATGGCGAGGATCTGATATACCAGACATCGGAGGGGGTCTGTGTATCGAGTCTTGCTAGTTCGGAGAGCGTTTCTATCGGTGGTCTTACGTTGAATATTATCGGTGTTCCGTTTTTGAAGAACGTTGTGGCTGTTTTTGACTTTGGGAACAACGAGATGAGATTTGCGAAGCTCTTGGAGTTTGGAGATGGGGGGTTAGGTGGCGTTGGTGCTGGGAATGGTTCTGTTTCCTCAACGTCGGCTGGGTCGAGTATGCTAAGTACTAGCACGCCATGGATTGGCTTTGGGATGGCACTATTTGCGTCTATGGTGCTTAGCTCGTGAATTTGAGGTGTCTAACTGGATACTCATGAAATATCATTAAGCGGCCTGGTTTGAGAATCATTCTAATCCATAGGTGGTCATTGTATATATTTACAACAAAACATTTCGCAGGGACTAGGGATGCACTTGAGATTGAATACATTGGTATTTATAGAATTGATTTCATCCCATGCGGTAGGGTTGATCGCGTTTATACCCAAAATCTGACCAAGAAAACAGTAGGTTAGCCATAGCTCATAAAACCAACTGTGTGAAGAATATCCGAATCCACAATAAGGATATACCACTTTGAGCAACTCAGAGACCAATTTGAAACAATGTAGATTGACTCAATTTCAACACATTCTTTGCAGAAAGGGAAGTGGTCAATCATCACGGAAGCTGTGGTGGATGATAATTGCGGGATGTATGGGTATGCTTTGGTGTACAACGAGGGTAAATGTCGGGGGTGGCGTACCTGAACCAGTCGGAGCGTTGCCGCTAGTGGGGGGAGCGATTGGTGGCGGCGGGGAGGTGGGAATGACGATGCCGGAGATATTATCCCACGAGATGGTATTGCATAGTCTTTCCTTGAAGGATACTTCCCTGGACTGGAAGAAATTGAATTCAGGCAAAGGTAAAGTACTTTGCTTTCGTTAGCTCGACCACTATATGTTAGTATGAGTATAGTTAGCACATAAAGGGACGGGTTCCATTAATCTCATCGCGAAGCAAGCAGATGCTATCAAAATGCTTGAGATCCTTCGACTTTTGATCACGTTCAGTGAAACAGAAAACTTCTATTAAATGTCCCCTGATTGATCTTAAATACGCATCTCTTGGCAGGGGCTAGGGCATCGGCCCTATCCTTGTTTACAAAGATTTCAGAAATTTATATGGAGCACATGTCGTCATTGATGGAGCCGCCCGAAACGAAGTCCACCTCGAGTGATAAAATGACAGCACATAGGCTATGAAAGTGTATGGCAGGTTCTTCAATTGTAAAGAGGACAAACAGAAACAATTCAGTTTTCTTGAATTACAGAGAGAGCCTCAGAGCAATTCCTACTGCCGTGTCTATCACAATTGTGGTTGAATACTTGAAACCGCTTCGGATGGATCAGGCACCATCTGTTATCCGTGCGACGCAGATCGTTATAGCCGTGACATAATTTACTACGAATGATACTCATATATTCAACCAACTTCAATGTAAATTCATGCGTTCACGTGAGACTTACTTGCTGTAGATTGAGTCTAAGCTATGGCAGTTCTTGATTTCGGTTCATATGCAAGGCATTGATAGCCCTTTCTGATCAATGGCTAAGCAAGCCGAGCCAGTTGGCCTGCTAGCGTGATACTAAATGATAGGGATGGACATAGACTGGATTGAGACACGCGACAAAGTGTATGTGAACCCGAGATATACCCTTGAGAGGAAGTCCCAAGGCTTGGAAGAGCTGTACGGAAGAGGCACATTTATTAACGAACATGTATTAAAACCTTCGCCCTATATTCTCTATTCTTATTCGAATACCCTGAACTAGCAACTCTGTTCACTAATTTGTAACATCTGGAACGCCCCATCCAATCCCCCATCAGCATCCACAATCCTGTCACCGACATACTCCAGGCTAATAGCCATTTGGGGCCCATCATCTTGCACACTCTTCTCTTGCACAGCCTTGATTATAGTCACAGCCATTCTCGAGTCCCAAAGTCCATCTCGTGCCGATGCAAGATGACCCTGCATCAAAGAAAGCGCTCTATTCAACACCCGCCGATCGTGGGTCTTCATACAAACGAAATACAACAAGGCAATGATATTCGATGATAGAGTGAAATCTCGGTGTAAGCCGGAATCATCTTCTTTCCCGCTAGTAGAGAGAACTTGGGTAATTTGGTCGATAGCAAGATTGAATCGAGATGCGACTTCCGAATCAGTGTATAGGATGAGATTTTCCAGAACTACGCCGTAGAAGGTGCGTGCTTGGATTTCGATTAATGTTAGTTGCTGGCGCTGTACAGGCGTTAAGGAATGAGCGTTGACTCCAGTAGCAAAGTCGGTAATTGCTATCTCCAGCCGTCGGAGTTCACTCTTTATCCGGAGCCTTTCACTGAGTGCGTGCGGGGGAAGTCGATCTTGTGGAACCCCCTTGAAGCCAATATAGAAGTAGAGATGGCGTAATGTCCAGCTCTGGAGCGCAAGCAGGGTCTCCTCAGCGTCCGAAATACTGGTGAAATGCTCAGGCACGACATGCGCTTGCCCTGCTAACTGCTCTGGTGAAACGAGATCAAGGACGGGAGCTCTCTCCATTATGAATAGACTGGCGTGAATATCTAAGCGCATAAAAACCGTTCGCAATTGTCGGTTAATCCCATCAAAATCAGCCTGGACACTGGGTACATTATTTCCAAGGCGTTGTAACAGTGCCAACCCCTGGTTGAGATGCCATATCGCCTGTTGAGTATTACCGACAAGACACTCAAAGGCGTAGAATATGATGCTGCAGATGAGAGCCGTCTCTGGCGAGGCATCCTGAAAGACAAGGTGCGTTGATAATTGCCTGTGAGATCTTGCGATCAGCTGTATGTGTTGCGGGGACATCTTCAGCTGCTGGGATCCCACTTGCAAATAGTCTCGGTAGAGGGAACTGAGCGCGACAAGAGCATTGCGAATGACTGGCTGGTGTTGGCTTTGCTGGAGAACAAGGTGTGTCCATAGCGTGGTATCGGAGAATCTGGAAAGAGACTCGGACGCTTCGCAGCAGTAGAAGTGAAGTAACTCGCGGTCGGCCTTGCTGCCTGGTACTTTGAAAGGGATGCTATAGATCTTGATCTCGTTGTTGATTTTGGGTTGAAGACGGGTATCGCTTCGATAGCCCGGACAGACCCGACCGGTGCTAGTGCATCGCTTGCAACTCGGCCGGGCCTCGTCGCACTTTACGCGGCGAGATCTGTTCACTCGGTTAGTTGAAGTGATCACGGAGGAAGAAGGGGACGACGACTTACTTGCAGGTGGCGCAACCCGTGCGAACCTTGGGCATGCTCCGACGCTGTCTCTGTGCACTGGCCATTTTTTGGGGATGTCAATCTCGTGGATGAGCTCTTGCTATAAGAAATACTGGTCCTCGCAAGCTAGAAGCTGCTAGAGTGCCATTTATGACGAAAGGAAAGTTGAAGATGACTCCAACCTAAGACACACCGGCTTAGGGGGCAGGGCTGGAGTGGGGGCCTAAATGGATGTACTCTGCAGTAAATCCCTGGCGATTGGGACATTTAATTGGCTAGGCTACCATGATTAACTTTGACTAATTTTATCCGTTCAAGCTTGATCGAATGTTCTACTCTCAGGCCTTAATGTTTTTAGAATACTGGTACGCCTGGAACCGCTCTTATTCGTCGGCGGCCTTAGAGCCGCGATATCGCTTATGGGAGGCTCGATTGTTCAAGAAAAATGACCTTGCATTTCAAAAGTCTGTGCTCAGACATGATATAAAAGCTGTTACAGGGAGCAAAATGATGGACAATAAGAAACATGCATCTTCCAAGGTTCGGATTTACCGCTTCTTGATGCTGACATCGAGGTTGCCAATGAACCAGATACCAACAAAGACGGTCAAAAGACCGGCGAAGATGGTAAGTGGCTTGCGCAGAGCATCAACGAGGGTGTGGTCATAGGTCACCTAAGGAATGATTGTTAGTTACTACAATCGAGGCGATCGTCAGGAATGGATAGTGAGGAAACATACCACTAGTTGAGCGTCGCGCGCCTCGTCGGTCAGACTGTCAACCTCCAGGGTCAAAGTAGTCCGGCCGAGGGTATCCATGTAAGTCTTGAGCGAGGACAGGCTTGCGTGAATCTGGTTCGCACCAGGCAGACCGTTGCTGGCAGCGCCCTCGATGAGCTCGTAGCGCACATTGTGTGCGCCTTCGGGAAGAACGACACGCACAATCACGCGCTCATACTGAACACCCTCTGCCATCTTGGGGCCCTGGATGAAAGGCACCTTGAGAACGTACGAGTCGGAGCCGGTAGCCTTGCGGAGGAAAGCAGACAGATCGTTGTTCCAGCCCACCTTGAAGCTGTAGTTCCAACCACCAAAGATCGGGTAACGGGGCTTCAACTCCAGATTGGCGCCAGTCTTGGCAGTACCGGGGCGATAGCGGCTGGTGGAGACATTGCCAATGTCATCGATGAAGTACGCATCGACCGAGCCGGGCAGCAGAGGGTAGGTGAGCTCACGCACGGCGGAGGTCGGGGTCTTCTGGTAGGAGGAGAAGGTCCACTCAACGCGCGAGAACTGGGTAGTCAGCCGCGAAGCATTGTTGCGCAGCCAATACCGGTCTTCGGTGGCCAGGTTTCCACCCCAGTGCGACACTTCCAGATCACGCTCCAGAAGGCTTGCGGTGATCACCGGGTTGGTGAACTGGTAGCGCACGGTAACGGGGTATTCAGTACCGGGGGCGACCTTGGCCGTGTCGTAGGGTCCGTAGGTATACGTGGCACCCTTGCGCTCCGGGTCGGCGCCAGACTTGAGGCCCTCGGTGGTGGTATAGTCGGGGACATCGGCGCTGGGGAACTTCAGCTTAGTCTTCTGAGTGACGGTCTGATAGGCGGAGTTGATATAGGCGGAGAAGCTGTGGGTGAGGTACTGCTTGTCGTTTTGTCCAATGGTTGCCGGGAGCGGGCTCAGGGAGGACAGGACAGAGTAGGAGATTCCAAGAGTAATCTGAGATTTCGGGGCCAGAGGCTCGGGGAAATGGACGACGAAGTACTGGTTACCGCTGATGGAGGAATGCATTGGTTAGTTCAATATTCCAAGAGCTTCCTGCCGTTGCTTGCAGTGCTATGCGCAAACATCCATCTCAAGCCATTGGCTGTTCCAATTGATACTTACCTGGATGAAACAGCCTCGGTAACGTCTACCTCAAAACGCCCCTTCCCAGTGGCCTTCTTGTCACGCACTTCGAATCCTCCAACGTGCTCAAATACATCCGAAGGGAAAGGAATGTAGTAGTCGCTCTGTGGCTGGTCGTCGACATTCTCCACGACAACATTGACAGTCTCCCGGACGTATGATTTCTCCAAATTGGTATTGCGAACCAGATTTGTGTTCTTGAAGACCTGCGCAGGCTTGAAGTCGGATGGGAGAGCAAGTCGAGACGGGACGGTCAGGTTGGTTGCGGCAGCCAGGCTGGGTGCAAGCAACCCAAGCACTGTGGCGGTGAAAAACCTCATTGTAATTGAGGATATCACGCCGGAGTACACAAGGACTCCGAGCAGTAAATTGGGGGTTCGAGAAAGGTGGGTGGAGGTCTCTCGATTGAGAGGGGGAATTTAGTCGGACGAAGCTGATGAGGTGTCCCCATTGTATACGCAATACGGCAGGCGGAGCGGCCACGACGCGCACTCCGCTGCTCTTATCGCCCCCGATAACAGCTTCTCCTCACTTCTCCATTTCTCCGTCTCCAGCGATCGACATTCGGTCTGGTCTGTCGCACAATGTTCGCTTCGAGGACTACTGCTCGACTTGGGCGCTGGAGGGGTGCACGCTTGCCTCGCGCGCGCTATCTTCATGACCTCCACAGGCACCCCCAGAGCAGGTTCTTGCAGGTATCAGAGGAGGTCCGTGATGCCGTTGCGACAGGCAAGCCAGTTGTCGCTCTTGAGACGACAATCTATACTCACGGTTAGTCTTGAAATATTCCGTGATGTAGTGCATCAAGATTCTGTCTTTTGTATTGAGTATCACATCTAATTCTGTGGCAGGCTTTCCATATCCTGAGAACATAGCTCTCGCTGAGCTTCTAGAATCAGTTGTCCGCGAGAATGGCGGTGTCCCTGCCACTATTGGTATTCTCGGAGGCATTGCTCGAGTAGGATTGACTGCAGAAGAGATGGTTGAGCTGGCCTCAACCGCAGAGCAGAAGACTGCTTTGAAAGTCTCTCGTCGGGACCTTGGATACATCTGTGGCTTGGTATGTTGGCGAGCTCGGAAGAGCACAAGAATGGGGCACTAATATGATTCTAGGGCATGGCTGGGAAGAAGATCCATGGCGGCACAACTATTTCTGGCACAATGATTCTTTCAGAGCTTGCTGGTATCAAGATCTTTGGTACTGGAGGACTAGGTAAGGCCCACAGACTACTGAGTACTACACAAGGAGTGTCTGACTAGTTTTACAGGTGGTGTCCACCGCGGAGGCGAGAACTCTATGGATATTTCCGGTAAATACACGGTCTTTTCAAAGAATCGCATCAAATCCAGCAACTAAGATCGTCCCTCTAGCTGATCTGACGGAGCTGGGACGTACTCCCGTGACGGTCATTAGTTCCGGATGCAAGAGCTTCCTTGACATCCCCCGCACGCTTGAGTATCTCGAGACTGAGGGGGTCTGCGTGGGTACTTTTGCTGATGGCCGCGAGGGATCGGTCGATTTCCCCGCTTTCTTCACGCGGGACAGCGGCATCCGCAGCCCGCGGGTCATTCAGGATGAGGCTGAAGCCGCCGCCATTGTTTGTAAGTTGCTGCAACTCAATTGTCGTTTATCAACCCAGCTAAAATATTTTCTAGATGCGCAATCAAAGCTTCCAGTTCAATCTGGTATCCACTTTGCCAACCCAGTGCCACGGGAGGCGTCCGTCTCCAAGCCGGAGATGGACCGTATCATCGAAGAGGCCGTGCGTCTCGCTGATGTAGAAGGCTACAAAGGCAGTGATAACACTCCCTTTATTCTGGGTAAAATAAAGGAGCTTAGCGGTGGGAAGAGTGTGGTCGCTAATCGCGCTTTGGTCGAGTCTAATGTCAAGCGCGCAACGCGGGTGGCTGTGGAGCTGGCCAAGCTCGAGAACCTTGACCGGGGATCTGCGGCTCGGTGAGTTGGATGCTTAGATATACTATATACACAATGCTAAGTTTGGAGATATTCCTCTGTTTAGACACATGCCCGCTATCCCGAGTATTGTTCGATCAGACACTGCCAAGGACACTCCAAAGCCAAGCGAACCTCCTATCAAGGCAGAGGCATCCCCTGACCTACCGGTCAAAGCAGATGTTTTGATAGCTGGCTCCCTCGCAATCGATCTGTCTTGTGACTATACACCCTTCGGCTCGGAGCTTGCCCAGGTTGCGCCCGTGCCACACACATCCAATCCTGCAGTCATCGGACAAAGCCTCGGCGGCGTAGGCCACAACGTCGCAGTGGCAGCCAGCTACGTTGGCAGCGAGGTTCTATTCTGCAGTGTGGTTGCAGATGACCTGAGTGGTCGAGCAGCCCTTGCGTCCCTCGAAAAAGAAGGGCTCAGCAACGCAGGTATCCAAGTTTTACCCGCGACATCAGGCACACGAACAGCACAATACGTGGCCATCAACGATGCTAAAAAGGATCTTCTCGTTGCCATGGCCGACATGGGCATTGTTGAGCTACCAGAACACCAGCTCGACTTTGACGGATTCTTGGAACCTCTGATTGAACGCACAAAGCCGCGCTGGGTCGTCGTCGACGCAAACTGGCGCCCCGAAGTTCTGGCCAAGTGGACTTCTTTGGCTCGCAAGCATGGCGCTCGTGTGGCATTCGAGCCTGTATCAACTGCCAAATCGCGCCGCCTGTTTGGTCGTGACACCAGCGGTGCTGATGCGGCTATTGGTCCTACGCAGACAGTGCCCAACAATGCCATCAGCCTAGCTTGCCCTAACAAACTTGAGTTGTCGACGATGTACATGGCCGCACGCGAGGCACTTCTCTTCGACTCACCCAGCTGGTGGTCTATCATCGATGCCATGGGTCTTTCACCAACTGGTTCACGCGAGCGTCTTGTGATGACTACCTCAGCCAAGCTGGTGGATGAGGGTCTACCACAGCAGTCCATTCAGCTGCTCCCCTTCATTCCCTGCATCATCACCAAACTAGGTGCAGAGGGTGCTCTTCTAACCCAACTCCTGCCACCTAATGATCCGCGACTGACGGATCCCGAATCCGCACCTTATATCCTGTCTCGCGCTTCCTCGGCTGAGGTGCGATTTGGCGGTGTTTACATGCGTCTCTTCCCACCTGCTGCTAAACTGACACCCGAGGAGGTTGTCAGCGTAAATGGTGCTGGCGATACCCTGCTGGGTGTTACGGTTGCCGGCCTCGCGAAATCTGCCTCGCCTGCGCGCGTCGAGGATATTCTTCCCGTGGCGCAGGAGGCGAGTCGGAGAACCTTGATGAGTGCTGGCGGTGTGAGCAAGGGCCTGGTAGGGTTACGAGCTAAGCTGGGGTCTATCGCATAGCGAGGTTGATGATACTGCATATATACCGAATTTTATTCAGCAACTCTTGGCTATATCCAAGAGGAATTTCAACAAACTGATACCTATAGCTTTCTGTAGTTACCCAAGGGCTCTGCCTCCAATGACCCGCCGTCCCCGTCCTTGTATCTAGAATGAGCCGGGGCTCCTAATGATATCCAATGAATCCGGACGGCATGCCACACGAGAAAGATTTAGGGCGAGGACTCTACATGAGCAGTACCGGATTTCTCCTCGATCTCCATCTGCGTGACCGCAAGCTCGGTGGTATGATGCCTGCCCCTGTGTGCCGGAATGAACCAACCAGTCTCTTTGAACAAGCGATTCATCTCTTCAAGAGGAATGCCCTTGGTCTCTGGCAAAAATGCCCAGAAGAAAATAGCATTAGTGACATTGCAGATGACAAAGAGGAGGAAATACCGCCATCCCTGTGATGCAATGGCTGGTCCATGTCAGTACGAATACTTCGGCAACAAAGTGACAGGAAAACGAAAAAAACTAACCAGGATCCGTGATCTGTCCGATCATTGTGTTGAAAGCGAAACTGACAAGACAGCCAATGGCCACCCCATGAGCTCGGGTCTTGGTGTCAAATATCTCCGACGGAATGACCCAAGAGAGCGAGCCACAGCACATGGAGAAGGCGAACTGAAAGATCCATCCAAAGACGAGGAACGCCCAGAGAAGACCTACTTGCGCCGATGGGTCGACGTCATTGAACCTGGCAATAACGGCGGCCGTGACGATGAAACTGACGGAGCAGGTAAGATTCCCAATAATCAGGGGCCAGCGCCGTCCGATGCGGTCGATGAAGAGGACAGTGCACAGTTGACCGGCAATTCCCCAGATGTATGAAATGCCTTGGTACAGTAGTGACTGCGCTGTGCCAACTCCGACCTGTTTATAGATGGTTGGGGAAAAGTATTGGATTGCGGAGACTCCGGTCATCTGAACGGAGGCCTGGATGGCCGCGACAAGAACAAGTCGCCGGAAAGATGCCGGGTCCTTGAAGAGCTCGTATAAACTCGAAGCGCCATTTTCCTTTTCATCTTGGATCGTACTCTTGATCTGCTCATATTCTGCAAGAACCCAAGTGTCGTTAATATCGTTATTGGAGTGAAGTTTCGCAAGGGTTTGGAGCGCCTCCTGGTGTCGGTCATGATCCATGAGCCAACGGGGCGACTCTGGGAACAGGAGTATCAGAGCTCCTAGGATGCCAGCCGGGATGATCTGGATGCCGAGAGGTACACGCCATTGATTATTACTGACAAAATTGCTGACCGTCCCGTGTGCGGTAAACACTAGAGAGTATTAAGGTCCAGTTTCATGTGCGGTTGTTTGCGTATCAGGGACAATGAAAATGGTCTAGACATACCCGCAGTCGTAGATCCTAATCCGATGAAGAGTTGTTGCAGCCCTGTCAGACGCCCGCGAATAGCAGGATGGGCAATCTCAGCTTGATACAAAGGGATGATCATGACGAGAATGCCGACACCGAGACCTGCAATCGACCGACCGCCGTAAAGATATCCGAGGTTTTGGGCAGACGTTTGCAAGGCGCCTCCAAGACAGAAGATCAATGAACCTAAAATAATGGTCCAGCGGCGGCCAAGGCGATTGGCAGTGATCCCTGCCACAGCAGCACCGAAGAAGGCTCCGCCTGTGAAGACGGACACAACGGCGCCGCTAAAGGAGAAGCGTGGTCAGCTGGAGTTAACGGGGCTAAGAAGACCACTTACGTCTCATTAACCGATGGGTTATGGAACGTTGATACGAAGGAAGGGGAAGCGACAGCGCCGCCAATGACGCCGAGGTCATAACTAAGTATAGTCGCAAGAATAATCAGCTTTCAATTGCAGCGTTGGATCGAGGCATTCTATAGAAACACTCACCCAAAAAGGAAAGAGCCAAGGGAGGCAAATAACCCTACGAGAAGCTAGAGAATTCTATCAACTGGGGTAGGCGAACAATGTTTCATACGAGGACGTACCTGATACAAGTGAGGATTCATCTTTAGACGGAAGTATGGCAAATGATGGAGGCTGGAAAGACCTGCCAGATGAGTGGAAGTTGATCAAAGTATGGTGGTGCCATAGGGGTATATCTTTGGTAGTTATAGATCTCGCTGGACCTCGTGTGATTGACGCCAAAGTTGGCTGTTGATCCAAATCAGGGAAAATTCCGGCTGTTAAAGCTGAACTTAAAATGCTCCATGGGCGAGATCAATTTCTATGGAGTAGTTGTTGATTGCACTGACATTGGCTGGCGCCCGAATTTCCGCGGATCCACATGCTCCAACTATACCTAAAGTAGACCTCAAGTACTTAAACCATCGGAAGTCGCCCGTGATCCCGCGCCCCTCCCCCCGCTTCTCCATACCCCAGATTATGCCCAAAGACGCTAGAGAACGAAGTCATCGGGGAGCTGTGAGCAGGGCGGGGACGGCGTATGTTCGTGCGAGAACAACCTCTGCCTGTCAGGTCAGTTAATGCCCGCCTGTTCCGATTTACACGCTCCGTTTCTCATCGCATACAAGCAGATATGTCGAGCACGGCGAGCGAAATGCGACAATGAAAAGCCTTGCTCCTATTGCCGGAGAATTGGAGCAACCTGCTCGTCTGAGCCTATTTCGGCCACAGCAGGCTTCGACCCAGCTAGCCTGGCCATTCTGGCCAAGTTAGAGGAGCTTCAAAGCGGAATGGAATCGCTGTCTGGCCATTTGCAAAGACCGCCCTCTCATTCTCCAAACGCCACGCTAGTTGCCCAAGAATCTATACACACTATCTCCCCCGTGCAGGCCCCGCTCGCCTTACGCTTGGACCGCCATTTGCAGCGCGGTAATATCAGTCAGGTGCTTGCTTGGGACATTTGGCAGCCTCATGAGCTACCACAATGTCTCACTGCCGGTGAGGACGAACCGGGTGCCAATCCAACATCTTTCAGCAGAGCACGTACGTCTGTTTTGGATCAAGGCCCTGATATTAGCCTTTTTACCGGTTATTTAGACGCCTTTTTCAGCAACGTTCACGTTTTGAACCCGGTGCTAGCCGAACAGCAGATCCGGGCTCAACTGTCCAGTTTTCAGCTCAACGGCATTGGCTGGGACGCGGATTCCTTCCTTCTCTTGCTCGTGCTCGCTAATGGGGCTTCGTCGTCACAATTTGGCGAGCTCTCGATGACCGGTTCCACCAGTGGTCTAGATGAGCAACGATGGGCAAATGCACAGGCCTTGTTCGATGCCGCAGAGAAGCGCAAGGACACGCTATGGCGCAGCGACTATCTGACGCAGGCTAGATGTCACTTCTACAGTGGCATGTTTATGATGGTCTCGATGCGGCCGTTCGATGCTTGGCGCCATTTCCTGCAGGGTCTGGCCACTTGCCAGAGGTCGACAGCTTCGGCGCCCCGCCGTAGCCCTCGAGATCCCGCTCATGTTGAGAAGCAGGCTAAAGAGAGTATCTATTGGTCGTGTTGGAAGTCTGAGAGAGAACTCCGTTTTGAATTAGACATGCCGAATTTTAGTTCTGCGGGATATGACCATCCCATCATGTTTCCGACTCTACCACAACAAGTGTTTGACCAAGAGCAGCTCCGAGCGTGGTACTTTTATCTCGCAGAAATTTCTCTTTGGCGCTCTGAAATGACGGCACGGAAAACGTTGTCAGAGTTCGTAAGGCAACAACCAGGTGCTTTGGAAGCTTTGGCGGAGCGAATAGGTGATCTCGAGGAATCTTTGACTTTCTGGCGGGCTTCGTTGCCGGATGCAATCAGCCTCGACGCCGGGCTGCAGAGCAGCAGAGCAGACGTGCTACATTTTGTGCTACATGGTAGACTGACCTACAACTACGAAGTACTGACATGGCCATTTCTGGAGACCCAGTTGTTATTCGGAGAGCACAGAACCGCCCGTGCATCCGAACTGGCTGCCAAAGGTGTGCGCGTTCACTATGATCGACTCTCAATCAACCGCGCTGGGTTTTATTATCGGCACCATGGCACCTGGTTGATGCAACGCTCGTCGGCACGCAGTGCATGCATCCTCTTGGCAGTTGCCCGGAGCAAATCCTCCGATCTCCTGCCGACGGGGTGGCAAGAGATAGTGTCAGATACAATCGCAATGCTCGAGTACTGGAGTGAGACGCCTGACGATGAAACCATTGTCTTTTTGAAATCCGTCTTTCTTGAATTTATGCAATAGCTATATCGCCGATGCCTACTTACATCTGTTCTAAAATTCCTCCACTCTCGTTACGGCAGCGAAATATAAGTTCGCAAACAAGCTTCGTCCCCAGCATATCTTGCGACTTCAATGCCCACCATCCGTTCTACAAACATGAATTTATTCTCACTTCTGCATTTCAATGGCCTGGTCGAGCATTTCACGTTGACTAGTGCCAATTGATTCGGATCCAATGCGAGGCTCTGAAAACCTAACAGGACCCTCGTAGGAAAATCTGGTACCCGGGGAGTGCCGTAGACTTGAATGGCATGCCTGCCAGAACGTGATCCAGTGTTCACGACTGTAGTTCTGACAGTGAAACGGTCCAACCCCCAATCGAGAGGACTTGCATCAATGGTCACTCCCTCTAGGGCAAATGTCGTGTAAGAAAGACCGTAGCCAAGAGGAAATTGCGCGGCGACGCCGAGCTTGTCGAGGAGCCTCTGTCCAAACCAACGGTCATAAGTTATCTTCGAGGCATCAATGTCAAAGTATGGGAGATGTTCCTCCCTTTTCGGGATGGAAAACGGCATTCGCCCGCTAGCATCGACCTTGCCGAAAAGGACATCTGCTAGTGCATGACCTCCTTCTCCTCCGCTATACCAGGCCATGAGCAGTGCCGGGACTCGATCAAGCCAATCATCCATTATGACTGCACCAGCCGCCACAACGCTGACAATGACACGGGAAGACACAGCAGTCACGGCTTTGATGATGTCCACGTCGCGATCTCGTAGTCTAAGAGACCTACGATCACCTCCGGCCCCCGGAACTAGGCCGTCACTGTCTTTAGAACCGGAGCCAAAGCCAGTGCTCTTTTGGCCCTCGATGGTAGCGCGGACTTCGGCTTCGTCATTGCCCAGGGTTGGAGGAAGGAGGTCGAGCAGCTCTTTTTGGTCTGCGAAAGAAGGAACAACGTATTCGCCTTCGTCCATCGCGTCATAGCCCACCACGCAGAGGACGATATCTGCTATTGCCGCAACTCTCCGGGCCCCTTCAACATTATCTGTATCCTGTAGCATGATATTTGCATCGGGAAGAGCCGCTCTAAGGCCCTCATACAATGTGACCACCTTCGGGGCGAATACGGCTGAAGATCCCCTATCCCCAGTGTTTGCCCTATTGGCGAGTCGGCCGACGATTGCCAACGTGCGAACTCTGGTAGGATCCAACGGAAGCAGAGGGCCATCCGAGACCGAGTCATTCTTGAGTAGAACCATTCCTCGGGCTGCGACTTCGCGGGCCAATTTCCTGTGCTGTTCACAGAAGATGACAGAAGAGTCGGGGGTCGTCCGTCCGGTGCGCACCGCATGCTCAAGTTGCACGCGAAGGATGCGCGCTGCGGAGCGATCGATATCGGACCAAGCCAGTTCACCACGCTCCAGTGCATCAGGTATGTGTAAGGAGCGTTGTTGTTGGAAGGGGGCTTCAACATCCAATCCACTCTTAATGGATTTGACTGCATCTCGCAAACCGAAGATGAAGTCCGATAGCACAAATCCGCCAAATTTCCACTCTTTCCGAAGAATCTCATTCAGGAGCTCATGATTTTGTCCTGCAAATTCACCACGGACGGAATTGTAAGATGCCATGACTGACGAGACTCCATCCTCAACCAGTTGACGAAAGTGGGGGAGGTAGACTTCGTGCAAGGCTGCATCATCGATCTGCACATCTACATTGAAGCGAGCATTCTCCATAGAGTTCAAGGCAAAATGCTTGACACAAGTCATGAGATGTTGTCGGACACCGCGATGCAGCGCGAGGCCGAATTCGCCCAGCAGTATGGGATCTTCACCATAGGTCTCCTGTATACGCCCCCAGGCAGGATGTCGAGGAAGATTAATACAGATCCCGGCAAAGAAATTGGCCCCATGGGCACGTCCTTCTAGGCCCATGGCGTCGCCAACGCGTTGTTCGAGCGTCACGTCCCAGCTCGCACCCCTGGCCATTGACACCGGAAAACAGGTAGAGGAGTGCATCACGATACCGCGTGGACCATCAGTGAAGCGTATTCCCGAGATCTTCAAGCGAGGCACTGCCCCCATAACGAAGGCTTCACGGTTGTAACGGTCAAACAAGATTCCACGAAGGCCTTTCCAAAAGGGCTCATCTCCGTCGAGCAACGACAGTCGTTCTGCTCGGGTCATAACGGCTAGCAAGGCATGTGTCGCTCGTTCAAGTGTCTGTCCATTCTGAACCATCCGTACGGCATCGTCAAAATCGAAGGTCTCGCTCATAGAATGGTCAGGGAGGTTCTCTATGGCGACCTTGGCCACCGGTTCCTTGAGCATCGTGATGTGTTGAGTCTGGGGAAATAGCTAGAGACGAAAAGAAATGAAAGAAGAATGTGTCTATCATATCCTCACAGATGCCGACTTTGTTTTTGACCATATTCTCAACGTCGCCCGATGTTCCGCAAGCGCCAAACTATATTAAACGGAAAGAGCCCGACATCCCGCAAGCGCACGCCGCACAGAACGAGATTCCCCACTTTGTGATTCAGATCTCAGTTATTATCCGGTGCTAGTGTGTTGATGGTTTATCCTAGTTTTGTGTTCACTCCACGGGGAAAATATGGAGCATCTTCATGAAAGTTGCCCATCTTGTGGAGACATGTGTAAGTCGTACCTATAAAAAGGCCGTCACATCGTCCGGCAAGTGAGCGATAACCACAGTCAGACTTTCATTTCATCATATTCGTTCTGATTCAGAATCATGTTTGCATACCTCACACTCTTGTCGATGCTCGCTGTAAGTGCATTGTGCCGAGCAACGCCTGCGATTGAGAAACGCTCATCTCCTACACCCTATTCTACCTTTGTCCACAATCCGATATACTATCCCCTTGAGCAAGCTCCTCAGTGGCGAGTGTGCTATGCCCGCGCCATTCAGGTCCAGGACGGCAGTCTGCTCCTGACATGGGAGGATTATCCTTACGGCGAGGACTCTACAAATCTTGATACCTTCAAGATCCTTCGATCGGTCGATGGTGGTGTGAGCTGGTCCAATTTGTCCCAAGTCGCCGACACCCAGAATGGCTGGGGCATGCGCTTTCGTAAGTCGCATTCAAATTTTCTATACCATTCTCTTTGCTAACTTAGCTTAGAACCTGACATGTACATCTTGAAAAACGATATCGGACAGTACCCTGCTGGAACCTTGCTCATCGCTGGAGTTTCAACCCCATTGAACCTTACCGGCGGGGTCTACATCGATCTTTATACTTCCAGCGACATGGGCAAGTCGTGGAAGTTCGCTAGTCACGTCGCGTATGGTGCCGGACCCGAGACTGTGACGACAGGAGATGAAGCTATTTGGGAACCTTTCTTCCTGGAGTACAATGGCAGCTTGATTGTATACTTCAGCGACCAGCGCGACCCGGCGCACTCACAAAAGCTCTCACTTACAAGCACCACGGACTTACTTACCTGGTCTGCCTCGACGAACGTAGTCGCCTACTCCGACGTCAACGCCCGTCCTGGCATGGCCGTGGTTTCTTACATCCCGACCATCGGACAGTACATGTTATCCTACGAGTACTGCAATCCTCCCTCGGGCAGCGGCTGTCCGGCACACTATCGACTTGCCTCCAACCCGACCGAATTTCTCAATGCCCCCGATCAAACTCTGACTACGACTTCGGGCTACACGCCTGGTGGCTCGCCGTACAGCGTTTGGTATGGATACCCAAACTCGAGCACAGACGGCGCGGTGATCCTGTCGACCAACTCGGACACGGATCTTTTCGTGTCTACGGATAATGCAAGTACGTGGACTATGGTCAACGTGAACCAGTATACGGGTCAATCTCGTCACCTCTTGCTATTTAATGATAACGGGGAAGAGCGTCTGCATCTTGCTACGGCCGGCTTCTACGGCTGTTCGGGTTCATGTTATAATTATGTTGCGAACGGTGTCACGGCTCTTAGTGTCTTTGGATAGCGGGTATTCGTGAAGTATATGTCCATTTCAACAGAAGTGCATTGAGTTTTGAATACGCAGTTGCACAACATTTAAATAGAATGAAGGCAGTTTGTTGGCGGTTGATACTAGGTCCGTGGGCGAAAATAAATACTACGGACCAACGCAAAATCCATACGGAAATATAGTGAATTGAAGACAGCGATACGGCGACTACATGTATTCCTACCCATTCATCTCGATATTCCCTAGTATATCTGTGCAATACACTTACTTTCCTGTATTCATCTTCGGCACAAGGTCTGCATCCAATAGTCCCGCCTGCACAAGAACATCCGCTTGGTCCCAATACAAGCTCTGATGGACAATACGATCCGCAAAGAAGCTAGCCACAACCACGAGAACCACCTGGATATCACGATTCGTCGGTGGTACACGAGGAAGTAACCACGGTACTTCCTTGCTATGGCAGAACGTGAATAGAATTTCGTCCACAATCCGATCAGCACCAACTGTTCGTGATAAAAGACGAATATGCTGACTCGGTGGACCAGCGGGTATAAAGACGTCTGCAAAGAAAGTCCTTAGGTCCTCCGGAGTAGATCCTGGTACACATTAGCATCAAGTTGACCCGATCTCGCCGATATATCGTATAATATAAGACAATAATGCGGACTCACCTCCAGCCTTCGTAGGCGCACAAACAACCTTCGCATTCTGCTCATCATGCATATTCATGCCCCCGCCTTGACAAATCCGATCATTCCCCGGTCTCAACACAACCTCCACCGCGGACCCAGCAGCACCCTTCTTCCACCCCTCACTCCTAACCCCATCCAAATCCCCCATCAACCTTACCCAATACTCCTCCCAAACAGTCTCAATATCAGCAACAGGCCAATTACTCCCCGCCCCAAACGCATGACGCAAACACCCCAACGCCCGACTCCACGCTAACTGCGACCCAATCCGGTCATCATCGTGAGGTCCGGTATCCTTGATACTGTAATTAGACGGTTTGTGTTCTGCGAACCCGGCCCGTGCGTCGGGATAGGTGTATACGTGACAGCGGTGCCGCTTTTTGTAGGAGACGTCGCCCTCGGTGGGACTTACGCTGATCCAGGGCCAGAAGGTGCGGGAGTTTGGGTTGTGGCCTGGCAGGTGGATTTGGATTGGGAGGTAGGATTCTGAGGGGCGGGGGTCGAAGATGGAACTTGTGTCTGAGCAGGCGGGGGTGCAGCATTCTTGGCTGTGGGATGATGATAGGTTGGCGAGGTGTTCGGTGGAGGTTAGTGGGTAGTAGGCGATTAGGGCGCAGAGACGGGGGAAGGGGTTGGTTTTGCTGGCGGCGAGGTGGTGAGCGCCGAGCAGGTAGTATGCCGGTCGATTGTATGCTGTTAGAGTTAGCAAGTAGTCTTTCTTCGAGCATATCAGAACATTCTTTGATGATATAATGATGAGTACATACCAACTATAGCATATCTCTCTCCAGCCTCCAATTCATCCTCCTTCTCATGCACCGCAAACTCCAAAGACTTGCGATCCTTCTCTGCATCATCCGTACACAAAAATCCAAGATACGTCACATCAAACCCCTCGGCTTGAAAGCGCTGGATAATATGCGGATCGAAAGTAGCATTATCCGAGATCAATATCAAATGTCGAGGCGAGGGTTCGTCGACAATTGACCGCCGATTGCGCTTCCAGGAATTCCCACTCGTAGTTCGATGCAAATCATGCGATCGTGACGAAATATTATTGCCATTGATACCGGGGTCAGGCACGGTACTACCGGAACTGGTCGTTGCTCGTCTGGCAAGGCGCTGGAATACGTTTACCATGATGGCGGATGTGTTGGGATGAAAGTGATAACTCAGGACAGAAAAGAACCAGCTTTATAAATAATATCCCGGGTGTTCCGGAGCCGTCGTTTCTTGGATGACATCGGACAAGAGCGCAATCTGACTGCCTGGCTGTGCCAATACTTCGGGTTTCTTGGAGTGACGTCGACGAGTGGTGCGATAAGATAGAACGGTCCGGACCAAAGTGCAAGCACAAACATGTACGCATCCCATAAACCAGGTTCTAATAATATTCTAGCGAAAAAAGAGTGATGATTTTGAAAACGAAAACAACAAATGCGCAAACGCTCAATCTGCCAAGTCTATCAAATATCTCAAATCTTCGCGCTGGCCCCATCAAACGTTGCCAGCCACTTCCGGTCCTCATTGACCTGCCCGGATGTCTTCCCGTCATCCGCGATATATTGCTGATACGCCTCACGCAGAAGACTCTGTCGCGCGACCTCGCAGTCAATCCGGATATCCTCAATCAAAGCATCCAGGGAGACATAGTCGTATTCGGGACGAATGTATCCAAGGATCAAGAGGTTAAGCTGGGTGCCGTAGAAATCAGGCAGACGGTTGAATTTGGGCTGTGCAACGGCTGTCGGGGAGGGTTGTGTGAGAGGGGGCATGATGTGGATTTCCTAGAGCATATGGAGTCAGCAGAGGCCCGAAAAAGAGAGGTTCACTCGTTGACAAAAGCTGCTATACGTACCACCGACCGCACGGTATTCTTATAGAACGGGTTATACCCAATGCTCAACACGGCGGGCAAAAGGGTCGCAGAGTTCGACTTCTCCGCACCATTCGTCGCGCCATTCTCTTGCGACAGGTTCTGGGGGTCAAGCGCAACCACGCCGTAGTATACACCGGAAGTCAACTCGGGGTGCTGCTCGGACAGATCGTCGGCGGGGATATTGGCTGTAGGAATTCCTAGCTGTAGATGGTGTTATTCGCGACTGTCCCTTTCAAATCTGTTTGGCGCAATAGTTCAGTGCCCAAGAGTTCGACATACATCCTTGCTCCCCCGTCCAAATCCCTTAATCACTGGCCCCGACAATCGCACGGGGTACGGGTTCTCCGGGCCAGCATCAGGCCCAGCAACGGGGTCACGAGGCTTATCAGGGCGCATTTTGATTCTGTTGGTTTCGAATCTTTGGATTCACCCCTGGAAATTCAAGCGAAAAGGATCGGACGCGCAGCGACGAAGATTGTGTGAGTCAAGAGGCGGGGAGCGCGGGGCACTCGGGGATTTCGGGGCTTCAGAATACGAGGGAGCTTGATAAGCAGATTCGCGGGTCTCGGGGAGAGATTAAGAAGTTCGATTAGGGTTGAATTTTAGGCCTCGAGGGAACAAATTGCAACAATGGCGTGCTGACAGGCGATGCGATTTAAAGCGAAGGAGCCAGCGGGGTTGTTAGTGAGTTATCGATAAGCCGGCACAGGCACACCTGAGGCATCACCGAAGTTACTGGAAGCTCAATGCCGATCACATGGGGATGATTGATAAGATACTAAGTATCAAACCCGGGTTTTACAAGATGGAACAGTCGGTTGCTACATTTCTATGAATTTATATTCGCCGAGCGAGTATAGTTGGTGATAATTCGATCAGAAAGCAGAATGCCCACGAATAAACGTCTACCAAGAGACAAAGACGAAGAAACGAACATAGACGTCCAGTAACCAATGACATTATATCATAAATAGAACAATCCCAACCCAGAGATATCATTTTTTGACCTTTTTGAGCGCCACAGAAACAAAAATCAAGAAACAAGAAACAAAGAATATCAACAGACGCCCCGGCAAGGCAAAAAGAACCGGGACGATCAGGCCCCAGAGATATGTACTGAGAGGGCACACAACAAGATACTGGAACAGGTGGGTGAGGAGGAATCATACAGTCCCAAAACCAGGAAGGATATGTACCGGGTTAAAGTAGCAGGCATAAAAAGCAGGGAAACAAGAGAAAAAGCGGGAAAAAAGACTCGGAGGTAAATGCCGAGCTAAGGGTATGAAGAGAAATTCAAGACGAGACATGCAGTGAACAGAAAAATCAGAGGGAAATAATCAGACATCCCAAGGTGGAGCGATCAAATGCACGGTAAGAACTAGGGAAATGGTCAGTTTATGTCACCATGTCTGAGATAGATTGGACGGGGTTCACTCACATTCATCACAATAAGCATCGGAATATCGAACACATCTCGCTTGACTGTCCAGCAGTACGCGCATTCGACCTTGCCGTCCTTGAAGCCTAACTGGTTCATACCAGCTTCGCCGGCAATCCCACCCTTGCGCAAATGATTATTCCACTTGCCGTGCTCATCGGACGACCCGCCTTCCATGTCCTCCTTAGTCTTATACTTGAGCAACTTGCAACGAGTCATAACACTACCGCGGGAATCACCAAACGCAAGGCGTGCAAAGTCCTCATAGAACTCGACCACGCTTTCATCGTCGAGCAGCTCCGCCAGGAAGACGGGCTGCGGACGTCCGCTATTGGCATTCTCGAGCGTCGAGCTGCGCGGCGTGAAGCTTCCCCGCGACGTTGTGCCGGACTGAGGGGGTGCAGATCCGCCGGTGTTGACATTCAGATTCGGCTCTTTGCCTAGAAGGACGTCCTTCTTCCATCCGGTGAGGATGCTGAATTCCTTGCCGACGGCGGCGATCTCGCCTGTCCGGCGGCAGACGATGGTCGGTGTACCACAGGCGTTGATGAAGTCTTCGTATTCCCAAAGTGTCCGCTGGAAGCACTTTTCCATGAAGATAAGATCATCCCGGTTCAAGGTCTTGGTAGTTGCAATGAAGGAAGGACGAATGGAAGCAAGTGCTTTAGCGATGCGCACGGTCTTTTGCGGAGTGAACCGCCGCTGGATGAAAGCAGTAAGATTGTGGAAACCGGCCGTGTAGCCGTAGGGCTCCTTGACACTTTCATAGATCGACGACGGGTTGCGATGACGTCGCCGAGGGCCCACCTGTAGATCACGGTGCTTTAGGCTCGGGGTCGTGATCAGAGGTCGCTGCCCATTCGGCGCCAGGTTGCTACTCGACTTGGGTAGATTATTGTTGTTGCTGAACGCGGACACATCCTCAAGTCCGGCCACCGTCACATGCGGGCTAGTCGTCGCAGATCCAGGGCTGGTAAAGCTGGCTGGACCGCTCTCGATCGCAAAGGCATGCGGCGCATCTGCTTTCATGTGGCCGGGCAACATGCCATTTTGACTGTATACGCCGCCGACATTCACGTGCGGTTGTCCCGAGGCTTGACCAGCGGACCAATCATTGAGCAAGGGGTCCCCGAACATGAATGGCTGTTGATTCCCCGGACTTTCGCCAAAGCCAGGAGCTGGCGTGGAGAACTGGGCAGACCCACTGCGGCCGATCGACCCTCGCTGCCCTGCCGAGTCGGTCGGTGAATCACCCGCACCAGTAGCCATGTGACCGAGCATGCCGAATTCGAGAGCACCGTAGCGATTCTCGAAATTCATGCTAGACAGGTCAAAATTGAAGAGTGCCGGGTCGCTAGGGTCGAAAAACGGCCCTGCAAATGGATTTTGTTGGTTAGCATCCCCCGAGAGCGCTGTGCTCGGTGTGGGCTGTTGGCCCACGGTGGAGGACAAGCTAGCATTCCGACCATTGGTGCTGGTTTTCAAATTGAACGTTGGTGATACAGGGGACTGGGTTGTGAATGGGCTCTGGCTTATAGTAGTGTCTGGATACACGTTGTACGATCCTGGTTGCGGCTGAGGTTGTGGCTGAGGCGTGGGGTAGAAACCGGTCGTGCTTGGAGTTTGCTGTTGCGGTTGTTGCTGCGGTGTAGACGAAGAACCATTTCTGGTTAATTGCGGCATACCATTGGGAATTCCATTGCCATTGCTGCCGTTATTATAAAAGTTTCCTCCCACCCCGGGCATCAATGCTCCGTCGGGGGCGTCGTGGAGATACTTGGCCTTCTTGCGAACGCCGTCGTGGCATGCATCCTGAAGGCCGCGCTTAATGCAACGTTGGCAGGGTCGCTCATCGCCTAGACAAAAATTCTACTATTAGCCAAGACTGACATTTACCTTTCGGAAGCATGCGCATGCAGGGTGCATGCCGATCAGAAAGACAACAAGAGCATACCGCATGTCAAGTGAGCTCGCTGGCAGGCAAAGCACGCTCTCCGGGCCTTCTTCCGGCGCGGTCGCGAGGGATCCTTTGCATTCGCAGCTTTTCGGCCATTCTCGGCTTTGATACCGTCACCGTTCACCTTATCTCTGACGGAATCCATCTGTTCCGAGTGCTCAGTGGCATCAGCGGAATCGCGATCACCACCACTTGGGTCTGCGGGAGATTGGGAGCCGTCCTTGGCTTCCACGTTCATTTCGTCATGTATTCCCCCAAGCACGGGAGGGGGAGGCAAAGTACCACGCGTCCAAGCGACGCAGGAGCTTCTACAAATATGGTCAAAGCCTCACAGGCCTTTTCTAGGAGCACCTTTCACTGTCTTGATCTCAAGATCTCGCTCTGTAGAGGCGACGGGACCATTCGCGCACTCTTCAGGTTATTCCGGACGGGCGGATCCACGTATCGTAAACTTGCGCACTGCGCAACCTCGGGCTTGTAAACCGAAACGAACGGTCGCAAACTCACGCCGACTGCGTGTTCAGCTTCTAATTCCACCTAGATCGCCGAGACCTGCTGTAGATCGTGGGTGGCGGGATCGAGATCCTATTATCGCGCGCTTGCGACTAATGCTGGCGGGGGTACGGAGGGTAGGTATCGGGTTGAGTCACGGGTGTAACGGGGTACAATCGACTCGAAGTAAGACGAGGCCGCAAAGATCTGACGCATTGAAGAGTCTCGAATTTCGGTGTGGTAGGGCGAGTGAAGGTTGAAGCGACAGAACTAGGCGACAAGAAAGCAGGAAAAAATGCCGCAACGGTCTTCGGGCGCAGCTGAATTCGGGAGTGGAGAGTTTGAGGGCGGCAGACTTGTTCGGCTGCGGGGAAGGCGGGAATTGATTTAGTTCGGTCGATTTGGAGCCGAGTTTCACTCTTGACGACGGTGCGAGGAAGAGAAAGAGAAGAGAGAGAAGCACAATCGAGGCGAGGGGAAGTAGAAAAGGGCCAGATTGGTGAGGCGCGGGGGGAAAGGACGATGTCGAAAGTTGGAAAATTGGAGGGACTTGGAAATGGGTTTAACTTCGATCGGAATGTTCCCGTGACTGGGCCTTCTCTCCTCCACCACCAGGAAAAGCGTTCCAAACTGGCAGACTGGACTTGAATCGGACCAATTCCTGTGCGAACCACTGGGAACACTCGTTGCAGTGTAAGAGGGGGGCTTCTTTTGGGTTTTCTTCCCCTGGAAACCTTGAAGATCTACTTCTAGACTTGATTTCTTCTCCGCGGCTACTCCTCATGGAGATGTCGCCATAGCCTGCCTAACTATGGTTCTACGCCCAGAAGGGGGATATACTTACCTACTTTGTCTCGTAAGACGAGCCCAATCGTGTTTTGTCACTGTTTCGCTGTTTCACGGTTTCACTGTTTTACTTTTTTCATTATTTTTTTACCTAATTAAAACGAGACACGAAGGAAGGAAGACTATTCTTAATTACGAGCCAGCCAGATCGCGCCTTTGGCGCCTCTAAAACACAACAAACCTAGAACTGATGTCTGATCTCACACGAGGCATTTCCCCTTAGGACCTGCATAAACGGTGGTATTCAACAGCATCACGGCACTCGGTAGATGCTAGTTGAGTAAAAATAACTCAGCTAAGGGCCAAACTAATGTACAGACTACTACATTCCACTACTAACTACAGTAGACTACTGTAAGGCATCTCACATGCTGACGTTTGGGCACTCGCCCACTGGAGCATCGGCACTTGCGTATGGTAATTTATCCGTGACGGGGCCAATACCCGCCTACCCGCAAGTTCGTTACTCCGTTCCCACTCCAAAGGCAGTTGCGCACGTGTGGGTTGAAAGCAACGAAGTTACTACTGCCCTATCCGACATTAGGCTCGGATATCTATCCACCGATACGCAGGATCAATGGATATAGATCCGACGTCTCTTTCCTTACCCCCCAAAGAATTGTCCATTTCTGACACCAGTACACTGACTCATAAAAAGCCTCACCCCCTCCGCCATGTTCTCGTCTTTCTACGGCCCTCGGAGGCATATCCGGCTCCGTTTTATCCCGAGGCTACGTAGTAAGCCCCGCGAGCCTCGGTTAGCTTCGAGAAGCTGGAGCTGGATTTTTCAGCTGGGTAATCGTTCAAGAATGAGTGGTTATTCGGTTTCCAAGTTTCTCTTGCATTCAACGCTCGGCGTTAGGAGATCAATTGGAACAAAAATGGTGGCAGATGATGTATGCGTCTCTGAATGGGAACTAAGACTACATAACGCTCGTTTATACTTCGTAATTGGACTAGCAGGGTAGATGTATATTTAGCACATCTGTTCTATGAGAAATTCAGTCGGAGAATTGCATTCTGGCCTAGACTCTCCCCATCCATCATGGAGCAGCTTGACATTGAAGTCCAAGACGAAAACTATCGCTGAATGGCCGTTCTTTTCCAGGCAGTAAACATCTAAAGCGGATCAAATGATACGATTAAATAAACATGCTAATTGAAACGTATTAGCTCTCGTTGAATCTGTTCAAGATCAACCCAGAGTCATCTGCATTGAAATTACAGCTACAGGTAGGACAACAGACAACAGCCGGTTTGTTGGGCCTCTACCCTGACCGAAGGCTTGAGCACAACACATATAGCTCTCAAGAGCTTCCATGCCCAGTCCCAAACTGCTCGTCATCGGGTCACAAAACACCAGGCTCAGCCCTGCCTTAACTTTGGTATGTGACAGCATCTGAACTAAGGCTGCAGCAGAGGACAGATACAGCATGATTTGAGTGCAGATTGGAATGTACGTAGAATTAGCTTAGCAAGTATTTTATGTACAGTACACGATATGTGCAAACAATAAATGAAATCTATTTTGTGTCGAGAACAAGATCTTGTATCGGTGACCTTGGATTCTCTAAGCCGCGGCGTGCAAAATCACATCTGAGAAGTTGCGAAGCGACTCTTCTTCCGAATACGAGCACCATATCGAAAGAAAATGTACCTATAAAATGATCAGAAGACGCGTTCACAAATAGAACAATTTGCCATGTGAAGTCAGTGCCGGGTTGGTCGTTGTCACATCCACATGCAGAGCTGGGGTGTCAAAATGTACTCCTGAGCCAACCTCCACATCTCCAGTGACTTTGAAATGCAGGGGCAGAAGACAAATCAAAGGTCATAGCGTAGGAGTTTGGTGATGAAGAGGGGGAGGGAAAGACCGGGGAAACTGGACTGGGGAACATCAAATAATTGAGCAACAAATGACTTACGGGAAAGGCAGCATGACCAGGGTGAGAAAGGCTAGCAGTGACGTCGCCCAATGGAATCCTAGATTGTTATACACTGTGCAATCATTATCAGCCACAATTTGCAATGCTATCACTTCTCAACCAGGATGAATCCATGTCTCCCCGCGCCCTTCGAGCGAGACATCCCCAACGGCTCACTAGGGACACGACGTATCCGTCCGGCAAGAAGGATATCTACACGCTGCATGCAAAGCACAGACCCTTCGGCAAGGGTCGCAGGGTATGAGAAAGACACCGAGGAAGACAGAACTTACTCTGTATGCCGAACAAGGGGAAAATTCCTCCAAAGCTGGACCGCATGAAGCTATTCGCTGCCAGCGCGCTTGCTGCAAAGGTCGGATATGCATCAACCAGGAATGTGAAGACACCTGAGAAGACTAGGATTGTTCTGGAAGTAACACGAAAGTCCATCAATATGTAAATCTCAACAAAGTGTATTCAAGACCCCCAGGGGAAAACAGGCAGGCGAACTTACCCGGCGCCAAAGAGGGCACTGCCAATGATAGGTGCAATCCAATGCACATCGGGGTAGGTAGTCCAGGCAAAGATGAAGAGACCGGCAGTTACCAGCGGCCCACCCAAAATCGCTGAATTGCGCCGAATTAGATATGATTCCCTCACAGAGTGACCTGCCGACTTACCTGGAGGCAACCGCCACTCTGGCTGAAACTCATCCGTCCCATCAGCGTCATTTTGATAATTCCGTTCCAAGCGTTGATAATTGCGACGCCAGATTGGATCCGAAAGAATCGCAAAGACCATACCAACAAAAAGACCCATAAAGCATAAGCCCCGTTGCCACAAATCAAAGCCATAAACATCTTTAAAGACCAATTGGAACGCGCCGAAGAATAGGTACAAGATACCCAATAGGATCGCCGAGAACACACAGAGGTTCAAGCACATTGGCTCCATGGTGAGGAGCATTATGGGGCGGTACATAGATCGTAGGACCGTTTGCGCCACTGATCGCTGCATCTTCTCGATCGGCGCTTTCCATCGGTCGTCTCCGGTCTCCTGGCGGAGTTTCTGGGCTTTGCGCCTCAACAGCCTAATTGTGCGGGTTAGTACAGTATTTTACACCGCCACATCTTTGATCTGATAGAGAAACATACACCGGGTGATAGGTCTCTGGAACGAGGAAGATCATCGAGACTAGGAGGACTCCGGTCCAGATTAGGAGGACATAAAAGGTCCAGCGCCTGAGAGGTTGTTAGCTTCGATCCGCGATAAAAACAACAAAAGGATTCTACTTACCATCCAGTAAAATAGTTGATAAATCCACCGACCCTATAGGATAATGTTAGAACATCTTCAATCGATTGATAGTCGTTGGCGATCGTACAGTGGGCCAACTTCGGGTCCAATGAATGGACTCGCGGTGTAAAGCATCATTGGGAAGGCGAGCTCGTGTCGATCAAACATATCACCGACAGTGCCACCGGCAACACTTAGGAAAGCACTTCCTGACAGACCGTTGAAGAATCGGCTCACAAGCATGGTCTGGGTGTTCTTTGCGACAGCGCAGGGGATGAGCCAGATCAAGAAGAGCGAGAAAGAAACGATGTAGATGTTACGCCGACCATAGAACTATAATATCGTCAGTTCGTCAGTCTCTTGACTTAACAAATCTCTGGGTTAATTCACCTCTGATAGTGGACTAAGGAAAAGGGGACCAATTCCTATACAATGCTATTGTTAGCAATCATCCTCTCATAGACCGTTACCGTCAAGATAACACACCAAGTCCCCAAATGAAAAATGACAGGCCCAGCGTCGCGACTTCTTGCGAGCAGCCAAATTCCTTCATCAACTGCCCATACGTCGTAGTATACATGGACGAGGTACAAGTCCTGCAAATCAAGTCAACGTTAAACTCCCAAACCACAACACACCCGACCATCAATCAGACGAAACTCACACACAAAGCGAACCCAACGACACAATAATCACAATCAACCATCTCCTAGCCTTGCTCATATTGCGCGGATTCAAAGGATCATCCACATCCCAACCAACCGTATACCCAGCATCATCCTCTGGCCTTTGTTGCCCCGGAGCCTCACCCGCCGCCTCCTCTTCATACCGATTTCCTCCGAGACTAACACCGTCATTCAAAGACCAAGAGCGTTCCAACGAGCGCGAGCGGGATACATTCGACCGCTCCTTCTTGATTTGCATATCGCGTTGATCCTCCGGCGCAACAATAGGCGCAAAAGTCGCATCCTCGGATTTCGTCTGCTCGAGCCCGATATCGTCATCGCTCCGCTCGCGCGGGGAAGAACTAGTCGAACGGCGCGAGTCCATGGTATCCCGTTTCTCGAGGTCGGCGAGATCACCGAGCGACATGACCGGAGAGTTCGCGTTGCGTGGCGGCGGATAGTTAGCCTTACCTTACGCTATCAGTGAGTCAGGCCATGCAGCCAAGCTTGAATTGGGAAAGAACAATTGGCTTGCAGGAGCAGCGGGAACAGTAGTTATACGAGGTGCTGCCGGCGCGAATTCATGAGGAAATTATGACTGTTCGGTTCTCGGCCTTTGCAAGGCTCCTGAATGGATTGTGTATTTGAAAACCGGTCTTCAGGGAAGCTCCAGACCGAGCTGATTAATCACCGTTATCGCGAGGCCGCGAATTAGTGCGAAATAAATTATGACGCTACCGCGATTCTCGAATCATGGCCCGAAGACTGGGAACCCACTTTCGGGGTCTTCTGCCCCAGAGGGCCGAATCAGGCCGAGGTCGGCCCGTATATTCGGACGTGTTTGTAGTTAATTCGGGGAAGTGAAGTTCCTTGCAGTAATATAAGTGTGGGTGAGTTCGGTTTAATTTGAGATGGCCCTATAGATAAGTATACATTTGATATTCTAGAGATGGCAAAAGCAAAAACGGCACATAAACAGAACGTTTGCGATCAGTTGTATTTTGCCGGACATTTTCTCTGTATCCTATTCATGATGAGACGGGCTGAGTGGAGCTTAGATAAAAGCTTATTCTTGGACAGCATCGGTCCGAGTATTGGGTTTTTGAACATATACAGATGAGGTCCTTCGCTATAGTCTATACATAGTAAATCCTCCGATGATTCCTCGTGGACGCACGTACCAGAAACGGCCATGCATGGACTCCCACGTGGCAAGGGCTGACCGCCGTTCTCGGCGACGCCTCCCTGCATTAGTGATCTATGTACGGAGAGGTCAAGAGCATCGAAGAAGACTAAAGGGTTAACCAACGACATTTACAAGAATGTTGTTGATTCCAAGAGGCGGTATGTTCGATTGACTATAACGCTAACACTACGTCAACACAAACCCATTGAGCAATTATACTCCAACGAAGCAATCAGACAGAAGGGTAGGATCGGAAGCACCCAAAAAAAGGAAAAAGAAAAACCCATCAGAACAGTACAAGAGTCACCAAAGACCCAATTCTCCAATCCAATCCCAAACTCCATGATAGAAATCCAATCCGGCACAAAACCGGTCGAAGATCCTAAAACAATAATCGGATCTTCCAGAAACCCATAGACCGTCCCAAACTCAGCTGTACATGAATGGAAAACGTGCGCCGGTATATCCCAATTTTTACCAAGTCCAGTACAAGCCAAGATCAGTCATGACAAGACAAGACGAGATATGAATAATCTTTTGTTTCTTTATAGAAGCTGGGACAGTTGGCTCATGGCACCGCCGGCGTTCTCCTCGGCCCAGGAACCCCAGAGAGCCTCCTTGCCGCGGATCTTGATGGTAGAGCCGATGCACTTGGAGTTCTGTTCAACCTTGACGGCGTCCTTAGTGGCCAGCACCAGGACCTCGAAGAACATCTTGGTGGCATCGGCCTTGCTGGAGCGCTGCTCGGGGAGGAGATCCTGGAAGACGACAGCCTTCTTCTGCTCAGCGGCGGAGACGTCACCAAGGCAATCGCGCAGGATGTGCACAGCATGCTTGGTGCCAATCGAAACGGGTTCGGTGTCAACGGGGCGGATAGTGTCATCCATATCCTCAATAGAGGCGCTCATGCCATCATCGCTCATAGGCGCGAGATCCTGGACACCATCATCGCCCGGGAAGTCGATCTCGGAGTGCAGGTTCAACCCAGTGTCAAGACCAATGCCCTCGTCAACGGTAACAATAGCCTCATCTTCACCAATATCCAGCGCGGGAACATCAGCAGCAATTTCCATGTCAGAGATACCACTGTCACGCTTGCGCTTGAGCTCGCCGGCTTTCTTGACGTTATCCAGAGACAGGAGATCGCGCAGCTCGGGGGCCCAGCCATGGCTGCGCTCCTCACCGAAGATGCTAGAGACAAAGTTACCGTTCTGTTGGCGGGTCATCAGAGTAAGAAGGACGGGGTCACGAGGCAAGAAAGAAGAGCGCTGCATAATAGCTGAGCGATCAGCCTGAATCGCCTTGACCTCCTGGGAAGTGTAATGGGTCTCCTTGTCGGCAACAATGACCTTTTGACGCTTGGCACGCTGGGCATGCTTGGTAGTTCGAGTCTCGACTTCTTGGGTAACCTCACGGTTGAATTCTTCCTCGAGCAGGTTCATCTGAGCAGAGCCAGCATCGGAAAGAGGGCTTTCGGTATCACGCGCGAAACGGCTTTCTGGGCGAGGGGTCTCGCCGCCAAATCCAGCATCGTCGCCGAAATCCATTGGGCCATCATCCATAAGCGGGTCGTTCACGTTGTCGGAGCCAAAGTCAAGCTTTTCGAGAGGGGCATCGCCAATATCGAGGTCCAAGTCACCGGCGTCGTGGAGTTTTCCGGAATCACTAAACAAATCTTCGTCCATAGGGCGAGCAGGAGGAGCATCACGACCAATTTCAACGCTGTGGTCCAGTCCAAGAGGGAGTTCATCCTCGCCGAGATCCAGATCCAGGTCAATCAAAGAGGGGTCTTCGAGGCGGGCAGGCTCCTGAGACATGGATCGGCGGTAACTGCTATCAGGCAGAAGCTGGCTGCCAAAATCCATAGCACCTGGCCGCTTGCCTTCCAGCTCCAGGCTCAGGTTCTGAGGGAACAGCAGAGACGTATCAAGGTTGGTGAAAAGGTCGGACTCGGTCAAAACATCGGGCAGGGTAATACCACCCGGCGCGACCACAGTTGTCGTCAAGTCGTTGTTATTTGTAAGACGGAATGCCTATAGCGTGACTTGTCAGTTCTTTATTCAAATCAAATGCTTGGACAACAAGTATATTGCGTACCATTTTGATCTTCATCAATGCTTCGTTACAGTCGTCGAGCAGATAACGCGCCTTGCGGCTATAAATACGCACAACACCGAGCAGCAGCTGACCACTAAGTCGTAGAGCCATAGGCGCTTGGCCTTGGTCAACAATGGCGCTGACACTGCTCTCAATGTCGGACTGGAGAATGTGCGACTTGGACAGTTTGCGCTCAATGTTGGCAGACAGCCAGACGCGGGCCAGCGGCCCTGTCTTGGACAGCAGAGTCTCGGAATAGAACATCGCGCGTGGTGATACACAAAGAAGCTATGCACAGACGAGCAGCACACCAGGAGGTGAAAGGTCAGAGCCCGCCCGGCGCGGGGTGAGGGCGTAGCAAGGGATTGACGCGCTGTGGAAGCCGGGAAAACAAAGACTCGGGCGGCCTGCTAGTGGTGGCCCCTGAGGCAATATCGAGATAGAAAGAGGGTGGAGTAGATGCGACGTAAAAAGGCAAGATTAAAGAATAAGTCGCGTTGGAGTCACGTCCAGGATGGGGCGCGAGGGACAAGTTGGCAGAGTAACGGAAGGGGAGGATGCGCGTCGGTGGGAATCAGGCGTCGAGGAGTCAGGTGAGCCCAGCCTCTGGGGGGCAATCGCAGTCTGGGAATTCGAGGGGGCTGGGGTGGGGTGCCTTGGAAACGAGGAATGCACGAGGGTTACGTAATGGCTACACTGCCAAGAGCTTAGGTAAGCACATACATCCAGCCCTGGAGGGCTGCGGAGCAGTAGAGAGCTTTTGTGACTGGAGACATATGTTGAAGGACTTAATCACGCTATTGAAAATGAACATAGTTTTAAGGTTATAGGGTCTCTATAAAATGCAACATTAATCGATTATCCAGGCTACGTGGAGGTCACCAATGTGCCTTGGGGCTGTCTTGTACCAGTATCATAATGCGGTTCCTGTATTCCAGTCAGGAGCTGTAGACAGCATATACATGTCCTTTTTATCTCATCTCAGAGTTCCAATTCATTCGGCTGATATCAAATTCGTTCCACCTCAGGAGACCATTGCCTTGAGGCAAACGAGTTACAGTTTTAACAATAGCCTGGTTTTCCTGTCAAAAACGGACTGATTACTATCAGACAGCCTCCCTTGAAATTGCATCTATCATCACTTCTATAGTTTTTAATTCTGAGGTTCAATTATCTAGACACGTAGAATTTGAGTAGACAAAGCAAGACACAGTTACCCTGTACTATTCTCTAATCACGTGACTATTCCAAGGTCAGGAGTCAGCGTCTCGGATTAACTGAGTATCCGGTAGCTCTAAACTCCTTTGGGTAAAGCATCAGCATGGATTTGGCCGCTTCCAGAGCCGACAATTGCTGGCGGAATTGGCGATTCTTTGGCGAGGCTCAACACTACTACGATTTCTCCTAATATCATATTCCCAATTCTTCTTTCCACTTTATCGCTCCGTTTTTGCCTTTAGCTTCGTCGATAATTCGACCTTGAGCGGCCACGACTTCTCAGTCGGCTCCATTACTGCCAGTCTAGCGCCCCCCGTCTCAAAGCTGCTGCCAGATCGCATCTCAAGAGCGTTGACCCGCAACTCCCAATTTCGATCCAGACGGGATGCAAAGTGCCCTCCGATAGATTCGGCGCGTCGCTTTTCTTCGTACTTCCCCCTTTTCCCCTTCTTTCTTTCGGTCAAAGCATGAGAGATGTCAAGGTCCGCGACACCTGCGTTGCCTCTGCATAATGCACCAAACTCCGACTCTCCGCAACCCTCCTCCACAACCCCATTAGGGGTCCGGCCAGATGCGCCTTCATCGGTATGTTCTTCGCTCAACTGTTACCGACTGTTTTAGTGTCATAGAGTCCCTCCTGACTGCAATGCTCCCAATTGGCTCATTTCCACCGCTAACTTTGCGCAATGTCTCCTCTAGGCTTCGACTTCGACATACTCGTGGCTCGAACCTCATGAAACCGCTGAAAGATTACACACATCTCTATTGCATGGCCTAACTCCTGCAGAGGCAGAGGTACGCCTCGCGCGGGATGGCCCTAATGAACTCCCCCATGAAGAGCCAGAGCCCCTATGGCTGCGATTTGTGAAGCAGTTCAAAGAAACTCTCATTCTCCTCCTGCTCTCCTCTGCCGGTATATCTTTTGTGATGGGTAATTACGATGATGCTGTGAGTATCACTCTTGCAGTTACCATTGTGGTCTCGGTCGGCTTTGTCCAGGAATACCGTTCGGAGAAGTCCTTGGAGGCGTTGAACCGTCTTGTCCCGCATTACGCCCACCTCATCCGTGACCTTCCCTCCGCCGCAGCTGTGGTCGCAGAGCCACCCCTCGCTGGGGTAGAATTGGATGAATTGAAGACCAAGAGCCCCGGCGCAGCATCCGCTGCCATCAAGGCATCCACCACCGTCCCCGCGGCTGATTTAGTACCTGGTGACCTGGTACTTTTCTCCACTGGTGACCGCATCCCCGCCGATATACGAATCACTGTCGCAACGGATCTCACGATTGACGAATCGAACTTGACCGGTGAAAATGAGCCCGTCGTCAAGTTCACTGCGGCGCTTCATAGCCATCATCATCACCATCATGGGAACCTCCAGGTTCCAAAGGCCATCAGCCCTCCTCGCTCGCCATTCTACGATGCGCCCGCCACTGGCGCTGTCGGTGCCGATGTTCGCCTCAATGAGCAACACAACATCGCATTCATGGGCACACTAGTCCGCTCTGGGTATGGCCAGGGTATCGTTATATCTACAGGTGCAAAGACGGAGTTTGGAAGCATCTCAGCTTCTCTACAGGAGATTGAGAGCCCTCGGACTCCTCTGCAGCTTTCTATGGACCGCCTTGGTCAGGAGCTGAGCTATATTTCTTTCGGTGTCATTGGCCTGATCATGGTTATTGGCCTCTTGCAGGGGCGTAAGGTCCTCGAGATGTTTACTATCGGTGTTTCTCTCGCCGTTGCGGCTATTCCCGAGGGTCTGCCTATCATTGTGACTGTCACTCTTGCACTTGGTGTACTTCGTATGGCCAAGCGAGGGGCAATCATGCGTCGACTTCCTAGTGTTGAAACACTTGGCTCGGTCAATGTTGTCTGTAGTGACAAGACTGGTACTCTGACTATGAATCACATGACTGTTACCAAGATGTGGCATTTCGATAGCGACGAGCCGTTTGAGGTTCAGCGGGACATGACTTCGGTCTTGTCGCCTGGCCCTGCGGCGCGCACTATTCTTCGCGTTGGAAATATTGCCAACAACGCTCGTCTTTCTCGAACCCACGCCAATTCCCCGGCCAGTGCATCCTCCGCAGCCGTTCTTTCGTCTACTCTCGACAGAAATTCGACTGCCGTGAAGAGTCGCTGGGTCGGTCAGCCTACAGATGTCGCTATCCTTGACTTGTTGGACATCCTGGGAGAAGATGACGTCCGCGACCGGATCAGTGCGCGTGTATCTGAAACTCCATTCAGTTCTGAGCGAAAGTGGATGGGCGTTATTATCGGCACACAAAACCCCGGCGATTCTGACGTTGCGTATATCAAGGGGGCCATGGAACAGGTTTTGGCTCGTTCGGACACTTATTTGACCAAGGATGGCCGTGAAGTTATTCTCGACGAGCCTCGCCGCAAGGTCATCCGTGAAGCAGCAGAGCGGATGGCAAGTGAGGGTCTCCGAGTCCTTGCTTTTGCCAGTGGTGCTGTTCGCAATCCCTCTCGAGGCATGAGAGGGTTTGGTAGTCGATCTAGTACTCCTAGCTCCAAATGCAGCAGCCCGGCTGATGATGATGACCGCTACAATGGATTGACTTTTGCCGGCCTTGTCGGTATGAACGACCCGCCTCGCAAGGATGTGCACAAGTCTATTCGTCGTCTGATGGCGGGCGGAGTCAGAGTCATCATGATCACTGGTGATGCTGAGACCACAGCCGTCGCCATTGCCAAGAAGCTTGGGATGCCAGTCAGCGATTCTGCAAACGCACGATCGGTCATACGTGGTGATGAGATTGATCATATGAGTACTGGTGAGCTTGCCCAGGCCATCGCAACCACCTCCATCTTTGCCCGTACAAGCCCGGACCACAAGATGAAGATTGTGCGTGCGCTTCAGTCTCGTGGAGATGTCGTCGCCATGACTGGCGATGGTGTCAATGACGCACCGGCTCTGAAGAAGGCCGACATTGGTATTTCAATGGGCAAACTTGGTACCGACGTTGCGAAGGAGGCCGCCGATATGATTTTGACCGATGACGACTTCTCAACCATTCTCCGGGCCATCGAGCAGGGCAAGGGTATCTTCTATAATATTCAAAACTTCATCACCTTCCAGCTCAGTACCAGCGTGGCTGCTCTCAGTCTTGTGCTGCTGAGCACTACTCTCGGGTTCAAAAATCCACTCAACGCCATGCAAATCTTGTGGATTAGTGAGTTTCCTGCCCCTATGCACATTTCTTTTGACCTGCTTGCTAACCCGATTTTCAGACATTCTGATGGATGGCCCACCTGCCCAGTCCCTTGGTGTTGAACCCGTTGATCCTTCGATCATGAACCGCCCCCCACGTCCCAAGCACGCCCGCGTTCTTACTCGCCCTCTCATCCAGCGAGTTCTTACCTCCGCCTTTGTCATCATGCTCGGCACACTCGCCATCTACATCCACGAGATGGGCGATGTGACCGACGGTCAACACATCGGCAAGCGCTCCAGGGTTGTCACCGCTCATGACACCACGATGACCTTCACCTGCTTCGTCCTCTTCGATATGTTCAACGCGCTGACCTGCCGCAGCGAAGGCAAGTCCGTCCTGCGCGGTGAGCTGCCCCTCTTCGGCAATAAAATGTTCAACTACGCCGTACTGGGTTCGCTAGCCGGTCAAGCCTGCGTTATTTACCTGCCCTTCCTCCAGCGCATTTTCCAGACCGAGGCGCTTGGCTTTGGATCACTATTCAAGTTGGTCTGCCTTGCCAGCTCGGTTTTCTGGGTTGACGAGGGGCGCAAGTACCTTGATGCACTCCGCCGCCGGCGCGGTCTGGGTGCTGGGTACAGTGTCAATGTATAATGTGTTTCCTTGGAGGTTTTTGATGGACACATTTTAGATGGAGTCCTGGTGGATGACTTGTAATTTGATTGGATTGATAATCCTTATACATAATAGAGCTTTTCTGTGTGCATTAAGCATTTTTGGTTGGGTACCTGCATTGTTGATTTGATACGTACATGAATGAATACACATGTTGCAAATGCGTGTCTTTCTCTTCATATATAGCCCTCTTACAGCATAGTGAAGAGACACTGGTCTAGCAGAAAGGAAGTAGAGCACAAGAATGTGTGATTGGCTAGACTGTCGCTAGAGGGGATGAAGGAGCGAACGGCAAGAAGACTTAAAAGAACCGAGAGTGGCTAGGCAAGTAGTCTCAAATCCATTCATGTTGAGCAATCAAAGTATGCCAGGTCTTTTATAAGAGGCTTGACCACATTTTCGAGAACGGCTGCTTGAAACTCGTCACTCTCTACCTGCATAGGCCTGGACTTTGCCCAGATCAAGCATTGGTGAACAACGTTGCCATATCTCGTCCCACTTTCGCGATGCACAGAGACCAAGTAGTGATCTGCTGTGCTCAGCAGTCCAGGCATTTTGCCCAACGTGGATTCTCGGCTGCTCTGTAATATAGACATAGGTCGACACAAGGAGAGCTCGATCAGAGCTAGTCCGAGCTGAAAAGGGGGCTCATTGCAGACCTGGGACGAACACAAGCATCCTTTAACCATTCTAGCATTGGCCAAGTTGCAAGTCAAGAATGGATAGCGAATAGCTTCAGCGAGGCTGGCAGCACCCTTGGATATTGAGAGATCACCAGAGCCCCAGTTCTGTGGGTGCCAGCTGCCCTGAAATTGAATCACGGTGTTCGCCAGCTTTGCCGCTAGATGAAGGCGATCTCTTCTTGAAAAGTCAATGCCGCCATCAACAGATGGAAGGAATGACATTATCGCGCGTGATCTCTCCGGGCCTTATCCCTCAAAAACAATCCCTGTACAACAGCTCATCATCTACAGTGCCGCCCGTTATTGCCTTCCATATCTAGACACAGATATGTACTCTTTCAAACCCCAATCACGTTATCTAAGAATCTTAATGTGGAATCACGTAAATTACGAGTTATGACTATACGTAGTACTGGTATCTGATTTTGTATCCCAGCTGTATTGGTACAAATCGCCAAAAGTATGGGTCACTAGAAGGCTCCATGCAAACGAAGTAACTAGCGACCGTTGGCAAGTTAGCAATCGGTCAACTCCCCTCTATCTCTCAGTTCCTTCACCGCAAACATAGTTCTGTATATGTTCGTGTAAGTGCAGACCTCGGTGGCCTGGATGACTTAAGGCTCCGTGTAGACCAACCGAACTGAGCGACTGTGGGTACTAGCTTCCCTCTTCTATCCTCCAGCTGCTTCACTCCAGACACAGGGTCTGACGCTGCCCTAGGAGCTTTACTAGGTCGAGTGTGTAGGCCGTCTGGCGAAAATCCCTTATAAATCCAGCGAAATTACGAGAATTTGATGAGACATAAAGAGAAGACCACGGGTAAAGCGCGATTTTTGATTCGGATATACAAAACTCCCTTAAGGCCGCAGTGTGATAACAATGCGTCGTGGCGTGCTCACATACATGAAGCATCGCCAGAGTCAACTTGAGACTTTCAATTATCCTAGCAACATCCAGCTTGCTCATTCGCACATGAAAGTATATACAGACTAGGCTTGAGTTCTCTCGGATTCTCGGCCACGATGTACGTACTGACTTCTTCCTGTTACATGACATGACGTCTTATACTACCATACCCAGCAACCTATAAGGCAGTGTCTCCTGTATGTACAGCGTAGATGTGAAACTGTTCATGTTGTGAAACTAACTACCCTATTAGCTTAGTGTTCGCAAGACCACGTGTGTCTACGAAATTGTACGAGCCTACTTGCTCATCCACATGTCCTTCAATCCCTTGCTTTGATCTTTATCCTAGCTGCGCGTTTCGTGTCTAGTTACACTAGAAAGGCATATTTACCAATCAAATCGTGCTACGGCAGCGATGCGTTGTCTCCAGGAGGTACATTTGCTGAATTTGGAGCGGGGTAGGCTGTCTCCTAGAGGTGTATTTATATACCTATCCAAGGCTGAATTTCGACCATATGCCTAGTTCTCAACTTAACTCCCTGACATCATTGGCATTCAAAAAATTCCCACGACTGGTACCAAGACTCAAAATGCCACGCAAGGGACGCAAAGCTAAGAAACTGTGGTCGCTCTACCCTAAGCTACATAACGATGTAGCACAGGTATTGGACGTGGAAGGGCTTCAAATGGATTTCTTAGCCGCCGATGACGAAGCAACCAAAATCGAGGACAGGGACACCAACGTTATGGGTCGATTTGTATGTCCAAACAGCGGATGTAAATCTAGCGGTTGGTCGAGCAAGAAAGTCGCGATTACTATTCGCATGTACCCTCAGCACCGATATAATGCACGAGTGTATCACCAACGATGCAGAAATTGCAAAGCAGTCGGCCGACTAGTCCTAGATACTGGAAGCTATGTGGAAAGAGTGACTTATTGGCTCCAAAAGTGGAATGGAATTGAGGTACAGCCGCCTGACTTCTCTGGCCAGAGCAGAGGGCCGCACGACAGTGAATTGTGTGAAGGGTGTAAAGTTGGTCATTGTTCCAACTCGAATCAAGATTTGGCCTTGGCGCTTGCAAGGTAAGCTAAGTACCAACGGTTCTTACACAGCAACTAATTATTCTAGCTTATCTATCTGAGCGGCGCCCCATAAGACATCATATTCTTGGCTCGCAGGCTATCCCGATCGAGTAAGCGAAGCTTAGAGATGAACACACAAATAACTGAAATGCAATCATATTGATCAGTAACTTTGTGTTCCTCATTCATTCTTAGTCTTGTGGTGCATGATGCTCAGCAAGAAACAGGGCTGATATGTTTAAGACAATTATTTTCTTTTCTCTCTAACTAAGTTATTCTTACGCTACCTTCGCAATTTGCTTTTTAGTAATTCCCTTCTTGCTGTATGTCATATAATGAATCGTATTACGCTACAGGGAATTGATGCTTCTAGCCTTCTTGTACTATAGTCACCAGGGAAAACTGCTTCCTCCCTCAGGACTGCTTTTTTCTTTACTCTGGACCCACTGCCAAGGCACTAGCGCCAAAAATCATTTCATAGATATCAACAGAATGAATTGTGGACTCATTAGGCTGCTCACACCTACCATGCCATGAGGCTCATTGACAATTCCGAGTATAATCAGCGTTGTCTAATATTTATTTGTTACATACTGAACCCACCAAAACCTAACATAAATGCTACATCGCGAACTCGATTCTTGTTTGGAGGTAACATCATAGATACCTGATACTTGATCAGTGCCCCCTTCTGCCTAAAACTTCACTCTACTATATGCACCTTTTCCCTCCAGCTCTTTTCTCATTACTCCAACTAATACGCTCACTATCACGAAATGATGGAGTAGAAGAGAGCGACCCTATTTATTCGATGGTGTCGCCGGAAGATTGCGGGGCTGAATGAACACAACTCATATTGCTTCTTCCTATATCATCTATGGAGATTTTCATCACTGCATAGCTTGAAAGTACATCATTGGTACGAGATATTCTCGCTTATCAGGGAAATAGGCAAGGACTAAACAATAGTTAGTCAACACCAGGTATAGATAAGTAATTAACTCGTGTAAACCCGCGAATGAAAAAAATGCTGCTCACATTTAGTGAATTTGTCTTCCACTCCACTAAGTTCAAGATCCGCAATCTGAATGGTGAAATCATCATCGTCGAACTTGTCTAGGTTCCGGGCGATCTTGAAATATAACCATAATCTTTCTACGGGGAATGTCATGAAGAAAATTTGCCGGGATAGTCGGACGTAACATTTCTCCTTATCAGTTAGACGCGAGTTCTTGAGGAACATGTCAATCCTGCATCTTAGCAGGACCATAAGACTGGCTTGATGGATATCGTTCCAAAAGGTCTTTCGACTTGCCTCTGTATTTCAAAATATGAATATGATGAATGTTGGATGAACATTGCTGTTGACATACCTGGCTTTAAAAGAGAATAGACTTGAGGAATAGGCGCTTCTTTTTCCTCGCTTTGCAACAGCGCAATTGCAAGTTTTGCAGCAGCAAATAACGACATGTGCATGTTCGGAGATATTATACGTGGCGAAAGATAATGGATTCTGCAAGTTGTAGAACCACCGAGATCACGCACAATCTTTTCCAGGGTCGTTAAATATAGACGACGCTCACTAAATAGACCGCCCAGAAAATTCTTTATACCAGGAGTGTCCTCTCTGAGATAACTCTCTATGCTGGTTTTGAGCGAGTTGTGTGAATGATAGACGATTGAAGTAGTCATATTCGCTTCCTCTAGGAGGAGATTGTTGATAGTCTTCAAGTGGCCCGACGAGATTTTGAAGCATGGAAAGCAAAATCTGTCGTTTACATCAAAACAGGTCGATGAATTAACACGTGATTGAACATATACGGTCTGGCAAATGCGAATGGGAAGGTGTTGCAGGATGGATCCGGCTTTGTCAGGATAGAGATGTTGAGATCGAACCGCAGATGTAACTTGATCCCGCCAGTTTCTCAATATAGGAGGCTCCTCACCCCCTGAATCGAGTAGATGACTCCGCAAGATAATCATAAGCCTGGGAGATAGAGGTGCAAAGTTGTGATATTCGTTGTATACATTGCACTCCATCTTTTGAGTCAGAGGGTTAAATGTTCCTGTTGATGGGCCTTCAAATATGCAGAACGCATTTTGGGTGAGTAGAAACTCATCACCTGAAGATAAGGGCTCACAAAACGCGATAAAGCTACCTGTGATATGCAGCTCCATCATCTTAGCATCGTCAGGATACACCCGAGTTTTCAGGGTTTTTGTCCAACTTTTTGCGGGATCCATTTCGAGATCTAAGAATTGTCTCAAGTTGTCAAACCACACTTCACGCGGTTTTTCAAAGTTTCGAGCCCGCATATAGTCCAACATTCTCATTCGGTCATCCGCTTGATAGCCGTCAATGTCGTCGTGGTCGTAGCGATCAAACATTCCCGAGTTTCGATATTTCATCAAAAAAAGGAACTTTCGTAAGTTATCAAGCTCGCTTCGTTTAAGTTCGAGAACCAATCCCCGAGAGAATTGCTTGAATGCTCGACTAATAATGTCACTCGCTTGATTTTCAAGTTTCGCAAGCTTTTTCTCGAGATGGTAAGGATTTTGGTCAAAACCGGGGTCTCGGTACATGTCAATAAGGGCAAATTCCGTTGACACGGGCCGCTGAGTTAGAATCGATCTCTCAAGGTCAACCTTATTTACTAGAAAGTCCCGACGCTTCCCGATAGACTTTTTCCTCCGACGGCTATCATCGCTAGAGGCAATAAGTGGTCCTGTTGGTGGTTGGTCTTTCGGTGCGAACTGTTTGAGTATAAATCGAGGAATAAAATGGTGTTTTTCATATCGCGGCTCCATCTTCTGTATCGTTTGGTCATTATGCCTGTGCAGCTAACAGGAGGATGGCACAGTTTAAATACTTTCACTTACCCGCCTTTTCAACAGTATCCCAACACTAGTCGGCCAATTTTAGGTGGTTCGTGGGACTTAGACCATCAAGCTAATTTTGCTCTCCATCTCACGGCGGTTATTCGTTGGATGAGAATGCGTGACACGGTGGCTATGCGAGTGTTAGCGCCTCTTGAAACGTGGCATTGCACTGTGGCAGTTTTCAATGGCAAGTAAACAAATGAACAAACACTGATATCCAATAGTTATAGTCGTTCTCGAAATCGGCTTGACTGGGCTCAGTAGACGCTAAGGCCTTGAGAAAAGAAAAGCAGACATCGGGGATGGGAGCAGATTTCGCTGGTGACTGTATAAGTGGGTTGGGTGACAACGGTTGTGAGATTAGGAAGACTGAGAACGAACGATCCTATGGCGGCTGTTGGGTTGGGACATGGTTTATTTTTAGATATGTAACGGTACATGACCATACTGCTCCATACTTTCATCATTGTTACTATACGATCCTAGAACAAATCCTTAATTACGGATTTATCTATATTAGGGTCAGCGTCTCCCATGACTAGGGGTTGAAAGAGTGTCTCTCTGTTTCCAGACATGGAAGGCAATAACGGGCAGCACTGTACCCCGCAGAGAAAGAGCCGCAGTCCACGTCAGAGGGCTCACCACAGCTGAAAGATATAAGAATGCAACAATTATTTGAATATGTCACCTTCTGTACAGTGTGTTACTTCTTGAATATCGAGAGAGTATTGAAAGATTCCTTCCTTTATTAGGATCCGCGATAGGAATGGACGACACCAAGCTCCTCCCGAAGGAGACTTCAGCATCCCAAAGGGCCTACTTCCAATTGAGCCGATCACACAGCACGCCATCATCAACACATATATTATGCACGGGCATCCCACTTTCTCGTCAACGACACTCTCTACGTCATGACTGCGAACGAGTTTCCTATAATGTTCCAGCTTCCGTTGAGTCACATTCTCTGCAAGACAAGCCACGTGAATCAGTCAACCCAGATATGCCTCCTGGGTCGATTTTTATCAAGTCAAGTCTTGTGTATTCCCCCCAGTATTATCAACTCTCGCACCGCTACAGACCAAAGATTGCACCATCCCTCTTCTACCCTATTCCCGCATGCAATTTCTTGCCTTCTCCTAGTGCAACAATTACACAATTCTGATGTTCTCCACTATCTCGAATGGGAAGAAGCTCGTTCGAGATGCCAAGACGAGCTTTGGCGTTTTCGTGACTGGTGTTCAAATACAGGTGTATACCAGAATGGCGATTTATCCTAAGATTATCGGCTTCGTGATTCGCCGCATCTCAGTGGGCAGGTCATGAGACAGCTGGAGCGACTTCGCTGTGTTCTCCGAGACTTTCGAAACACTCCGAAAAGGCTACGACTAGGTGACTCGCATACCAAGCCTGAGGACAAAGGGCTTGAAGATGAGATTCAAGAAATATATTCAGACATTCTGAATATAGTCAACGGGTTATTTGAGATTGCAATCACGATTCAGGAGCCAGTTCCTCACAACTTGTATTCCATGGACGAGAGAACGATTTCTTCCTGGCCAAACGAGAATCGAGCTTGGTACGTAAACATTTCCCCAAAGCCAAAGCAGAGATCACGGAACGCCTAAGTTCCGCTCTATCATGGCGTCGGACATTCTTAGCGGGCCGCGAGGAGAATTTCAAAGAACGAGCTCCTTGCCCTGCGGTGAGCGTCAAATATTCTGCAGCATGCAGCGCCATTTTGCGCTGGTTCGAGGATGTCGGCTCGGAGGTCATGGAAGTCGAGCTTGACACTGAACAGCCTACAACGTAATCTATCCATGAAACCGAAGCTGGAGGGTTTGTACTAGTCTATCCACCGAGTGAAGCCTTTGATGGAACTACATTCGAATGTCCCTTGTGCTTTTTCATGATAGATGCGACAGACCAGAAGTCCTGGATGCATCACCTTGCGCTCGATCTTATGCCTTACCTTTGCATTTTCGAGGATTGCAACAAAGCAGGTCGCCTCTATGGTGAGAGATGTGAATGGCTAACACATCTACACGATATCCATGGCTTTGGCCCAAAAAACCAATGTTGCCCATTATGCCTCGGGGTGTTTCGTCGCAATTTCGACATTCAATTACATCTCGCAGGACATTTGGAGCACCTCGCTATCATGTCTATACTTTCTTCCAAACTAAGTGGTGATACAGATCTACTCTGGACTCCTCATGATGCAAAACCTACTCAGACTGCCAAGTCTGATGGTGTTGAAAGCTCAGGACCCCATTCCCATCAGCATACTTCCGAATCACCACTCTCGGGTCCTGGCTACAGTCGCCATACTTTCGCATCGTTAGGTCGAGCTGGCCTCGCGCGTCATATCAAGTCAAGACACTTCCCGCCCGCCAATTTCCAGTGTGCGAATTGCGGCAAAAGATTCAATCAAAAAGACATTATGGAGTCTCACAAGCGTACTTGTCATTAGTCAACGGATTAATGCTAGAAATTGCATGGACAGCTTTTTGTTCGTGATTGCCCGTGTTCCAATTCATACAAGTCCAGAACCTTGGACCGTCGGGCCTATAATATATATATCCGTTATGTTCCAGTAAATACTTCATACAGCGATAGAGGAAGTTAGAAGGTATATAAAAGATACCTAGCTAAACGATTCTCGCCACTTAGACTCAGGCATTTGAAAGATTACTGCAAAAGGAACCGCTGGACCGATTTCAAGGGCCCCCACTTAGTCTGGCCAGGCCTGGAGATATCCGAATTCCGGAAGAACGGAGTCAGCGTCAGACTCCAGCACAGGATCACCGCTAGCGAAAGAGCTAGAAAGGACTCTAATGCACGTTTAAAATAGCGGATGATCCCGTTCAAGGGTGGATATAAGAGAATCAGACTAAGGACTGGGGGTGGGAACGAGGGAAAGGGGAGGATTTAATGACGTAGAGAGGGATTTGTTTGAAGCTGTAGTTCAGGCCCGTTGGGGAGGTGCTCAAGAATGGGAGTTTGAGTTATGGGATATTTACTCAGGGGTTGTTTTGTATATTATTAAGAGAGTTTTATTTGGTTGTCAGAGGGTTTACTCATAGATTCAAGGGCGTGGGTAGATTGGGGAGTTGGAATTTCTATGGGATGCTGGGAGATCTTGCGGGCTGATATTGCCCGGTATACCGAGGGTCGGGATCAGTCAGCAGGATGGTTTGTATGACTGGTCAGGCTGGATGAGATTCAACATTTTTTATTTTTTATTCTGCATTTAGTTGCAGATATATTAGGGAAAGGATGAATAAATCCTTTAAAAGGGGTTCTATTTATGTACTCCATCCTCCATTCTATTATGTGTACTCCGTAGTGACTCTAACAGATAAGGTGAGGCTATGATAAGGCCCGGACCCTCTTCCCAAGACAGCGGGCCCGGGGGGCCAGGCCCACGGGAACGGGATCGATGATTGTTGTTGTTTCGAACGAGAGTGATGATTTCATACTTGTTTAAGAGGGGAAGAAGGTGTAACTTTAGGTAGAATTTACATGTGATATATCAGTACCGTTAGTATTGAGATATATCATTATCCAAGAGTACACGGTCCAAGCTTCCACCATCTCCATCTCCTGCAAGTCAATTAAATGCCCGGGGAAAAAAAAGAAAAGAAAAGAAAATGAAATCATCGGTCGCCGTCAAAGAGTCCACCGAACTCGGCCCCTCCCCCCCCGAGACATCCCGAGCCGGAAGAAGTCGGGCAATTCGGTGGCGGCGAACTGCAGTCTTATCTGGAGCCAATCAGAATCCCTGGTTCGAGGCTGAGTCTATCTTCACGCTAGTCCAGATGTGGTTACTTCCATGTCCCCACTTGGCGGCCGGTGGCAAGTGTTTATCTGCAACCAATCAGAGCCCAATGATAGGGTCGACATTCGTCCAATTGCTGGCGGGGGATAGCGACCTCATTTTTTTCAACGTACTCCGTAGACGAAATAGGTTGACGGAATTGGATTTTCCAATTGGCGATAAGGAAGGAAAGAGTAAACCTAAACACTTCCTGTACAATGGTACAGGATACCCCCCCCCCCCGTATTTTCCGTACGGACAGTCATTCGTTCCTCCAAGCGAATGCCTCCGATAAGACCCTGTCCCTGGTTTTTCCCCGGCCACATTTCCACGGAGCATCGGAGATGTACAGTCAATTACAGGGGAGTAGTACTATGCGATAGAGATAGGCTTTCCCCCGTGGTAGCATTCATCTCGATCGTGATAGGAAGAATGGACAGTTAGATAGATGATGATGAAGAATCCGGGGAAAATAACGTGCAGCCTTCTAGCATATATAGAAGCGCCTTCTAGTCCTGCAGAACGGGGGGGAGACTAGAGGGGGGTAGTGAAGAGAGTATGATGACACCATGTTCTAAAGTACAGTGACTACTACTACTACTACTACTCTAGTAGTTTCAAACTCCAGGCTTGGCACTCTCCTCTTTTCCCTCCCCAGGACATTATTATTTTCCCCGGAGTTGGGTTTTTGCTTTGCATGAGTTGCCGAGCTCAGGGCCCGTTCTTCTATTTGCCGGTCACCGGAGAATCGATTTGGGGGGTGGTCGACATGTTAATTTGAACCTATTCGATTATATTCTCCCCTTTTACGAATGGGCCACTGCCCAAAACTGCGTTAGTATGTTTTAACGGTTCCAGCCCGTAAAAAAAGTGGGCGGAGCCAAGACTCAATTCGATCGGGAGCGGGACCCATGGACGAAGGCAAATTTTGACTTGACCCGTTGCCACCAGAGAGAGAGAGACTCGGAGACCCATTCCAGGATGATGATGATGATGGTGATGAGTAGGAGAAGAGAAGAAGAAGAAGATGATGATGATTTAAAATTTGTATAATTGTCAGGCTGATTAGATTCGAATAGAGAAGATATTTTCCATTTCCATGTTATGCGTGCATACTGTGGTGTGTCTGTATAGATCTTTATCCAAACCCCGTGATTGGGATGCTAATCGGGAATTATCCCATTGCTGCTGTCATCCGCTCACCTCATCAACTTTTCTTTTTTGACTGCTCTTTTTCCCCCTACCGCGCCTCCCCCAGTCAAATTCATTCTCGTCCAGCTATTCCTCGGAGATTCGTCTGATATGATTCGAAGCTAACCTCGCGTGGTGATATTTTATTACGACTCTTTTTTTGTTCTACTCTGTTATCGCCTGCCGAATTGCTTTTTTAGCTCGTGTCGCAGACTCCAGTCCGATTTCAGGCCCAAGTGGACCCTCGTCGAGACGGGGCGTGTCCAGTGTCGATCCGAACTTATCCCAACTCAACTCGCGCGTTTGGCACTAAACTTCACGGGGCTGAACGCCCTCCGCAAAAAAATACTCGCCCTTCCAGAATCTCCCGACCTTATAATATTCCATCCTGGGCCCCCTCGTGGCAACTCTTCCTTTTCACTGTCCCCCCTTCGCCTTCTCCACACCTCCGCTCCGATCATCGCTTGACTCTTTTGGATTTGGCTTTCTCCAATTCCATTCCTACTTCTCTTTCTCTCTCTCTCTCTTCCTCTCGACACTCCCACCCTTCAATCGACTTTTTACACATACTTCACACGCAATACAAATACACATACTTCTCGTGTTACGCTTGACGGCCTCGACAGCCCCCGAATTAGCAGGTTACACACCTCCCTCGATCAACCCCCGTCACACGAGCTCGCCCGAGCTCTCCCAGCGGCGCCCATCATGTCGTCGTTCAACGGGAAAGCCCCATATGCCCCCGACTATGCCTCCTACAACTGGATTGGCGCTCCCGCCAACTATGAGCTGACTACCAATGCTGACCTGGGCGGCGATTCCCGTACGTTGCTCTTGTCTCCCAATTCCATTCTTTCTCCCAGTGGCAAAACATCGCCAATTCTAGCAATCAAAGCCAGAAACACCGTTAAATTCAACATAACTCACCATGTCTTTCTTTGATACAGGCACCGAAAACTTGAACAAATGGTTCCAATCAGGCGACCAGGCCTACATTATCGTGGCGTCTGCCATGGTCCTAGTCATGATTCCAGGACTGGGCTTCTTGTACTCGGGCTTGGCCCGACGTAAGTCCGCTCTGAGCATGATCTGGGCTTGTATGGCTTCCATGTCCGTCATCACCTTCCAATGGTACTTCTGGGGTTATTCGCTCGCCTTCTCTACCTCGGCGACCAACGGTTTCATTGGCAACTTGCGCAACTTTGGTCTTATGAAGACTCTCGCCGATCCTAGCCCTGGATCACCACTGATTCCTGGCTTGCTCTTTGCATTCTACGAGGTAGGCTAAAAAGACCCCATCTTTGGCATTCGATTGAGCTTCAGAGAAGCATTGGTTACTGACGTAATGTCCTTTTCAGATGCAATTCTGTGCCGTTACTGCAGCTATCGTCATGGGCGCCGTCGCTGAGCGTGGTCGCCTCCTTCCCGCTATGGTCTTCACCTTCATCTGGGCGACAGTCGTCTACTGCCCTCTTGCCTGCTGGGCCTGGAACTCCAATGGCTGGGCCTTCAAGTACGGTGTCATGGACTACGCTGGTGGTGGCCCTGTCGAAATCGGTTCCGGTTTCACTGCACTCGCATACAGCATGGTTCTCGGTCGCCGCCAGGAGCGCATGATGCTCAACTTCCGCCCTCACAACGTCTCCCTGATCCTTCTCGGTACCGTCTTCCTCTGGTTCGGCTGGCTCGGCTTCAACGGTGGTTCGGCCTTTGGTGCCAACATCCGTGCCACCATGGCCTCTTGGAACACCAACCTGACTGCTGCATTCGGTGCTATTACCTGGGTGCTGCTTGACTGGCGTTTGGCTCGTAAGTGGTCCATGGTCGGCTGGTGTTCCGGCACCATCTCTGGACTCGTCGCTGCCACTCCCGCGTCTGGTTTCATCTCCCCCTGGGCTAGTGTAATTCTCGGAATTGTCACCGGCATCGTTTGCAATTACTCGACCAAGATCAAGTACTGGATTCGCATCGACGACAGCATGGATGTGTTAGCTGAGCACGGTATCGCCGGTATCATCGGTCTCCTTTTCAATGCCTTCTTCGGCGACGACGCCATCGTCGGCCTGGACGGTGTCAACACCGGCACCGGTGTTGGTGGCTGGGTCATCCACAACTGGAAGCAGCTGTACATTCAAATCGCCTATATCGTGGCAACCGCCGCCTACTCCTTCGTCATGTCCGCTATCATCGCCTACGGCATTAACGCCATTCCCGGCCTGAACCTGCGTGCCTCCGAAGAGGCTGAGCTCCTCGGTATGGACGATGACCAGCTCGGCGAGTTCGCCTACGACTACGTTGAGGTTCGCCGTGACTACCTCGCCTGGACCCCGCAGAAGCACGACCAGCTAGAGGACGGTCACGAGATTCCCGCCGCTGATCGGTACGGTATCGGTGAGCACTCGGAGATGATGCTGGAGGGACAGGCTCCGAACGGCGAGATCAGCCAAAGCTCCCGCGGTGGTAGTGAGGGAGACATGCACATTCAAGAATTGAAGATTGCACCTGCTCCCAGACAGGTCGCCGAGATGACGAGCCCGCACACCCATGCACCTCCTCCTACGGAAACGCCCGTTATCTTGAAACCTGTCGATGAAAAGTCTGATTAAGCATTGCGCTGCCATCTTGACTTTTTTTATCCCCTCCATATTCGACCCTTTGCATTAACATCCACCTTGACCTCCTCCTCATTCATCTCGCCCTTGATTTCTTCTTTCGCATTGTTCGATATCCCTCTGAGCGTGTTTCTTTTCTCGAAAGGCCTGGGGCTTTTCTTTTTCCTCCTTCAAACCTCCTTCTCCACATTACCACCTGTATAACCTAACCCAATCTACCTCCCATCTACATACCCTCCACCTCAACCCGATTCTACCAACAAACCAATCTCCACCTATCTACTATACCTCCTCCCTCAACCTCAATCCTACAAACCTGTTCTCTCCAGCAAAAGCAATTTGCTTCACGACTGGTTTGGCGTTCCTCTTTCCACATTTATCCGTTTATTCAAGCAACGTCTTTCTTTTCTGTTCGGGCGCCGACGGTGTGTATATATTCGGTTTTCTGCAGTTTAATTCTGACTTGAAGTTGGCTTTTTCTGGTTTTATGTCTGTGCGCCTGTTTGGCGGTGGGGATGTGATATCCTGTTATTTGCAGTATAGAGAATTGATATTAGACTATTTTTTTCTTTGGATTATTTTTTCTTTGTAAGATTTCTATTCTAGTCTTAAGGACTTAAGTATGCTTTGAGCCAGTCTCGGGTGGTATGGACCAATGGGAGGAGGGTGCTAGTAAACTTGAACCTCCAATTACCTTGGTATACACCGGAATCCTAGTCCAGCTTCTTCTTACTATACCAGGTATACATGATCACCTTGCAAACAAGGTGAGTCCTAATGAAACCGTTCAATCAACATCATCAGCCTGCCGTGGTGATTTACCCTCAAGGCATATGCGTCAAGCCCGAAGAGCACCCTCACACATACACAGAATGTAATTCTCATATACAAGACAAGTCTTCAATTCCCATATTTATGTATAAAGCAATGCAAACGCAACGCAATGCTCAAACAATCTCCAACCCTACCCAATTATCCCCTCCTCACCATCCCCCTAACTCTAACCCTCTCCTCCCGACTCAGCTTATCAACAACCTCCCCAGCCTCCCCCACCCCTCAAAACCTCATCCCACTCATCCTCATCCATCCCCATAACAAGCGTCATCTGCACACACCTCGCAAACGCCTCCCGATGTCTATACCGACCCGGCGCCCCCGCACCAGCCCCATACCCCACGTCCGCAGCCGCATTAACAATACCCGCGACATCGCGCTCTAACCGTGTCGCGCCCAGCGCGTTAATCCGGCCCTGGTACGACCAGAGACGCTTTTCAAGCAGCCGCGCGAAATAGGCTACCGTCACGGTGAGGAGGCGGTCGAAGGCGGGGGCGGTGAGGATGCGTGCTAGCGGGAGGAGGAGCTCTGTCCAGCCAGAGGCGAAGCGGGGGCGGACGAGTTCCTTGCTGCCGTCTGCGGGGTTGTAGTCGTCGTGTGGTGTTGGGTCTGAGGTGTCGGAGGGGTGATACTCGATGTCGCGGAAGACGTCAGCGAGGAGTGGGCGGAGACGGTGTTTTATCACGTTGTTGAAGACGACTTGGATACCGTCTGAGAGGAGGTCGGCGACCTTGGCTTCGAAGGACGTTGCTAGGGAGTGGAGGGTTTGGGTGACGCGGAGAGCGGAGGATGGTGCTGGGAAGAGGGTGCTTAGGTGCTCCGTTACCAGTGTTGATTGATCGGGTGTACTGTCCGTGGATGGGAGAGGTTGTTTAGAGCCCGTGTTGTTTTGCACAATTCGTCGGATATAGTCGACGCCGAGATCGAGGTTGTTGATTTGAACGAGGAAGGCGATGATGGTTTGTTCTGGGGGTTGGCCGCCTTGGACTGGTGCGCGTGGGTAGCACTCGTCTCGCATTTTGCGTTGTGTCATGCCGATAAAGTCGGAGCCCAGGACGCGGGAGAGCGTTGGGACGACGTTCGTGACGACGGCTTCTTGGGAGGTTGCGAGTGATTGTTGCAGTACTTTGTTGACAATATACATGATGTCGTCAACGGCCGAGGTGATATGAGGCGGGTCTGCCTTGAGTGGACGTTGAAGGTTCAATGTCAGACCGGACGGTGACTCGTCGAGTTGGAAGGCCTTTTCGACAGAGCGGCGGAAGAAGAAGGTTGTCATGGCATTGAATGGAGAGACGAGTTTGTCATTGACCTTGCGTGCCAGAGAAGACTCCTGCAGGAAACCAGGCAGTGCGAATCTTTGGTTATCATCTTGCTCGGTTTGATCGTCACCCGGGGCCTGAATGCTGTCAGTAAATTCCATGGGTATAAATCGCAGCCAATTACACTCACATTGCATGTATCCGCCAAGAATCGACAGTAGAGAGACCAGCGGCCCAGCATAATGGCCATCTCGTTCAAAATCCCGTCAATCTCCTTCATATCCACGCCTTCGTCCTCGGTCGGCGCAGCTACACCTGCAGCAGGCGGATGACCTGCCCTCTGTGCCGGGAGGAAGCTCTGCACCAAGAATGTAAATGCATAAGACTTGATATCCATCAGCTTGCGATCCACATGTCGTTCATCACTCCAGGTATCGAGGATGATGCCACCCTGCACATCCGCTTCAACCTGGAGTCGCTCAATAACTCGACCCATCTTCCGAGGACCATAGTGACGCTCCACCAGTCCACCATGCCCATCGATAATCTGGGCTATATGTTCAAAGAGCTTAGTCAATGCATTTGCATAGAAGAAGCCATCTTTAGCTTGAGATCCGTAATCGGCATTGAGATTGCTGCGTGCTCGCGCCGCCACGCCCTGACAGACGTAGCGACCATAGACATCCAGACCAACCTCGGAGCGGCCGATGAGTGGGAACAGCTTGAAGAAGCGTGTAATCTTCGCCCCGTCACTCTCCTTGACGGCCTTGTCGAATTCGCGGAGGAACAGTCCACACAGCGATTCCGCCGCATTGTCCAGAGTGACGCTTGGCGGGTCGGGCACCTCCGCAGTTGGGACCATTTCTGCAGCAAAGGCTCCATTGACAACTGACGCAGGAACCTGTGCCGCCCGGTGTAGATAGCTAGCAGCCGTCTCCCAATCCTGCGAAGCACCCATTGACCCTGCCACGCCCAATGCACACGCCTTGAGCTCAGCGACCTGCTCCACGACCTCCAATGTAGCCTTGACTCTCGCCTGCTCTAGATCCAGTCGTCGCACGGCGCTGGAGATGCGCTCGGCCGTACTTGCGGCTTCGGAGAGCATGCCATGGCTGATCGATCGGGTTGTGCTCGTTTGGGTTCCGATGTGCGCGCGCATCAAATCCAGTCGGCCCAGTTCCCGAGACAAATCCTTTTGCGACGTCACTAGGGCATCTAGTCTTGCTGTCACGGAGGCTTCTTGGCTGTGTAAACGGGATAGCGCGGCTTTGATCTCCGCCACGGAGCTGGCATTGAAGACATCGGTTCGCGGGGGGTCGATTGCGGGGCTCAATTGATCCGGTGATGTAGATGGCGATGGCGACAAAGCATGGCCATTTGCCTGGACAGGCGATTGTGAGACTGCCATCCTGGAACACAATGCGTGGCCTTGTGTTGTCGCGACCAGGAGGCTTGCGGAGTTGGTTCATTGATGCCAACTACGCCAGTTGGAGAACCGCCAGTGGGGGCGGTGAGGCTCGGGGCTTTTTTTTCGGAGCGGAGGGCTTGAAAGAGCAAGACAGGCGCATTTTTTTGATAGAAAGGATATTTGTTCCCCCAAAGAATTAATTCCCGTTCATTTGAGACTAGGCTGGCACATTTTTTCAATTGTTGGTGTCAGCCTGAATTGTTTTGGTCTGCCTTTAAATTGCCCGCTGATTCCAGCTCAACGTCATTTCCCCCCACGATCACTCTACTACTTCAACAACTCAATTCAGCTATTCGCGCTACCTTGAGTTTGGATTTCTGTACCTTGCACTTGTCGCAACAAATACCACTGGTGTGCCGTCAATATTGGACGCAGACGCAGACACTCGTCATCAAAATCATCCCCGGCGCTCTCGTGCGATGGGCAACGAAGAGTCGACCATGGTGGATGATTCCACCCGCCCCTCAGTGCTAGAGGGGCGCAATATGGAGGCAGTGGTCAAGTATATCAAGGAGCGTGATGTGAAACGCATCGTTGTTATGGTTTGTTCAATTCCCCCGGCTATCTATCCCAACATGAATTGCTGACTCGGGACACAGGTTGGAGCAGGCATCAGTACTTCAGCAGGCATCCCAGATTTCCGATCACCAGACACCGGACTCTACGCCAATTTAGCATTCCTAGACTTGGAAGAGCCAGAGGATGTTTTCGATATTGGTTTCTTCCGAGATAACCCCAAGCCATTCTACGCGCTGGCGCATGAGCTCTATCCCGGGCGCTATCGCCCCACCGTTGCCCATTCCTTCATCAAGCTGCTCTACGATAAGGGTCTACTGCTGAAGCACTTCACTCAGAATATCGACTGTCTCGAGCGCCAGGCCGGGTTACCTGGGGACATGATTGTCGAGGCCCATGGCAGCTTTGCGACACAGCGCTGCATTGAGTGCAAGACGCCGTATCCCGATGAGGAGATGCAAAAGAAGGTCCAGGACGGGGAGGTGCCACACTGCACCGTACCGCAATGTAATGGTCTCGTCAAGCCGGACATTGTCTTCTTTGGAGAGGCTTTGCCTCCGAGCTTCTTCGAGAGCCGCGATCTACCAGAACAGGCCGACCTGTGTATCGTGATGGGCACTAGTCTATCAGTACAGCCTTTCGCCAGTTTACCTGGATTTTGCAGACCGGGTGTTCCGCGAGTGCTGATCAACATGCAGCGAGTTGGGGGGCTTGGGTCCCGTCCGGACGATGTGCTCATCCTTGGAGACTGTGATGCAGGAGTGCGCAAGTTTGCAAAAGCCATGGGATGGGAAGAGGAACTTGAGGCTCTCTGGGAAGAGACGAATCCCGACCCCAAGGCGCGCGAAGCCGAGAACGAGCCGGTGCCATCTCGGGACGAGCGGCTCCGACAAGAAGTTGACCGGCTGGCGGAAGATGTCGAGCGCACATTAAACATGACGGATGCGTATCAGCAGCTTGTGCGGGAGAAATTGGGCGAGCCGAGCGAATCTACTGCGATAAAAGCGGACTCGAAAGAAGGAGAAGTGTCACAAGAAGGATTGAATCATGTGTTCCCGCACTTGGCGCGCAAATCGCGTTAGGCCGGCTAAACGGGGTGAGATAGATCACAGACAAGGCTGCAATGGATCATGGGACGGGGAAAGATCGAGACTAGAACGACTAGGATAGTATGATGGGACGATCAATGATCAATCCAACGAGGCTCACCGCTCAACGCCAAGCGCGGAGTGCTCTGGCCCTGTTGATTTCTGAGTTCAACGTCCATGGACTTAGAAAGAGCTAGCTAGGTTACTAGCTCCGTACTTGTAATGTCGATCGTGGAATCTGGATTGTGGATTGTGGATATTCTGGGTATTCTGGGTTTCTGGATTTCTGGATCCTAGACTTCCGAGGTCGCCGCGGGGATAATCCATGAATAAGCAAAACACCAAACAAACAACTAACTAGTTGGACTAATAAAATTGGACTGGAGCACGTTAAAAAGTAAAACAAAAATCTCACTAACCAATTAGTCACTTTGGGGGAAGAGTGACACGACAGCGAATTATTTAATTGACTTTGGGGGGTTTTGTCCACCGCAGCCAAATCCAGCAAGGCGATCCCTTTGCCCCACGTTCATATCGTCATTCCTCCCCTCTCCTCCTCCCTTCCTTTCTTTTCTCCCCTAAACCACCCTGTACACTCTCATATCTACACATTCATCATGGTCGGAATTGGTCCTAAGCAGCCTCCGTCCCGCAAGGGTAAGCTTCATTCAGCTTCCAACAGCTTCATCCTCATGCTAATCGTACCTATCCCCACCTAGGCTCGAGGCACGAACTGCCGCAGAATCTGCTGCAGCCCATCAAGGATTTCGAGGACCAGTTCACTGTGGACCGCGCGAAGCTCAAGCAGATCGTAGCTCACTTTGTGAAGGAGCTGGAGAAGGGTAGGTCATCCTACGGTGGAATCCAGTCATACCATATTAGCCCGGCACTAACAGCTCCTAAACAATAGGTCTGACCGTCGAGGGCGGCAACATTGTGAGAATCTACGACCGCAGATAATCTTTACGAACATGAACCACTAACGGATCTTTTAATAGCCCATGAATGTTACCTGGGTTATGGGCTTCCCCGACGGCGAGGAGCAGGGTACCTTCCTGGCCCTCGACATGGGCGGCACCAACCTGCGTGTTTGCGAGATTACTTTGACCGACCAGAAGGGTGCCTTCGATATCACCCAGTCTAAATACAGGATGCCCGAGGAGTTGAAGACTGGTACCGCCGAGGAGCTCTGGGAATACATTGCGGATTGTCTGCAACAATTCATCGAGTTCCACCACGAGAACGAGAACCTGGCCAAGATGCCTCTGGGCTTCACCTTCTCCTATCCCGCCACTCAAGAATACATTGACCACGGTATTCTGCAACGCTGGACCAAGGGTTTCGATATTGATGGTGTCGAGGGCCAGGACGTCGTTCCTCCTCTCGAGGCCATCCTCAAGAAGCGGGTAAGTGACGGTCTAACTATAACTACCCTTTGGAATTGGTTTCCTGGAAACAGAACGTATCGTCTAATTATCACCCATGATCTAGGGTCTGCCTATTAAAGTTGCTGCCCTGATTAACGACACTACCGGTACCCTTATTGCCTCTTCCTACACCGACTCGGAGATGAAGATTGGTTGCATCTTCGGCACCGGTGTGAACGCCGCCTACATGGAAAATGCAGGCTCCGTGCCCAAGATTGCGCACATGAACCTCCCCCCGACACTCCCATCGCCATCAACTGCGAGTACGGTGCCTTCGACAACGAGCGCGTCGTCCTCCCCCTCACCAAGTACGACGAGATCATTGACCGTGACTCACCTCGTCCCGGCCAGCAGGCTTTCGAAAAGATGACCGCCGGTCTGTACCTGGGCGAGATCTTCCGTCTGGCCCTCCTGGACATCATCGATAACAAGCCCAACCTCATCTTCAACGGCCAGGACGTTTCCAAGCTCCGCAAGCCCTACCTGCTGGATGCTTCCTTCCTCGCCGCTATCGAAGAGGATCCCTATGAGAACCTCTCCGAGACCGTCGAGCTCTTCGAGCGCCAGCTTAACATTCGCCCCACCCAGCCCGAGCTGGAGATGGTCCGCCGTCTGGCCGAGCTGATCGGCACCCGCGCCGCTCGCCTGTCCGCCTGCGGTGTCGCCGCAATCTGCACCAAGAAGAACATCCAGTCCTGCCACGTCGGCGCTGACGGATCCGTCTTCACCAAGTACCCTCACTTCAAGGCCCGCGGTGCTCTGGCCCTCCGCGAGATCCTGGACTGGGCTCCCACCGAGAAGGACAAGGTCTCCATCCTGGCCGCTGAGGACGGTTCAGGTGTCGGTGCCGCATTGATTGCGGCTTTGACTCTGAAGCGCGTCAAGGAGGGTAACATGGCTGGTATCCGTAACATGGATGACATGAAGACCCTCCTGTGAGGATGCACCGTGTTTTCTCGGTAATTCTCCCATTGGGTTGTGAATATGACAAATAAAGGGCAAAATCTAAAGATAGGATAAAATGAATGAAGATTAATGAAACATATCTGCAATGGCAGCGCTGATTTTGATGTATTCCTGGCTTGTATGAGTCCCATTGCTCCTGGCAGCCCCCTTTCATTCTACTGCTCACCTCCTCGCTACTTTTACTCACTGAATAGAATTCAGCATGCTGTCTGATAAAGTGGATCTGAGCTGCTCAGTGATCATCACGTAATCGACTTGATTCACTGCCCGAGCCTGATCTAACCTTAGTATCCTGGTTTGCTCAGTCACCAGTAAGCCTCGCACAAGTCCACGACTACTTTGATCTGATCACTGACCGTGACCTAAGAATTTTGAATCCCTTACTAATCCCCTCCAGCAAGAGGCGATCTAAGTCAGTAGGCGTAATGAAACACAACACGCTTAATATAACTGATCCCTTCCAGTGAACATCTCCAATCCTACTAACAAAGAGTGGGCCTCGTAAATTTACCACTTCTTTTAAAATTTTCCTATTGTAAGCGGATATATTTGCCGACTATCATACAATTGGACAGTTACACTTGTCGTAGGTTTAATGCTCCTCGGCGTATTTGAAAAAGCAATCGATATTCATAGACCAGATCTACCTTCCTTTACATACAGGTACCATAAAGGCATCTCTTATCTTCTGTCATGCCCAGCACGAGCGTCCAGGCGCTGTCTAAGAAAGGCGGCTTGGAGGTACATCAACCGCGCCATGCCCCAAATCTTCACCAATAACCTGGCCACCAACACATAGCTCTTTCGAATCATGTAGAACAAAAACCATTCTAGCCCAGTCCGTCTTACTCGAGTTCCTCCACGCATGCATCGTCCCACGCTGGATCGCAATATCCCCACGTTGGAGCGTATACTCTTCTCCCGAATCAAGGATCATATCGATACACCCTTCAATCACGATTCCGTAGTCCAGGCTTTGTGTGCGGTGCATCAATGGTTGCTTGGTGTCGGGGGCAAAGTCGACAAATCTGCAGACCGTTCCTCCGGGATTGACGAGTCCGAGCTTGCCGGAAGACATGAGGTGTTCGTGGGACTTCAGGTCTTGATCGTCGTTCATGTCTGGTGGAAAGCTTGAGATCGTGTATGGGACGTTGAATCGAATTGCGTCATCTTTTCTTTTATCCACCGAGGATGGTTTTGCTTGGATCACGATGGCTTTTCCAGTGATTGGGTCATGGGAGGTAATGTAGCGTTGGATAGGGCGTAATTCGCCGTTCAAACTCATGTTGGTATTGATAGCGTGCGGTGGGTGCCAAGTGCGGTCGTAATACTGTTGAGGATTTAAAGAAAAGGGCCAAATAGGAGGTGAGTAGAAGATCCGTCTTCCAGGCTCCGCTGATTTAATTGTCAAGATACTGATCGATGGGCCAAATGACGTGACTATATACGCGTATCGTAAAACTGACTGAAGGCTGGCCGGGGTATTCTTGCCGAACTAATAGCTAGACAACTATCTACTCTGTAGATTTCAATTCGGAGTAGTCGAAAGTTAATACAGACCCCGCATAGTCCTGACTCGGGATCGGTAAATTGGGGTCGAATTTCCCGATAACCATTTCCCAACATCGTTTCCTGACGTCACGAGAGCAAAGGTCGCTCCGTCTTCATGAGAAAGCTCTTCGGGATTTTAGATTTTTATTATTTCGAGGTCTCATACCACACTGGGGCTTTACGGTCTGATTAATTATCAAGATCAACTGCCCCCGATGTCAGGTCGGCCACGAACAGCATGCCGCCGATGCAACACCCACAAGGTAAGAAAGCGCAGCAGGCAAGCAAGCCATGGGTGGCATAAGCTAACGTTTCTCTTAGGTGCGATGCTCAGGCCACCATCCTGTTTGCCATCGGTGCCAACGAGCAGGCCGTCCTTGTATCTATGATCCATCTCATACCGGTCTTCGGTCTCTCAACTCGGGCGCTACTTGCCAACCGGCACCGGCACCGCGACCGGGGCCTTTCTCCCCTCAGATCGCCGAACCTAGGGTGTTATCATACGGCATTCCAGTGAAGCTGATGTATGAACTAGTCAATATTTATTTCTCGCACATGATCAACGCGACTTTATTGTTACATCGACCTACCTTCTTGCACCAGCTATCGCTGAACTCCGTTCGGGAGCATATTATCTTAAGTATATGCGCGATCGCATCCAAGTAGGACCTCATATCTCTATTTTGCTGTTTCATATCATCACTAGATGGTAACTGAGCTGTGGTCTTTAGGTTCCATCGTGACGAAAGTGGAAAATGTCCTCTGCGCGAACAAGGATTTACATATGAATGGGCGGCAAAAGCTGGGCGACTCGTTTTCGAAGAAGTCCACGACCCCCGAGATGAGAACGTGGTTACCTTCATCAACCTTGCCCTTTTCTGGTATGGCGAAGGGCAGTGGAGGAAAAGCGCCGTTTACCAAAGTATGTCCTCGTAAAGTAGTTTGTGACAAATATTGACTATCTTTTCTTGTATATAGCCAACGGATTACTCATTACTCGCCTATCAGGAGTACCCTCTGTGCGAGGGGAAAATTCCGACCTCATCAGCTCTGAATTGCAATGTCGCAGGCTCTGGGCATGTTTCGTCATTGTAGCATTTGGCCCCGATATCCACTTGAAACGAGATTTTGCCGAATCTGCGAGAGAACTAAATCTTCCATGTGCGGAGGAGGATTTTGAACAAAATAACGTGAAGACCGGAGTGGCATTAATGAGTAGTCTTCACGATGGAAGTGTGCAGGGGGAGTGTATCAGGGTAATAGCTTTCTGGTAATTCGCACCATAGGGTCAATGAAAAGCTGTGACTGATATTCGGAGAACAGGAACAGAGTGTCTTTACTAGTTCAAAGCCCGTGTTCCAACTTCCCTTCTCGCCTAGCTGCAATCCACGAGCTTGGCTCCGAAATCTCGACCTGGCGTGCTGAACTTCCAGCGTCGCTAGAGCTGAGCAATGCGCGAACTCCTCCCCAGGATCAAAATAACCTCCCACTGATCTTCTTGGTTCACATTATCTATCATCAGTCCCTCTGCTCGCTGCATGCATCTATTGTGCCCCTCTTCTGCTGGCACTCGGGAACTGAACAATACCCGACAGCACGTCAAATATCAGCACAAATTGCGTTCCAACATGCCTGCTCCATTTCAGAACTAGCTAATAGGATTCTGAGTCCTGCATATGAACTCTCACGGACGCCTAGCTTTGTTGGCTATGCATGCTATTGCGCATGTGCCGTTCAGATTCCCTTTTTGACTAGCAGCAATTCGAGTCTAAAGGAAAAAATGCGCCAGAATATTGTCACAAATCTCAAACTCCTCAGAGAGGTGGGGAAATATTGGAGATTTATCTCACTCCTTGTATGCCCTATCTTCTAAAGCAAGGCAGTTAGATCACTAACATAGGGTCTAGGGTGTCAATATCCAAACTATTTACGATATCCATCGCAGTCGTCCCTGCATTGCTGAGGATGAGCCCAAAAATCTGGACGCTCAAAAGCTTAACGACTTCAAAATGGATGCCCCACGGATAACATCATCGATTCTTAACCACAACAACATCCTCCGCGGACCTACTGGCTCAATTGTGCAGAGCGATGCAGATGTGGCCAATCTTGGGCTTGGCACTACCAGAGACCGGCAGGCAGTTCCAATTGAAGGTTAGAATTCTTTTCTCTCGGAATAAATATACACGACTGATATGTTGCAGAAACAGTAGAGGCGTTGATTAGAGGACTATCGCGGCCACAGGAACAGAATACAAACACTCAGAATGTTTCAACTGAGGATCAAGTTCAGCCAACCTTCACGTCCCAGGACTTTCCCTCGCAACTCCATCTCGAGACTATCAATGGAGGGCCTTTTTTCTTCCCCTGCTCTGGAGACTTCATGTTTGGCGATTTTGAGAACGATAATTTTTACCAGTCTCAGGTTTAAGCGACGTGGAAAAACTACTGATTTTGGAGGGAAAAGGTGTTTGCATGTGTCTGGATTTCTGAGGACAGTACGTAACGATGGGTTCTTGTCCTTAGATTCTTGTACCTTGATCTTGCGTGACTTCTTTTTCTGACACAGAATCTATGAGAGACAAAATGCGTTAAATCGGGCAGCTGAATTCAATATTACATACTTCCCTGCCCAATCGAGGTTACCACTATACTGGAACATAGATTCTTCCGCAATACGACCTGGCCTTTACCGAGGCCGGTTTCTTATGTTTTTTTCGAGATTTTTCAAAAACTCTAGTTTCTCTGAACAAGTTATTACGAGGCTTGGAGAATACACACGTTTCTGCCAAGATATTCGGATAATCGGAATCGGGAAAGCTGTGGAGAATCGGCAAATATGTGGGGACCAGGTAAACCTGCGGGGAATCGCATCACGAATAATTACCACGCAATGACAAAGCTTTGACGCAAATGATGGGTCTCAGAATGAAATTAGACGGGTGATGTTTTTCTCCTCTGTTCAATGGAAATTTCCATATCGTGAGGGTCGATATTATTGCCGGCTATGGTCTGGTCCGCATGCGGAACTACTTTACCGACTCCACGAGAATATGGTTTTTTGCTAGCCTTTAGCAATACAAGAGCCTCGACATATGGACATACATACTATTACAAATTTGCCTCGATTTTTGGTCATCTAGTGACCCGAGAATTATTCAGCACCCCATACATTGAAACTATTCATTGGTTTGGTCAATCTCATTCATTATAAAGGTTTTTCACGGTATCACTATCGTTTTGCAATCAATTCAACACAATATTCAAAATGGCTTCCAACGCTCCCGGAAATTGCTGTGCGACTGGATTCAAACATGAAGGGAATCCTGCAGGTGAACTCGTAAACATTCGAGGCGGTTAGTAATCGCGACCTCCCCATGCGCAGAAGGGGTAGAATAACGAAATTTTAGTGCAAAACTACATCGCTCGTCCGGCTGATCAGAGAAGTCCCGAGAAAGTTGTTATTATCCTTAGTGATATCTTTGGAGTCTCTTTCATCAACAATCAACTTCTAGCGGATGACTTCGCTGCTCGCGGGTACTTGGCCATTGTACCAGATCTTTTCAAAGGTGATCCAATCCGGTTTGGCGACATCGAGGACATCAAGGTCCAACTTCCTTCTTGGTTTCCTAACCACCAGCCAATTCATGTTGATCCTATTGTAGAATCAACCATCCAGTATGTGAGAGATGACCTAGGTGCCACCAGGGTTGCCGCTGCTGGTTATTGCTTTGGTGCAAAGGTAAGTATCGAGTGATTCATCCCATACATGCATTTTGCTTACATCTCATGTAGTATGTCTGTCGTTACTTAAAAGATGGAGGCTTTGATGTGGGATATCTTGCCCACCCTTCTCATGTCTCGCATGAAGAGCTTGCTCCAATTTCTGGACCTCTTTCTATTGCGGCTTCTGGTAATAAAACTTTCCTCGAGGCACACTAACGGGGCTTAATATTTTTTCCACTCACTAACACTTCACGTCTGCAGAAATCGACGAGATCTTCACGACTCAGCTCCGACATGAATCTGAGGATATCTTGATCAAGAATGGCCAACCTTGGCAGATCAATCTATATGGGGGTGTGACGCATGGGTTTGCTGTCCGTACAGACCTGAGCAACATGTCCTGGAAGTTTGCTAAGGAGCAAGCCTTCGTTCAGGCAGTTGATTGGTTCAATCATTACCTCTATGTAAACGAGGGGAAGAGCTTCTTCTTTTCTTGACAGAATTGCATGCTGTTTTTTCATACCTTATTTCTACGATTATCATTATTGTTTAAGCTACCATGTACCAAAAGTATGCAGCACTCCCTGATTCACCGTTGAGATAGATGTACAGGGAAATAGCACTTTGACACAACCTGGGCAAAAGTCGTCCCATCTGCCTGCACGAGGACCGCAATTCTCCAGCATTTTTTGTGAGCCTCTTCTCTTCCAGCATAATTCCTCTTCGCAATATTTACTTTCATGTAGAAGCGGCCATTTACGGTGGCCCCAGCTTAGTGTGACCCAACAGATATCCAGCATAGTTCTGTTTATGAATTCAGTACATACCCTAGAACTATCAGCAACATCATGAATATAGGACACTCTTAAAGCGGTACCACTCGTTTCAGAAATTCCAGCTGACCCTTTAAGTTTCTCTCATACCCCACGCCACCCCGGTAAACATCGAAATGGCCGCCCTCCACCTCCAGGAGCTCCCCTTGCTTTGATACCTTGGCCACTTGTTTAGCAACCTCCTTAGGTGCAACTGAATCATGTTTTGGAACAACTATCAGGTACGGAGCAACAATAAGATGGGCCGCAGTTGCGGGTCGACTGATTGGGAAAGATAGCAAAGAACGGGCAGCAATCTTGTTGTAGAAGGGGTCGACTCCCTCGTTGTCGCCAATGTACTTGTGGAGAAGTTCCCAGCCTTCAACAACGTCTTGCCCTGCCATAAGAGAGAGATTTCGTCCATTTCGCGTATCGGCTGCCTGTAGGTAGATAGGGTTTGCGCCGAACAATGAACCAATCCCATCACAAACGGCCCAAAATGTCAATCGAAGGGTCGACAAGAAGGGTTTCATTCGCGAGGCCAGCGCCGCGTCAACGCATGGACACTGGGCAATTCCCGCTACAATGTTTGGGTCCTCCGACAAGAGCCGTGTGACATGCATGCCCGCGAAGCTCGTGCCCCAAATGACTATGCGCGAAGAGTCAAAACGGGGATCTTGGCGAGCCCAAGAGACGACATTTCGAAAATCACGGTACTGATTCCAGACGATGACCACATGTCGCGGTGTGCCTTCGCTGCCACCAAAGGTAAGATAGTCAAAGGCAATGGCGGCATATCCTTCGTCGCAGAAGGCTTGAGCGAATGCTTGTAAGCCAGCAGCTTTCACTGCACCCACACCGCATCCTAAGATTACCACGGGAAGTATTTGTCGCGTTTGTTTTGGGATATAGACGTATGCTTCAATTCGACCCACAGAGGTGGGAATGAAAATTGTTTCGCGAGGCATAGTGAGAGGACTGGAAGGGGTTGATTTCCCGTGCAGAGCGTGTCACGGAGTGTTGGATTCTAAAGGCAGGGGGAGTCATTGTAATTATCAAAGACTTTAAGGGTGGCACATGAGGTCTTCTTCATATTTAGATATTGCCTCGGTAAAGAATTTATTATCAGTCTTCTGAGTGACAGCCATGAGCAAGCACGGCATGAGTCTAGGAGATAGCTTCTGAGGTTCGGGAAATCATCGGGAAATACCTTCAGCCTTTTCTACCACTGTTCTACCTTCAAGATAAAAACGTAACGCCAACTATTTGGTACACGCCAGAAAGAGTGACTATTTCTTTTTTTTAACTTGGACCAAAACCCATTCTGCACCCTGTTCATTTCCGAGCATATCGCCGTCATGTTGTTCGAAGCTCTTGTGACCCTCCTGGCAACCACAAGATCTACTAGCCTCGTTGCACAATGGACCGGTGTGCGAAAATTTCTTCCCCTACTTTCTGTGAAACGATTCAATGCCGTCGCTGGCTTCGGTGAGGAGCTTCTCTCTCGACAGATGGATGGTTGCAAGTCGTTCGAGGATACATACTGGGCGAATTATTGGACCAAATTTGCGACAGAGCAGTTGGAGTGCTTCAAGGAAGAGCTAAATAAAGCCGGTCTGCAATTCAATCAGGCCTGGCTAGACGAGAATGCACCCCTGGCGCCATCCCCAGAAGTCTTATTATTCCTCGGCAAAGGGGCCTCCCTTATCACGCAGACGCCACCGGGTATGACAGTCAATGTGGGGAGGATGAGTGCAGTGGTCGCAGCTGAAGACCAGGGCAGCTTTGCCGCTGTGGAAGCGTTACTCAAAAGTGTTGGTTACTTCTTCATTGCAGCATGGCCTGGTCAAACGCCGATGCGCGACCGAGCATACCGCACATGCGAGAGACTCTTCGACATCCTCCTCGACGCCACTGCACCGACAATCGATGTGATAGTGGAGCGACATACAGTCCAGACAAACGGCGAAGATGTCAAGTTGTATGCACTTTTACCAGCACCAAAATCAGGCGTCACTGCTGTGAAGCTCCCGGGAATTCTAATCTCGAATGGCCTTGAGGGCACCAACGTTGAGACTTTGAGCAGTGCGCTAAGGTCCCAATCTTCTATATCGAGCTGTTTTTTCTTCATGGAGATGCCCGGCACGTATGCCTACAAGAAGCCTATGCGTAAGGCTACGTCTGAGAGCATTTACTCAGATGTTTTTACCTACTTGCAATCGCACCCTTCTGTAGATGCGTCACGGCTCGGGATGATCGGCATTAGCTTCGGTGGCAACTGTGCCACACGAATGGCCATCGCAGATAAGCGCATCAAAGCTGTTGTTGCGAGCGGAGCTCCGTTGGGTCGGTCACTGAAACCGACAGCTTCATTTGGCATGCCCGAAATAGTTGTGACAGCATTCCACCAGGTCCTCGGGGCAAATAGTGTTCGTGACCTTAAAGCCGCTCTCCAGGACTTATCGCCAAAGAGACGCGACATCGAGGGTATTCATTGTCCAGTCCTTGCCATCAACGGTGACAATGACACGCTTGTCTCAACTCAAGATACTGTCGACCTTGCTGCTTGGGCGCCGCATTCGGAGTTGTACATCTACCCGAATGATGATCACTGTGCGATGGGGCATCTTCACAAATGGCTTGATCTATCCCGAACGTGGATACAGGATAAACTGGAGGGTTGATCCACGCATGATCTCGCCGGGGAATCAGTATTACCTACAATGCTTTGCTTCCTCTTCTGGGAACTGTATTGACAATTAATCGGTTGGGTCAGTCAGCTATACAAGTAGTGTGTTAAATCAGTGTCACGTTCTGCCTTTTTTGTTTTCCATCCTTGCGTAATTATCAAAATTGTGCCGATGTTGTTTAGGTTTTTGTTTTCTTAATACAATGGCGTGCGAACTCCAAGTGCAAGGAAGCAGGAAACAGCGCAAGCAGGGGAAAACCTTCGTTCGACTAACTGGAAGCAGAAGGGGAGAAGGACTCTAGGAGATGTCTATATAAGTCTAGCAAAAACAAACGGAAGGCCTGAAAAGACCAGCAGGGAATTTCTGGAAGGATATTTCCACACCCGAGGGGGAAAACTCCGTCAACTTCTTTCGAAATATCCCCTATTGCTTTTCTCTCGCAACAATGATTCCCCTTTCATAAAGCCCAGTTATCAAGCTCAGCCCGTACTCGTTATCCCTTACAGCCGTTGAACTGGATCCAAATTCACCGGCGGTTTGATAGAGAGTTCTAATCCCTTCTTCCGGCCCCCACTCCATAGTCCAACTCGGAACTTTCATGGCATCGCACACACTTGAATCTATTGGCTGGTCCTTCAAGCATTTTGTCCGTCTTTTCACCATTCCCTCTAGGCTTGGTGGATGAGGATGCCCACTGATTAGCAGCTTCCCCTTCTGGTCCGCTGATACGTTGTCCGGCATGAAAGGAACCTTGATCGTTTCGGCTAAGACAAGTGTTTTGTCCGAGCTGATGTTATAGAGTCTCACATGAGCAGAGCTTGTTGCTGCCACCGCAAGTGTTGATTCATTCAAGAGCGCGATGCCATTAGGATATGGGACCCTGGAGACGACTTTGCCAGATACAGACGAGTCATCCAAGCGCATGTGAACGATATTCCCCAATGGAAGGCCACCGTAGGTCTCGATTTTAGCCAAGATGGGATTCTTCTGTACCTTGAAGAAATGATCGTTGCTGACAAAGAACTCTTGGGCATTGATGGCACTGATTGAATTTGGCGTTGTAATCAGCGGATGAATGATCGTTCGCAAATGCCGAGCCACTGGCTGGTTGGAAATAATATCGAGAGTGAAAACCTCGAGTCGGGGCCCGTCAAAGTGATGGTTTGCAACTATGAGAGTCGATCCTGACTCATGATATTCGATTCCAAGCGGATGAAACTTGGACTCTTCGGGAAAATCCGAGAACTTGATCTGAAAGAGGCCGTGTGTGTTGGGATACGTGTGCTCGTTGTAGCGATATAGGTAGAGAGCCCCAGCAGGAACTGCAGACTTGTTTTCTGTAGAGGTTCCCATAACTGTGTTCCAATAATCGCGGCCTCGGTCACAGCTCAAGAGTGCGGCACCTTTCCCTTCGATTATGGTTGCATCTTCGCAGTTCTTAAGTTCATGCTGGTATTTGATTTCGTACTCGGAGAAAGCGTGTACCTCCGAAAGGCGAGAGGGATGGTTTGCGCCGATGACCGAGAAAGTCCATAACCGACTTGCTATATATGGCTGGCTTACTGCGAGGAGAATTGCCACCTTGATTCAGAACTCCCGTTAGCCAATTATCCATTTCGAGCCTAGGAGCTGTTCTGCTTCGTAAAGATCCTGAGAACTTCCTACCGCCAAAGTCTTCAAGAAGAAGCGACGTCCTCCAAAAGTGAAGTATGCCATATCTTAGACCCTTCTTTAGTATTTCTTTCTCAATTTAAGGCCTATGAGAAGCCGTGGGTGGAAATATTCCTAGCTGTAAACAAAGATTCTGTTAGACAAATATTTGTATTTCGTACTGAACTGGCTTACAACGGTTGCCTCGGCTCAGACAAACAACACCATCTGATTCCCCGATGGATTATTCTCCAATTTGTGTAGGGTGGTCGATGGTCGGAAAATGCTCTGCTGAGTGCTGGCAGGGTTTTCTTTTAATTTTTGCCGAAGTTGCGTTCTCAACGATTATCACCCACCGCCCCCAAACCGGCCCCATTTGAAAGCCAAGTAACTAACTAGTTAGTTACATACTGTAGCTGACATCGACATTCGAATGGCCCACATCGACATTTGAGTGGGTCGCGCTAAGCCCATTTTCCGGTGATTAGTTTTCAGCTGTTCCAAATCGAGTAATTGCACTTTTACGACATATTTATCAGGATATTTTTATGTTTTAAAGGAAGTTGTATGTACGTTTGGACCTCGGCCGGAATCCGAAAGTTAGATTGGAAAGAACGACTATTCTTGGGGTACAACTGGGAGTAGAAGCCGTGAGCTTGTATTTCCTCCCGTGTAGATTGTTGTTTTCCCACCGAAGACTTCGATCGGTCGATCTTCTGAATGGGTGTGCAGCCAAGGACCGGACCCGCGAAGCCATCGTGGCGCAGAGTGGAGACTAGAAACGTCTCGCTCAAAGTCTTTGCCACTTATCTGTAGAGACAAGCGAAACCCGGCCGGGAGAATCACGCTTGTTGGCCATATCTCGATATCCAGCTCGCATATTTCTCCTGGCTGAAGAGGCAAGAGTTCTTTATGTGTATGATACGGCCGGTATGGAAGACTCCGCTCTGCATCCAAGGCTCGATGGGAGGCTCGGAGCCAGCCTTGGGCCAATGGTGTACGAGGGTCAACCGTGCCACGAAAGTCAACTTCTCGTCCCTCGGGGGAAAATGCTTGTAGGGTGACGAACAAATCCATGTCGACTGTCGAGGAAGAAGCAAATATCTTCGCTGCCAGGGGGCCCGTTATTTCCGTTTCCTTTTCGAGAGGCGCCGAGACAAAGTTGAGAGGTGTACCAAGTGCATCGAACGAGCTCGAGGCAGTAGACTCCGGTGCATCCCAGGAAAGACCTTCGTCACTCTGGGTGGCCACGAGAAAAATATCGGTCCATTGAGTTCGAGGGAGCGGCCAGGCTTCTTCTTTTCGCAATTCAAAACGATCCTCCTCAAAGGGTCGACGCAGTCGAAGCATGACAGGAGACTCGTCAATACATCCATTCTCTTCACCTTTCAGGAAATAATCCAGAAACCGTTTCTGGATATCTATGCCCTGTTGAAGGTAAAACCATTCTTCATGCCGACCAGGGTGGCATTCCAACCATTTGTGTTTGGAGGCAGCGCACATGAACGCCTCGTAATTGCCGCGTGGATGCAATCCGAACCCAGCCAAGTTGGCTGCACTAAGGAAAGGCACAGTGACCTTCTCCCAATCGGGGGATCGCCCTTGGTAGAACTCGTCCTCCAGTGGGTGCTCAAGGATGCTTTTGACGATGTCCAGTCGATTTTCCACCAGCTGTTCCCGGGTTAAGAGCTTAGAATCTGCCCCAGTAGAGCTAGCATTGAGCCAGGGATCCTTTGGACCATCGGGATTTCCATGTTGCAGAGTCAAGACTTGGCGAGGATACCAGGTTTCCAGAAACCCATTGCAGAAGATTCCGCCATGACGAGCAAGGTCACGATAGAAGTTACCTGCGCCCTCCCACGGTATCATCGCGGCAAGATGGGGGGACTAGATAGGTTAATGCAAGGCACCGGGACAGGAGAAAGTTCGGATGGCCAAAATAGAGTCGATAAGGCTTTGGGATAACATACTTGAGAGTAGCCACCGTCCACTGGGTGATAGCATAATAGGAGATTCCGTTTAGACCGACCTTTCCATTGCTCCAGGGCTGTGAGCCAGCCCACTCAATCGCATTATAGTAGTCATGGGCCTCTCGCGCGGATAAGATATCCAGATATCCTGGAGATCTACCACTTCCCCTCGAGTCAACCCGCACGACAGCATAGCCCCAAGGGACCCAGGTTTCGGGATCAACCGTTTCCCAGGTCATGAAAGACCGGGTCGATCCAGGCAAGATATCAGGATGGGTAGTTACTAACCAGTCCCATTGCGAAGCGTAACCATCCTTGTACTCAACGCCCTTTCCATATGGACCTAAAGTCATGATAACGGGCACATGCTCCTTATCACGGGGCCGGAAAACATCAGCGCGCAAAGTCACATCATCAGAAACAATAGGCACATCTCGCTCAATGATCATTGAATCCATAATGTAAGATGGGAGAGATAGAGGGAATGCCAAGTATGTCCACTGTTGGCAGCAAGAAGCGGTGCGACTGATAAATCAGGAAGTGCTAGGTGCGTGGCTTTAATCAAATTATGGGCAATAGGGTTGGATATACCGACACCTATCCCGATCGCGCCGGTAAATGAGCCACAATTTCCCGAGTGTTGGAAAATTGGGCGCTTTCGGGAATCGGAGTACTACTACATCTCGGAATGTTGTTCTGTGAGCATTCAATGAGATTCTATTGGGAGATCTACTTAGCTGAAGAGTGACCTCATCACCATAGTGTCCTTGGTTTAATCGAGATTCACCTGCGCCCATGTATTATATAGTTTTTGTGCTCTCTAGCCAGCTCAGCAATCACATTGATTTCACTTGACAGGTGGATATTCTCATCGCTGTTCCTAAGATGGAATCATGGGTAGATTCAGAGCCATCTGGCTTCTCTCTATCTAACCTCCCTCTGGGTATTTTTTCCACTGAGCTACTGTCCCCTAGGATCGGCGTGGCCATTGGGAAATACGTGTTGGATTTCAAGTCCTTCGTAATGGAAGGTTTGCTCGCCCATTTGAACATTGACTGGTCTCAAGTCGACTTCGCCACTCTGAACGACTACGCAGCCCTCGGCCGGAGCAGGCATCGCACAATACGCAAGTTCCTCCAAGAACTACTGATTTCGGACACCCGATATGGAAGTTTGCTGAGGGACCACCCTCAACGACGTCAATCCCTGCTCGTTCTTCGAGCTTCGGCGACGATGCACCTACCAATGCGGGTTGGAGACTACACTGATTTCTTTGTTGGAATAAATCATGCACGAAACGTTCGTTCTGGAGGATTTCCTGGGATCCTTAAGCAATTCTTACTAACATAGCCAACAATAGTGCAACAAATTGTTCAGGGGGGATGCTACACTCGCCGCCAGCTATACGGAGCAGCCAATAGGTTACCATGGGAGGGCATCATCTGTTGTCATTTCTGGTACACCAGTAAGACGACCAGTCGGCCAGTTTAATTTGGACGGCCAGGTATTCTTCGGCCCGACGAGAAAGATGGATTTCGAGGTTGAATTTGCGGCATTCATCTCGAAGCCCAATACCCTCGGAGAACCTATTGGTGTAGAGGCTGCTGAAGAGCATATATTCGGCTATGTAATCCTCAATGATTGGTCGAGCCGTGATATACAGCAACGGGAAGCCTTCCCTTTGGGGCCCTTCAATGCTAAGAATTTTGGCACCACCATCAGCCCTTGGGTCATACAGCCTGATGCTTTGATTCCCTACAAGACGAAGCCGATATCTACGGTAGGTTTCTCTTGAAAGACGCAGATTTTCTCTAGCACAAACTAAAAATTTTCCAGGGATCCGAATTACCCAAATATCTCGTGGAAAGGTCCTCAAATAGCGTTCATGACATCGTGGTGGATGTCACTATTAAGAGTAAGCTGCTTTTCAACCGGAAATTGTAAATCTCTGACACCATTTTCTTAGGGGGCTCTCAGGATTTCCAGCTATCGAAATGCAATTTCAAGAATGTGATCTTCTCCTTTCCCCAAATGATCGCGCATCATACCGCAGGAGGGTGCCCGCTGCAGACCGGGGATCTTATTGCTACCGGCACAGTATCTGGTGAGACTGTGGATACGCTTGGCTGTTTGCTCGAAATAACCAAAAATGGTATGGAGCCATATCAAATCTTTAACAACGACACTGGCAGTACACTTGAGATGGGCTGGCTGCATGATGGTGATTGTATTGAGTTCCATGGGTATGCTGGTGACAGTAGCGATCCCGAACATATCAGCTTCGGCTCTTGTACAGGGCTCATTTTGCCTTCGCTAGTTACCAGTTTAGAGAAGCTTTAGAAGCGTTTTAATATCTTGCAAGTCGCATCCGCTTTTCTCTTTGTGCCGAATGCAATTTCTTGAAGGGTATACCTTAGCCTCGCTGCCCTTCATTGCTCCAACCGCCCCGGACTGTGACACACAACTCTCTAGAATTTTGATGCAATGCAACAATGTTATTCATCAAGTTTCATGTACTTATTATGTATATCTGTTCCAGGTGTAGATGTTTCTAATGGATGAGGTAGATACCTCAGATGTATACAGGTGGTTGATGGAAAGCATGCTTCCAGGTTCATACTCTTGGATTTACGCGTACGCAAAAATATATTTCCGCATTTGAAGACCATGCAGCAGCATCTGTAGAGAAGAAGCACATAATTACTCGATTGCAATTAATTTCAACACATATTCTAGCCTCTTGGATAGTTTCAAATCCTACAAACTGAAATAAAAATAAGTTTAAATGGTTATATCCACGATTAGAATATACGATCCTACAAATTGGCAGTTCCGGTGTGATGATAATAAGAATTAAGCGAAAGCCATGATATATCCATAGTTTGGCTCGAAAAACAAGAAATGGGATAATAACTCAGCTGGGAGAGTGCACGACTGAAGAACAACTTCAGTTTCTGCTATCGTGAAGTCGCCAGTTCGATCCTGGCTTGTCCCATTTTCTTTTTTCTCTGCATTCTGTTTTTGGCCGTGGCGGTGATCCGGTTCCCTAACCAAGATAATAATGGATGGGCCTTAAGTTTTTACTACCCTGGCTTTTCTTAAATAATGTTGGTTGTCGTTATAGTTAGATATCTTACTTTTTTCGAACGAAATCAAGATGTATAGGATATAGACCTAAGTCTAGCTAATTCTTCTAAACTATGCTAGTTTAGGTGACCCGTGTGGAGACCGTCTAACTAATACTCGGGCAGAGTTATGAGTTTAATAAGCCTTATTGTATTCTAACTAACTATCCTTAAGTTTATGGTATTAGTTAATTAACTCTTAACTAATAGCTTATGTGTACATACCGTAATTACCCAAAAAATATAAAGCACTACTAAAGTCAATCCATAATGCTCTTCCCTAGTTAATAACCTCTTTAGCTAAGCTAAGATTAAACGGCGACGGCCCCACTAACGTGGTAAAAAAGATTGCATAGCAAAAAAGAATGGGACAAGCCAGGATCGAACTGGCGACTTCACGATAGCAGAAACTGAAGTTGTTCTTCAGTCGTGCACTCTCCCAGCTGAGTTATTATCCCATTTCTTGATTATGGAACTCAATTTTGCAATAATGAACCTAGCCTCAAAATCTACCACTTTTCTACCCCCGAGTCCCCCGCCGGAGAACACAAACAACCCTATGATAATATCCCGTCAACTAACAGGAAATTAATACCTCTAATCAGTGGTATTTACGAAGATAAATAATACAAAATATATCCAATAGTCACTAACTATATGAGAGTCCTCCTATAGGGCAACCAAATCCTGCTAGTTTACGCCTCCGTGTTTAAATAGTCTTAGATGGACTGGAGACACCTAATGACCAGAAATGCACAGTGTAAAAATGATTCGCAGGTAAGCAGTCAGAAGATTTGCGTAAGTGGGATATGGAAAAGTGCAAAAATAAGCAACATCACACAACGCAATGGGGTTCCTTCGGCAGTTGAATGAATACTGATCTTCAAGATTGCTGAATAGAATTCTCGTACCAAAAGAGCCATGTAGAAGATAATATGTGTTTATTGACTTACGTATCTTCACGGCCAATCTATGTTTCTTCTTGCTCAATTTCATGCCGCCTCGACTCGGATACGATCTCCCAGAGAGGCGGTTCAAGGACAAGGTGCTGAGATATTAATTAGGACATGGCAAAAAGCAGACCTGGAGGGAGACTAGACAGACTTGATGATAACAGGTTGCAAAATACGTAGTGAGATTCAGCCTAAGAGTGGGGCACTACGTGCTATGACTTCGGAACAAGAATTCTTAAAACAGATATCGCTACATTCTCTATCAATTACACATCAAACTCGTAATTCTTCCTCAGGACTTCAGCTCACTTGCGCTTAGGCATGTAGGGAGCTGGGCCCAAAAATGTGATCTTGGGAGTTGTTGTATCCTCCGTACTAGTGGACTGCATGCTGGATTGGCGCGAAGAGCTCACTCCTGCTCGAGGACGCTGTTGTGGTGGGGTTTGCACCTATCGCTTTGTTAGTCTCTGCATTGAAATAATAATAATAATAATAACGACGATGATGGCTTTGTTACCTTTGGGTCAAGGTTTGAAGGTCCTTTGTCAGTATGAGCCCAGATGCTGGTTTCCATACCCCCAGAAATAGCCCGAGATTGCTTCTCAGGCGGCTGTTGTGACGACCTGGGTCCCGTTGATGACGACGATCCCTTTGCGGAGCTCTCGTTTAAAGTGTTGGAGCTACTTTGAATCAACGTAGGCCGCTGAGCCCTGGCCACCACTGGGCCAAGCCCTGGAGCAACCCGCGGAGCCTTGGAAATGGCCAAGGCTGAGTTTTCCTCAGATGTGGTATCGGCCTGGAAATCGAAATCGTCAGCTGTATCATTCAATATGTTTTGAGTGCATGCGAAGCCGTCGTTTGGGGTGGGGAATTCAAGCAAAGCCCCAGGGCTGTGTATGCAAGCGATGGGGAGGGGGGGCCGAACGCCGAATACCTTTACCTTGTCCATAGGAGCCGCAAAGATAGAACCCTCCATCAACCCGAGGATTGGCTTGGGGGTAGTCTTTACGATGGCTTCCTTCGTTGGGGTCAGGTCATCATCCATATCAATGAGCGACATGGGCTCTTTCGAGGGGTTCTGAGGCGCTCTAGGCTCAGAAAGTCGTAGAGATTCAAACTGCATGCCCGGTATGTCGGAAGCAAGAGCCGTCTTCCTGGGTGAGAGGAGTGACGCATCGATTCTGCGCTGTTTCTTCTCGTCGGAGGAGTCAGTGGCACTGGCAGAAGCACTTCGCTGTGGAGTGCGGTAGTTATCAAAGCTACCAGTTTTGCTGACCTGATCTGTCTCACGCTTTGCAGATGTGCCATCAGTCTTTGGCATTTCAATGTTCTGCACCTGCTTTGGCCTGGGGGTACTTGGCCCTGCCATTGGCAACGGGGGCCGCTCGTCCTGGCTCATTGCAGAAGGGAGCGGAGGCGTGGCCATCTCGAGAAGTTGCATCTCTTCTTGGCCTTGTCTTAGGGGTTCCAAGGCCATTTCCTGGTTACTTAAACGTTCAGCAACTCTTCTTGAGATGGCATTGCGGTCCAGATCCTTGAACTCTGTTAGTACTTGTAAAGGATCCGTGGGTTGACCGTGTGGCCCTGCGCGTTCCTGCATTCGTTCAGAACAGTTCTCGATCATCTGCAAGATTTCTTCGACGAAATATTCTGTTTTTTTGTTAGATAAGTATCTGAAATAGTTTGGGATTGGGGTAATTCGAACCTTGCAACTGAGACCTCCGTTCTCCGGACGCAGATTCGTCACCTGTGGGAAAAGTGATTCCCGTGAGATCTTTCACCATGTCCGGGCTAAGCAACAAGTTGCGGAGCTGAACCTGAACGCTCTCTTGAGCATCCTGGTCAAATTCCAAAAGAACCGGGGCTTTTTTCTTGCCCTTGCTCTCTTCCTGTTGCTCACCAGCAGTCTTGGAACGAGCTGCCTTTTCACGGCTGCTGAAAGCAGCAGTCTTCTCAAAAGGCACAATACGACGAGCAGAACTCTGAGATCCCGACCTATTCTTCGTGGCACTTCCAGCTGGAGTGGAAGATGCCGAAATTGCATAAATCGAATCATCAAGTGCCGATCTCGCAACAGGCTTTGGACTCGGGGCTGGATTTGCAGTGATGCCCCGCTTTGAAGTCATGGCAGGTTTTGGAGCCGTCGCTGTCTTTGGAGCCATCAGAGTCTTTGGAATTGTGATAGCCCTTTGAGGCTGGCGTGTCGGTGTCGTTGCCGAGCCTGTAGATGGGCTAGACGGTGCCCTGATTGAGGCCATGAAATCGTCAGGGGGAGCCAGTCGCGCAGCATAATCCTCACTGGGTGAGCAAAAAGTCAGTTTACAGACATAATGGACACTGCTGGTTCCTATCAGTGTTCACTCACATCGGTTGGGATCTTCTCGGCCTGGTTTCCGGCACTCTAGCCCTGAAGCTGGCATGGCTGACTCTATTGCCGGGGCCACGATGAACAGCCTGTCCTCGGAAGGGACGAGAGCTTGGCTCTCCGGGGTTGTTGATGTCAAGCGCAGGGTCTTGCCTGGTGGGGAAGTCATCAAAAGTGCGGCTATACCCACCAACATGGGTAGCATTCCTTGTATCTGGTTTAGCAATGCTTGTTTTCATGGGAGGGATTCCTATTCTTACCGACTGGGGGAAATCTGGTGGCGCGATCTGGTGCCGATGATACCACCACCACGGCCAGAGGATGGTCTGGGGTATGGGTGGTTGCTTGATACATGGCTAACGGATCTTGCCCGTGCGTGCCCACCTACACGTTGTCGGGTAAGTTCAGATTCACGTAGCGCTGTCTGCGTTGCACTAAGCTGGGCACGGTGAGTCTGGCCTTGCATCAGATCGTCTAGCTGCTCCCTAGTGCCCGTGTCGGTCACAGTCGTATGGAAGCCTAGAAAATTCCCTTAGTCAGTGCTCTTTGCTGAAAAAGGGATTTTCATCGTGAAACATACTTGTCCACGCGTCCAAGGAGCCCCTGTTCCGTTCAGCTCGCTGGTTCTCAACCGAACCAGCAATGTTCGAGGGCCGGCGCATTTCGATGGTTTCCATGTCAGCCTGAACACGTCGCCGAGTGTCATCCGCAGTCGATATATGTTCACGGCGAGCGGTGCCCAGATCGGCCTATGAAGGCAGTACAATCAAGTCAGTTCTCAGCGAGTCCATGCCAGGCCAGGAGGACTGGAAATATCAAATGCTGGGTGGGATGCTCTCACCATTTGCAATGCGTTGAGGCGGTCTGCCTCGGCGGGTTTAGGCTCGGGAGCCATGGTGAGTGAGTGAGTCGGAGCAGATGTAGGGAAAAAGGAAAATTGAGCACAGAGAATGTGATGGAGACCAGGAGGGGTGTCGATGGAGGGACAAGCTCCGCGTGAGGCCCTCACCGGCAGATAGCCAGGATTCCACCAACGGAGCAAGTCGAGGTTTCTTGGTATCTGGGCGCTAGGAGAAGATCAATGGGCAGTCGTTGGAACAGCGACTGAGAGTGATACGAAGCGATTGAGGTTGGAAAAAGGGAGTAGAGGGAGAAGGTCGAGAAAAGAAGGTGAGAGAAGGATGGAGGATAAACAAAACAACGCGAGCCAGACGTGTTTGTGATTGCCAAACTCGCAGCAGTCATAACAGGCGTTGGTGGTAGCTTCCCGTTTGAGAAAGTCACTACGCACGGGGTTGTACCTCTGGCGCAGGAGGACTTTCTCTATTGTCTTGTAAAAACAATTATCCCGGTAGATAGTGACACGAAACGAATTCGGCAGAGGAAGAATCTAGAAAAAGCGTCATCTTGAAATATAGACTCTCTTTGTAACTGGGGCAATGTATGTACAAAGTGATGCAGCCAGCGGAAAAAAAAGATGGATTCTATAGATAAACGCTAAACGACAGCAGTAAAAAGTGGCACTAGGAAGCACTGCAGGAGCGACCTTCGCCATCATCTAGACAAAGAAGATTAGCTTGTGCCGATAATCATGGAATACCTTCCATGAAGGACGTAGGGAACCTACTTCGAATGATCTTGGCAACCGCCTGGACGACACTGACGCCCATGACTACAAGTCCAAACCCAACACATACATAAGCCGGTATCTTCTCCCGCCGCGATGCACTGCTGAGCTTGATGTAGCAAAGGGGAGGGAAAATGTATGCCAGAGCCGCTGCGCTGGTTGCTCCAATCAGCTCGAAAACACTGCCAAGATCACAGGTTATCAATGCCAACGCCATCGAGGTCAGAACGAGGGCCGTCGTAAAGATCAGATGCCGGTGGGGGTTGTATGGCTCATCGGGGAAGTAGTAGGTTGTCATCACGGAGCGACAGACGAAGGCCTCGAGCGGAAGGGTAGTCAGCATGTTCAATCCAAAACAACTGGTGTATGTCAGCATTGGAAAACACGGGCAAGCAAATACTACGGTCGGTGTCTTACAATCGGGCAATGTTGACCAAGATATTATCCGACGGGAAATTGTTGAGCACGTTTCCTTGTGTTTTCGAGCCAAAGGAGAGGAAGCCTGCAATACCCATGGCTAGACACATGACCAGAGATACTCCGGTAGAGTAATGGGTCACTGTTGCAAAGCGATCGAGTGTTGGTTTCTTCAATGACCCGTAGATCAGAAGACTGTTATGGTCTGGCAAGAGAGTCAGTACTCAGTTTTCCCCAAGGGTTACGGACAACATACGACAAACAAATGCTGTAGAGGACTCCATATTAGCAAATGATCAATGCAAGTTTTCAAACCAAGTGACATACCAAAGGATATCACACCCACGGCTTGGAAGAACCCTGAGTTGAAGATAAGGTGACTCTTGATCTCCCCACGCGAGTCTGCCGGGACACGGAAGCCCTGCGTGATGACCGTCACCACGATTACTATCATGCTGACCAGCGCCAATGCAGACGCTTTGGCCAACTACGAATTCGTAAGCATTGGGTTTTCATATAATAAGAGGAGACAATCTCACCTTAGCAATATCTCTGTAAAGCGAGAGTGGATAAGAGACACCGAGAACGAAGATGACAATGACAGCCCGACGATCAGTAAGCAGCCAAAGGAAGGACATTTCTCGAAGGGAGGGGAACAGCGCGCCCAGTACATGCGGAATCGTATCGCCGACGATGATACAAAAGGCAACCATACCGCCGAATGCAAAGGCCCATTGCGCGATGGAAATTGCTATGAGGCCGCTTCTTCCAAAGCAATACTGCATAGTAGCTTGGAAAGAGTCCGCCCCACTCATTTTGGAGTTGACGACGATCAGGCGGATCGTCCAGTCCACCGTCACAGTCAATGCCGTTAACAGCAATATGCCCATGGTCATACCGGCTTGGCGAAGTGCATAGGGCTGCCCAATGATTCCTGCCCCAATAATACTGTTTGCCATGTTCATGAACGCCATCTTCATGCCACTCCTCGGGCGCGCGCTCTCCAGATGTTCCTCGGGGAAGAAGTCGTCCGATGTAGCGAGTGTCACACTCGGGGCCTCGATATTGGTGAGCAGGGGGACTGTCTGCCCTGTGTTCCGTACCCTCGACCTGCCTTGTTCGCCGAGCTCGTAGTCTTCGTCGTCTAACCATGGCGCATCGCTGTCGGAGCTGCCGGCTCGCCCATTCGAATAGTGATCGTCGTCCTCATCTTCCTCCTCCAAGTCAAAATGGACTCTGTTTGTTGTACGAGGTGCGCGACGCTGTCCATCAGGAGTGGGATGTGATAGTGAGGATTGGCGCTGCGTATCTGATCGGGCGCTGCTTGCAGGCACTGGGGGTGAGCCGGTCGAGGCGGAATGAACTATGAGATCATCTTCGTCTTCTGTGGGAGAGGATAGTAGAGACTGAGATTCATGCTCATGCTGGCCATTCCGGCCAGTCAGGAGGTCATTGTCTCCTTCATCTCCGGGCATCGTTGACCTTGAAGCTCAAGATGAATGAATCCGGATGTTCTTGAGGCCAACGTATGGGGGTTGCACGTGATGCTTATCGATAAGAGCTCTTTGTTGATCGCCGCTCCACGCGACGATTTCCACCGGCTCGTGCTGTGGAGGCGAATTACGCAGGATGAGATCATCGAGCAGAAGTTCTGGGGCGGTAAAGGGTTTAGGGTTTAATTGAAAAGATGAATTGATAGATAAATACCCCCTCTAGGGAGCTTTGTGGTCATAATGAGGGACGAGACAAGGAAATAGTTCATGTGTTAAATATAACTGGTGCCAAGACAACGGTGGATTCACAGTTCACAGAGCTCCAGCACTGAAGATGATAGCGGACTTTGACTTAAAGAGAGTTTACAAAGCGATGTCTATTGAGCCCTCGTTTAATGTGATAGACAATTCTAATTTAGACATACTTCAGAAAGGGACAATATCTATCCCAAGCTCTCTTATGTATGTCTCCAGCGTCATGTGCTTTGTGGTGCCTCAGGCCCATTTGGAACTTGGAACTAGAACAATCCATCAATCCTGCAGTTCCTCTGTGCCCTCAATCTGATCAATCACTCTTGTCATCTCTTCATTTGATTGGGAAATCCATTGGATCTTGAAGAGACTGGATCCGATGCAATCCCCTTGTCAACATGACCCGGCCAATTGACTTAGGGCACGCTCTGCTCCAAGCCACGGGCTCACTTCTACAACTACGATTCAGCGCAACAGCCAACTTCACTCAAGTCGCAATTGGAGCAAGTTCAAGCTCAAGCATCAAATTCAGCCACTGGGAAGATCTTAAGGCATTGTGGATTACAGAGGCTCCAGAGCTTAAGCTACGCATCTTTGTCGTTGTTGACCCTGCGACTGAGGCCGCAGGGCCCACATTCGCTGCAACTCTGGAGGAAGAGCTTTGCAACTCAAAGGTATGTTAAGAATAATATGACAGCTCTGGGAAGATGTGGTAGTCTCACAGCAATCGCATGCAGGTTTGGACCGATCTGGGATTCGACATTATCCACAAAAATCACACCAAAGTTGAGATCTCCACAGCCCCAGGAACCCATCGCCTTGAATTTGGCCTTTGCCGAAGAGACTCACTACTAGCCCCTGTCGATACCGGAAGACTCCCTCCGATCTTGCAGAATCCGCCGGAAGCCCACGTTCCTTCCGATGTCCCGACAGCGTGCCTGGCATCCATTGACCTACATCTGCAATATGCATACTGCAACGGCGTGCAACAAGAGGCGCAAATCGTGGAAACATTGAGACACAAACATGAAGATGAGACCGGGCTTCCATATGAATTTACCTCGATGCAATTTACTCATTCGACTGGAAAATTCGCAGTCGCGAGTTTTGTTTTGTCTACCATGGAAGACTCGGCTCTCTCATTCGACCGGCCTTTCAACGTGGGTAGGAGCACCTATATTGAGCCCGCAGGGCAAAAAACTATAATGGAGACGATTGAGCAAATTTATTTACAATTCTTGGAATTATTCGACTTTGGCCTCCAGAAGTTGATTCTCCCCGGCCTTATCAGAAACCATCACATCAAGGTGGTTGGTAAAAACAAACTTCAAAATCTGTCCGTACTTGCACCTGCAGTTTTTAATCCTGAATACCGAGAAGTGAGTACCAGCGCGCATGAAAGAGAAGATGGCCACTAAATTATGCCTAGGCAATGAAACAACGGGCTGCGTCGCTTTCCACAATCAGCAGGTCGCTCATGTCGATGCTCGAAAATAGCAGCCACCCTCTCATCCAGAGCAAACTGTCTGCTACATTGAGGGAGTCCACCGACCCAGAAGGATTCTTGACATCACGCACCTCGCGTCAAGACACACAAGAAAATACACTTACACAAAGCTTGGAGTCCACAATAAAGTCATCGTTATGGGGCATTGCGCAGCATGGGCTCTCCAAGGTCAAAGCCTCCAAAAGATCCGGATCATTCTTCGAGTTGGATTGCCTACCAGGAAAGTCATCCATCCCTACAGACGACGATATTATTCTGCCGAAACCCCCAGAGAAAGAATTGGACCCAGATAGCGAGATGCTGGGTCTGGACAATGATACCAACCTGCCTCCCATATTGAATACGTCTCGGGCATTGGAAGAGCTGCTCTCTGAAGGCAGCAGTATGCTTAGTTTTGGGGACCTTCATGATCCAACCCAGACAGCTCAAATGACCCAAACAACTCAGACATCCATTGAGAGCTTTCCCCAGCCCTCCGAATGCCTGCCTTGTAATCTGGATGATCTTGATATTCTCCTTTCAGATGAGATTTTGATGGATGAGGTCTATGATGCGGGGGTGTCTTTTGAGGAAATGGACTTGTCTTAGACTCTATACGTCATGATGGCCTGCGTTATGCTTGTGCATAGGCTACATTCTCATATATGATTACAACGTTGATTCTACTATTCAAAGAAATCCAACTTTACCACTTTCCGTAGCTTCTAGGACCTGTGACTACGAATTGAGAGATCCAAATCATGGAATGTGATATTGAAACACATCTTGAGTATGCCGTACACGCCATAAATGCAGATCGATACAGACCACGACCCTGAGATTGACATAGGCTGTAACGAATTAACAAGAAAACACGACAAATATGGCCCCTGGGAATCCTCTGCTGTAAACTGACTCCGCTCTCAACATATCTACTGCCTTGCATGCCATGAATCTAAATCAACACTAACAGCAACCGAAAGTCCCTGGCAAGGTCCATATGCGCCCAACTCTGACTTCACGTTGACATAAGGAGATAGAGCCTCGGGCTCACTGCAATGGAAGCACAGGACGCTCGATAGCAGCATCTTCGGACAGTTGATCGGGGACTCTGGCCCAGCGCTTGACGTTCAAGCGCTTGGCAGTCTTCTGAATTCCACGGCCGGGCTTGTACGCCTCGATAAACATTTCGTCAAGAATTCGAGACTTTAGTCCTGCGAATGAGCGGTCCTCCTCAACAATCTCAGGGTGGCTCCATCCCTGTAGCTTTCTGAGACAGCCTGCCATGGAGCCGGTCCGATGCTAGTGAGGAACGTCAGATATGAAACTGATGCCAGAAGTGTTGTAAAATGAAAGCTTACCTTGCCTTGGTTACAGTGGAGAACCAAAGGCTGATTGTTACGATCCATGAGTACATTCATGACTTTATTTACAGTCTGATCGGTTGTCTTGACGCAGACATCCTTGTTCGGGATGATGGGGATCAACAAGGCGCGGACGTTATTCGTGAGCATGAAGGCCTTCACGGGTGGGCTGTATTCTTCGTCGACGAATCGTCTGAGAAGATTGTTAGCGGATAGACATTGAAAAATTACCCGATAGACTTACACAATAGTTTTAACCCCCAGAGCTTTAAAAATGTCCAGGTGTCCACTTTCCGGAAAGCTCGACCTGTAAATTCCTTGCACAACCTGTGCAAAGCGCTCTGGCACGTGAAGCTGCAAAGAGATTTGACCCTCTGGCTTTCCCTGCTCATGCTCAGAATGTCCTAACTCACAGTCAGTCACCAGACTAAGGTGCAGGAAGTTTTCCTTGGCCTGAGCCAGAAGATCGAGGTTACTTACCATGCTGGTTGTGCGGAGGGGCGGTTGGCACGCTGCTATGTCCCAGCCCCGTGATATGGTGAGCCTGGGGTTCATCCTTGTAGGCGGGATCCCGTTCCCGGATTTCGGGGAGAGTGGCCTCATAGAGGTGTGCAAAGATGACTGGGAAGCCTGTCTCCTGGACAGGGGAGGAACTGGTGCTCAGTGCCTTGGCCTCTTCGATAGTCGACGGTGAGGCCGACATATCGGATGGCCTGACACAGTGAAGGAATCAGATGGCAGTTGTAAATCAACAAATGGTGGTTGGTTGGATGGTGGAAGGATGAAGATGACAAAGAAGAGGAAGAGAAAGAAGAGTGGGGATGAAGAATATGGGGTAATTTATAGCCTCGAAGAAGGAAGAAAGCAAACAAATAGACGGAGATTTCCGAGTAACACGTTAAACGTGTCGTGTCTTTACGTGACGGCAACGCACAATACAAACAAGCAAATAGATATAACAAGGCAACAAACAGGAAAGATAAAGAGTTAAGAATCAAGAACGAGTAGCTTCCAGCATCTCGAGAAAGAGGAGGCTATATTGGCATGCCGCTTAGAGCTTCAGTATAATTATACGTGCCCACCGCTGCACCAAACCTCTTGCTGAAAAGGTGGTGCTTTCCAATCGCATTCGAAACGACGAGGTGTTGAAAATGGAGTAATTCTATATATGAAGACGTTCATGCATAGTTGTCTATATGATATTGCATTGAGCAAAGTTGGTATTATCGAGGCGTCTTTGAATCGAAAATGATGAACGAGGAGCTGATTAATTATATCAGGAAGTGATTGATTTCCAATGAGTTGGCTGTTGAATTCGAAGGCTAAATAATCGAAAACCAAGCTTTATCCGAAAGATAGGTGTCCTGGAATTTGGTGAGCAGTTGGGGCATGGCTCTCCAAGCTCGCAGGCCTAGGAATAGTCGTAGTTCATGGTTCAAGGCCAGGCAGGTAAACGTAGTCTCGTGGCTACTGGGACTGCTCGCCGAGTCCAAACATTCTGATGGAGTTGTTCCAAGCCCTGGTTGAATGGTTAGCTGACATCGTCCATGCAGTGGAATCGCTGGATATCGAGTCTTACGCTTCACAAACTTCCTCTACGGAAATCTCCTTGATCGAAGCAATAACGTGTGCAACGCGGGCAATAGCCACGGGCTCATTACGTCCCTTGACCATGAAGCCCTTCTGCCACTTCTCCTTCTTGACCGACTTGGGAAGATCGGGAGCACCGTTCAAGTGCTTGGCCGATGCATGCGAGGGTCGGATTTCACACTGGAATGATGCGATTAGCCCGGGACCTTATCGACAAGAACTAGATGATCGAGTACGTACCCAAGGCCCATCAGTTTCGATCTGTATCCTTTCCAATGGAATGGCCTTAACGACTTCTAGGTTCTCTTCCGTCTTCATGCTGCAGCCGTTGACGCCGATGTCCAGACCGAGCGCCACGAGCCGCTGCATCTCCTCCATCGTTCCGGTGAAACTGTGCACAAGACCACCCTTAGGAAGCCTATCAAGCCTTGAGGCCAGTAGCCTCTCAAAATCTTCGCTAGCAGCTCGGGAGTGGAGGAACAGTGGCAGTCCAATCTCGATGGCAAGATCTAATTGGGCCTCGAAGTACTTGAGCTGAGGCTCCTTCTTGCTGAGGAACAATCTGTCATAATCGAGTCCAATCTCACCAAAGGCGACGGTAAAGCCGGCCTCCTTGGACTCGAGGGCTAGCTTCCGGAGATCCTCGATCATCTTTGATGGGCCACCCGGGGTACTCGTCGAAGAGCTTTGCCTGGCAAGGGTGCACGCCAACGGTGGCATAGCAAAAACCAGCTATGAGTACGTGGGTCAGCCACATGAAACTCTTGTACCGTACCATAATCATAACACTTACGATAATCTCGGGCTATTTGTACGGCTGCTTCAGATTCAACTAGATCTGAACCGGTGACCATGAACTTGGCACAGCCGACATCCTTTGCACGCTGAACGACATCATCCAAGTCATCATCGTGGGCTTGCTTGCCATGATAATGACCACGGAACATGGGATCGCTCAAGTTGATACCGATCTATATGATGGTACAAGTTAGGTTTTTGCGGCTCAACGGCTATGCGCCAAGACTTTGAGGCCAAGGATATAAACCCACATCAACGTATCGGAGAGGCTTGCTTGACTCCTCCATTTTGACTGTAAGTTGCTTTGAAGATGTGGAAAATGTAGAGAATTGCGGGTTAGTTTTGGCAAAGCTTGAGTAATGACGTGAGTGAGAAATGATTTTGTTCACTCGGGAGAGTTCTGTGCGCTGTCAGCCTTATATGCTTCCAACTTGGACGGCAAAATAACAGGATGTATGCACCAACGAGGACACCGAATCAATGACTCAGAGGCTATGCTTACCTGGGCTGGATCTTCGAGTAAGGTATAGGCAACCGCCTGAACGCTTGCTCAGGAACGATGACTTGTTGAACCTCTGGGCTTTAATCGATGAGGTACCGAGACTGCCGAAAGTATTCAGGGCCCTGGCTCCAGCAGACACAATGCGCATGGAAAAATGACGATTTGAAAATGATTTTTGCGTCGCCAGTTCAATATACGCTATCAGGGCTAAGCGCTGTCTATCGCGACACCCGATTTGTGTTGACTCACGAAACTGAAGTTATCAGCCACAGCTAGGGCTTAGCTCCCGGCTAGTGGCGCAGCAGGCCCTGGGGTTACATAAGCTGGACACTCAGGGCCAAGAAACCCGGAGAGAAATCCGGATAGGTGTCGGTGGTCCGCCGATGCGGATCGCTACAGGGTTCCAAAGAGACAAGGAGGTTCCTCATACTGCGACATATCTGTGAGGTTGGAGGCCTGCGGGGAAAGTGAATGCCGATACTTGAAGGCATGAGCGAGGCGTTCCATTTTCAGAGCCGCGACTGGACGCGTCGGGAGGTATTATCCCGAAGTGGTTATCCTACGACTTCTGGATAATCAAGAATGAAACTAATTGAGAAGGCATCTAGAGGGAATTGAGAGCTCTTTATAAGCCCATTGTACCATTGTGTCTCTGCAAACTACACAAAGAACCTCACTTGGGCAAATATTCTGGCAATTTCCAGGAGCGCCAAATTCCGGGGTAAGTCCGGGGACATTGCCGTGGTGGAGACTTTCTGGATGCTACACGGAGAATCACCGCGATAAGAACATTGGCCTCCGCCCAGAGATGACTAGAGGCCCTTGCTGAGTATTTAGCCTTCTCTGTCTGGCTGGTTTTTTCCTTTTGCAACTTTCGACTTTACCTCAGCCCACAGCCAGTGTCGCGGTCGCAGACTCTCCTGCAGCATAATCGCCTCGAAGAGTCCCCGAATTCAAGAGACTGCATCGTGCAATTCAATATCGTTCAGACCAGTGTGAAATACAGTTCCTCGCCAGGATGGCGGGCCAAAAGCTTTTATCTACGCAGCAGGTCTCGGAGCACAAGACGCCAGAGGACTGCTGGATAGTGGTGGACAATCAAGTGTGGGATGTCACCGACTTCCTCGACGAGCATCCAGGCGGATCAACCAGTACGAACTGATATTGTCCCATTCATCTATCAAATGACTAAAAACTTCGCCACAGTTATCTTGAAATACGCAGGCCGCGACGCAACAAAAGCCTACTCAGAAGTCCACGCTCCCAGCGTCCTCAAAGCGAATTTAGAGCCCGAAAAGTTCAAAGGCGTGCTGGACGAGTCCACCATCGACGACGCATGGCTCAAGCCACCACCAGGAGAGAACCGTAAAGTCACCCTAGAAAACGAAAAGCCACCTCTCGAAACCCTGATCAACGCTCATGACTTTGAGGTGGTCGCATCCAAGACGGCAAGCAACAAAACGTGGGCATTCTATTCCAGCGCGGCGACAGACCTAATCACCCGTGATGCGAACAAGTCCTGCTTTGACCGGATATGGTTCCGGCCACGCGTGTTGAAAAATGTGCGGTCCGTCGATACGAGGACGAAGATTCTCGGCGGGGATTTCAAGCTACCGCTATTTGTTAGTCCAGCAGCGATGGCCAAATTGATTCATCCAGAGGGAGAATGTGCAATTGCACGGGCATGCGAAAGCAAAGGGATTATGCAGGGTGTGAGTATTGATATACACTCTCCGAACCTAAACACAATGCTAATCTTTCACAGATCTCCAATAACTCCTCCTACACTATGGACGAACTACGCACAACAGCACCATCAGCCAGCTTCTTCTTCCAACTATACGTCAACCGTGACCGCGAAAAGTCCGCCGCCCTCCTCCGCCAATGCTCTGAGAACCCCAACATCAAAGCCATCTTCGTAACCGTGGACGCCGCGTGGCCCGGTAAACGCGAAGCCGACGAGCGGGTTAAAGCCGACGAGAGCTTATCAGTACCCATGTCGCCGTCCAAGGCCCAGAACGATAAGAAAGGTGGTGGCCTGGGCCGTGTCATGGCCGGGTTCATCGATCCTGGCCTGACGTGGGAAGATCTGCGATGGGTCAGAGAGCACACGCATAAGCCGGTGTGTTTGAAGGGAGTCATGTCCGCGGATGACGCGCTGCTAGCTCTCAAGGCTGGCATGGATGGGATCCTACTGAGTAACCACGGAGGCCGGAACTTGGATACCAGTCCGCCGTCGATCATCACGTTGCTCGAGATTCAGAAGCGATGCCCAGAGGTCTTGGAGAGGATGGAGGTCTATGTGGATAGCGGGATCCGGCGCGGGACTGATATCCTCAAGGCTATTTGTCTAGGCGCGACGGCCGTGGGTATGGGTCGGAGTATGTTGTTTGCGACAAATTACGGCCAGGAGGGTGTGGAGCATTTAGTTGATAGTAAGTGATGATGATGCGATCGTACTGATCGAGTTGGAGTCCACTCGTGGGAGAAGTGTGTTTCGAGACTAACATTTTGCTTTTTCTCCACAGTTATGCAAGATGAGTTGGAGACGGCCATGCGTAACGTCGGGATCACCTCGTTGGACGAGGCCAGTCCCGACTTGGTACACACGGGTGATGTCGACCCCTTGGTCCCGGCATCCCGAGCACACCCTTACGCCCGGGCCATTGCCAAAGGCCGACGACGGGATTCCAAGATTTAAGATTAGGATACACACCGGCGGTGCATTATAGTGCACGGGTGAGGAGGGGATTGTGTGATAGGTTCGGAGCTACATAGCTCGATGCTATGAGATACATACCTAGATCTACTACTATACATCAAGTATATAGAGGGCGATGAAAACGCACAGTTCTTACTGGTTGTACTTCAGTATGTATACTCTCTATCGTATGATCTTTATCAAGAATACACCCACAACCCACTTTCCTACCTAATTCCCCGGTCGCATTAAGTTGTACCTCCAATTCGTGCCAGGGATATACCACAACAGGGGGAAAGAATTCCACCACTACGCCCCCGGAATCCCACCAACGGGGCTGTGACACCTGCCCAGCCTGGCCCTTACAGGTGTGCACCCCTGGACATAACGACGATATTTGGAGCTCATAATGTAGCGTATTCGATTAGACATTGGCTGCGCCACGGCCCGTGAGGGGGTCCTGTGATCTGCGCTGAGCTGGCAAGAGGGGTGTTCCGGGGCATCCGCCAGCGGTGTGGACTTGAAGATGCTCGTGGAGATCAGAGGGGAATGGGAGGTTTAGTTAGGGTAATGGAAATGGGCGGGGGAGGAGTACCTGATGTAGATGGATGTACTGTACCTTCGGGGCATATTGTATACTGTGCAGAAACTCACCGGGGATGTTGGGAAGATTACCGTAATAAGCATTTTAGCCGGGTAGACTGGTCATATTATGATTTGATAAGGAGTGATAGGTTAAAATATGTACCTCATTCTACGCGTAGATCAGACCACCCCAAGCCTTTCTTATTGATGATAATTCCAGGTTACGACCTTGGTCTCACCGCCAGGAGGTCATGGGACTTGTGTAGACTTCGGACTGTACCTCGTCCTGCGTTTATTTGAACTGTTGAGTCGATCCTGTCTTATTTTAGCCCGGATCTGATTTGTCCGTTTGATCATCTCCTCGAATCAGATGGTGTAGATCGAGAATACTACGTCAATTCAGTCCATTACGAATGGTCAATGGTCAATGGTCAATGGCTCTCTGCTTACGCGGAAGACCTGGAACGGTGAGGACCAGCGGGGAAGGGGGACTAGAGCATATTATTTAGTTCCTAGGTAAATGACGGTCGGGAATCGTGGCTTATCCCCGGAATCCGGAAAGTGTTTATCCAAGCCCGAGGGAAGTAGTCTCTTAGCAGAGTTGATCACGATGAATAACCGTGACGATCGGGATTGCCCCCGTAGTGCACATCGTGGGCGGGTCGGGGCCTGATAATTGGGGCGGGGAGGAGGATCAAGACTCCGGTGCTGGATTCCCCTAGGGAAAGGGAAAGAGAGACTCATTTTTCCGTGAGTTGTACTGGTGGGTACGGGGTAGAGTTGGTCCTGTTGGAAGGGGGCTTCTGCCAGTGTTCTAGTCCTCGTTATTATTAAGGATTGCCTTAACTACTCCGTACATCCCCGTCCAGGCGGGTCGCTGGGGTCACGGGGACAAGATCTTCGTCCCGTACTTTTGAGCACTGGCAAGTACCTTGAGTATGTACTGTACTTGTCGTAATCCGTACGCTATGGTTAAATCACCGTGGCTAGGATTCTACCCCTCTTTGATTTAAGTATTTTCTGTAGATACTCTGATTAGAATAATTCTGTAAAAATTTACCAAAAACCAGACGGTACTCTAGTACTCTCGTAGAAGACGTCAACGAGTCTATTGGAACGTGGATCCCACTATCGATAACGGGGGAACCCGCCAAGAAGTGGATTCCCAGCTCTCCCCAACGATTTCCAGGACGGTCGACTCCGCATGCGAGAGACTACTCTTCTCACAGGTACTCTATCTACCGTGTACAACTATAAAGTCCATCCTGTTGACTCACTGCCCTTTCCGGCCTTTTTAATTTCTTCCCTTTCCGCCTCCTTCCTATCTATAACTTTCCTTCACTTCCAGTCGTATACGTACTACACTCTTCCTCCCATCTCTTTTCCCTCCTACATTCCACTCTATCTAAACCACCACACCCTCAACCTCGCCTGGCTACATTCTCCAGTTATATAATCCTACCGTTCTCACCTACCTAACCATCACCCCCAACCCAGCACATCCACATCATGGCCGCTCCTCGCTCAACCTCTCTGCGTGCTCTGCGCCAGCTCTCCCAGCAGCCCACCGCGGCTCCCATCGCTCGTCGCGGCCTTCACATCACTGGCGTCCAGTCTGCACAACCCGCCAACCCTGCCGATAAGGCCTCCCTGTATGCCGCTCGCACTCTGCCAGACCTCAAGCAGGAGTGCCAACGTCGCTCGCTCCGTGCTGCTGGCAGCAAGTCCGAGGTACGTTCCCATCAACGACTCATCTATACATCATCCAGAGCTTGGACCGACTAACCCTAACACCTCTCCAGCTGATTGAGCGCCTCTCCAACCACGATGTCCTCCAGAGCCGTGCCTTTAGCATTGCCATGCGCCGTATCAACAGCAACGCCTTCTCTGAGTAAGTCCATCCCCAAATACTACATACAATTGGAGAATCCGCCCGATCTCCAACTCCCTCCCCACTCCACACCATCTCCATCAAATTTACCATAACTAACAACCACTCCCTCTCCAGTCAACCAACCCGCTCCTTCAACACCTCCCGCTCCCAAAAAGCCGTCGGCGACTCCTCCACCGTCGACTTCATCTACATGCCCGCCATGTCCACCCTAGACGCCCCCTCCACCCGTCCCGCCTTCCCCAAAGTCCCGGTCCTTCCCGACCTATACTCCCACCACGATGCCGCGGCCCCGTCCGCCCCACCCATGAAGCCCCAGATCTACACCGTCTCCGGTGGTGACATCAGCGCTGCCTCTGCCATGAGCGAGGTCGTGGATAACCACGCCGTTGAGATTGATCCTTTCTCCTTGACGGAGGCTGTGGGGCGCAGTCGTATTGGTGAGGAGTTGGCCAGGTCGAATGGGGCCACGAAGGAGCCTGGTGTGGTCAGGGAGTTGTGGGCTGGTTTCCTGGATGATGTCCTTGGTCCGAAGGATACTGCTGCCCGTAAGTAGGAGTTGTGCACTCTGATCGGATGATCCTGTGACGAATTCTTTTGGTGCGATGCTGGGATTGCTTGTCCGAGTCGAGTCTAACTGTTCTATTCTTTTTGTTATTTGGGATCTTATAATTCGCTCTCTAGATGAGACGCTAGCGTTTGATGTAATATTTTTTTCTCTTTTGTTTGACGGATTTTATCTCTATACTTCGAGAATGAAGTATTCTACTGGCCTGCATGGCCTTGACTCTACATACCTTTTCTTTTGACCTCTATATCGTATCTATTATTTGGTATACATCAAAATCAAACTACTGTAAAGATAAATCCGCTAAACACAACCAACACCCAAATCCAATCCAACAATCCCCATCCAATGAAATCCAATAAACCACAATTCAAGCCTTACTTTCATCAAAACTCACCACTACAGTACCGTCATACACCCGAACCCCCATCTATTTACCGAGGTCCCCCCAACCAAGCCTAGTTACACCTCCCGCCCTGATCGACAACCTTACAACCACTCAGCACCCTAAACCATAACTCGGCAACACCCGATCTTCAGTAATTCTCCGGGATCAATCCCGACCCTTATGGATTGTGGATATACCATACACATCCTCCGTCTAAAAAAACTGCCGACGGACCCCAATGCCCCGACCCGAGGTCATGCGACCCGATCAAATTTCTTCTACAGTATAGTTTTACCCCATAGGCCCCGCCGTTTCGGGTTTGTGACGGGATATTTCGGCGAGAACGCAAGTTACTACTGTTGTCCTATGCTACTACACGCAATTGATGTCGCCTGACTCATTTGCTTGGATGATGGGTATTTTTGTTGGGATGGGCGGGTGGGCTAACTTTTTTTTACTGTTGCGGAGTTATGGAGGGAGGGTACTGTAGTTGTTGCGTGATGGAGGAAAGTCGGGAGATGGATTTATCCACGATGGGCCGAGGGTGGGATGTTTTTTTGGTTGAGGTGTCGGGGCAGGGTTGTTCTGGCTCGGGTTGCCGGGTTTGGGGGTAATTGGGCTATTGAGTATTAGGGGGATATAGATGGGAGAATGAATATATTAAGAATTGTAGAAGTATCTATGTGAAGTGTTTTTCTGGAAGTTTTGTGGTTTGGGGCTATCGGGTCATGGATTTAGAGTTAATGTCCGGGTAAAGAGGGCCTTGGCAGAACAGGTTTGGTAGATAAACTGCTAGTATGAAGGTATGAATTTGAAAATTCAATATTGAACTTAAAATATTCTATCATGTAAACAGGATGCTTTATTCTAGTTGGAATTGAAGTGGTTGAATCATGACGCATTGGCACTTTTTCCTCTTTTGGCGATGTGGGCACTTATTCCGGTCTCTCCCGAACGAGAATTCGATTTTAGTTATCAGATCGATCATGGAAGACTGGAAGAATAACCTCAGTCCCGAGAAACAAGGCACACTGAGTTTTACTCATTTGCTATCCCTGACCATTAACTGCTCTCAGAATGGACCCAAGCAAGTGGTAGTGAATTGAATTGACTCCTCGGAAGAGCATATTTGTTGGACTTGAGCTGGACCAAATACCAGTCACACCGGAGTCCTGAAAATTTAGACATAGAATTACATCGAGTAGAAGTATACGAATATAGCTCGGTGTCTACGTGTAGTTACTGCTTAAAGGACTATATGGTGGTCGAATTGGACAAGTAGGAAGCTCAATCAATGGGTGTACCTCGGAATTGGACAGTCACGCAATAGTCAGCTCGACGCTCGTTTGGCAGCAGAATTGAAATACCATACAAACCTAATGGTACATAAATATGCTGTATCATTTCTCTGTTTCATGCATGCGGCTCGAGTCTCGATGGTGTCCACCAGAACACTAAGGCATGTTTACTCTCGGTACACTATTCCATCTCGCTATACTCCGTAATTTACTCATGTTGAGCTAGTAAGAAACCCCTAGACAGGAATATGACCGGTAATAAATTTCGTGCAAAATTGAGAAGTAATCCAATTTTCTAATAATCATGCATTTTCTGTAACGCTCTTCTGTTCTATCCTCTGTGTGCATATGTATTGCACAGCAGCAAGATGGTTACGCGGCCAACAATGCAAGTACCCGCCGGTTGCCAGGTCAAGAAGGAGAGGAGTTGATGCATCGCAACGATGTAATCTGTAGGGGGAATTATCTATTCTTAACTACAGGTTCCACTGTCCGGGGATTATTGATTGAAGATGTGGTCGAGACCGGGGGTGGAGAGAGTCGTGCAGCAGTTAACAAGTCTAGACCTATAGTGGGTGCCTTAGGCTGTGAATTTGAAGGACGAACCGGCCAGTCAGAAGCCGAGGCAAAATCTCCCTTAAGAACACTCGTTCTCGAGGCCAACTGGTGCACCGTGCACAAGACGAACCTTGGAACCGATGCAACATGGTCGCACATTTGGAAAAAGTAGGCCAAATTTAATATTCAATGGGCCCGCCTAACATTGATATCCTACCTAGGATCAAAGATGGATTGTACTGTACATCTTGAATTTCCCTATATTTAGTCAATGCACCTACAAAAACAAGAACTCATCCAGCTCTCCACTTCCTTGATTCTTCTCTCCAGTTTTCAATCAACCATTCATCGCTGCACAACCCCCAGGCTAGCGCCCGTTAGCTTCGACCAGCGAGCCGATCGTAGCCCGGAACAGTTCTTCTGTGGATCTGTAACTCCCCCAAGAAACTCGCCCTAAACCCTACATAGGTTTAGCGGGCTTGTCAGGAGAGACAATTAGGGGAGGATTTCCCTCAAGCAGGTGTTCAAGCAGGTTGCTGGACTTGTTGGAGTGGTTCTTGTGGAGAGACCCTGTTTCCCCCTAAAGAATAAGTCCGCCACTTTGGTACCCCCTCACGTCCAACGCACTGCAATCCCTCCTTCTTTTCCAACCTCCTGCTGGATCTCTTTTTTTGTCTGCTAATTCTTTTATTCTTGTCGTTCATTTATTTCATTTCTATTCATTTCTCTATATCTTGCATTGTTTGCTTGTGCTTTTCTTGCAAATAATTCGGTCGCTTTTGTACATCACCACTTTCTTCGACCCCCTGACTCGCTCACCTCAACTTACGCCATTCCTATCTCTTCAACCACGAAATCCATCTGATATCAACATTTTTCTCAGCAAAGGATCACGTCACAGCAACTCTTCTAAAGTCCATTGACCGTGGAAAATATCGATGCTGGCCTCATTCCACCGTTACTAGATCCGTCGTTGGATCATGCGTTTCTCACCATGCCTGCTTATCGCGGGCCTTTCGACCAGTGTCCACGCCTTCTACCCCTATGAGCTCAAAATAGAGGCTTCTGCAAGCATCTCATCCCGGGAGAATGTCCATCGCCGATTCTTCCCCTGGACGCTGGTGTCGGATAGCTCGGACGACGCCGCGGATGCCAAGCCATTGACCCTCGACATCAAGAAGGTTCCCGTTCGTCGTGATGACACCTACAAAATTGTCGAGTCCAACACTCCGACATTGCCAAACAGTGCCGCTCTCAATCAGGATGGCCAGGACTTTTCTTATTTCTCCGTGGTGGAGGTAGGCTCGCAGAAAGAGGAAATGTGGCTTGCTCTTGATACTGGATCGCCCAGTAGCTGGGTATTCAGCGCCAGCTGCACCGACAAGGTCTGCACTACTCACCACAGCTTTAATACGTCTGCCTCCAGCTCCTATGCTTCGAATTCCTCGGCCTTTAAGATTGGTTATGGAAGCGGGTGGGTCAAAGGCGACCTGGGACAGGATGTTTTCTCCATCGCGGGCATGGATGTGACCTTGTCATTCGGAACGGCTACCTTCGCGAACGATACCTTCTCCAACTACCCACTCGATGGCATTCTCGGTTTGGGTCGGTCGAGGACTGGCGGCTGGGGTATTCCCTCGTTCATGGATATCGTTGCCAAAAACAAGTACACCACCTCGAATATCGTCGGATTCAGCCTTTCTCGTGCCAGTGATAACAAGAAGGACGGTGAAGTCAACTTTGGAACGGTCGATACATCCAAGTTTGATGGGAACATCACCTACACGGCAACCAACGCAGATACCTGGACGATTCCGATGGATGATGTCTATGTGAATGGACAAGCTACCGGCTTGACCAACAGGTCCGCTACCATCGACACGGGAACCACTTACATCCTCATCCCTCCAGCCGACGCTAAGACTCTCTTTGCTCGTATCCCAGGATCCTCCCAGTCGGGTGAAAATTACATCATCCCTTGCAACTCAACCGCAACCTTGGAGCTTTCTTTCTCTGGTATCAAATACTCAATTCAGCCGGAGGACTACATTGGCGCATCTAGCACTGGTGGCTGCGTTTCCACCATTGTCGGCCACCAGTCATCAGGTGCTAATGACTGGCTTGTCGGAGATGTCTTCTTGAAGAACGTGTACTCGGTCTTTGACTTTGATAACGGTCAGATTGGATTCGGTGCTCGCTGTGCACCTAACACGACTGGAAATGGAACATTTACCGACCCGAGTTCTACCGCTACTACCGGTGATGCTGCTGCTACTGCTGCTGGCACTGGCACTGGCACTGGCACTGGTAGTGTTGGCATCTCCACCACCAACGCCACGATTTCTGCGACGACGACCGCGGATACAGTGATGCACACTGGTGCTGCATCTCGTCTGTCCCAAGGCGTGGGTCTCTCCCTGCTCACAGCTATCACTGGGTTGCTCTTCCTCTAGAGTTTGCAACACTCATATTATCAACCTTCTCGCCTCAACAAATCAATAACGGGCGCCTCCACCACTTTCTCCCGAACACATATTCGCCCACCTTCAACCCGCTGAGAGCTACCAATTCCGTCAGCATCTACTCATTTTCTCGTGCATACCCACCGACTCTCTTTCCATCGGCGTTATCTTCTGTTAATATTCACCTTCCGGCTCCGCACATGTTTCCACCGGATTTTTCGACAATACCTTCTTTTTTTTTTTCTCTCTCTCCGACGATACCCCCTTTTCGCACATACTATTCGTTTAATTTTCTGCACCGGGGACGATTTCATCGTCGAACTTTCGTTTCTTGCATCTAGAGCTGCTGTCTCATTTGCGCATATCATTATGGTCGTCACCTTGTTGGTGGATTCGACTGGCTGTACTATTAGAATACGATCTTGATCCTCACCCTGATGATGGAGGTAGCTATCTTTGTAATCAAATCTATCCATCAATGCACAATTTGAATATCTGTCAGACATTACCTTTTGAGTATTGATTTGTGAGTGTTGGAGATTGTTGAGAGCCGTACGAGTTTGTCATCGCGGGATACTTAACCGCCATTGTATTTGCCTATGATGCGTCGTTGATTCCTAGTCTGAATCAGATATTGCAGAATCGTGGCTCCATTGCAGGAGTGGTGTATAATTAGTTACGGTCCTGCCGACTGTGGGCGATAGTTCGGACGATTTCTCGGCCGACGGGACAAGGCTGGACTTGTGGATTGTGGATGACCGGCCTGTCATCAAGCCGACGGCGCAACATCCAATAGAGAGGACCGTGGTTTTCAATTTCATAAAGAGTTGAAGTAGGGGGGTCCATCTCACGAACTAATTTTTACAACTGATCATTCAGTTTCTCAAATCTATATACTGGACTTTACGTTACTCTCAATTAACTACCCGCTATAACCTCAACCGCCAACTCGCCACTGAATCCTTCGCATCTCGCGGATTCCACTCTCGCCCGCTGAACACAACCCTATGAACGATATCCTCAATAGCCAAAAATCATGACACCTACCGTCCCACCAACAATGCGTGCCTGGGTTCGCCCCCATCGCGGCCCCGCAAAGAACATCCAACTATCCACCATCCCCACACCAGCCCTGCCGCCATCATCATCCTCAGACGTCCTAATCCGCGTATCCCACGTCTCCCTAACCTTCAACACCAAACTAGTAATGGCTCTAATTCCAAACACACCACTAACAAGGCCGTGGGTCCCTGAAATCGAATTCTCAGGCGAAATCGTCGCTGCCGGCGCAAACGCACCGCCAGAAGTACGCGACCCCGGCACGCACGTCATTGGGTTCGAAAGTGTTCTGAATTTCGCCATGGGCCACGGCGTGTTGGCGGAATACGTGCGTGTTCCGGGCAGTCATGTTGTGCGTGTTAGCGATGAGATTGATATGGCGTCGGCGTCCGGGATTAATACGTCCGGGAGTACTGCGTTGAAGATGTGTCGGACGGCTGGTGTTAGGGAGGGTCATGTTGTTTTAGTTAATGGGGCTAGTGGGTCTGTTGGATCTGTTCTTGTGCAGTTGTGTAAGGTCAGGGGGGTGAGGGTTGTTGGTGTTGCTAGTGGAGGGAACGAGGAGATGGTTCGTGGACTTGGTGTTGACGAGGCACGTTTATCTTCGCCAGGGGACTATGCGAATAACGAATTGATACTAATTGCATTTTCTAGTTCATTGACTACCGCAAGAATGACCCGCTGCCAGATTACCTGGCCAGTCACTATGGTGATAAGCCATTCGACTTTATACTAGACTGCGTCGGCACGCAATCGCTTTACGCAAATTCGCCGGCTTATCTCAAGCCTGAAGGTGCTGTGGTGAATATCGGTGCTCTCGAGGGTATATATGTGACGGCATTCAACATCCTCGCAAATAAATTCCTGCCTACCTGGCTGGGTGGCGTGCCGCGCCGTTATATCACGTTTAGCACGCCGCCGACTCGCGATGCCGCGATTTATATGGCGCACTTGGCAGAGAAGGGCCGCATTCGTTTTCCCGTGGACTCTGCGTATGATATGGAGGATGCTGTGGCAGCGTACGAGAGGATTGCTACTCAACGTGCCAGGGGAAAAGTTGTGATTAAAGTGCGAAGTGATTAAATCGGGATCTGGAATTGTACTTGGGCAACTGGAAATGCGTTTTTATTGAAAGACTCGAGTATAGCCGTATCACTCTCATATCTTAATGTTAATCTGATTCGGACATGTTCTCCTCGTGCAAGGTCATTGAGACCCCCTCCACTTAATTTGGGCTAATAGCCCGATCTTAAAATCTCTGCTATCTTTACAGATAGACAAGAAGAGCCTCGGATGCAGCCACTGTGAAAGTCGCCTTTCCACTAGAGACAGTCGCCGTTTCGACACTCTGCGTTCCCTGAATAGCGCAGGTTCCATTGACAAACGTCTGACCTGCAACAGTTGGATTGCCACCCTGATCAACTCGAGAGGTGGCGTACGGAGCCGTGAGACGCTTCGCAGTGACGCTTGACGCGGACAGACCTGACAGAACGAATGTCTGCGAGGAGCGCGTGCCGCTGGTGTAGTAGTCGGAGTTATACAGCAAGACCCTGACGGGGGCACCAGACTTGTAGATCGCGTAAGCTGCATATGCTGTGGTTTGACTGTCTAGTGGTGCGATTTGGTCGGCATTGGCCAAGGCCATGGTTGCGAAGTAGGCGCCGTAGTAGGGGGCGCCCATGTCATAGCGACCCCACCAGCAGTACTGGCCTGTTATACCGTTTGTAAGAGTGATATCCCGCATTACCAGGGAAGATCGTTACTTACAATTTCCAATGGTACCTTGGTGGAAATAGAGGGCCTGGAGGGAGTGATGTATTTAGCGAAATCCATCCTCAAGACCAACTTAACCAGAGGAGAAATATTACCTTGGTGCCCATGAGAATGGTCTGCATAACGTAGTCAAGGATCCAAAGAGCAGCTCCAAAAGTCGGGCTGATACCACCGCCACCTTGGGTTGCTAGACAGGTCATCAGCAAATATTCTCTCTTCTTGACAGAGAACAGACTAACCAGAGTTCGTTTCACCGAAAATATGCGGCTTGCCCTCGTTGGCAGCAGCGGTAATCTCAGACGAATATCCACTGATCTGAGAAGCAATGCTACTATGCCCCATCAGAGTCGCGAGATTGGCAGTGCTAGCTGACTGGGGATAATTGTGGGAGCAATAAGTCTTGACATAGTTATTCGCAGTTCCTTCAACTGCAGTCAGCCCGGAGATACTCATGGGCGATGTGCCAAAGTACACTCCGGCTGAAATTAGATCAGTTGCGGATAAGTTGCCACAGACTTCATCCTGCCATGTAACTTGAGAGGCATAGTCGGCTGCAGCAGTCCATGAGGCACCACCAGCAATGGGATCACTGCTAGAATAAACTATGAAAATATCTCAATCAGTATTTAGATCCAAAGAGAGAGAAATAGTTGGACCTCACAGTTTGGCTCATTGCCGAGCTCCATGGCATACAGGTTGGATGCTTCGCTCTGAGCAAGCTTAGCTGCGGAGATAGAGTTGACAATATTATTCAGACGACGGTTCAAGCCCAGAATAATTTCTCCGCCGTAACTTGCAGCCAGTGAAATGAATGACGGCCCATAGGTGAGGGTAGTCGGGGCATCTGCCGAGCTGGCAACGGTATAATTGACGGCCAGAGTCAACGACGGATCGTATGTGGCGCGGTCCCTGGTGAAGGTCAGTAAAGAATGGAATCAGATGTATGGTACAGTTTGACTAACTGAGTCGTGCCTCCAATTCGAAGAGGCGGCCATGTTCCTGTCAGGTCTTTCAAGTTTTGGAGACAGGTCGTGGTTGCCGCAACATTGTTCATATATGCCGGAAAGGTAAAAAATTCCAACCTAATGGACGGTTGGCAGAGATTCTCAAGAATTGGTAATCCTACTTACGAGACACCAACAGGGGCAGCCGAGAGTTGCCCACTGGAATTAGACGGTGGCGATGAAGGAACAGTAAAAGTCAGGTCTGCAGCTGCTACACCCCACACCAGTAGGGACGAGATGAAAATGGAGTGAGCCATCCTTTCTCTCTTCAAATATCGAGTATTGGCTGCTTCAAGATTTGATTTTTGTTGATGAGACAACTAATCCAAGACCTTTCAAGGGTACTTGAGACACTTTTATATACAGCATTGCAATGATCCGTCCAATTCTTCAGCATCGACTAGTCTGGGGAACCCCACACTTCAGCCAATACCAGTTAAACCTCCGCATAACCCCTGGCGACATAAGGTCTTCCCGCCTTCAGGGTTTCTTCACAATAGAGCAGTGTATTGCCTCGGAATGTATTACATGATGATTGGATACAATCATTATGCGTCTAGTCGGCGACTGAAACGGCTATTGACGGTGCAATTTCTTCCGAAAGTTATACCGAGAAGGCTGGATTTTTGTCAAGTCGGGCAGGGATGTGTGGCGCCACTACTCAAAAGATATGCCACCAGTGTCATATTGCTAAGTCTTGGACGATACATCCGGAGGAACATAATATAATGACCCACTTTTCTAGCCTTCTCAAATGTATGTTTTACGAGTGCTATAATGTTTAGTTCTCTCTCTCGTGCTGATTTTATACCGAGAGACTGTTGAATCGAGCAACAAAATGATGCCCTTAGGTAACAAAATACTTTCGCCGGAAGGGTCTTTTGAAGTCACGGGAGACAAACTACCCCGGCGGCTCCGCAGGAATTTATCCGGATATAGACAAGCGCAACGGAAGCCCCATGTTTAACGCGCGGGGAAGGCCATTACTCTCTTTTAATAGTGATGGTATGGAGAATTTTGAAGATGATGACTCTGTGAGATACCGGTTTCCAAATCTCGGAGGACTTGGTAATATCCTCCAAATCCTCAACCGAGATCTAGTGTGCCGGATCGCTTAACAACTCGAGCTTGTTGGTAAATCATCTCGGTTGAACCGAGCTACGGAGGAAATATGAGCTAGCACTCGGACTATAGACCAAATTGGGAGTAGCTTTATTCGCTATTAAAGCATTGCATGCCATTGGTTGATAATTCGGGGTAAATCAATGCGAAGCATTCGCCGCGCCGGATGAGCTATTCACTCATAGGGCTATTTGTCGGTCTACCGAACTAATCAAGTTCGCCTACAAAGTCTATGGCTTGTGATCGGCTATTGAACCAGAATGGAGGTAACAGAAGGGCTGATTTGATTTGTTGCTAGTCAATTAGCCAGCCCAAGAACACCCAAGCTCCATCCTCCATGCTCTGGCCCCCGCATTTTCATCCTAGCGGTTTGGGGAAGAAAAAAGCGAGATAAGTCACAAGCTGTCCGGTTTAGTTCTCCAACGCCAGTCCTTCGTGGTCTTTTATCCCAAATTCAATAAATATAAACGATTTCCCACCTTGCATGAAGTAAGGTAGCGGCTTTCTCTACTATTTGCAGCTACCGGTCGCGCAATGGATACCATCAAGGTAAACAGTGAAGCTATTGAGAATGCTTCTGCGGAGAAGCGACCTACGACACCGGCCAAGGATGGCGAGCCAGTTATGCGCTCTCGAGAGGATGATCTCGGTGTCTGGCAGTGCGCACTCCGATTCAAAAGAGCGTCTTTGATCGCGATGGTCGCTGCTTTCAGTGCCTCGCTCGATGGGTACCGTAAGAAAAATTGATTTTTTTTCTCTGCTCTTCGAAAGCGATTTACTAATTCACAACATTCAGAAATCAACCTCAACGGCGGCATTGTTTCGAACAAAGGTTTCATCAAGCAGATGGCCTCCCCGGGCACAACAGTCATCGCGGGCAAATACGTTTCAGCATGGTCAGGTATTCAGTCTACCGGCCAGACCGTGGGTCAGATCGTATGAATCCCAGAATTCCCTGTTGGAGATATGTGACTGGATGTATTGACCTTTGCCAGTTGCTTCAATATGTCACGGAGAGATTTGGTCGCAAAATGGCGTTGTACATCATTTGGGTTGATCTGGTTATTGTGAGCATACACCCGGCGGGGCGAGAACTCCACGCCACAAAGTTTGCTAATTGATTCCCGTTTCGGCACAGAGCATCTTCCTCGAAACCTTCGCGACGCGCTGGGATCACTGGCTTGCAGCCAAATTATTTTCGGGTATGGGTGTGGGCATGCTGCAATCTACGCTGCCTCTGTACCTGTCTGAGCTTGCTCCAACACAACTGCGAGGATTCTACATCAATGCATATAGCTTGTGAGTTTGACTTGAACCCTTGAGATCACTTTTTTAATGCTGATCTCCAAATCTTTTTAGTTGGTTCGTTGTCGGTCAAGTCTTTGCTTCGGTGGCCTTGAACCAACTGTCCGCAAGCGACCCCTACGAGTTCCGAGTTCCAATTTACACCCAGGTATGTCAGATTCCGGTCCTCAGATAGTTTATGCTGGAGTATAACTAATGTATGATTCCATTTAAAAGTGGGCTATGGTTGGAGCCATTATTTTCATCTTTATACTTCTGCCAGAGTCGCCATGGTGGCTTGTAAGCAAAGGCAAGCTCGACAAGGCATCCAACGTGCTCAACGTTGTCAACGGCAAAGTCGAGGGATATGATGTCCAGGAGCAAATTGTATGATCACTTCCATCCGAATTCTATGGAACCTCCCTGCTAAAATCCTTCAGGAAGTCATGACCACGACCGTCGCGCACGAGCGCATTCTCGCAGAGGAGAACTCCAAGCAAGACACTTGGGCCGTTTTCAGAGGCCGCAACTTGATCAGATTCATAATTGCTAGTTGGCCAAAGATCGTCCAGCAGTTTGTTGGCTTGTCCGTGTTCAACTCAAATGCTACCTATTTCTGTGAGTGATACACATGGCATGTTTTTGTCAGAGCTTGCATGCTAACAAAATGGACCACTCTAGTCCAAAATGCTGGAAACAAGAACCCATTCCAAGTCACCGTGATTTTGTCATGCGTCCAATTAATCTCAGTCCTTGTTACCGCTACAACCACTGATCGATTTGGTCGTCGACCTCTGACAGTCTATCCCTACGCGGTTACTACCGTGTCTGTCTTGTGTCTCGGAATCATAGGATGTTTTGACTACACTAAGCAATCTACAAGCTCCCTTTTGGTAAGAATAGATCTGGCGGAGCCCTTCAAAGATCTTGCTAAGAATTGGATATAGGTCTTCTTCGCTTGCCTGGCGACATTTTCAACCACAGGCGCCTCAGCTATCGGATATGCGTACGCCGCAGAAGTTCCCCAACAGCGCCTCCGTGCAAAGACTGCAGGATGGGCCCTTGCCTTTTCCAATGCTATTGCCATCATGCTTAGCTTCTGTACGCCACTGATGATCAACGGCAGTGCTAAATGGGGCGTTAAAACCGGCTTTTTGTATGACAACCTGAGAACGTTACCCATTGGACCATATCAATTTAAACTAATTCTCTATCTTCTTTCACAGCTTTGCTGGAACCGGAACAGTCTCCACAGTTATTGCCTGGTTCATCCTTCCTGAATTGGCTCGTCGCACTCCCGCTGAAATCGATGAGATGTGAGTTCTCCAGAATCGTGAGAAATGCTCGGAGCTGACATGTTTTATCTTTCAAGGTTCGAGAAGAAGGTTAATCTTCGCAAGTTCAAGGGGTATGTGACAGAAGTTCAGATGCGGGCCAACGAGCAGCATCAGAATGAGGAGCATGCCACCGCATGATTGGTCAAATCGGCAGGTTTATTGGAGGAGAGCCCCAACATTTTAGGGAGGTTGTCGGTCATATGCCTTCATGACCTTTTCAAGATTGTACGGGAGTGAACGGTGATCTAGTTGATTCCGTTGTATGATTGCGAGACGAATCGAATTTCTACAGAAGTGATGTTTTTAATCTTCTTGCCTTGATTGTAACAGGAAATCAAGTTATCGTTTCAATAATAATAGGCAACCTTCCTAGTTTCCGTAATAATGACACGACGCTACCGTAAGATGGACTTTTGCCCTACCCTTGGATCCCCCTTCTGCTTAGTTGATGGGGTAAAAATGTTCGAGTAAGTTGACAAGTAACTCATGGAACTTCCAACTTGCACTATATGAGATTCATGTGCTCTGCACAAGTCTTCGATCAAGCCAACGACTAGCACGATGTAGTATCAATTTAAAAAGCAGCAGTATAGTTCTATTTATCTAATATCTCAAAGCTAATGCAATTTAAAGACCAAATCAAGATGGCTCAACACCCCGTGATTTATCTCTTGCCCGCCAGGAAGCTGACTTATCACCTCGACCGGTTGATCAAGTCTAAGCTCCACGTGCGTCTCATTGCTGTTTCCCTGACGCCAGGAGACATGAGCAATATTCTCACGTCCAAGGCAAATATTCGCCTCAATCGATTCACTCAGTTGCAAACGAGGCTTGAAGCGTATCTTGGAAGATCCGGGCGCTACTGGGGAAATGCCAGCTAGCTCAGTACAGTATTCATAGATTGGAACGCTACCCCACGCGTGACAGTCTGAACGTTGGCGAACGTCATCCTCTTCCCAGGTTGACAGGTTATTGGCAAGCATTTGGCGCCATGGCGCCCACATTGAAGTCCAAAATTTGTCGTAGATTTGGCCTCCAGCCTCCGCAAGAGCCCGGAATGCGTAGAATCGCATCATATACGAGCACTTGGAGAAACGAGGATTCGTGAAGCTTTCGGTCAAGATACGCTCATGCTGGTCCGGAGTGGCAGCTCCACTAAGGACAGCGAATACTTGGCAGTGTTGAGAATAAGATAGGTCATCCGCAACGTCTACCGTAGAGTCTGTGAAGAATTCACCGTCATAGCAGTTTTTGCGGATAGCCTCCAGGAGTCTCGAAGCCCGATTCTCATATTCTTCTGCATTTCCGGGCCGTCCAACGTGACGGATCAGTTCAGCACCCTTCCGGAGGACATAAGCGTATAGCATGCTGAAGTATGCGTGACGGTTGGATTTCCGACCGGATGTTGGCACACCTTTGTCCGGATGTTCATCAGTCGCACCCCATGTTGTCACCCAGTCAACGTATTGCCAAATCTCCTCCGGAAGCCCACTGACAAGGCCCAAGTCATCGATATGGGAATCGAAAAATTCGAAGACCCCGTCGATACGCGGAACGAAGCTGCGTGCAAAAGATTTGTCTCCAAAGAACATAAAATGATCACAAATTTGGAGAACCCAATACAAAGAAAATCCAGCAATAATCTGTGGGGCATGCGATGGGAAACGCGACTGAGTGAGGCCACAGGGGGTCACCGAGGCGGCGAAGTTGGTGATAGCTTGTCGCATCAATCGATCATCGCCAGATAAAAGATAATGGAATAAACCGACGGATCGAGTATCTCCAGAGTACCTGTGGAAAGTGAATATTGTCAGTAACAATTATTTTTGGACCTCAATGGGTGACTTACTGAAGTTGTTCATAGAAGGGACAATCAGAATAGCCGTCAAACATGCAGTTTCGCATTGTCCGAATCGACACATCCCAAATATCTTCACTGTGCACATCCCCTGCTTCTTTCCAGCTGGCTTTAACCGCCATAGGATAGTTGACCTGGGTTGCTTCAAAAGACTTGAGTTCAATTGGCTCCTCGCCCACAGTGATTTCAAGTCTCATGACTCGGAAAGTCCGGAACCAGAATGGCTCATAAGATGTCTCCTTGTCAGAAACCTTGAGAGCAACTTCATCATACGGACCGATGATGTGGCCACCCTCGGCATCCAGCCGATCAGCCTTGGACCGGAAGAAGGGATATGAACGGGGTTCAAGTTCGTATCCTTCGGAGTATGTCACTTTGAGCTTGATCTCGGACGGTTTGCTGGCAGCCTTGAAAGTCCATCTGATAAAAGCGGTTGAATGGCAATCGGCTTGTATCTCAAGAATGTGTGATGAGCCCTGGGGAAGAACCAAGGGATGACCTCCTAAATGGAAGGCTGTCCAGTCATCGGCACTGAAACTGCTTTGACACGATCTGATCGTATTCACAATTGCTGGGGTTGACTCGGGCGTAGGAATTGGGCGTGGATGAAGAGCCCAAGGAGCAATATCTCCGTTCAAGGTTCTGATACCGTAGGGAACAGGCGTAATTTCCGGGACTGGGTCGGTCGGAGCGATACGTTCGCTAATCTGAACGGAAGATTAGCACGTTGAGTGGCGAGGAACCAAAGTAATAAAGCGCACTCACATGGAGGAAAACATCGTCAACCAGTCCCGTTGGAAACTGAACAGACTCGTCTGGGAAAGCTCTCCAGCCCTGGCAAGAGCCAAGATCAATGGTCTCGGCACCAGCCTCCACATGGCCAACAATCGTCAATCCCGGGAGAGCTGTTCGCTCGAAAGCCATAGCTCCACGCGAGGACGCAAAGTACCGCAGTACCGCAAAGCGGATCTCATTTTCCCCAGGCTTCAAGTAGGGTGCAATGTCAAGCGAATCGTAGTACCAGATCAAAGGACTGCTTCTGGTAGGTCCAACTGCAACGCGCACTCCATTGACGAACAATTTGTACCGCGTGTCCGCGGAAAAGTGTAGTTTCGCCTGAGTAGGAGATGATGGCAAGGTAATGTGGCGAACGAAATTCACGATCCTGCCCGCTGTATTCAAACTTGAGGAATCTACCCAGTTAGGGATCCAAATCCAGTTTGCCTGGAGGGCATTGACGATCTAATTCAATCAATTGGTCAGTATGGTGGTTGCAAAAAAGGACTTTGTAGAAATCTACCTGTTTATCCTCTTTGGAGATCATTTTCAACCCTGACAATTATTTAGCTAACCGTTGGATCGAAGGTAATGCGGGGGCGGGGGAGACTTGTATTGTCGCGCCCGGTGGAGTCTCGGGGGATTTCAAACCGAAAGAAGCTCCGTCGGCTTTTGAAAAAGCCTCACAATTTGGATCTTTCCATGCTAGCAATTTCCTAGACTCAGCTGTGGGTATTTGTCTCGGAGACTGGAGTCTCCGCGGATAGAATGACGGAGTATAATTGATTCGAGAAGCGAGGATATTCCGGTGATGTAACTGAAGGCAGCCGAAAAGACACGTATTTCAACTTTGACAGTTGGTAACGTGGTCATTTCGGTTAAAGCAGAAGTTTATATGGCTCATACATATTCAGCTTCAAACATCACCCTTGAATTAAGCTTTGGTCAACAAAGTGGATTTGCCCTGCGTGGTGACGAACACATGGTTATGGATGTGCATACGTTGCTGCCTGACAACTCAGGCAGCCAATCCACATTCACACCTCTCCTATCTCTTCGTCATGCTTACCTTCTTTTCTTTACCAATCACCCTTATTAAATGCCTCTAGTCTTTATTTGGCTGCAGTGAAGAAATTGGAAATTGTGAAAACTTCTTTCAAACAAAATTTAACAGCCTTTCTATCTCGAATCCGTGTTGGTACAAATGTCTTTCTCAACATATTCCCGACTACCTCTTTGAGTGCTTTGTTGAGATCTATGACTCAGTATGTTTCGTAGTTATCAAGTGTGCCTTGCATTGGAATATTCTCTAGCACGCCACTAGGTTTCACTTGATAATAAACTTTAGTTGGGAAAGGGACTCACTGTCCGTAACCTATCTACCCTGGGGGACTAATAGACATAGTCTTTAATTTGTTCAAGAATATGAATCATCATCTATAACAAAGACAGTTTCTCTGGAAATCTCATCGAAGTTTGATTAAATTCCGATCATTGGAAATATATCTAGTCCGTCCTCTTTATACAAGTACCGGCAGAGAACATGGCGGTGCCCGTGCCGGTGATCTTCGGCACTTCCTTCCCGAGAATCCCCGGGTTGCCGGGCGCTAACCGAATCAGGCTCATCCCTCGGGCACGCCAACAGCGTCATCGCCAATACTAATAAGACTACTCTCTGCCATTCCAACCACTGATTCACTAAACAACTATTCACACCATGTTCGGCCTTGCAGGAAAAAGGACCGCTCTCGCCCGGTCTAAGTGTCTGACACCGAGATCACTCCCAGTTCGCGCTGCGGCGGTCACTCAGTCACCTTGCACCAACACCAGAGAATTCCGCGCAACGCCGACGAAAGAGGCGTTCAGGCCGACATGGATGCCAATGCGGGTCAAGACTCCTTGGATCGAAGCCTTAACTCGGAGTCGTGAGGCTGAGCGTGAATCAAAGGCGGGTGTGTCGCCGCCAACGCCTGTCAAGCCGGATCTCACGCCGAAGAAGATGTCCGACAGTTACTATAGTGCGGTATGCATTAAGCCCTGAAGAGGTTGCGAGAAGCACATTGCTAAGTGTATCCATTACAGATTCTGCCATTAGCTCAAGATAAGTGGCTTTTGGATACCTATCTCAATGCCTCAGGGCATATTCGGTAGGAACCCGTCGCTTGGTTAGTCCAGAGATCAGTAATTAACGGCTTCTTAGACTTGGATCATTGGTCATGGACCTTGACGCCTTGGCTGGAGTTATTGCGTACCGCCATACCGGTGATGGTGTTAGCACTGTGACTGCTGCCGTGGACCGAATCACGATCGAGCACCCCCTTATGGAAATCTGTGATCTCGAGCTTAGCGGTCAAGTCTCCTATGCCACGGGGCGATCCAGTATGGAGGTCTCCGTGCAGGTTTGCAAGGCGCGCCCGGAAGGACAGCCTGCGCAGCCTGAGGATGTTTTGATCACCTGTGCATTCACGATGGTTTCTCTGGACCCAGCTACGAAGAAGTGAGTTAAAGGAGTGCATTTCTGCTTTGCTACACTGTACTGATATTTATTATTCAGGCCTGTTCCAGTGGCTCCACTGATTGTCGAGACTGAGGAGGAGAAAGCTCTCTTCAAGAAGGGCGAGGAGAACTATATGGCCAAGAAGGCTCTGCGTAAACGCAGCCTTCTCGAAAAGGCACCCGACGATGAGGAGTCCAACTTGATTCACTCCATGTGGACCAAGGAGATGTCCTATATCAGTATGTACTGCCCAAACCTCCCTCATTTCCCAATCTAACACTCCGTATCAGACCCCCAAGTTCCCGCCATCCGCCCAGCAAACCAAATCTCCATGAGCGACACCGTCCTCAAATCAGCTATGATCATGCAACCCCAAGACCGCAACCGCCACAACTTCATGATCTTCGGTGGTTTCCTGCTGAAGCAAACCTTCGAGCTAGCATTCTGTTGCGCCGCCGCCTTCTCACACACCCGCCCCAACTTCCTCGCCCTGGACCCTAGCACATTCGAGAACCCCGTCCCCGTCGGCAGTGTGCTATACCTCCGTGCCACGGTGGCCTACACCGAGCCCGAAGAGCGCGAGGGTGGCCACAGTAAGTACACCAAGGTGCAAGTGCGCGTTGACTCGAAGGTGCGGGATGTGGAGCACGGCACGAAGAAGTCGACCGGCATGTTCAATTATACTTTCCTTGTGGAGAAGGATGTTGAGGTTATGCCGAAGACGTATGGAGAGTTTATGCTTTGGACTGATGCGAGACGTCGGGCGAGGAATGCGGCTGCTATTGATCCGGCGCATAAGACGAGTACGTTGCGGACTATCCAGGACAGTGTGACTGAGTAGATGGGTGGATCTGGGTATGTAAACCATGGGATATTGGGATTAGGGTCATGTAAATATTTTACCGCGGAGTATTCAAAAGATTCTGATTCTCAGAAAGTTCGATTGAAAGTGGTTTTATTCAAAGAGGCGATATTCATCCACATGATCCAGAATGCAAGACATGCGGAGTACTGTTCGTGATCACGTGGCTGGCGAATTTCCTAATTAGGAAATATGTTTGCTTCAAGTATAGACGACAGAACCAACCAGGAAACCCCAACAAGAACGAGACAGAAAATCAAATTCAATGACTCCTGCAGGACTTGAACCCAGGACACTCAAATTGACGTTCTTGAGGTGAGCATTTCCCTCCCTCAACCCCGGCCACCCAGTCATCGCCACCAACCCGCAACTATGCTCGCCGGCATCATGACACCATAAATCGACAGCTCCCGAGATACACAACTAAAAAAGATGCACGCACTAGGCCGTCTTGTCAAAGTATAGAGGTCCCAAAGCCCTCACATAGTAGGGGATTCTATGGGGTCCAGAGCTCCGATCATCGATAGGCTTAGTACGTGGTGGGAGGAGGGTGTTAGATGCGGTGCAAGATTGGACTCATAAAGAGCAAGGGCAGGACCGGCATCTCGGTATTCCCCGTCGCACGAGCAGGCTTCTCCGAAGATGCACCTCAAGGCCGAGGCAGCGTCAGTGTTGTGACTAAGTACTTGTGGAACTTTTAATATAGCATTGCAAGACTTAACCCACTGCACCACCTGGTATTGGGGAATTATTTTTTCACTCCTACAACGGTGTTTTGACTCTCGCGTCTATCCCCTTCTTTCCTTTTTGGTACTCCCTCACCCGGCCAACGTGAAGCTATTCCCACCCTCCCATGGTCCACCCCGTCAACACCACCCATAACAGCCCTCGAAGCTATTCGCATTGCTATTCCCTTCCTTCCGAACAATGAAGCTCCATATCTATCCTATACGGTTCATCCGCAGAGCCTACTCACTTTCTGTGCCCTATCCCCGCGATGCACATCTATACTTACTTCTCGTCTACCACCAGTTCAATGACACCCAACCCTTCTGTTGCAGCGCAGATATCTCATTATTCTTTTCAAAATTCTACACACTACAACATTCCCTACACCTGCCCCGAGAAGTTATTCCCCTTCTGCTTTCCTCCCGTTCCTTCTGCTAATTGCCTTCTACCTCCACAGGACTCGACATTAAACCCCCCACCAAACGTCGTCAGTCGTTGTCACGGGCACCCCAACTGGGGAAGCTTCCCACACGGCGCCATGACTCGAGTGGAACATGCTCTGTTCCATTTCAACCATCCTACCAATCGAGATTTGTCCCTGAAACCGCCAAAATCGGTTGACCCACGGTCCTCGTGTATGTGATCCTGAAGCAAATCCTTGGCCTCACGTTACAAGATCTCCACCCGGTCTGACCTCGCCCAGGATAGCAGCCGATCGGGTGTCTCCCTCCTCGCACAGGGCAAGCTCATAGAAATGCCATCCAGACACGACAAGCTTGAGGGGGATAATGATTAACAGCGACAATCGCTCCAAAGCCGCGGGTGTTGCTTGTTAGACCGCCAGCGTCGAGAGCACCAAGTCCGCTCTGAACGGCACTCGAGAAGAACAGCGAAGAGATCAACCCAGCACCCGAGGCGATATCTGAGACAATCTTTATGGCGGAGTTCTTGACTGGGTATTGAGGGACGAGTACATCGCCGACGGAGTGGGAGATGCCCACGACGACCTTCAACACCGTGGCGACCTTGCTCAGAATTCTACCGGTCTCAGCTCCAGCCATGGTGTCGGACGATTTCAATGGGTTACCGATCAGGCTGAGGAACCGGCTGTTCCGTGACAAACTTCAAAGAAGGGCTTCTGAATTGCCGTGGGAAGTTTTGGCTTGAGAGACCAGTCGGATTGGCCGAATATTTCTTGCAGTTCGTCCCAGTTGTTCGCTGAGATGGTGGCTTGTACGGAGTAGTCATTGGTAGGGAATGGTGGGACTTGTTCGATCAGCTTGTAGACAACTGTGAATTTGACAGCGGCAATCCAGCAGAGCAAGTCCAAGAAGGAGATATCGAGGACACCGACCTTGTTGAGAAGGTCTGAGATGATAGGGATGTGGATCTTGGTATCGAGCAGAGTGACGACTGATTGAGCCTCATATCGTGAAGCAGGGCAAGCAAAATATCCACCACAACCTGCACACTCGACAAGACCACGTCGGTCAGGATGCCCACGACACGTCGGAGAATTTCTTCGATGCTAAGGCTAGCAAATTCTTTTGCGAGCTGTTTCAGCTGTTCGTACGTCCCTTCGAGAACAGCACCTTCCTTCTTGATAGCCGCCACGAGGTCGTTGACGAGTTGTTGAACTACAAGCTGGCACCACTTGTGGCAGTCTTAGCGAAACAATTTGTTTCGAAGGATTTTCCCGTCAAACATGGCACACTGTTTACGGATAGTATACTGGAGCACAAAGTTAAATCTAGTCTTAGAAGCTACTCTAGCGACCTTGGACAAATTATACCAATAGACTTATGCCAGATGTTTCTGCAGCATGCAAGAGTGATCTAATTAAGTTGTAAGATTAACCGAGCCATTCAATTAGAATTAGTTAGATCGTTTCCTCGAGGAGAGCATTCCGGAGTATCCACACTTCAACGTTCTCACTCTTTCCCGACAATCAACTCCCACTCCACTTCCTTACGCTCTTTCCAATAGTTCGTCCCGCTGTGAACGAATCCGAGCTTTTGGAGAAGCCGGCCACTCCGTTGATTATCCCGTTCTGTCTCCGCGATGAATCTCGTCACTCCCTTCTCACGCATCGCCCATTGCACGACCGCATTCGATGCTTCTGGGGCAATGCCCTTTCCCCAAAATGCCGGGGAAACTCCGTATCTAATTTCAACCATCTCCAGCCAGTCTGGATAGGGCTCCTCTCCAGCTTCTTGTGGTGGAAGCGACGTCGTTGTTGCATCGCGAATTCCCGAGTATCCCACCCATTGAAGCTCATTCAGCCGTGCGCCGTTTGGACCCACAAACTTTTCAAACTCCTCCCCTCGCAGCATTGACACAGTAGAGCTAGAATCTTGCTGGGTTCCAGATCCGGGTTGTGGACGAAGCGCCACGGCGAAATCCCCAAGGCCACGTCTCCGCCACGAACGCCCAATATCGCGCGTCTCAATCACGTCGCGCGTTTCATCGTCATTCCAGTTCTTGACGGGAAAGCGCTCGCCGAAGCCCATGCGGCAAAATCCAGCATCTGCGTGCAATGCAGCGTACATCTCCCGATAGGGCGCCACATCTACTGCGATTGGCGTAGGAATAACGATAAGTCTGGGTGTCAGAATGGCAAAGGGCTCGGAAAGCCCTGTGTAAGACGGAGAAGCCATGCTAGCCTTGTATGATTGAATGTTGGGATACCGATGCTTATTGAGTAGTTTTCACAACCAAAAGGAACAGCGAAAGATACTGTAATCAGGTCTTCAGGAGTGTCGCTGGGAGGTTTCACTCTCCAGATGGCACCGAGATTTTTGAGTGCCGCGCCTTGTGGAGATGATCCACATGGCGGGGTCCCAGAAAGGCAAATTGGCTGATCCCGTAGATTATCCCTGCACAGGGCTAGGAATAGCATAGCCAAATTTCATGACCGGAAAGATGGCAGATAAACAAAGCGGCAAGGTTAAATCTATCGGAGAGGCGATTTAAAATCCCAATCAGATTAAAAAGTTCTCAGAATAGGTAAATTGAAACTTCATCGAAAATCTGCGATTTCAATAAACTACAATATCTCATCCGAATTAAGCTACTGTCCTTGACTGAATATCACAAATCACCATCAACCCTGACAAGGATCCCAAAGTCCTACGGTTCGAACATACCCCACTAGAAATTATAGCATATATCGTATGATTCCACTCGGTTTACTTCTGACCAACGGTGGCAGACCCTTCTGTGTCACGCATCTCACCACTTCAGTGCGATAAGCACGAAGATCTCGGAATTTTCGGAACGAAAGCTTACTTTGGTGTACCCCGGTCTCAGAGTGCCCCCAGGTCTCCAACGGGCAAGTGCAATGGGAATCCCATGGCTTCAAACAACTGGACAATGAGTAGGTAAAAACCGCAGACTTGCGACGAAGAGCGAAGCCCCAGCTCCCTATAAACAGAATTCAAGTTAATCTCTAGCTCAGTAGCCGAGGACCTTGTGATGGGAAAGGTATACACTAACCGATATTGTACTGATGAAAAACAGAGTAAGGCAAGATTGCAGGCCGCTATGTACTCGAAATGCCGAAGTAGGAGAATGCATCATGATCAAGGGGGCATAGGTTGCAGGCAGCAGTTGAAATGTTGTAAAGTGTCGAATTTAGAGCCGAAACTTGACATGTGATATAAGTTTGAATACAGGTCAAATATACCAAGAACTGCTCGTAGGTCGTGGAGCTTTATGGAATTGCGCTGTTTGAGATCGATATTCGCGTCACTCTGTACTGAATTAGAGATAACATGATCACCATACATGACTATTAAAGATGATACTGGTAATTTAGTGGCTTCCAATTCCTAGAACCCTACTAAAGCTCATCTCAACTGTAAAATGTAGCAATTTATGACTTAACAAAAACATCTTAGCTCGAAATATATATCTTGATTTCTAGGACCTCGCAAGTACATACTTGGAATTCCCCATCGATCTAACCAATTGAGGGGAGCTAAGAGGCGTTGTAGAAAGACTATGGATCCTTCTTAAAAACGGTCTAATGTTAAATTGGGACCCTCAATTGGTCATCTATCTTCAACGATGCAGGAGCTCTCTCCGGTCGGCCAGCATTGCCCCGCTATCTTGTTTCTCGTTGGTTAGGTATGGCGTACCCACCTAACTTCATCTCATTCGTTCACAGTTCTCCCTTTGATTATTATAAAATCTTGTGATTGGTCCAGTCCCTGCGTGTCGATAACTCCACGCTCCCCAGATCCCCAGTTTGGTGAGATATGCACCTTGAGCGAAGCAAAGGCACTATACACCACTCACAAAGCTCAAGAGCCCAAGCTGAAGATGATGCTGCCCATATTCGATATACATAGCGTGCTGCCGTTCCATTAAAGTGCCAATCTAAAAGCTAGTCTGAGCACGAGGCCTTATGATGGTTCCGCTGACCCGAATGGAGAGGACGTGCGCATACGGAGCCCCCCACTTAGCCCCCCGCAAAATTTCGATTCTCCCTAGAGATGAGCCATCTATTTCACCTTGGCATTCGCATGTCAACCTTACCCCTCCTATAGCCAGGATCCACTGGGAGGGACGGCAGTTTACAGTCGAGCACGGTAGTCTCTCCTTCCACCAAGCAATTTCTATTACGACACCCATCGTTCCACTATGGAGACCTCCCGTCGAAGTCAACATCATAGTTGCGACCCGTGTCGGAAAGGCAAGAGGGGCTGTGATGCTCCGGTTTGTATTCGTCTTCCCTCCAATTAGGAGCGGCATCTGACTGGTCACTATAGAAAAATCGAAAGGAGACAGGATTTAGCTCCTGCTCGAACTGCAAGAAATGGAAGAAGGAATGCACCTTCAATTTCCTTTCGTCGAAGCGTGTGGAAGCTAAGCGAGACCATCGCAAAGCAAAAGCTACTACTGCAGCTACAGCTATAGCTTCACCACAGAGTCGTGAGCTCCCTTCAAATTTCAACTCCCACGGCGATACCCTGGATGATTTATTGCTTTCTTCGCAATGGTATCCCGTGAACTCTGAAGGGATGGTTACTCCTGCCTCAACTACAAATCGTACCTCATTTTCTCCTCCTTCCCTAAATTTGGGTGGTAGCATTATCGAAGATATTGGAAGCCAGTCGTACGGCAATGATCAGTTCGAGTTCCCTTCATGGAATATAAACGCCCCAGAAGATTTCTGGTTCCCGGTGATGTCCACTCAAGACTTTGAAAAACCATTCAGCGAACTATCACCTAAATCGCTCGAAAATGCCTTTGATGGAATTCCGCATTTCGAAGAAAATAGTCTCGGAATGAGTACACTCGATTCTTCCGCTCTTAACATCATTGTTCCGGGATATAGAGACAACACACGGCAATACCCATCATACCAACTCAACAAGAGGCAAAAATCCAAATTCGAATGCCACTTCTGCATCGTCTCGAATAATACAGCCGCTGAATATGCTCGATCTACGATGACACAGAACTTGATTCGAATTTACCACGATAGCCTAGAGAACGCATTATCGTGTTGGCTGACGGAGCACAATTGCCCCTACAGTGACCCATTAACCGACGTGCTTCCTTATAAAGAAAGAAAAGAATGGGGCGCAAATTGGCCCAACAGGATGTGTATCCGAGTGTGTCGATTAGACCGTGCATCTTCTGGAGTTCGCGGCCGAAGTCTCAGCGCAGATGAGGATAAAGCCGCAGCGCGGGCACTTCATCTATCGATCATCGCATTTGCCTCTCAGTGGACTCAACATGCGCAGAAGGGTTCAAATATGAATGTACCACCGGAGATTGCCCGTGATGAACGGTCTATCAGGGAGAATGTGTGGAACCAGGCTCGTCACGCTTTAGAACATACGACCGGCATTCCTTCATTTCGTATCATCTTCGCGAATATCATTTTCTCTCTGACTCAATGTCCATTGGACGACGACGAAGACGAGCGTCTGGGCCAGCTCTTGGAGAATGACATTGCGCCGATGTTCCTCGAACATGCCAACCGTCAATTATTCACCTTCCGACACAAGTTGATAAGGCTTCAGCGAGAGGCTCCTTCAAACGCAAGGGAGCTCCGACGAGGATCTATAGGATCTACATTGACGGATATGTCGGAAATACCCAAGTTTTCAAACTCGGCGGCAGCAGATCCTACTCTCACGAATGACGAATATCGCACCACACTTAGCCTTTTGTTCTGGCTCGGAGTCATGTTCGATACACTGAGTGCTGCCATGTACCAGCGTCCGCTAGTTGTATCAGACGAAGACAGTCAAATAACCTCGACCACAACACCCGCATCCGATTTCGAAGACCAAGTCGATCTCAATGGCTGGAATGTCCCACGAAACGAAATCCAAAAGAAACAAGACGTATGGGGCGATTTCTTCCTGCGCCAAGCTTCCAGCCAAGAACAGGCAAGATGGCCCTGCTCCTACGAAGAAGCCGCCTCCGTACTCTCAGAAGCAACACCCGTCAAAGTCCTCCTCTACCGCCGCGTCACACAACTTCAAACCCTGGTCTATCGCGGCGTCGGACCAAAACGTCTCGAAGAAGTCATCAAGGAGACTCTCCTAGTCTATCACCACTGGAATAACACGTATCAGCGATTCATGCTAGACTGCGTCGCGAATCACGAACTCCTTCCACCACGTTTACAGTCATGGTACGTCATCCTCGACGGACACTGGCATCTCGCCGCAATGCTTCTAGCAGACGTACTGGAAACGGTTGATCGGGGACGCCTCGGTTTAGACGTTGAGCGCGAATCCCGACACTCTACGAATTTAATCACGAAGTTGAGAAGGGAGAATGCATTCGCAGTCGGTGCTCTTGCTCGCTCGTCACTTCGTGGGAAAGAGTCCATCGTTCGTGGTGATTTCCACGATTCACTAACCGAGGTTGCCTTTCTCACTGAGCCGTGGACTGTCGTTTTGATTCATTCGTTTGCGAAGGCGGGATACATTTCGTTGGAAGGTTTGGATACCTCTGTCAAGCAGGATTCGTTGTTTGAGTGTTTCCGGCAGAATTGTGAGTTTTGCATTTCGGCGCTTCAGTATCTTGGGAGGAAGTCTGATATGGCTATGTTGGTTGCTCGAGACTTGACGAGGAATTTGAATGTCAAGTATAATCAGCGATTGGTTGTAGTATAGTGTTACATAGTGAGAATGAGTGGATAGGATGTATACAACCGGTGCGTTTCTCTGGAATCATCACGAGGTTACTCACGTTGTGATCACTACAGTAGACACAAAATCAATCCAAGAAAAAGTAAAAAGAAGCCACCGACTGCGGTCTAATTTCAGATCCTATATACAAGGGGGAATATATACCTATATGAGCAGAAAAAAGAACGGGCTTTCTTTTCCAAAGCCCAAACCCATAAAAAGTCCAGACCCCCCAACCATGCACCGACTCCACCGATCATGACAAAAAAGAAAAAAGAGAAATACTCCGAATCATGGAGAAATGACAAAAGATTCAATCCACCCAGGTAATGATGCACCAGGTATACACGGAATCTGTAACCCAAACCCCAAGACCCAGGAACACACGAAAACTCCCCGTTCTGCCCTGCCCTGCTTTCCTTCGAACGGTATACCAAAATCACGGGAACGAAATAACAAGAATTGAAATAAGCACTGGTGGTAGAGGGGAGGTAAGCGGGGATCGTGTCACATCGTTATATCCAATGCCCGAGTGTGCCTTTCGTGAAAGTCACTTTTGATAAGCTTGGATGTTGTATATTTTAGGTGTGCGTTTGGCTTTTGGATTCGGGGGGTCCCGCGTGGAAAAACAGGAGAGTATCGACGCAGCGTATATAGCGAAGATTGAATGTGACCCATCACTCTTTCGAGAATAGGCACGATGAGAAGAAGCAATTCTGTCAGACAGCATTGCAGAAAAAGGCTAGACCACGAATCGGGCGCAACGCGCCCAAGCAAATGTCACTGCTCACTAAGAACCTCATCAATAGTGTTCGAAGTCAGCGATCCGCCTTGCGGCCCAGACACGCTCCCGGACTTATCCCTTGGCTCAGGCGGCTGCTCCTCCTTCATGCACGCATTCTCAAGAATATTAGTCCACTTGCCACTACTGCCTGCATGGCTATGCTTCAGATGCTGGCGGAAATGGTCTGCGCGGAAGAACTTCTTCGCATTATTGCACTCGCCGAATTTGTGCACAGTCGTTAGGTGCTCGAATCGGCGATCCCAGTCGGGGCGCGGGAAATTGGGGAATTCTTCGCCACAGTACCCGCATGAGTCGTGCGAGGGGCCGGCATTGGTTTGGCAGGATGGAGAGGCCGAGCCGTGGAAGGCGGCTTGGAAGCTTGGGAGAGCAGCGCAGGACCAGGAGTGGCGGCGGAGATGGAGGGAATTTTGGTGGCGCTCTGCTTCGTTCTTGTTCTTGAAGCGATTGTTGCAGTATTGGCAGGAGTATTGCTTTTCCATCTCGTGAGAGCTGTATTGCGGTTAGGGTTGAGGCCTATCAAATAAATGTCAATTAGACATGGAACTTACCGGAGATCATCTTGATTGTCAAACTTCTTCGGTTTCTTCGGACAACAATCACAGATATACAGTCCGCCCATCTTTGAGGTGGCGGAGGGCTTGGGCACACTCAGAATGCTTGGCATGGACACTTTTCCCGTGGCATCGGTAGCGGGTGGTTCCAGAGTACTCGAACCGCCCACGGGCCTCGGAAGTGACTGCATCAGCGAAGCAGGGGAGCTCGGGTTCAGAATCGACTTTTCGTGGAACGTATCCAAATCGGAGCTGGGCGAGAGACCTCCCGGAGATGGCCGGTCGTACGGCGAAAGACTGGTCATGCTGCTACCCCCAATCGAAAGAGCTGACGAGTACGACCCGGAGGTTCGAATGCTGAGCGATGATGCCGCTGAAAGAGTCCTGTGGCTCGGAGCATAGCTGGGGTTGACCGAAAGCGTGTTCGTGAAAGGTTGTCCACTCGTCCGCCGTTGTGAAAGATCACCATTGCTCGTCGCCGAATGCAAGATATGCCTATCATCGCCCATCGGCTCCCGTGGCGGTGAAGATGCTCGTCGCTTCATGCCCTGCCTTGAACGCTCGGGGTATGGCGGCGTGGGTTCCCGGAGAATAAACTGTCGTGGTGGTGCCAAATCATCGGTAGAAAATTCGCCATCAATGTCGGAGAAAACACCTTGGTCGTAACTTCCACGATTGGAGCGGCTGGGTAAACTGATACTGTCCTCTCTGGAAGGCGTCGTTCCACGATGTCGTCGTCGACCGGTATCCCGCATGTAGTCGTAATCTAGTGCCGAAGAAGGCGCATTACTTTCCACGCTAGGGCTGCGTCCTTCAATGTACTCCCTCCATCCAACTTTGGTCCTGGGTGACACACCACCCGATTGAGGGCTGCTATACCATTTCACGTCCAAAGTCGAGCCTGCCTCTGATGGTCCCGGGGATGGTAGATTGCTAGATGCGCGCGACGGAATTGATGGAACAGTCAGTGCCGAAATAGAGCCACGGTGATCGGATCCTTGGCTAATCGAGTTACGTGGGGAAAGTGAATTCCCAATCTTTGAAAGCACATGTTGATCGTATGCATTTGACGAGTCTTTGACGCTGCGCAGCGAAAAGTTCTGCTCGCCTTTCAAACTATAAAATTTGTTAGTACTTTTGTCCAGCGCCCGCGCCAAGTATATGCGCCTTGGAAGATCTGCAAACATCGCCGATTGCAGCACCCACTCCAAACAACTTACATAGGACCCGTCGCGCTAACGGACATGGAATTTGGGAAACCCTCATCCGTAGGAGGCGGCGGCTCAATTTTAATCTGTGCTTCTGGACTGCGCGAAAGCGGCAATCCACTCTGTCGCCCTTCTAACTCATCCACTGCCATACGATCACTCCGCGGCGCAGAATCAGGTCGTCGATGGCCACCGAACAGACTCGAATTCGGGTTAATCGGGGGAAGACTTGTCGTTGAGCGGCTCGAATTCGCATACAACCAACCGGCATCGTAGCCATTTTCGAGATCGTGAATGCGCGGCGGTGGTGGTAAAGGTGGCGGAGCAGTGTGCATGGCGGGCCGAGAAGGTATAGGTAATGGGCCGTGTGATGAGAATGACGAGTTGGTCATGATATGAACGCGTTCGGAGTGGCGGTCGTGATGGGCCTTGAAATCATAGAAGCTCGGCGACGACATTCGTGGGTCCATACTCTTTTGGTCGAGGGCAATTCAAAGCGGGGGAAATTGAAGCGAAGCTAGCATGGACGGGCTGAGGCTGAGAGACACGGCCGAGCAGGTGGGGATGGCGGAGTACGGCCGGATGACAACCTCACGAGATGACCGAAGAAATAAAATAGAAAATAAGAGCAAACCCCCCTAAGGCGAAATGGGAGCTCAAGATAGTCGTAAAATAAAGATAAGCAGATGGAATCCAGATGGTGTCGCAGCAATAACCCAATCCAGTTGAGTTGCGAGCGTCGTGAAACCGGCCGTGGGATTCTTAGGAGGACCGTTGAACCACAGCGTCTCCGAAGGACTAAGAACCAAAAGGTCCAGCCTCAAATAGGGTCAGCAAGCGCGAGCCGACGGCGACGTGCGTATCCCAGAACGCCAGGACTGGGGGAAGATCAGTGTTCATGCGGCTGGAAATATGCTAGCAGCTAGTTGAGAGTTAGACCGGGTGGCACCGAAGGGAAGTTGTAAAGAGCGCGGCGACCTAATAGACCCAGGGACTAGGCGGAGTAGATGGAATAGGGTGGAGGGGGTAGGATTATGTGATAAGTGACATGCAGGAAAAGGGAATAGGGTAAGAAATGACCCAAGTAGGGCTGAATTAGTTTGACTTACGGGGCACTGGCGATTCGCCTCATGGGATGAAACGTTTGCCGCAAAAGTGACACACAGCCCTGTCTAGAAGCCGTCGCGTGTGTCCCATAGAATCTAAGTCAATCGTACAGACCGGGACCACACATGCTTTTTCTTTTCTTGTTCTTTGCGAAGCCTGGGACCTTTTTTTTCTTGTTCTTTTTTTTTAATTAGAAAAAAAGAAAACCAAGAAAGTGGTAATCCAAAGAGGGGGGGAGGCGAAAAAGGATGGATGGGTATGGCTTCCGTGGAAGAAATAGACAAGGTCGAATGTAATTAGATACCCCCCTTCCAGACAAAAGAGAGCTAGCCGTGAGTATCAAGAAGGACCAGATCGAAAAGATCTCGGTCTTCGGTCGTCTCTATCGGACACCCCGCCACTAGCTGAACAATTGACAATTGGTGGATTCCCCTGGTTGCTGTGAGAGGCAAAAAGAAGGTACGAAGCTGAAAAAATAGGGTATGAAGGTGATGGATGCCCACTAGTTTCCAAACCAGGGCACAGGGCGAAAAGGAAAAAGAATAATAAGAAGGGCGAAAGAGCAAAGGAGAAATAGAAAAAAAGGCTACTCCGTGCAGCGGGAGAATCGGGTAGGTAGACAAGTTCAGGCAAGATGGCGGTGCAACCAGGTGATTGGATCCGAGGGCACGAGCCAAAAAGTAATTAAGATCGAAGGGGAGGCAATTCCGGTGATCTCATCCTCACCGAGCTGAGCCAAGAAGGGGGAAATAGGAATAGGGTGGACACAAGAGGGGATGGGAAAGGTGGAAAGGAAGAAGGAGAGAGGGTTGGTGAATGGTACGAGACAGAGAGGAGGAGCTGGGGGAGAATTCTGGATTCTGGGATTCTGGAACGTCCAAGGCGCGAGGCAAAAAACGAGACGAAAAGGGAAAATAAGAGGGACCAAAAAAAAGAAAATGGAGAAAATAAATAAATAGGATTAAAGAGGATTATTGAAACATCGACAAAGCTGGGTCTTTGGGTCGGAGTTAACCTGCAGTTCGAGGGGGGGTTGACGTGGTGGTGTAAAAAGAGGCAAAAGACGAGAAAACACCAGAAAAGACAGGAAAAAGAGGTTAAGCCAAGTGTATGTGTAATGTATAACTTGTATATGTATGTATGGCCCGAGTACATCGTAAACCACTTACCAGAGATACACTTTTACCCAGAACGTGGCCCTGTTCCCGTAATCAGATCCGGTTAATTCCCAGCCTTCCCGTCATACAAAAACTGAGTTTTTACGTTAATTATGATAAATTACGTCGTTGGCTTAACTCGAAAAGAACTTTGAAAAAAGACGGGGGTCTGTAGAGTTTAGTGTGGTTGTACATTTTGTGGTTGCCACGTTGGAAATCATGACCCGATCATCGGTAGGGCACAAGGCGCAAGGCACCCGGCTGGGGCGAATTAAACTCTGACGATGCCAACCACCTTATGGCCAAATGTGGCCGTACTATCGTGCATGCTACATGCCTTAGTGAGCTCCTCGGTAGTGCTTAGACTTAGGCTTAATCGGGTAATGACAAGGATGTCACTCCGTACTGTACAACACTAACCGGTAGACTTGCAAGTTACAGTAGGCCCTAGTCGAGGTTAGCCCGCCCAGACTTGACCATCTACGGCTAACGGACTCAGCCTTAGAAGGAAAATGCGCGGAGAGCCCGGGATCCCGTAATTTTACTTTGCTTCTGCTCGAATCAGAACTCTGGGCAGTCCACTCACCCTTGGTTCCCTTTCCCATCGAACCTGGGAAACGGGCCTTCCAGAAACTGGGATGTGGTGGGAAAGGCTAACGAAGGGCTGGCCTTTTTAGATGGGGCCTGCGACAGCTGTCGACAAATGAAATCCATCGCTACCCAGCCTTAACTTTCTGATTTTATATGATGGGTTGTGAAGAACCAACCAGAGGAGCTTGAAAGTATTAAATCAAAGTTACAAGTCCTTGCCCCTCATCACGTACGGTGAGTCTCTTGTAAATTGTAATCGAGGAAGAAAGTCTTTCGAAACCCTATCATGCTGTAATGATTCATCGTCAACAAGTTTATATGTGGACACGACTAGCTGGTAAGGAAATTGGCTATATTCCGCGAAGAACCAAAGATCAGGGGAGAATACAATACTGTAGTAATAAGGGGAAACGGGTCGGGACACCATCAATAGCGTTATTCTGCAGTTCAACTAATTATTCTTCTAGCAACGCGCGCCAGACCGAAACAGTCTATTGGTGAGGAACCATGGTTAGCGCCGGCCATTGCTGACATTTATGAGGTCGGAGAGGGGCCAGGATAACGGAGTTAATGATCAAAGGAACCCAGAACGAGGATGATAGGGGTGATGAGCCAGTAACCGTCTGCGACTTGGAATACTGGCACTTCTTAGCGCCAGGCTTATATCTCCTCGGACACTGCAGTCGCGCGATTAAAGAAACACTGCCAGGCGGGATTGTCCTCCGTACTAAGCTACGAAAGGGATGGACTATGGGAGGAGAAGCACCATGTTATCATGTTATCAAGAAAGAATGCTGCAGGGATCCCCGCAACGGTCAAATTTGTTCGATCAGATCGACCTGCATCGGAGGATTCGGATTCCCGTAGCGTGGGCTTATTTCTTCGAGTATTTACCGTTCTGATTTATTTATTATTCTTTAATCTTTGGCTCTTCCGGCTCTTTGCCCGGTCTTGAACGGTGTACTTCAGTCTCGTTCTCCCTTGTACTCCGTAGAGGGGCCCGGACAAGGGGGGTGTGGACAGTGGCATGCAAAAAGCAAAGAGAACATTCTTTCTTGCCTTCACAAGTCGCGGACAACGGTGAGTCGTTGGTGGTGACCCACTGATTTCCTAGCGCGCTCCACTTGGGGCCCAGTCCTGCATGCACTGCCACACTGACGGTCCGCTGTCACTTGGGGGAGAAGGAACAGGGGTGAAAGTCCCTCGGCAGAGGGTAGGGCAGGAGGAAAGTTTACACAGAATAATAAACATCAACAATGACGATTGTGCGGGACTCGTGGGTTAAGTTTGGAACACAAAGAATGTGGCATGTCGGACAGCCCTACAGTTGAAGGTTTGAACGTTGATTACAGACGTGACATTCAAGACAAGCATTGCTGAGTCATCAGACATGTAAAACCAGGGCTCTCTTAAAGATACCCGTTCGTATGGACACGGAGTACTCCGTACAGTATTCAGTAGTATTTACCTTGTTAGGGTAGGGCAGATGGTGCTCCACACCAGCTACTGTACAACCTCATCTGGACGCCTTTTCTAGTTATTCTTCGATTTCCTTGGCATTTTCATTCTCTCTCCTTTCTCTTGTTGTCTCTTACCTTTCCAAGGTTCGCGCTTCGCTAAGAGCCTAAGACATGAACCGGGAGCTTCGGGCAGCTCCCTAAAATGGGTTCTTGGTACGAGCAGCGGGGCTACTTCTACGTCCGGTCTGTAGTGGACGGGGGATACCCGGGTTTGGGGGTGAGCATATATGGTTGTACTCGTTGTACTCTACGGAGACGCCTGTTATGCACAGGAGAATCCTGAATAGAGATTTGAGACTCGTAACTATCATGATACTCGGGTACGACTACATCCGGAGGCATACCTTAACACAGGTTGAACTATCATATCGCCTGACCCAACCCTGAGCCGGAACTCCTTGACTCGCGTGGCCTTGTCGTACGGCGTAGCATAGATATTCTTGCCAAGGTATGGCAAACTGGTGGGTTACCTTAAACCCAGCCCCAGTCAAATTCGACAGCTCACTCTTTATTTCCCCAAAATGGCAACGGACGACGCGCTCAGCACGAGATCCTAAGGATCACAGGGTATAAGGCGTCAGCCTAAGCCTTAAGAGGCTGTGGTCTGAGCGAGTGCATGCGCCAGCGCCAATGCCAGCACCGCCAGTTTCCGCCTCACCAATACTCAAGGTGACGCGACGACCCCCAGCCCTGGGGGCCCTGGGGGGCTTACAGTCCCGCGGTTCTATGCGCGCCTCTCTCGGCATGTATGCATATGTCGGTAAGACGGTACGGTGTGATTCGCATGGGTCTAGTTGCAGTTTAGCTCCCTCGTATAGATTATTAGATCATTATTGTCCCTGCCGCCCTCATGGATACACCTTCCAACGTTACTGGCGGCAAGTTTAGAAAACCCCCCTTACAGGGACGGCTGGGGAAATAATTGGCTGGATATCGTGGTGGATTGAAGGTTGTCGGGGATAAATCAGGGCCCCACCCACGAGGCGTGAACCGCTCGGCTAGAGCTTTCCATCACTACACCGAGATTTCTAGCGCATGTTCTAGAGAGCTTACCGAACGATACGCTGGGGTTGGTACGATCACGCTGTCCTCCCCTAGCGGGGGTAATCTGTACCAAGTCGAGAATATACACATCAAATTTCTTGAATGTGATGTTGGTGGCGAGCTGGAGAATGGTTCGTAGAGGCGAGACCGTACCTCTAATTGGCCGGATCGTCCAAGAGCTCCAAGGCCAATGGGAATCCGTAGAGCCGTACAGACAGTCTCATCAAAAGCTACGCTCAGATCGGATTGTCCAATCCTTTCGAAAATGCGGAGTGAATTATGGGTGGATAGCTCCGGTGCATCGGGTCAAGCATCCACTATTGGCAATTCTCACGCGCCGGTCATCTATTGCTGCCAGGGATTGGCTGTACTGAACTATCTGTGAGAGCTCAATGCGGCGTATCTCAGCTTCGGCGGTACCGGTATAGTGGATAGTCCTCATCCATCAAAGCTGGAGTGGAGAGATGAAGCGATACGCGGGATGGAGAGATCAAAGGTTGGCCTGATTATCAATCTATGGGAGATGCCCTGATAGCCTCAGGCAGAAATATCAGTCACCTGGCTGTGGGGTGCCCTTGCCCTAACGACCCATTTGGGAGATGACTTTTTGAGTTGGGGCCGAGGCTCAGAGGGAAATCTCCGCCTACTCGATTGGGAGGAAAGAGTCTGCTGGATTTACTTCGCATGAAATACGACTACAACAACTGAGTGTTGATATTCCACCCCCTCAGCCTGTGTTCCCCTTTTTCTTGTACAAACTATCATAGGCCTGTTACAATCAACATGGCCATGAATCAAGTTCCTGGCCATAACATTTACATCGGCGGGTAAGAAGACTTCACAAATCCTCGATATTCGATACTCGCCTTGGCTACTCTCTGCCAAAGTGGGCCTTGATACTGGAACTTGGGTTTGCCGCTCTGATATGCCCCTTTGCTAACATGCTCTCCATGTGTATAGTATCTTCTGCCTCAAGAACAAAGCGGCTCTAGCTCGAGCAGATATCACTCATGTGGTTTCTGTGCTACGACTTAACCCCGCCGAGGAGACATTTGCATCCTATCAACATCTTTCCATAGATGTTGATGATGTCGAAGATGAGAACCTCCTGGAGCACTTGCCTGCCGCTGTCAAGTTTATTCAAGCTGGGTTAGACAGCGGTGGCAGTGTTCTGGTGCATTGGTGAGTCTCTCTGTTTTTGATTTTTCTGTACCCCTACTGAGGCTGGCTCTCGTTGGCCCTGTGGGCTCTGATCTCTCTGGCCGCTTCTTTTTCCCAGTAGCTGTTCATTTGTTTGTCTGCGATGGCCTCCTACGTCACCCCGCGTTGATATCAATTACGATCTGCACGTGGCTGGAGTATTCTGTGCCTCTTCATTTCCCAAGCTTTCTATTGGATGCTTTGTTTTCCCTGTTCCTCTTTGTTGTTTAAGCTTTGATGTACTTCGTGCGCTTCGAGATTGAAAACGAGGCGTGCAATCTCTGCCACATGCATCAATACCGTATAGAGAACTAATCATGTCGATCTAGTGCTATGGGCAAGTCCCGGTCCGCGACTGTGTGTATTGCCTACATGCTCCACCAACAGCCTGGCGCGCTCACACCGCAATCTGCCCTCGAGATCCTGAGGCAGTCCCGGCCACTTTGTGAACCCAATGACGGTTTCATGAAACAGTTGGAGCTCTACCACGAAATGGGCTGTCCAGATGATGTCAAGGAGAACCCAGTGTATCAGCGTTGGTTGTACCACCGTGATGTCGAGGAAAGTGTGGCGTGTGGCCGAGCCCCAGAGTTGAGGTCGGTGCGCTTTGAAGATGAGCTGCCTGTGCAGCCCAAGGAAAATAATACCGGCCGCTCAGTGGAGATTAAGTGCCGCAAGTGCCGGTACGTATCTAATCCCCAAACGGGCTACACCTGCCATTCAGAGCCATAATGAATGTTTACTAATATCCCCGATCAGGCGCACCCTCGCGACAACACCATTCATTATCAATCACGAGCAAGATAAACAGAGGGCTGCTAGAGCGAGAATACCCGCCAATACGGAATGTGCGCATGTGTTCCTCCATCCGCTCAAGTGGATGCGCCCCAGTTTATTCCCATCCTCAGTTGAAGATGGCTCAGACCCCGATGCGGATTCAACCTACGACGAATACTCCGCAGATGCCCCTTTGTCAGGCCGCCTAACTTGTCCCAACTCGGGCTGCGGGGCTAACATTGGTAAATTTGCCTGGCAAGGCATGCAATGCAGCTGTGGTGGATGGGTGGTGCCTGCCATCGGACTTGCTAAAGCGCGAGTGGACATTGCCAGCCGAACGAATGTAGCCGCACGAGGTCCAGGGGGGCCATCAGCCTTGGGTATTCGTCTGCCTCCGGGGATGCGGGCACCTGAGACTAACGATACTGGCTCTGGACGTGGCAACCTTTGAAAAATGACGTTTCTTATTCAAGATAAATGATTAAAATCAAATTTTAGTCGCATCTATGCATACAGATTTATGAGCCATGAAACAAATATTCAGCGAATTGCAACGAATACTTTTTCCTATTTTGTGATTTGTCGTTGTTTTGAGCCACCACATAGTAATCGGCGTGGTGATCGACAGGGTCTCCACATTGTCCGTGACGAATGCGATTGATCAATGCCGCAAGCCACGCGATGACTCTTTTTTCATTATGACTGTACGGAGTAGGCATCTCAGGTTTCTTTCATTTAGTAAAACCTACACCTCTGTCATGGGCCACCTGCGTCATATAGAAGCGACAATTGTCCGAAACAATTTCTCTGTAATCGTGCCTGATCTGATCGACCTACATTCGGAAGGTAACTGAGAGCATAGGGAACCATGAGGCTCCAAGTCCGCCGGTGCTCCGATCTTGATATTCATCAGCAGAGGCCTCGCGTCAGATCTTGTGGTCCGAAGGTCGCGGGGTCAGATAGTTGTTGAACCTATGCACTTGGCGCACATTGTTGCCTGATTGAGTAGTAGCCGCCTTAGTTGAATACGAAGAGGCTCTCAGACAGGGCCAAGATGACGATATCAGATATAGATAGAACAACGAGCTAGGGGCTCTGCTGACCGTTTTCTCTCGAACCATCCCTATAGTCATTCAAAGCTTGTGGGAACTGACATGAGGTTCGCAGCATCAGCCCTGTTCCTGCCTGGTAAATAAGCCTCATCTTAGCCCGTGCTCACCAGAGCTTCACCAATTGCTGCACGAAACAGCGCCTTTCGCCGGGTCTAGTTCATCTATCGACGTAGCTGCAATGGTCATCTATCATCTACAGCGACGCAAGCCTGCATAAGAATCAATGCTGATGTGGGCGATACCAAACGACAGGTCAACTGGTGGCTGACGGACGCCTCAAAGCCATCACCATCGATCTGACGATGATAAACACCGTAGTCGCTCGCCAAGGGAGCAAACATGACTCGGAATACTCAGAGTCCACAGACATTGATGCCAGGGGTAACCCGTATGAACCAGTCAACAAGAGCATGTCACCGCCGCCCTGCCGTTCGTCAGCTTTCTCAGCGCCTCCACTTCAATCCACACTCTGACCAACAGCGCCTTTTTGCGGCAATTCGGAGAAACGGGGAACGGAGAACAACGTTTATAGTTTTACAAGTTTAAAAGATCTTGGACAACTCTCATGAAATATGATCCATAGTTAATTCTTCAACTTTCCCCACGAGGGACTAGCCCCACCGGGTGCCCGGACGCGCTGTCACGGTTGTGCATCATAATCAGAGAAAAAAGCTGCAAGACTCGTGTTTCATCGCAGGATCAGCGTTGGCCAAACGCCAATGACGCTGGGATGGAACCGAGTCGGTGATGATTTGCCCCCCTTCGGGCTCCTTCAGCCTTCAGGGAGGGCGACGTTTTCCAAGGTTGGGAAGAATCAGGACGAGGGAAGGAGGCTGTGCAAAGCGGGTCGTCTTCCTGTTGCTCCCGATTGGTTTCTACGGACGCTAGCGGTGCGTATTGGTATTACTCGTTTGAGACCGTTATTACTTACGCCTTGTACGTACAAATGACTCAATGTATGGAGCCCTATGCGAGAGAGAACGAAAGATGGCCCTGGAAGTATATGTCCAATGGGAATCGGTACCATCTAGCGGGTACGGTAGGGTTGTAGGGCGTTGGTTCAGGGCAATTTATGAAATGGCACACTCGACACTAGGTAGGTTCGGAATCTTGAATAAACTCCAAAATCACCTTATTGGTCATATTATGAAAGATAACTAGTTAGTTACCTACTCATGACGGGCTTACTTTATGGTTAGGAGGCGATAGGGGGGGGTCGCTTTTGGGGCGGGTCCGCGCGATGAGCTAACCAGGCAACTATATCCATTGACAACTTTTGATTCTAGGATTCTGGGTGTTCTTAATCATCTTTGCCAGAAAGTACTCCGTACAGTATGCTCAAATAGGCAACAGTACGTCAGAACTAGCTACGGTGTTCTACTCTTTCCAAGAGCCTTCTCTTGCTATACCCGTGGACACCCGGCCACCAAGCTCTCTATACAAGCAGACCCAGCCTAAGAGTCCGCCCTATTGGTAGGCCCGTGGGCCCTGGTGGGGGTGGGGCAGTGCACTGCCTTGCAGGGGGAGCTCTCAGCTTCTAGTGGAGTCTCGACAGCCAACTGCTCCTGTAGAGGTGCAAGACCGCTGCTTCGCACTCATTACGATTGCTGATCCCGCTAGCGCTGATATCATAGTTCGCTGCCTCTCTTCAATCTTGCTCACGACAGTAGGGGCCTAGAATAATAAACTTCACACTTTTGTGATGACCCCCGACTATGTACTCGGCTGCTGTGAATCGCCTTCCATATACCTGTGACATCGTTAGCAGAGTTTAGCTGTTTGGTGGAGAGTGGCTTGTGTGGATTAGCGCCGAGTACGATAAAACGAGACAGCGACTCGCTAAGGGGCTATTGTATCTGATATTGGGTGATATTGGGTGATTAACATGCTCCGCCTACCTCATCATTCTCATCACGTTGTCACGCAGGTCGGTGCCTGTTCCTATCTCCAAATTTAGTTTAATGCGATTATAGTTTGTCGGGCTGACCCGAAGGTAAAAGCCGTGCTTGAGGAGCAGCGGAAGTAGGCGGTATTCAAATTTGAAGATCATCAGAACACTCCTCAAAGGCATGACGCTAGCTAGCTAGTCTAGCTTCATGCAGCCCAACATTTTAGGTCCATCCATCGCGCTAAGAGGAACTATGTGTCTTACAATACACTATAGTTAGCTTTGACTACTTATGTGCTATGGTCTAGGTTGGGTACTAGGCATCTATGTTCAAATGGTGATGTGCCTATTCATTTAGATGGTACCAGCGGGTACACTAAACCTGTAGGGCTAGCTTCGTAGGTTGGTGGTGTGATAACCGCGCTTGGGGACCTTGTGGGCATCATAGCGAATAGGACCCCAAACTCGAGATATTGAGCCTCATTAACGACTTAGCGGATCACAGGAGCATCGGATCCACCTCGTTATCGATAGATTATCTTAGTAGGCAGCAGGAAAGTCGGTGAAACACTGTTCATAACGTGCAAGTTGCAGCTTGGTTATTTAGCCGAAGGGCCGTCTATCGATTGAGGCTGACATCCTGACCGCGAATCCGATGGTGGGGTTAGTGACGCCAGACAACCCCGCCAAAATGATCTTGACAAGGAGTGCTACGCATGACGCGAGCTATTTACTTCAATAGGAAGTAAGCATTAGCTTTGTCACATCGACACATAACTATCGAATAGCTCAAGGCAGAGTCAGCCTTCCACAAAGCCGTCCCAATAGTCGAGCTCCTAGCACGTAGGGTCCAGCCTCGTGTCAGTGCGAAATTATAGGCAGCCTTATGTATGAAATCAAACGGAAATCTAGCCGATACCAAGATCGGCGAATACGAAAGCCAAAGCCTACTAGGGCTGACGGGGGCCGTTTTCTGGAAGGAAGAGGGGGTGGAAGGTTTGTGACAAAGAGCTACGCTTCAACGGTGACGAGCCTTTAGTGCTTATTTCCGTGCAATACAACCCCACCAAACAGGATCCGATCTTACGTCGCTCCATTCTTCCATACTCGAAGCTCCTTCTACTGTGAAAAGCGCGGTGAGAATGACCACCACTCGAGACGTGGAGAAAAAGCGGGACCGTGAGTGTTTCCTGATGAACAAGTTTTCTGTGCTATCTATGAATAGTGCCGCTACTGCTAGTCTTGTGAACAAGCCGATGTGGGAGGCCTTGCATTGGGTACGGAGTAGTAGAGTATGTACAATGATGAACTTGTAGACGAGGGTGTGATCAATGTGTGGACTGTGCTTTATCCTTTTTTTTTTCGCTTTCCACCTCTCAGCCCAACCGCAGGGCGTCAACGGGTACTTTTCTCCTCCCCGAAGGATTGGACCCCTGATCATTTCACGGAGACGGTAACCAGGATGACGGGCGTCTGCGCTGCGCGCGTGCTCGAGCCCTGCTAGCCCTGTGGTGCGGCCCACCTAATCCGGATGTCACATCGGCGCAAGCTTTGCTAGTTTTAGTACATCCCTTCCCCGCTGTGAGGACATTGGCCTTGGGATGGCCTAGACAGAGGTTTGCGGCAAAGCCACTCTTGGCATGTCGTGGACATGCAGTAGGATGAGATGGGTCTTGCTTTAAGGAATGGGCATTTGCGACGTGGTCGCATCCGTTGGCTTCCGTGATCGGGGCTCGAGAGGGGTAGACATGGTGCTGGCCTGATGAGGTGTATTCGGGATGTGAGTAGGAGTGGCTTTGTGGCGGTTGTCACTGGTTTTGTCGATGCAGTACATGCACCATATCTGGATGTGCTTCTTTAAGCGAGCTTCCAGTACTATTCAGTGTACCTCATGATACCATGACGAGTGTGAGGTGGGATTGACAAGGCTAGCCAGAAGGGAAGCATTGGCTTCGTTGGAAGATCATGAGCCATCGTGGACGTGAGAATATCGGTGTTATAGATCCTTGGTGGGAACAGAAGGGAAGAGAGATGGGTTTTTCATCCTCTCCTGATTCCGTCTAGCCATCTCGATGCCTCGTAACCGGTCGATACGCATCTGATAGAATGTCCTGTAATGTATGAGCAACAATGCAGGAAAATACGCATTGATGAACATACTTGTGTAGGGCGAAAATTCGAGGACCGTTCTCTGGCTTCGTCTCGTTCCCCTTTTTTATAGAATCGATCTAGATAGTAGGCCATTCAGTACGACTGGACCATCTTGAAGTGTGATAACTTCTCCAAGACTCACCTTCTCATCTCTTTCCTTCTCGTCATTAGTCTTGGAATCAGTGGATTCCTTATCTTTGGAGTCGTCTTTATCATTCTTTTTCCCCTTGTCCTTGTCCTTTTCATCCTTGTCGGATTGCTTCGCCCGCTCCTTCTTCCGTTTCTGTTTCTCCTCGTACTCCTTTTTAACCTTTTCAATTTCTTCAGCCATCTCCTGCTCTTTCAGCCGTGCTGCTTCGCTCTCGGCGTCAATAATGGGCGAGCAGAAGTGGCGGTCTTGGAGGTGTGCGGGGCACACATAGAAGAAGTCCTGTCGACGATGTGAGCGAACAAGGCCATGAGGGACTGATTATGGCCAGAGCTTTTTATTCGGCTGCATTGAGCATGACCATGTCTAGAGCAGCCTTACCTTGTTATCAGGCGTGATCATCACGCTGGTCGATGGCTTGTAGCAGATTAGACATGCTTTCGCAGAGGTATCTGCGACTCGGCGCAAATGATAAACGTTGGTCAAAGACATGACTGAGGAGTACCGAAGACTTTTCTCCCAGCTCTCAGTCTTAACGGGGTTTGAATTCGACGATGCTCGCAAATATCAAGGCAAGCGCAGTTGGGCTAGAAATGAGGTTATCCCGAAAGGTGCCAGGTGTCATGTGACCTGATTAGAGGGGCATCAACAACGTTCGAGGTTCTTGAGATGAACTACGATGATGGCTAGGCAAGAAGTAATTCTTAACGACAAAGTGTCGGATTACAATCCAATAATTCATTTCCTATCAAAAACGCCAAACCATGCATTTGTTCTCCCTTGAGACCAACCCCACCGGGAGATACATAAAAGAAAGAGATACTGGGCGACTGAAAACATAATAACAAATCAGGCCCCAGAAGACATTAGACCTCGAGATCATAGAGCAAACTCATCCTCCTCAATACCAGCTGCTTCCTTCGCGAGACGAAGGTCTTTGCCAGTGACACCAATATCCCGCAGATAAGGCTTGAATGCCTCCAGAAGGTCACGCAGGCCGCTCTGCAGGGTATCGAGCACCAACTCCACTTCGGGAATCTTGCGTGCTTCTGCTTGCGCCTGAGGCTGGCTAGAGGGAGGGAATTTGACGTCTGTCCAGTGTGCATCAAGTCCACCCTGGTGCACAAACGCATCGAGGGTCATGATAGTCTGGGTAAATAGGCTAACCACCGATGGAACATCAGTCTGGACTTTGCCGTACTGATCTTCATCGAGACTAGCAATCAGCATACGCGTCAAGCAATCAACGGCATCCACGATGGAGGTGAAGGAGGATTCAGGAGACCCGAAGACGACACTCGATGCTCGTTGGGCATATGTTTGTCGCAGCGGCCGACACCATTGGAGAACTTGACCGATGATGGGATGCACGTCTTCAGGCTTGTAAGTTGTGGAAGGGCCACCAGTAAGGCGCTTCAACTCCTGGGTGGAAGCTAGTAGTTTTTGCTTTCGCTCTGGGCTGAGCATTGCTGTAGAAGCCCTATCGAAGACCTCTCGGGCACGAGCCCGCGCCGTGGGTGTCCAGTCTGGCGACTGTCCATATGCTTTGGCCGTTGAGCCGAAAGCCTCGCCAAACTTCTCATGGCGAGAAGTCGCCTTTGGTGCCGTTGCGAAAACATTTTGATCCTTAGGCGCATCTGTCAGCCGTGGCAGAGTGTGTAGTTCAGGCTTGGAACCATTTGGTTGTCCAGCAGGTTTAGCACCAGGCTTAGGAGCCTTGTGGGCTTCGATCCGGTTATTAATTCCCTGGATTTCTTCTTTCGCACAAACCAGAATCTGACTCCAAGTGGAGCCGTTATCTCCATCAATTTCATTGAAGATCGTCTTCCGGCGATCAGGCTGACGTTGGCTGATAAGACCAAGTTCCCAAAGAGCAAATGCCTTGACAATGGGCTTCTTGGCCTTCAGACCTGACAATAGACTGGCATTTGGCTCCTTTGCATCTGCCGTGAGGGGCTGCCCGCGCTTCAGAGGTTCCTTGCCGAGGAAAACGGAGAAAAACAGATTGGCTGATTGCCAGCTGAGAACCAGCAAAGAGCCTGAAATGAGAGAACGAATGATCAGAGGTCCGAACCCAGGGGGGAAGAACGTGTCAGGCTGAGCCGCAGAGCGGGAAAAGCTCCAAATGAGCTTGGCGAAGTACAAAGACAAACTCCAAGCACTCTGGCGTAGGAATATAAGGTAGAGGAACGGGGTAGCTCCGGCGACAATCACGCTCATCATCAAGCCACACTTGATACGCTGCGGGAGGGCACTCTTGATGTATTTCGAGGTCGGCAGAACCTGATGTGTGCGCTGGTCGGTGGACTTCGTGGATCGTAGGGTGACGGGGACGGGGATTTGATCGTAATCGTAGTAGAGGTGGGCCGTAGCCTGGGCGCAGGCCAAGAGCAGGTGATAGGTATGAATGTAAATGGGGCGTTCGTTGAGGAGAGGCCTCTCGTGTGATCTAAACTTGGCGATCAGCAATCGTCCAATTTGAAGCTGTCCCGTATGCATTGACTTACCTGCCCCGTTTGACAATATCCAGCTGCGCCTCCTTCGAGGAGGACCAGAGATACAACTCAGTAAACCACCAAGCCGAGAAGAGATAGCAGCAGAAGGTGTGCGCAACTTGAAGGGGGAACAAGTATCGGAAGGTGCTGAGTGACGACGGCGTTGTTCTGGGACCCAAGTGCATCTGGCTAACACGGAGGACGAATACGAGGAGAACTGAAAGGAAGATCATGACGGCGCGGAGCCCGCACAGACCGATAGGGAACCATGTCCAGAAAACTAAGCATAGGAAATTGTCAGTTGGCGATATTCGAAGCGCGAGACAAAACGGACTCTCGAGTCACTCGGATGATAGGTTCGGAACACTGACAGGATGTCTTGTCGCCAATTGCGATTGAGACGACATAGCAGACGAGTAGAGAGAGCGCAGATGCATGGACAAACCGCCGGTGCAACGCCGAGGTGAGGATTCGCCGGTATGGCCGGGGTTGGGTAGCGGCGGCCATGGTGGAAGCTTGGGTGGGATGGGACTCGTGGAGGAAAAATGGATGAGGCTTAGAGCATCATCAGGGTGAGCATTCCAGGTAGCTGCGAGAGCTGTGGAAGACAACTATCGGGCCCGCGACAGTATTGGCTGGTGGGCAAGGCCAAATGCAGCTGTGTGCGACAGAGCGATGGTATCGGATTCAAGCTGAGTTCATGATGGAATATTTTGAGCATCAAAACACACCAGCCACAGATAGTCATGTGATTAATGTGGCTCATTCTATCTGTAGTGGCTGTGGCTAATCCACTTTGGCGCTAGTGCGGCAGATACGTCATGTGAGGAGTTGTCCTGCAGTCCCTGGGAAGGCAGCACTTTACGGAAGTCTCCGATAACTCTGTACCTGTCTCGGGGTCAGCATTCATTCTTTGACTACACCACACCTCCATCATGTCCTTCGACCGGTTGAACTCGCTGGAGGCCCAGCCCACTGATATGCGCCGGTCCGATGACCCGCAATATCGCGACGATCCTGGCTTCGACCATCTGGCCGAGTCGCTATCCGACCAACTGTTTACATTGACCTCCAACATCTCTCGCTTGTCTAATCAAATTGCCCTTCTCGGTACGAAACGGGATACTGAGCGTGTGCGCGAACGAGTCCACAATCTCTTGGAGGAGACCCGGGCGGGGTTCAAGGATGTAGGCGACGGGCTTAAGAAGATCCAGCAATGGGAGGACGTCAACGTATGTTATGGTCGGACTGTCTGATACCCGTCACTTCGACTAATTCCTGTACTAGCCATCTCAAAAATGGACTCAGCAAAAGTTGTCATCCGAATTCAAGGCCAGTCTGGACGAATTCCAGACCGTTCAGCGCCGCGCGCTTGAGAAACAGCGTGCATCGGCCGTCGCAGCCCGGACCGCTATTGAGGACGGAGAGCACCTATCTGGTGAGGCGGGAGTTCAACTACAGCAGCAACAGCTGGAGGAGCAGTCCCGTATGGCCAACCAGAGTGAAGTGGACTTCCAAGAATCTCTTATCATTGAGCGCGAGAACGAGATCCGAAATATCGAACAGAGCGTGGGCGAGTTGAACGAGTTGTTCCGTGATGTTGCTCATATTGTTCATGAGCAGGGAGGCCAGCTCGACATCATCAGCGAGAACGTTCAGAATGTTTCTCAAGATACACGAGGCGCCAACACCGAATTGCGCAGTGCCAGTCGATACCAGAAGAATGCACGCAACAAGGCCTGCTGTTTGCTGATTATCCTGGCAGTTATCTTGACCATTATTGTTCTTGCTGTTGTTCTTGGATAGAGTTTTATTTTGTACCTGGCCTGAGCTTGCCTTGCTATTTTGCCCTCGTCATGGCGGTCTTCTTCCCCTTTGTTATGTCTACGCACGATATCCCTGATGCATCCTACATGCCTCGGCCTTGACCGGGCTCTCCGTTTTTCTTAGTTAATGCCTCTACCGGTTTGATTTTGGCGTATGTGGAATGGAGAACATTGATTTGAGTTAGTCCCGCTCGTTCCAATGCAATGCGATATCGTACATAAGTGTTGGTTATACATGAATTATACAGTTCCTGCTTCTGGCTCCCAGTCTCTGATGCCCGTGCCCTAGGACCATCATCGACAAGTAATGTCACGAGTTGAATCCAACGGTCAGGATAGGCAGTACTTAAAGGCCAACGAAGCTGTTGAATCTCATCCTCCATCCCTCGTAGGTGTTCAGCTTTGGCCGCACGTCTAGATAGAAGCTAAGTTTGCCAGGTGCGGCATTCCCCGTCAACCCGGATGGGTTTCCATTGGCACCAGATGTTTTCCCTTGGTAAAAGTCGATAACGTATTCGACGCGTTCACCACCACAGCGCTCAACGACCCAATCATGTCGATCAAATGGACGCTGGTAGCCGAGCCATCCGTTGATTCGGGCACGTGGACTCAGGAACTGGGGATCGACTCCAAGTCCGCGGAAGGAATATAGCTTAGGTCCTCCACACTTCTTGCTGCCCGGGTCTGTGGAAGGAGCTTTCTTTTCCCAGTCGAGAATCTGTTGCCATGCGCGCTCGTTGACGGCGTTGTGGATGGGGATGATGGAAGCGACGGATGTAGCTAGTTCGGAAGCAGACGACGTTGACTCTGGAGTATTGCCCTTGCGCATCAAAGCTTCGAAGAATTGCTTTTCAGACGGATAGATCCAGTTGCCAGAGGCCTCGTCATGACCAGTTTCGGCTTCAGCATTGGACGGACAGCCATGCGATGCGGCGGATGGGGAAGATTCATAAGGCGTTGGAGATTCCTTCTTTCCTTCGGGACAAGTTGCTGCTGCTGCTGGACTACCTGCTCGGGGGATACTGCTGACTTCTCGATCTGTGGATAGTGGTCGTTGTAGCTTTGCAGAAGATTGTCCTTGTTCTTGCGCCGGCGCGGAGGATTGGGGATGTGGTGCGTTTCCGCCATTTTGTTGAAGCCAAATTTCACGGGTCTTGTGGTCAACAGGACATGTCGCCGCAGGAGGCTCTGCAGGAGCAGAGGGAGTACTTGCGCCGGCGCCCATGAGGAATGTCGAGTGTTGAGGGTGAAGGGGATGCTTGCTAATCCAGAGACTATTGAAGATCGGCGGATGAAAGTACGCGGACCCGATAATTTTGCCTTCACCGCCTGGCCCACAATATAAACGCCTCCTGCCCAACGAGGAAGTCCACCCCCTATTGATCTCATTGTTGCCAAAAGGATTCGTCGAAATCTTCTACTTCATACTTCATCCGAGTGCAATATGGCGACTCCATCTGACCAGCCCGTTTACCGGGCCACTACTACCGCCCCTGTCAACATTGCGGTCATCAAGTATGTACACTGATTGTTACCCCTCAACAACAGCTTGTCAATACTGGCCATTGCATACTAAACGCTCGTCAATTCAGATACTGGGGCAAGCGTGATACTACCCTCAACCTCCCTACCAACTCCTCTCTCTCTGTCACCCTTTCTCAGCGTTCTCTGCGCACCCTGACTACTGCCTCCGCCTCCGCCAACTACCCCGCCGAGGATACCTTGAACTTGAACGGCAAGCCGCAAGAGATCCAATCCTCCAAGCGCACCCTTGCTTGTCTCTCCAACTTGCGTGCTCTCCGCAAGTCTCTCGAAGATGCCGATGCCTCGCTCCCCAAGCTCTCTGCCCTGCCCCTCCGAATCGTCTCTGAGAACAACTTCCCCACCGCCGCCGGTCTGGCCAGTTCCGCTGCTGGTTTTGCTGCTCTGGTCCGCGCCGTTGCCAACCTTTACCAGCTGCCTCAGTCTCCGCGTGAGCTGAGCCGTATCGCCCGTCAGGGCTCGGGCTCTGCTTGTCGGTCCCTGATGGGTGGCTACGTCGCCTGGCGCACCGGTGAGCAGGCGGACGGCAGCGACAGCTTGGCCGAGGAGGTGGCTCCTGCTTCCCACTGGCCGGAGATGCGCGCTCTGATCCTGGTGGTCAGCGCCGAGAAGAAGGACGTTCCTAGCACTGAGGGTATGCAGACTACCGTGGCTACTTCAGACCTCTTCGCTACTCGGGCTCAGTCCGTCGTTCCTGAGCGTATGGATGCCATTGAGGCAGCTATCCGTGACCGTGACTTCCCCAAATTTGCGGAGATCACCATGCGTGATTCGAACACTTTCCACGCCACCTGCTTGGACTCGTGGCCCCCTATTTTCTACATGAACGACGTCTCCCGTGCTGCCGTCCGCCTTGTTCACGACATCAATCGTGCAGTCGGCCGTACCGTGGCCGCTTATACTTTCGATGCTGGCCCCAACGCTGTTATTTATTACGAGGAGAAGGACTCAGAACTTGTCGCTGGTACGGTCAAGGCTATCCTCGGCGCTAGTGCGAGCGGCTGGGAGGGTCCCTTCTACGAGGACCTGGCCAACCTTACCGCCCCCGGCGTCGCTCTCGACAACATTGACTCGCGTGTTCTGGACGTCCTGAAGAGTGGCGTGAGCCGTGTCATTCTGACCGGTGTTGGCGAGGGCCCCGTTACTGTCGAGGATCACCTGGTGACCGAGACTGGAGAGATCGTCACCAACTAGGAATTGTTTGGATGAAAATTTAATGATAAAGCCATCTTGCTCAGACAACTTGGAAGATACCCCGATTCCCTTTTGCAAAGGGCTAATTCAATCCTGTTGTCGAAAAATACGATGCAGATCTCTTTCATTGTATCTATGTTGCGCTAGAACATAATCCACGACATGATATTTCGGATATTTGTTGACTTTTCCATTTCTTTGCATAATCATTGACAAGTGCAATCCAATATAGCCAAAGAGATTGGGCTTCTCAGGGCTAGTTACTTGTCTCAAATTAATCATTATTTCGTCTGTCCTCGTACTTGTTTGCCAAAAACAACTCTTTGGCAACGCTTTCTTTCTCTTGCATTCCCCCTATCATTCTAGGAGCTTTTGGCCCCGAATAGAAGAAAAATACTAGAAACACGCACTAGAGTCACGGTGACTTCTTAAATACTGCAGCCCTTCCCTACCTAATCCAAGGCTAGCTTTACTTGCTATGGAGGCCCGTCATTGGATGATATATTCTGACCTTCCACCAACAGCCGATCTTCATTTTTCTCTGTAGATAGTATAGATCTGAAACAATAAAGGTCAACATTGATACAGTGAGACTTGTCAATCTGGGATGTACCCATGAACAGAAGGTAGAACACTGAGCGAAGGAGTTTTTCAATTATCCATTTTGAATGCAGAGATTGTATTGAGTAGAAAATACCGAATCCGCCTGAGACGTATACACCTTTTAGAAAAACAAGACTTTCAATTTCCATCTAACAATCTCAATTTCATTACACAAATGAAGCTACCAACCCAACCGCCGCCGCCGCAAGAGGTAAATATCCTCGAACAGCATTAAGAGTGGTCCACTTCTCAATTAACCTCGACGTCTCCGTATCAGAGATCTCAGGAGCAGACTTGGCCTTTTCCAACAACGCATCATTGGTACTTTTCATCGTAAGAATCGTATAAGGTACGATGCCGAGCGTCAAGACAGCAGCCACCGAAAAAAGTCCAGAGCGACTATATGCCGTCTGTTTGAACAAGGGGGCACCGGATCGCACAGACCAGGCCAGATAGAAGAACGAGGCTGCGACAGCGGCTGCAATGGGTGGATTTTGATTCTTTCCATTCTCAAACATATTCCTCCATTGCTTGGCGAGGGTTGCTGGGTGGACGTTGTCTTCGCGGCGGGAACGCAGTAGTGCAGGTGTGACGTTCATGCTAAGGGCGGCAATGTTTCCTGTTGATAGTCAATAATAGTCAGCTTGTAAGTAGCTGGGTGGAGGAAGAGAGCAATCGGCTGCATATATAATGCATCTCTGTATGCATCTCCGTGCCCGGGTAGGATTGTGATTTGGAGAGGGGAAGAAGCAAGTACATACCTGACAGCCAAGCGGCGCCGGAGATGCCAATAGCCTGCGCCAGTCGGAAGCCGGAGGGATAAGAGGCCATAATTCTGTCGGTTGATAGGCTGTGATTCAATAAAATAAATTGAAGAAGTAATATGAATTGTAGACATTGACTAGCCTGCCAGTTTTATAAGCGCAAGACGCCCCTACATTGGTGGAACCCCTTCGGGGCCGGAAGATGGCACGGTGTTTAGGTGGGCAGATTTTTAAGCTTAGCAAGAGGCAGGGCGTATTAGAACTCCTTGAATGACGCGCTACTCATTAAGTTACTTTGTCAAGTGGGTAAGTGGGTAGTTAGTCTGTGATTCAATTGGGCAGGGGACGTCGTAGCCTGCGCCCGTTGAGGCTCCGCTAGAGGGGTCGGTCTTTGGCGGACTTTGACGGGTTTTGGGCCCCCGAAGTACTCTTGTCTCGGAGGCTGCAGGATCAGTTTAAACAAGAATCATAAAGAGGAACTATTATTTTTTGTACTTTAATTACTATTATACTCTTTTTCCTACTTCTTATCACCTTTACCAATTTGTATATAACAGCATTTCACAGCAGCAAATATGGCATCGCGTTTATCCTGGCAATCGCTTCGAGCTCGTCCAGCTCTCTTCTCTACCGTCGCAGTCGCAGGAATCGGAGCTTACTACGGCACTCGGTCTTTTCTCTTACCGATGGGACACGCCGAGTCTCCAGAGGTTCCCAAGATCTTTGGCGGCTTCGGTTTCACGACATTACGCCTACAAGATGTCAAGGTGGTCAATCATAACACCAAACGTTTGGTGTTCGAGTTTCCCGACCAAGATGCGAAGAGTGGCTTATCATTGACTTGTATGTTTCATGCGTCTAATTAATAGATCATTCTGTACTGATATTCATCCCTTTTTAGCGGCCCTACTTACATATTCTTGGCCCAAGGGGCAATGGTTCCCCGTCCTACGTCCCTACACACCCATTAGCGATCTAAGTATAGATCCCTCTCATTCCCCGAGGAGACTATTTGCTCATGAAATCATATATAGACCAGACCGGTTCAGTGGAGCTAATGGTCAAGCACTATCCCAACGGAAAAGCCAGCAGCCATCTACACTCCCTCGCACCGGGTGATACGCTCACATTCGCTGCCACCCTCAAGGGTTTCCCATGGATACCCAACAAATACTCCCAGGTCTACCTCATCGCAGGTGGCGCCGGTATTACGCCAATCTACCAACTCATCCAGGGCATTCTCAATAATCCAAACGACCAAACAAAAATCAACCTCGTATTCGGCGTCAATACCAAGCAAGATTTGTTACTCCGCGAGGAGCTGGAGGAGTACAAGAACCGGTTTCCAGGGCGATTCAACTATATCTACACCGTGAGCCATCCGAAGGAAGAAGATTCGTCTTTACGGAAGGGTTATGTCACCGAGGAACTTTTGCGAGATGTGATGCGTGGTGCGGATAAGGATACACATGTCTTTGTGTGTGGGCCTCCTGGGATGGAGAATGCTTTGGTTGGCTCGAGGAGGAGTCCTGGGGTTTTGGGCCGGTTGGGATTTTCCAAGGATCAGATTTACAAGTTTTAGGAGAGGGTTCATATTTTCTGTATTATACTAGACATAGACATATTCTCTGTATGTGAAGGACATCTTCACTCGCTATTATGGGCTTATTTTGTCACCTTTATCTTCTCGCTCTGCTCGATTAGGAAGGATTGAGTTGGAATATTGAACGCATAACATCTACCTATTGCTTCGATCACTCGTACTCTGAATATAGCGAATATACCTTTCCAATTCTACGCGTTATCGGTTCGCAAGTCTGCTACACTCCACGTCAAATATAAAACAAGTCGTATCCCTTTTATGTAAATAACTATAAACTAGAATTACATACGACTTCAAGAATGCTGATCGCTCCTATCTACAGACCAGCCCCTATCGAGTTCCCACCTCAGCCTCACGGCAGAGACAAGAACAACTTCTTCATCTTGGGGTAGTTGGGTGTTCCCAGGCCGGTAGCCGGGTCCCATCCTGAAATTGCAGCGAATCCATTCGTGTCACATCCAGCATTGGTACCGTTGGTGATATCATTGAGAACCTCGGGGTGGGCGTAGAGCACGGGGTTCACGAAACCAACAGGGCCCTTGCCAGCTGCAATGCGCTCTTCGTTGATCTTTGAAACACGACGTTAGTATGACTCGATAAAAGCTGAATACAAGGGAGTTTATCAAGACATGAACATACCAGGTTAAGAACTGAGGCAAACAACGGCGACGCCAGACTCGATCCATAGTAGTGGTAGTCATAGCCGTCCGTGTACGCGCGGAATCGGGCACCATTGGCCGCAACATCGGGGTACGCACGGCCAATACGGTTATACAAGCCGTTAGTTGTGTTGACGTTGACCTCAAACTCCGAGTAGTATGGGTAGCTCAGGTCAGCCTTCTTAAAGTACTTCTCAACAGCTGTCTTCTGGTAGTCCGGTTGGGGGAAGTAGTTCGAGAATCCACCTGCACTGCTAAAGTTGGCCGCAGTACCACCGAGATTGGCATGCATGACGCTCTCTGGGTCTTCAACGGTTTGGTCCTCGTAGATCATCGTACCGCCGACCGAGGTTACGTATGGGCAGTTGGAAGGGTACTGTGGGTTGAAGATCTTCTGATCCGGGCCGAGGCAGCCGTTGGCGGAGCCATCACCTGCGAAGGAAGCCACACCGTAGTCACCGGAGGCAAAGAGAATCGAGTGGCCCTGCAGACCAAGCTTCATGAATTCATTGCATTGGCGCTTGGTGTAGTTGATGGGGAGGTCAGCTTCGGCTTGACCGTAGGAGGCGCTAATGACGTTGGTGGGCTTATAGACACCGCATTGGAGTTTTCCTGTCATAATGTCAGAAGGGGGCTTTTTGCGCTGGTTAGGCTGGTTGAGAACAAACCCTTGTATCCGCCGGCGCGGGTATCGGGATAGACGGGGTCAATGTCAGGGTCGTTGCCGGTCTCGCCGTAGGCGCTGTACGTGCAGTATGACTAAAATAATCAGCATTGTCAAATGTCAAGGTGACAGATTGACTGGACTTACCCCATCCAGAGCGTCAAGGAAGGTATTGAAGAGGTTGGTGGTAGCAACCTCCTCCGGCTCATAGAGCTGGTCATCAACTTGGTAGAGAGTGATGGTCTGGGGGTAGATCAGAGAGTAGCTGTTCAGAGGCATTAGCCAGGAGTAGCAGATGAACACGTAATGAGTACTCACGCCAAGTCAATGTCAATGTCTGACTCGCCAGAGTTGAGCGAGCTATAAGCAGGTACAGAGAAGTTGGCTCCGTCGATCAAGGCCGGAATCGGGTAAGTACCCTGGGGTACCCAAGGAGCATATTCCTTGTAAAAGAGGTCTAGATCCGACTTGGCGAAGTAGTCACCTTGTTCGTAGAGACCAAGAGAGTTGCTCTTGCTTGACTTGGTAGCATCGGGGATACTGTACAGTGCCTTGATGCAAGTAGGAGTCATGTTGTATCCACAGAGCTGGAGATCCGAAGAGAGGGACTTCGCCTTGGCGGACAGCGAAACATCATTGCCGGCATAGGATGCGGCCTCGGCATTGGTCTTGACCTTGGTAAGGTGCGAAGCGCGCTTAGCCTTCTTGTGCTTCTTAAGCACAGGGGTAAGCTTCACACCTGGGGTGACGTAGTCAACATGATCCCGAAGATGCTCCGGGAGGTGATACCTAGTATGCCGAGTTAGGATACCCAGTTTTGATTTTATTATCAAATAAAACTTACTTGTCACATCCAATCTTCGTGCTGTCACTGCTCATGTGGTTATGCTCGTAGAACTCGGTCATGAAAAGGCTCTCTGCTTCGTGAGCATAGGCATCGAATGCCAGCCAGCCCTTGTTATCCGAGTGGACCACACGGGACCGGTCAATACCAGCCTCGTGAAGCCATTCGCGCACAGCATCCACGGCCTCTGCCGATGGGGCAAACAGATCATGGACCTCCTCGGCGGTCCAATACTTGCCATACTTGGCAGAGCTTGGGTGGGACCTATCAACCTGTTAGCACGCGCCAATTGCACAATCATCAAGCCCACAACATACACATCCATCAACAACTCATAACCCCTGTCCAAGTTGTTCTGGGTAAGTCCAATGCGAACGGGCAGCACCGCGTCACTCTCCACACGATCGCCCTTCACCCAATCAAGTCCGTGCCGTTCACGCTTCTCATGCAACACATGTTTAATAGGCGCCGGCACGGCCTCAGAGAGAGCCGCAATGGCCAAAGCAAGATAGACCTGACGCATCAACATCGCGAGACCCAAGTAGAAAGCGATCTACCCACAATCACACCCTCCACATGCAGGGGAATCGCCCCTTGAAATACAAGGCCCGCGGGGAGCAACGGGACCGCATCGGCAGTGTATCATGGCCCCATAAACAAGATTCTCCACTTGCGAGAAGGCGGGCAGAGACAGCTAATCTCGCGATGGGTGTGCTGATTGGCCATGACGCGGGACGGCCTCTGCAGGTCGGCGCACGATTGAGACATATCAACATCGGCAGCATATCGACAGAGTAGCACCACCGCGTGGCGTGTGGCTTGAAGACAAGCTAAGCACTTACCTGCGGGGCGCGCTTCGGCAATCGCTCCACTAGGAAAGGCCTGAGCGGGCCTGGATTAGGACTGAAGATGTGATCATGGTATGCAGTTCATGTGTTCACCATGGAACCGCGTTAAGATTGGAGTCTCACGGCGTACCGGTGTTATTTCCGGGCGTGGCGTATTACCCCCACCCCTCGCCGGGTTATCGTGTGACGGGGATGAATTAACATCCAAGCGACATAGCTTGCCATTTCCGGTAGTTGGGGGACGCGAGGCGCGTGTTATCGGAGGGGGAAAGGCTTGCGCTACTTGGCACTAAGGACGGAAGGCCGGCGTAGTTTAGGGCGGAGGTCCGACGGCTTGAAGGTGCTACTAAACGCTCAGTTCAATTCAGGTAAGTTCCTTGTTTGCTTTACGGCTTTGGTTGCATTGGAATTTGCCCCTAGTCTGTTCGTCTTTTTGATTGCTGATGGCATTGGCGGAGATAATGAGGAGAACAAAGCCATTTATGATATGATAGGCAGGTGATTGGCCACTAGAGGGGTAAGTCTAATTAATGCTGGCTAGCGCCGTTATTTAGTACAAAGTCGAGGTTTGGGGTTTATGGACGGGGAAAGAAATACGCAATCGCCATGCTATTTCGCCATTTTGAACTCCTAGCTGAGCTTCAATTGCTAAATAAGACCCCTCCCCTATATACAGTCTACGGTGCCTAGCTCAGGTTATCGGCTACTTGAAGTCAAACCTTGGACAGAACTTCAAGCTCCGCGTTCTTTTTCAGGCCCCAAAAAATTAACTACCAGCCTGTGTGCAAGCGATCTAGGAAGATGCTTGAAGGTATCCCTAAAACGGCCTTCCAAAAGAGGTACCGCTGCTGGACTATTCGAAAGGGGAAGGTCCTATCGGGTAAACCGATCAAGTTTTGGCTCTTATGGGGCCGAGGTGATAGAGCTAAGAGCTATGGCTAGGAGCTAACGACGCCGGGGAGGGGCAGAGATTACTGCAACGCTAACCATAATATTTTAGATGCTCAATTCATTTTTATAAGACATGACGACGTGTAATCGATGCTCTATCTATCTCCTTGCCTACACTAGAAGCGAGGACTTGCTCATTGCCTTCACGACTGGCGGCTCCTTCATACGCCCAGCACCACCGAGGGTAATTCCAATACTCTCCGCAAGAACCGCCGAGCCTCCAGTTGGTCGCGGCAGACTGGCCTCTTCATAGCCCGCTCCATCCTCATTCTCCTCATTTTTAGGTGCCGCGGGCTGGCCGAGTTCAAAAACGTCGTCACGGCAGTCCGAACACATTGTCACGACATCGGCGAGCGCCTTCTCAACGGCAGCGGCGCGCTCGCGCATACCCCGGCGTAGAAGTGCGTCTACGAGTGCCTCGGCCTCGGCCAGAGTCGAGTTGACGCGCTCGATGAGTCGCCGGATGCTGTTGACGAGGTACTCTTCCTCGTAGACAGTGCCCTTCTTACCCTTTGCACGCTTGCGCTCCTCGCGGCGGCGCGTGCGCGACGTCACGCGGGATGAGGATGTCTTGCCGGTGTACCGAGTGAACATGGTGCGGCCAGCCAAGGTTGTTGCCTCGGTCGGGGCAAGAGACACGTTATCGGGAATATCAACACCGCCCTCGCCGCCAGTGGGATCGCCTCCGAAGAAGGCGAGAGGATCGGCGGCGCGGAGCTGCCGGAGTTCACGAACTCGTGGGACCTGCGCGTTCAGCTGGGACTTGCAGTCGGCCAACAGATCGGTCATAGAACCCATGGCCTCAGCCAGGCCGGAGTCGACGATCTCTTCAACCAAATCCTTTTTGCCGTGGAGGGTCAGGAGGCGCGCGGCATCGGCAAACTTCGAGCCGCGGCACAACAGTTGGGCAGCGGTGACAATGTCGTGCAAATGCTCTGCATAGATGGTTGCGGCCGATATGTAGTCCCGAGTCTCGTCAGCCAGAGTTGTGGCGAGCTCGTTGATAAAGGCCATGAGCTCTTCCTCGGGCAAAGAAGCCATCATGGCGCAATACAGCGACTCGCGCCACATGTGAGCGAGATTGTAGCACTTGTATGCTTCCTCGTAGATACCGAGTGATTCATAAGCTACCAAAATCAGTCAGCCAACCTTTTCGTTAGCCTTTGGGAAAGAATGCTAGAGCTTACCAATTGCGGCATCCTTGTGCTTCGAGTCGTTTTGAAGGTAGTCTGCATAGATCTGCGTGATTTCCCTCAACTGCTCAGGCTGATATTTGTAGATTTCCAGTGCCTCCTTGTACAAAGCATGCCGGGTGACGTAGGCCCGAATTTCCTCATGGGCACCCAGGGCAAACAGGTGTTTCAGGGCCTTGTCGAACCGAGAGAGATGGTTGTCGATCTCGAATTGGCGCCTAGTCTCAGGCAGTTTCTGCAATTTCCGGAGGAATGGAAGATACTCCCGGGGGTCCTACAGTATTATTAGTACCATATCTCTGGATTAAGCACTTGTTGAATGACTTACCATTTGTGCTTGCTGAGCCACCAAAAGGGTAAGCTCAAGATCGTACAAACCCAGAGCATGGGAGTACAGTCGGTTAGCGTCGGTCAAGAAGCACATATGCTCAATTGCATCTTGTGCTTGCTCCGAATTTTGTGCTATAAAGTACTGTTAGCGATCGTAAACTCCAATTGGTTCATTTGAGCGGACTTACTTCTGAGGTTGGCGACAAGCTTCAAGCCGGCCTCAAGGTCAGGTGGCTCCTTACAAACGTGTGCAGTGACAAGATTTTGCAAGTTTGTGTCGAGACGGGTTTGAAGAACAGCAAGGAATGCATTGCAAATTGCGTTAACCTTGCTGGTTTTGCCGGCAAGCTGAGACAAGGATGGAACCGTGGGGCCATCCGGCTGAGCAACAACAGCAGACTCATGTTTGGAGATCTTGAGAGTATCTTTATACAGGGTTTGTGAAACATCCTCCTCCCTAATACCAAGTCAGGACTCGTTGTTCAGTATCCAGGAACGTGAGGGAAGGCTTACTTCAAACGAGAAAGGAAGTCATCAATGAATTCAATCTTTTTGACTTGTTCAATGAACAACTGAACACTTTCCATGAATTGCTGGGGAGCATAGTCGTGAAGGATGTTCATATCAACCATTTGGCTGCGACACGCTAGGAAAGCAGCCCGGTAGTTCTTCCGGTCAATGAATGTGCGAATACCAGCCAACACCAAGGCACGTGGGAAAATGGTCTCGATGTTTCCACGAGGTGCCTGTAGGACAACGGCGAAGATAGACGGTATGACAGACACCAGCTTTGATCCGCGCTCAATGCTTCTGCATCTCTCGTCGGTCTCGGGCGTATCTTCGGGGACCTCCATGTCTGTAAATTGCCTATTAGTATGGCAACAGAGGACAATTTAAGCAAGTCCAACGTACCGTCCACGCGATTCAAATGCACGAATTTCAACAAATGCTGAGACGTGGTAAACAACAGGTGGGATGGAGTCACCAAGAAGGATGTGCAGTTCTTAGCAAGGACTCGCTTGTTTGCGTACAAAGCACCAGTCCGCGTAAGAGTAATCAGAATACGCTATGCAGGTTAGTTTTCTTTTTATTCCAGACTGGCATTGAGCAACGGAGTATATTTACCTCTTCGTCGGAGATTGATACAGCACGGGCCCAGTGAGTTTCCACAGTAGGGCTCTCATTCCAAAGGCTAGCTTCCACTTCATCACCAGCGACGAAATCAACAGTGGAGTAGCTGGCAGGGAGACCCGGTTGTTGAGCATGTGAGAACCAAAGAGCTGAATGGCCGAATCCTGCAAAAATAGAGTACAACTGCTCAGACTCCTGTGCTTTATAAACCTCACGACTCTCCCGGGTCTCCAGTTTCGTGCGCACAATATGGCTAATGCCGGGAGCGCTGTCCTTGAGAATATACACCTCAGTTTCATTGAGGAATGCAATCTGCCTGGGCCGGTTGGTGGGTTCATCTGAAAGAGGATAACTCGACTCGAGTATCGGCACCGGAACTGGGCGACTCTTCAAAGACCACACGAATATGGAGAAGCTCTTGTCCATTAGAACTGCCATTCGAGTACCAGATTTGCTAAATGCAACATCGATGACGTTTGAGTCCAGCTGCAGTTCGTTATGTGCCATTGGAGGCGGCACGCCAGCCAGACGAAGCGGAGTCAGCTTCAGAGTCTTTCCATCGATAACCGCAACAGCACCAACATCATCTGGAATCGCAGTGGAGCCGTGGTGAATGTCAAAGACATAGTCGACGTCAAGGACAGAGTAAGATGACCCAGCAACCACACGCAGTGTCTTTTCCTGGTGCCACTCAAAAGAGAATGGGAGGGAGCATGCAGGGTCAACGTCGATGGGTATCTCTTGCTTCAAGTAATAGTGGTAATTACCTGTCGTCCAGAGCTGGACTCGGTCCTTGAACCGCACAGCAAGTACAGTTGAATCGATGTTCCATGATAGCTGAATTTGGGATGCCCAAGACTGGCGTTCCTTTTCGGTCAGACGAAGCGTAAACTGCCCATGGCGCAAACCATTTCTCTCGAAAAAGACAACGTCAATGCGGTCCTCCAACCGTTGGATTCCGGCAATGAGATTGCCGTAGGGGCGCCAGCTCAAGGCTCCCTCGAGGCCATCCACAGGCTCGCTCACACTGTCGAGGGTACCTTCACGGGAGTACACCCGAATGACACGGCGAATGCCTTCATCAACGGTATTCACCGCCACATAGGCACCGTCACCTCGCCAGCTAATAGTCGTACTGGCATCGTCATTAGTGCTCAGCTTGCCTTCATCAACCTTCTCAGGTACAGTCGGGTCTCGCATAGCCTTGGCTCTCTTGCCTTGGAATTGGGTTTCCCTCTTGCCCCATCCCACGGAGACATGCTGAGAGGCTTGCAGATCAGCCTGGGAGAAAGTGATCTCAGCGACGTTTTCGAACTCGCGGGTCATATACAAGAACGTGCGTGCTCTAGTAGTGATAGCCAGGAGCTCTTCGTCCGGAGACCAGGCAGCAGCCGTGATTCCAACATCGACGGAGCCCAGAATCTCGATCTTATCCTCACCAGGGAGGGGCTCCTCGCGGACGATGATAATATCACCGCCCTCCAACACCAGACACGCTGTCAAGTTGTCTGCAAAGTAGTGCAGAGAAAGCACTCGATCGCATGCAAGATCGGGCAAAGGGCTTGGGGCATCCCAAGATGCGATGCATTCCAGCGCATCGCGGGTCAAAGGCTCCGCGGCAGTGACTTCGGGGCGCTTCCTCCGCAACTCGATGACCGGGTTGTGCTCTGCCGGACCAAAAGTACACACAATCGAGTCAGATGAAGTATCCCAAGCAGTCGCAGTCAAGGGAAGGTCGCCCTCGATCTGTGTCTCCTGGAGACGCACGCTCTTCAGGTTGCGCATCTTTGACGGCGGGTATCACTTTTTTTTCCTCTATCGCTTCCCTAATTTTACCCCGCCATAGGACGGTAAAATCGAAGATGGTTGGACGGATTCGAAAAAGAATCCACCGAAGCTTGAGAACCAGAGCTCGTCGGATTGAAGAACGCAAGGTCGCTGGTTGGTGTTTTGCGATGTGGTTGTGGCTCCGAGAGCTGACTCTCTCTCTATCCAACGAACCAAAGATTTTTGATTTTCCACAGCCGCTCAGCCAATGACTTCATCCATATTTCAACGTCTAAAGAGCTACGCTTCACCACCTCTACACGGCTACAATTGGACTAATTTGGGGCAAAATCAAAACTCAACATTGTCCTCTAACTTTGTACATGGTATTTCGACGGCTGTAATCCGCGATTCAAGATTTCCACCACGCAGCCTGCCGCACTGCCAACACGCGAGAAATACGTATAGAGCAGCTTATTTGGTCTTGTAGGTTTGCCAGACTGGAAGAAAAGTCTCGTTAGAACACCTGTCGTGTAACATCAGAGTAATTGAGAGCTTACCGGCAATGGCGAAGGGGGCACCGAATCCGGTAACTAGAAAACGTCTTGAGTCAGTTCCTCATGTCTCTCTCAACCCGGGGATTTGCGGATCACCAACCCATGAAAGCCCAGTAGCGCCAGAAGAAGTGCTTGGTCAGGGGGTTGAAGGGGATGTTGGAGCGAGGGCCCTCAGCGTAGTGGTAGGGGCTGCCGAGCTGGGCGCGAGTGGTGGAGAAGCCACGACGGGCAGCGACGGTGGCCAGTCGGGCGCGGACAGCGGAGGAGACGTACATCTTCAATGATGAGATCAGTTATTCGGGAGTCCGAGCAAGTTCAATTGCAACAAGACAACACCTACCTTGAGGTACAGAGTGGAGGGAGTGGACGATCGGGAATGGACGGACGGAGCCAGAATGAACATCGCAAGGTGCGGAATGGGTCGATCATGGTCACGTGATATCCAGTCTATCACATGACATCTTACACCGGCAAAGCCTCGCCAAGTCTATTGATTGATCTGGCAATTTGGTAGGAGTAAGTATACTCGATGGATAAATTTACAATATAACCACAGGATCAGGGAAGCTACAATTAATCGCTGTTGTATTAATAACAGTAGCGAAAATAATCTTCCTTGGAGCTATTGGCTGGGGTTTAGTGGCATTCTGTCGCTAATCACCGGCCCTATATATGCGTAGTATATCATTTCTAAATAAACCAACAAGAGGTATCAACGGAGGTATCAAAAGACTTGTTAAAACACATTTCAAATGATATATTAAAAGGCGTATTAACAGCGTACTCACTATGTCTATATCCTAGGACCGGGTTAGGATTTACTGCATTCAATACAGTAACATATTCAAATGTAGCTCTATCCAGGCTATCGCTCATACGATAGAGAATAACAGGCATACATAGCTTCAGCCGAATCAGGTTTGTTAAACAGAATGAACTACTTGAATAGACATAAAGAAAGATAGGCCATTTTCCATGTCATAAGGAAGATCCCCCTCTGTAACGTACTGTATCCTGTATAGTGTAACAATGAGGGAAGGCAAGAACGAGGATCGCCGGCCAGACCGCCTTCTCAATCGGGCACTTTCAATTTTCTGCGCAAAGAAAAGTCCAGACTACTTCTTCGTTGACCACTCGACTTTCGTGGTTCGTCGTCAAGTGTGACCTTCGGAGATGGACGAGCTCTTCGATGTCTTTGAGGACCAGCCTCAGGCTGTGCTGCCTCCCGGCGGTGCGCCTAAGCGCTCCAAAAAGGATAAGAAGGATAGAAGCAAGAAACGTGCCGCCAACGGTGATGTGAAGAATGACGCTACTGCACCAGATATGATGGAGGACGTGACACCTTCGAGTGCACCTGTTGAGAAAATCCCTGCAGTGTCCGAGGCGCCTGCTGCCAACAACGGGCAGCCCGAAACCAAGCGCCTTCGACTCGACGAAGCACCCCAACCTGTTGTCGCCGATTCCTTCGAAACCGAACAAGAGCAAGAGATTGCCGCAGCTGCTGGTCTGCAGGGCGGCCAAAATGCAGCGTCTATCAAGGTCTCTCATCAAGTGCGCCACCAAGTTGCAATCCCACCAGACTACCCCTACGTGCCTCTCTCGGAACACAAGCAACCGGAGGAACCAGCCAAGACATACTCGTTCACACTCGATCCTTTCCAGCAGCTAGCAGTCAATGCGATTCAAAGAGAGGAAAGCGTGCTGGTTTCAGCGCATACTAGTGCCGGAAAAACCGTGGTTGCCGAATATGCTATTGCGCAAAGTCTGAAGAGAAACCAGCGAGTCATCTACACAAGTCCGATCAAGGCTCTGAGCAACCAAAAGTATCGTGAATTCGCCGCTGAATTTGGCGACGTTGGTCTTATGACTGGTGATGTTACCATCAATCCTACAGCCACCTGTCTCGTCATGACTACGGAGATTCTTCGGTCGATGCTGTATCGCGGTTCCGAGATCATGCGTGAAGTCGGATGGGTCGTATTCGACGAGATTCATTACATGCGCGACCTGAACCGTGGTGTCGTTTGGGAAGAGACACTCATTCTCCTCCCCGATAAGGTCCGTTACGTCTTCTTGTCGGCCACTATCCCCAACGCCATGCAGTTTGCCGAATGGGTCGTGAAGATGCACAACCAGCCCTGTCACGTTGTGTACACCAACTACCGTCCAACTCCCCTCCAGCACTACTTCCACCCTGCCGGTGCGGAAGGAATCCACCTGGTTGTGGATGAGAACGGTGTGTTCCGGGAGGAGAACTTCCAGAAAGCTATGGGCTCTATTGCGGACAAAAAGGGCGACGATCCGGCAAATGCCCTGGCTAAGCGCAAGGGAAGGGGCAAGGACAAGTCACTCAATAAGGGTGGAGAGAAAGGTCCCTCTGATATCTTCAAGATCGTGAAGATGATCATCATGAAGAGGCTCAACCCGGTAATTGTCTTCAGTTTCAGTAAGAGAGAGTGCGAGAGCGGTGCGCTCCAGCTAAAGAATCTGGCATTCAACGACGATTCCGAAAAGGAGATGGTTCAAAAGGTTTTCGACAGTGCCATGGAGATGTTGTCTCCAGAAGACCGCCAACTGCCTCAAATTATCAATCTTCTTCCCCTCCTACGCCGAGGTGTTGGTGTTCACCATTCTGGCCTCCTTCCCATCCTCAAGGAGACCATCGAGATTCTGTTCCAGGAAGGTCTCATCAAGGTCCTCTTCGCTACTGAGACTTTCTCCATCGGCCTCAATATGCCTGCCAAGACCGTTGTCTTCACCAGTGTTCGCAAATTCGACGGCACCAGCCAGCGCTGGGTCACGCCATCCGAGTTCATTCAGATGTCCGGACGAGCCGGTCGAAGAGGTCTCGATGACCGTGGTATTGTCATCATGATGGTTGGTGAGGAAATGGATCCCGCGGTTGCCAAGGAAATCGTTCGTGGTGAGCAGGATCGATTGAACTCGGCTTTCCACCTTGGATACAACATGGTTCTCAACCTGATGAGAGTGGAAGGTATTTCCCCAGAGTTTATGCTTGAAAGGTGTTTCAAACAGTTCCAGAACACGGGCAACGTCGCTACTTTGGAGCAAACCCTTCGTGAGCAGGAGGAGAAGAAGGCAAATATGATCATTCCCGACGAAGGAACTATCCGGGAATATTATGATTTGCGCACACAGTTGGAAACCTTCTCTGACGATGTTCGTGCCGTTATCACCCATCCAAACCATTGCCGGCCCTTCATCACGTCCGGCCGTCTGCTTCAGATCATGCACCAAGGCCAAGATTTTGGATGGGGTGCGGTAGTCAGGCTCTCGCAGCGCAAGCCTGCAAAGGACCCCAAGGAAGAAGTCGATGCCCATAAGGGGTGGGTTGTTGATGTCCTTCTGAAGCTTGCCACTGGGCCGGCTGTTGGCACCAAGTCCTTCCAAGACTTCCCCGCAGGCATTCGACCGGCCAAGGAGGGAGAACCCTCTCGGTTCGAAATCGTGCCCGTTGTGCTGAGCTGCATCCATGCCATCGGACATGTTCGCATCTTCCTGCCGAAGGATATCAAATCTGAGGATGCCCGAACTGGAGTGGGCAAGGCTTTGGATGAAACGAGAAGGCGATTCCCCGATGGTGTTCCGCTCCTTGACCCCGTCCAGGAAATGAAAATCACGGATGACTCCTTCAAGAAGTTGCTACGGGTAAGATTTGATGACCGCTACTGCGTCTTTTTTTCGATTGTCTTTCTAAATGCTGATCTGATCTACTCTAGAAAATCGAGGTTCTCGAGTCTCGCCTGCTGGGCAACCCGCTCCACCACTCCCCACGACTGCCAGAGTTGTACGACCAATATGTCGCAAAGGTCAATCTGAGCAATGAGATCAAGGCGACCAAGAAGGGCATCAGCGATGCCATGTCGATTTTGCAACTTGACGAATTGAAGTGCCGCAAGCGTGTGCTCCGTCGTTTTGGCTTCATCAACGAGGCGGAAGTGGTGCAGCTGAAGGCCCGGGTTGCCTGCGAGATTAGTACCGGTGATGAACTCATGCTGGCTGAGCTGCTGTTCAATGGTTTCTTCAACAACCTCACTCCCGAGCAGGTGGCAGCTGTCGTCAGTGTCTTCGTGTTTGAGGAGAAGGTTAAGGAGGCCCCGCCTTTGAGCAAGGATGAGCTTGCTAAGCCCCTTAAGGAGATTCAAGCACAAGCTCGGATCATTGCCAAGGTCTCGCAGGAGTCCAAGATGGCTATCAACGAGGACGAGTACGTTCAGAGCTTCCACTGGGAGCTCATGGAGGTGGTCTATGACTGGGCACACGGCAAGTCCTTTGCCGATATCTGGTATGTACTCCTCGCCACACCATAACTTTCCTTACTCCCATACCGAATTGTAAGCTAACTTCTAGCAGTGGTATGACGGATGTCTATGAGGGTAGCTTGATCCGTGTTTTCCGACGACTAGAGGAGTGTCTGCGTCAGATGGCGCAGGCTGCCAAGGTGATGGGTAGCGAGGACCTGGAGAGCAAGTTCGAGGGGGCGTTGACCAAGGTCCGCCGTGACATTGTTGCTGCTCAGTCGCTCTATCTGTAAATACGATATCCATGGGCGTTCTTTGTACGGAAATAAAAATTATTGTCTGATTATTCTTCATCTATTTTTTTTGCCTCCGAATGATAGACTAGACTCGACAAGGCGAAAGCTGCATTGTTCGCCTGAACGCGGAGGCTTGAGCGGCAGTCTGACCGGCAAGACTACTGAGCATATAGAAATCGCTGGCCTTCCATATAGGTTAAAAAATATTATTAACGTACCGGAATAAATCCTGAGTGCCATGTTAATTTAGCTGATTCATGACACCGTCGAGATTGTAGGGAAAAATCCGCATCTGCAACGTCGAGAAGTCACCTTAAAACCTGCACAGCAGGACTGCGTTGCCGCCCGCAACGCCTTCTTCTTCTCCACCGCTTCTCCGTCTTCTTTGCACTTCTCTCTCCCCACCTCACCCTTTTGGCCACCCTTTTTTTTCCTCTTCTTCTTGCCCAGCTTCTCTCCTTTGGGTTCTCACTCATTTCGATTATTCCTAGATCTGCTAGTTCAGGTCATTTCTATCGCCATCCGGCTGTCATCATGAACAGTCTGGTGGCCACGCCTCCTGTCCCTCCTCATTTCTACGAGAACCCTCGATTCTCTCCCTCCCGTATAAGTACGTCTACTCCTGGAAAGCTCGTCTTGACTTCTATGTTTCAAGGCTGCCCTTTGAAAAATTCTATGCTGACCGAAATCTTAGTGTCTACACCTTCGTCGTCCTACACCAGCCGAAAGCGGAAAGCCGACGAAGATGGCAACGATCATGATGGACGCATGTCCGCCTCTCCCACCAACTCGCCAGCCTTTACTCCTCGCCAGCTCCCATCTTTCCGAAATATCAAACGTTCCCGGCCGAATGTCTCCGGCAGACCTCTTTCCCTACCTCGTCTCCTAGAGACCCTCGATACCGATGCCTTACGCACAGTGCTCCGGACCATGTGCGAACGCCACCCTCAACTTGCCGACGAGGTTGCCCAAACGTCTCCCCGGCCAAGTGTCTCTTCTACCCTGCAGGTGCTGCGAAACTATCAAGCCGCCCTTCAGTCCTCATTCCCCCTGGGTGGCAACACCGAATCCGACTACGCCTATAATCGAGTACGACAGCCGCTTACGAACCTCCTGGAAGCTCTGAGCGATTTCACGCCTAACTTCCTTCCTCCAAACGAATCACAGCCATCGATTTCTTTGAGCTACCTGGACGGGGCTACGGATATCATCCACGCCCTGCCCCGCTGGAGCACGCCACAGAACAATATCGAGCGGGATTCGGCCTATGATGAGATTTGCAAAGCCTGGATCCTGGTGATTCGGGAAGCAGCAAAGCGAGGTGGAGGTATTCAGCTGCAGTACGGTGGCTGGGACCAAAAGTTGGCAAAGCACAACCAGAACTCTGGGGGCAAGATGCAGGCGGCAGTCAACGAACTCGGGCAGAGCCTGGGCTGGATGAACGGACCTGACTCGCCGTCCCACGGCGCTGGCAACAACGAAATGGGCTCCATTCGAGACCAGCTTCTGTCTGGCACGTATGGCCTAGGCACACCTGTCAAGGTTGGACCCTGGTGAGCAAGAGGGAGTTGTTCCCGTGACTCATCGCCGAACGACTCGGCGCCCATATCTTCCAATAACCTCAATATTTGACGACCACTTAAACACCATCTCGCATAACAACCATATGCACTCACCTCGCATCCTCTATCTGCTGCATCGACCCCCTTGACTCCGTTGTGAGCTTCCTCCGACGATCCCAAACAGACACCCCGACCGGACCATGTTCGACGTATGCCACGATCACGACCCCCCTATTGCATGACCTTTAGAGAAATCATCAGGTCTCAGAATGGCGTTTATATTATGCAAAGGCGAATAACCTGACAATTTTGTTTCCTTTTCTTTTCCCCCTTTTCTTTTCTGTTTGGGGGTATTCGGGAGGAAGACAAAACGTGCTATGTCAAGCTTGATCAAGCTTGACCTTGAATTATACCCTCCCGAATGAACCAAACACACTCCTCAATCCACCCTTGCCTCATTGGGGCTTTGTTGTTTCCTTCTCTATGCTTTTTTTCCTTCGTATTCCGAATTTCCACTTGTGGCTTTCTTCCTTCCCTCGCTTTCTATTTATTTCCAGTTTCTTTTGTTTATCATATTCAAATCTCGGGTGGCCTGCTTTCATGTTTGCCTTTTTGCCTTGTGTAGCGCTATCTGGAGTCATGTATATCCCTTCCACTGTCCTATCCGCTCTGCCCTGGTCGTCACCTTCAGCTTCGTCTACGTCAGCATGGATCCTGAAACCCCTGTGGTTACGACTGGCATCTGGTACAGTCACAACTGATCACGCACTCTGGCTACACATTTCCCTAGCGGCTGATCCAAATTCTCGGGCGGAAGTTCTACTCAGAAGCCTTGAGGCATGTCACTTGTCAGGGTAGACTTGGGATCTCCCTACATGCCATGAAGGGGAATTCAGCAGAGACGGTTGCAAGCTAGCTAGCTCAATGAAATTTATTTGAAATAAAAAGACTCAAATTCAACTGCTTGCACGCTAGTTTAAAGATTTGTAGTAGTTCAGAGACTTGCGATCATTTAACTGAGACCAAAACGCCATATCCCGTTCACGTCGTTTGTTTGACGGCGATTAGAGCAACAATATTATATACAAAAGTAGCGATTCAATATCTTTCCCCCAGGGCAGGTCAAATCAAAGCACGCTTCATGACCCGGAATAACCAACCCGCATCTTCCCATCCACCTTGAGTACCAGGCTTCTCGACGCTCCCCACGGACTCTCCATCCGTATGAGAGAGGGCATCCGCGTCATCATCTTCAGCAGATGCCAGCGACAACGTATCATGAGCCCGCTCCTCCACTTCGGATCGGACATGCGGACCCTCCTCAAACGTGACAATCGTCGACGTCGCAGCCGTCCCAATCCTCGTAGCAGAAGCAGGAGCAGGAGCCGGCCACTCCTCTACCCCAAACAACGTCCACTCAACCAACCGATCAATCCAGCTACCAAGTCCAAACCCACGTTCACGCGTGAGCCGCTGCAAATCCGCCTCATCGAATTCATCTGGGGTATCATCCGAGAACGAATCATACTCAGAATCACTATCGTCCTCGCCATCCCAGAACTCAGATTCATCATCCGAGAACCCGCGCTCCCGCTGCAACGACGCCATTTCCGCACGGATACGCTCGTCCACGAAATCAGGTACCAATCCCGACCCCCGACCCCGGGATACGGGACTCATAGTACCGACTCCAGGACTGGGGGCTTTCCCTCCCGCCCCCGTGGACGACGCAGATGAAAGCGGCGGGATAGTCGTCATCGTCAACCCGGCCCGACTACCCCGTCGACTACCACCACGCGAGCGCGAGCTACGGCGGGAATACGCCGCCGGCGTGGAAGTTCCCGAGCGAGACTTGCGTGACGAGGCGCCCGATTTAGTACGGTGGTGGTGGCGTTGGGGGTGTGGAGTCGTGGCGTCGTCGAGGGACATGTCGACGAGACTAGTTGAGCTCTCGCGCTTGGAGAGCCAGCTTTGACCTTTTTCCTCGCGGGTGGATGAGGCAAGCGCTATACCTGCGCGAAGCATCCATTCCGCGTCGGACTTGGAGGATGCATCGCCGAATTGGCGCCGTGCGTGTGTGGAAACAGTCTGTTTCTTGTGCGAGGCTTGGTGGTGGTGTAGTGCCAGGGTGACTTCTTTACTGTGTAGATTCGTATCGCTTAGTAGGCCGGCTCGGGTTGAGCTTTTGCTTCGGGCATGGCGGGTGCGCGATGAGCTGCGTGAGTGCGAGAGTATGGGCGGTGTGCTGGGTACGGAGACGCTGGAGAGATAGGAGGTTCGTGGTGGTGTTCTGCTACCGCTGGCTGTGTGGTCGTGGGCATCACGATCGGTGGTGCCGTGGCGGGTGTTGAAGTAGTCTTCGGGCTCGATGTCGTCGTCGATGGGGAACCGGGGTGTAAGTGGAGCAAGCGAGACGTGATTTAGGTTGGGGTAGGAGCGGCGAGAGGGGAACCCGCCCGAGTTGGTGAACTGGCAGCAGTGTTAGAGGTTGGATTGGAAATTTGTTGTATAGGTAGGGTATTGTTAATTGGTGATACTCACGTCCATGATGGATTTTGATAAGCTCCAGGAGGATTGAGAAAGCAAAGGTGGTTGACAACCGTGGAAATGCGGAGTCACTGCACGTGTGGCATGTGAAAGTGGCCGTGCACTTCGGCTTTGAGTCGGTTGATTAATCGACTTGTCGTCATATCTTACTTCCACTATTAGCTGGATATTATTTTCAATTATATGTTCAAGTTAATCTATACAAGAATGATTTTGCAAAGGTAATCATAAATCAGATTGTGGTATGTGTGGTGGTTGGTCAGATCAATCGTCCAATGTCTCCATCTATATACTTCGAGCTGGACGGGTGGCATGACCGAGGAAGTACACCACACCACGATTAAAAGAAAAAATGATCTAAATATGGAAAATTTGAATTTTAATATATCATGTCTATTCATCAACAAATCATCTGTACACCAAAACGTCCAAAGTATATACAATATGTGCACACTCCTCGCGCTGAACTACAGCCGAGAGTCATGGAAATCCAAAACATCAGCCCCCTTGACCCGCAAGTCTTCGAGAACGTTATACTCCATAATCCACTTCATTCGCTCAGACAGTGCCTCGGGATTGAAGTTGTTAGTCATTTCATCCGGAGAATCAGAGCTAGCCAGCTTGCCAGCTTCGAAGCTGGTCTGTGTAACCCGGTCTGTCCGGGGCTTGCGCAGGTTCTGATAGAACTGGAATGCGGACTGCAGATCATCGTTCTTCCAGTGACGGAGGATAGTCGCAAGGGCGATTCCTGATTCAATGGCCATGCAAGTTCCTTGGCCTGTGGAATTGGCGTTAGCAATGAAACAAGTCCATGTCGAGGGGAAGTAAAGACTTACCTTGGTGAGGAAGGGTCGAGTGGGCAGAGTCACCCAACAAAATGATACCCGAATCCTTCTGACCATCCTTCATCTCGTACCACTTATCCAGCGGATCACGGACATACAGCGCCTGCTTCAGCATACGACCATCGGGCGAACTCTTGCGCAGACCCTCGATAATATCCTGCACCTGCGGACACCAGTCACGCACATGCTCGTGCAAGCTAGAGATCTCAGAGCGCGACATCCAGCTCTCTGAGTCCCAGGAGTCGAGCGTCTCAGACATGAATCCGATAATGGCCGCGCGATCGGTGCCGGTCTCCTGGTTGCCAATAGGCAGAATCAAGACGTGGCGCTGGGGACCACGGAAGTTGACAGTCTTCCTGAGCAACTTTGCCGTCTCCTCGGGGAGGTCCTTGTAGTCGACAAAGCCACGGTACACCACCTGGCCAGAGTAGTTCGGTGAGTCGGCCAGTCCCATGTCCCGACGCACATTAGACTTGATACCATCACACCCAATCACGATATCCGCATCAGCCGTGCTGCCGTCCTGGAACTTAAGAGTGTATGGTGCGGCACCAGCATCCGTGTTCCGCTCAATCGACGCAAGATGCTTTCCAAGATTCAAGCAAGACTCGGGCACGCGCTCCTTTAGCGAATCCAACAAGTGCGCACGGTGCAACAAGCGGGCAGGCGGTTGCGAGAACTCTTCAATGTGACCCAGGTACTCTCCATCTTTATAATTGTGGTACTCCATATAGCAGGGCAACTTGCGCGACGACTTCCGCGTCATGCTCTCCTGGAGCCCGAAGGCATCCAGAATTCGGTTGGCATTGGAGGTGATGTTCACGCCGGCACCGACTTCGGCGAATTGTGGTGCCTGCTCGTAGAGCTGGATATTCTTTAGACCGGCATATAAGGCGGCATTTAGGAATGACATGCCACCGAGGCCGCCGCCAACGATGGCGATGCGCTTGTCCTCGAAGCCCATTTTTAGCGGGGTAGATGGAGGGGCGAGAGAAACTGGATGAATTGGCCGGATAGGAGACTGGTAAAAGAGAATGCAAAATGCAAATGCAAATGTACAGTGTGTGAAGAGGGGTTGATAATGTCCCTCGCGCAAGGCTATATATATCAAGCCTGTTTAGCGGGATATCGGCATCTCCCCGCCTGGAGGATTACCGATCCGATCAAGTCCAAGCTGGAGGTGGCTTTTCGGAGCGTGGAGTTGGACGTGGGGTAATCGCCCGTCTAGTTCTCCCGAGTGTAGACTACTGTAAACGTCTGCGGATATCCCGGACGATCAAACGGATAATTAAGTCGTTAGGAAGCTACTAGTATACATACGTTTAGATCTAGACTTTGTCGGAGGCATCAAGTACGATCGATAGGTGCAGCCGTAGTAGATAGGGGATATATATTGCGTCCGAGCCAGTAGAGTACGACAATCTCAAGTTATACCTATTATACGAAATGCTAAGAAATATGATAATATCCTCATCAAATCCTATCAAAACTTCTCTAATGTACCATTTCTAACAACATCCTCCCCTGTAGTTCTGTCAGCACTGCACAACATAACCTTGCAGCACCATGAGGGAATCGGAAGCCCCCGCCATTTTGGTGGCGTCCAGCATCCGAAGGACCCACTGCTGTCGGATGGGGTCACCTTAGTCAGCAACTGGCCGGAAAGCCGATTCAGGTCAGGTGAACGATTGCTGGCGTGCCGAGTCAGCCGAACCTTAAACTAATCATCTTGCCTCTCATTGGCGGTTAGACAGCTCCATGCTTCCTACACTATGTGATCCCATTTTCCGACAGGGAAACTTTTATGATACGTTTATCGGGTCAAATGATTGATGCTTGCGTTATGATCATGTAGATTGGAAAATTTTTTTTCTGATTTAATTACAATCCCGAAAACTTTATTTATCCCCGGATACGCCAGGCTCGTAATCTGTTCAAACTTCAGACTGGGTCAAGCAACAACTCCTGGTATAACGGTATAACGACTTTTGTTTTTACTCCACAATCTTGCCCTTGTTCACAACAAAGCCCTCTAGAGCAGAGATAGCTGCCCACAGGCGGTTCTCAGCCTCGGGGAACACCAGGGAGCGCGGGCTGTAGAAAACCTCGTCGTGGACCTCCTCGGGGTGTCGGGGAAGGCAGTGCATGAACTTCCAGCCCTCCTTGGCACCACCACGCTTGGCCATCTCATTCGTGATCTGGAAGCCCTCAAAGGCCGCCATGCGCTTCTTGGCCTCTTCCTCCTGGCCCATGGACACCCAGGTGTCGGTCACGAGAATATCGGCATCCTTGACGGCCTCCTCGGGGATATTGGTCTGGGTGAGCTTGCCAGGAGTGGGGACACCCTCGCCGGCACGCTGGATAATCTCAAGCATCTCGGCGGGGATTTCGTAGCCCTTGGGCGTAGCGACGGCGATGTCGACACCCATCTTGGTAGCACCAATGGCCAGATCGAAGAGGACGTTGTTGGCATCGCCAACCCAGGCAATCTTCAGACCCTCCAGACCAAGACTGGAGAGGCCGTGGGCCTTGGGTGTGAAGGTCTCGTAGATAGTGAGGAAGTCGGCGATGATCTGCAGGGGGTGGAACGAATCGCACAAGGCATTGATCACGGGGACGGTGGAATGCTTGGCCAGGTCGGCCACATCAGAGTGCTTGGAAACTCGCGCAACAATGCAAGAAACCATGGAAGAGATGACGACGGAGGTATCGTATACTGACTCATTCACGCCGAGCTGAATGTCGTCCTTGCCCAGGAACATGGGGTGGCCGCCCATTTGAACGGTAGCGGCCTCTGTAGAAACACGGGTACGGGTACTCCGCTTGTTGAACATCATGGCGACGGTCTTTCCGGACATGGATCCCAGGAGGCTTTGCGGGATAGCTCCGGACTTGATGGTCCGCTTGTGCGAGGCGGCATTGCGCACCAGAGTTGCGAATTCCGCGGGCGTCAAGTCTGCAATGGAGAGAAGGTGGCGGGGAGCGAAGGGAGAGGTAGGAGGAGTGGTTTGTGTCTGGTGGGCAAATCGTCGGAGTCCATTAGCCTGGAGTGTTCGACTCAGGGAAGAGGTGGAGCCGGCCAATTGAATTACACTTTGGGCGCCATAACGGGTGGCAGCTTTAAGACCGCTAGCCATGGTGGGCTGTGGGTTTTGGAGATTGGAGGGAGGAAGTTGGGAGGGAAGGGGGGATGGTGTGGTGTAGCGTGCAATGGGAAGAGGGAACGAGGGAAAAGACAGGGAAGGGCCGGGGATCGGAGCGCAAAGATAGTGGAAAGCGCAATGACTCAACTCAAAAGTTGTCCGGAGAGGGCATTCTTGGCCTTGGCGCCTGGATACCTGAAAAGTTAGGTGTCTACTCCGATCTCTCCACACTTCCGTTATCGTGAGCTTATCGTCTTCGTCATCGCCCTTCCTTCTTCCCTCTTCCCCCTCCCTTCGACATTCCCTTGGGATAGAGAGAGAGACATCTGTCACTGTCATTCATTGCTTATAGAGTATCTGGCCGTGATGGCTGATGAGGAGAGCCGGCCGCTGCTGGACGAGCAAGCCAGGTCCTCTTCTCCTGGCCCGTCCTTGGGTACCGCCACTCGTCCCGACCAGCCTCGCCGATCATTTGAACTATCATCTGAATCAACACCGTTACTTCATCGTCGCAACGACGACATTACTACATATGGAACTGAACGAAGATTATCCGAGTCGGAGTTGGCCGATCATGATACCCCCAAGAAACAGAGCCGAGTGAGGTGGCCAACTGTGATATCCCTCGTGGTGCTAACCACCACTGTCTTGGGGATCCTGGTCTTTGCCTTTGCTGCACCGGCAATAGTCAAAGAATATGCTCAAGAAGCAGCAGTATTCAAACCAATCTCACTTTCGATCGATTCCACGACGGAAGATGGCGTGCGAGCTCGAGTACAAGGCGACTTCGTCATGGATGCCCGTCGTGTGAAGACCAAGTCGATGCGTGACTTTGGGCGCTTCATGACCTGGATAGCCCGAGAGGTTGAGACGGGAGAATCAGACGTCGAGGTGTATCTACCGGAGTATGGAAATATCCTGGTGGGAAATGCGCATTTGCCATCTATTAAAGTCAACATTCGCAATGGGCATCAAACCCATGTTGATTTTCTGACCAACTTGACCGCGGGAGACATCAAGGGTCTGCATTCAATTGCTAGAGATTGGATAGAAGGAAGGTTAGCACGCCTGAGTGTGCGAGGCAAGGCAACCCTGCATTTGAAATCAGGCATCCTAGCCCTTGGTACTCAGACATTGACGGATACCGTCACATTTGAAGGTAAAAATCTCATGAACTGATGTATTCGGGTTGATACTGACTGTCAAAAAGAAAATAATTTCCCTGCTCTTCCCAAGATTGACATCACCAAGCTTAACGTGCATGACGCTGCACACGGAGCTTTGGCTGTGGACGTTCAAGTGTCCGCGGGCATTGATTCTCCCGTTGCCCTTACAATTCCAGCACTCGAATTCGCAGTGTTTGTACCAAACTGCTCACCCGGTGATCCTTATATCCTGGTTGCCGATGCCAAAACAGCCGAGGTTCAAGTGCGCCCAGACGCACCGACCATTATCAGCGCTCAAGGCCTTATCAATCAACTGCCTGACGAATTAACCACCACCTGTCCGGGAGGCAATGGCTCACCATTGGACTTTTTGGTTTCGAATTATGTCCAGGGTATTCAGTCCACCATTTATGTCCGTGGTGCAGACTCACCATCGACTGAAACCCCAGCGTGGATTGCCGATCTGCTACGCAGTGTTACTGTGCCACTGCCATTTGCAGGAAGTCCTCTGGATGACCTCATGAAGAACTTTACCATGACAGACACGCATTTCTCCCTTCCTAATCCATTTGCGGAACCAGGATCTCCGGACTCCCAGCCTACAGTATCTGCCCTGGTGAAGGTGCTTATTAGCTTGCCGGATCAGATGAACGTTCAAGTCGAGGTCCCAAGCGTTCGAGCTCTTACGAACGTGTACTATACTGGGAAGGAACTAGGTGTCTTGAACATCGACAAATGGCAAGACGCCAACTCGACGAGGGTGGAGCTTGAGGATGGCTCCTCGGCGCTGCTTGTGGAGTTCCCCATCAAGGATGCCCCATTACAAGTAACGGACAGCGATGTTCTGGCGCAGGTTGTCCAAGAGATGCTTTTCGGCGACAAGGGAGTCATCTTGCATGTTGCTGCCACCGTAGATGCGAAGGTCGAGACGGGGCTGGGTCGCTTCGCCGTGCACGGGATTCCGGGAGAAGGGAACGTGCCCGTCAACAGTATGTTTTCGTATTCTTCATGAACTAGATTAGTATAAATACACGCAGCGTATTTTGTGTTCAGTTGATTGACATCCTCATAGTTCCGACTGGAAACTCGATTGGCAACCTCAATCCCACCATCGTATCTATGCAGTTGGGCGACACTACTGAAACTTCTTTGGACGTATCTGTTCTAATGAACTTTACAAACCCAACCAACTACTCTGCGACTATTCCCTTCTTTGATGTTGAGTTGCTATTCAACGCGACGGCTATCGGCCATGTTTTCGCCCGCAATTTATCAGTAGTCCCTGGGAACAACACCAACGTCTCGATTCAGATGTCTTGGGATCCATTTAGCAACGGAGGTCAGGCTGGAGTAGAAGCTGGGCGGAAGTTTGTTTCATCGTATATCTCAGGTAGGCATTCCAGATGGATTCAGATGACAGAATTGATGGCTCACTGATTTGCAGGAACTAACACAACTGTGACGATTAAGACGCATGAAGGGACGTTCCCTACACTTCCGGACCTTGGCAAAGCTCTTTCAGTCTTGTCATTCAATGTTCCTGTCCCACATGTGTCAATACCTCGAGCACCAGGGGATGACGACGAAGATGATAAACCTCCCCATTTCATACAAGACGCAACAGTATGTTCCTTTCTGCCTCTTAACGAAACCTGCATGCCCGCAAATCCAGTACTAACATAAATCTTCCTTAGCTCCACCTTTGGTCCTCTACAGTTGAGTTCACCGTATTCTCCCCCACAGCCGAGACCAGCATCACCGTCACCTCAATAGACGCGACGTCATATCATGAAGACGAACCATTGGGCCACATCAACTACTATAAACCGTTCGATATTCCTCCCGGTATTTCCCATTCGCCTCGGTTACCTGTTGAACTAGTCCTAGGCGGGGTAGGTTATGACACCTTGCGTAAGGCTCTGGGGCAAGAGTTGGTGTTGGATGCCGTTGCTAAGGTTGGGGTGCGGGTTAAGAATTATACTGATATCGTTCTTTATCATGGGAATGGGATTGTGGCGAAGGTAAGGATTTGATGGATTTGGGTTGCTTTTGGGTGGACGTCTCTGCATCGGAAACGGTTGATGCATTTGTTTAGTTTCCTGGAAAATCTTGCTGCCGTTTAGGCCGTGATTCCTTTTATGATACCTAATGAAGTACACGTTCATGTGTCAAGCAAGGGTTGTTGACATCGAGTACGAAATTACATAATTTTATACACTTAGTCTTTACGCTCGAGCATGCCTTGAATGTGGGAAATTGAATGAAACCGGAAAGACAAATGATTGTGACATTTTACAAACGAGGCCCGGAGTAGCATCAACCTTGGAATTAGACAGAGACTGAATTGAAATTGGCACACATAGATTGAAAGATAGCGCAGCAAAGAAACCAAAATCGTATTGGGTATGTATATTTTTGACTTCGAGGCTTGGAAATGCGCTTAGCCGGGGGGCAGGGTGCTGGCATCGACAACGTCGGCGGCATCCTTCTCGATCTCCTCGGTGTGCTCGGACAGAGGGGAACGGGGCAGAGCCATGAGACCGGTACGGGTGGACTCGAGGATACCGAAGGGACCGATCAGCTTGAGGAAGGAGTCGATACGGCTGGGCTTGGCGGAGCTGTGGAGAGGTCAAGTTAGTACAAAAGTATGACACATCGGGAGAGGGAGGCTAGGGGACGTACACCTCAACAATGCAGTTGTTGTTGCTGATATCCAGAACCTTACCACCGAATTGGTGGGCCAGGCGGGTGATAGCATCCAGATGCTCGTGCTTGTGACGCAGAGCCTGGCTGGGAGGCAGGTTACGGGGGTGGTATTCAACCTCCTGGAAGCCGTGGCCCTGGCCCTCCTTCAAAGACTCAGCGGGAGTGGTGATCTCGCGGTGGTGCTGGAGGAGCTCCTCGAAGAACTCGGGGCCGAGGATGGAGACCTTGGCGAGGAGGAGCTCGCGCTGGACCAGAGCAGAGTCGGTGTAGTCCAGAACGGCCCAGACGGGGACAAGGTCGTCGAGCTGGCGGCGAGCCTGCTCAACAACACCGTCCTGGCCCTGGAGCACGATGGTCATGCGGGACAGATCATCGACCTCGGTCTTGCAGACGACCAAACTGTCAATGTTGAAGCCACGGGCGGCCAGAATACCGGACACACGGGACAGCACACCGGGCTCGTTCTGAACCAGGCAGTTCAGAACGTGGCGCTTCGGAGGGTTGCTCGGAGGCACGGGAGTCTCGTACAGAATAGAAGAGACGGCGGTAGGAGCATCCCACTGAGGAGAGGCGTCGGAAACCGGCAGGGGGAGAGGGGAGCGGCGGTGCAATGCCTTGTAGGCTAGAGCAGAGGTCGAGCTGCTGGAGGAGGCGCGGAAAGCATTGAAACGAGAAGCTGCAGCGCTACGAGAGCGAGCAGCGGCTGTCGACTGCGACAGCAGCGACGCCGACGCCGAGGACAGCGTCAATGGGCGCCTGAAAGCCATGGTATAGGAAACACCGAGAGTTGTGCGATGAATCACTCCAGATGCTCCGGATTCTTTTTCGCAGATACTGGGGCTACTCTTCCGACCTCGGGGCAGCTGACTCACTGCGTACTAACCGGATAGGGACTAGCGCTAGCTGACCGCCGATAGTGTCGAGCAACTATGCAAATGCATCGGGTAGATCAATAGCTATCAAGGTCTTGAGAAAAGTCCCCGAGTATTGCCTAGGGATGGGTATCAAGTAGTTAGACAGAGTATCAGGATAACAACATTTATCTGTGTTTGCTCATTAGCTCAAATTACCAAAAACTATGTGGCAAGGCTGAGCCTACACAGCACGGTTCTCCACGGCCTCGTGCAATGGTGAATGTACAAGGACGAATGGCCTTCAAAGCCAACACAGAGATCTAAAAAAGCTGCTCCATTGAAAGATTAAAGAGAGAAAGCTGAACCTCGACTGACATTTAACCGTTTATTCTTTCATCCATGTCCGTGCTAAGATTGCCGTAATTGAAGTATTGAATTAATTACCACTTTGGGACTAGCGCCATGCATATACACGTGACCTGTAGCATTTTCCATGCAATTGATATTCATACAGACGAATAGTCAAAGATATCATTCCAGTAAGCTTTCCGAACTGTCAATTCTAGCGCTTTAGCTGGTGTAGGCAGTGAAGCTTCTTGGTATCGGTCTCGGCCCACTCTCTTAGCCGCGCCTCGACTCCGGTTCTTCTACCTCCTAGGAAACTTCCCCTTCCCGCCTTTGGCCTTTTTACCCAATCAACCCTTCGGCTCGTCTACATCTTTCTCCTCCACCTCACATACTTCTGTCGCCATGGCCGACGACGATCGCCGAGTCAAGCGCTCGCGCTTCGATCAGACCGATCCTGAGCCTCGCCGCTCTCGATTCGACCGCCGCTCCCGATCCCCATCCGCTAGACAATCCGAGTCGACTCGCACCCGCAGTCCTTTGAGTCGCGAGCCACGCAGTCCGGCCGGAGACGGTTCGGCAAAGGCTGCACTTGATCCTGCCGCAGCAGCTGGTAGGTTGGGGGCTGTGATTTGTCTCTTGAGAGGAGATTCAGGATATTGCATAGCTAACACTTATTGTTCTGGTTTGAATAGCTGCCGCGGCAGCGAAGATCAATGCTCAGTTGCAGGCAAAGAAGGGCATTCAGCATGTTGATGTTCCGCCAATTCGCTCGGTAAGTAATGTGCAGCCATCACTTGAATCCAGGCGAAAGCTAATACCTTTTTTTCAGACCGATAGCCCGGGAGCGCATCCAGACTCGAACACAGACGGCAAGCCCAACACCGAAATCTACGTCGCCGATGGAGACTACATCAAAGATATTGAGATCAACGATTTGCGCAACCGATATACCCTCACCAAGGGCTCTACACAAAAAATGGTAATTACTCCTGTTGTCGTTGGCTGATTCTCCAGACCTCTGTCCACTTTTGGTGAACATGGTTGTTTGTGCTTGGGTTTATCCCGTTCTCTACTCCCTTCTCTTGATCTCATATCTCTTGTGTGTGGTTGGATGAAGCTTACTCAAACCAACGCAATGCATAGCATCTTACCTCCCCTCTGTGGCATCTGCTAACCTCGGCTGCGTGACTTTTAGATCAAAGATGAAACTGGCGCCGGTACGCCTTCTTCTCGTGTATTCATATGGATAAAGAGACTTACCACTTACTCGTTTTTAAGATGTCACCACCCGAGGAAACTATTACCCGGACAAGAATATGGCGACCGCTGCCGTATGTACTCGTTCCCCTATGGCACTGAACTAGTTACTGATCTTGTTATCGCAGAACCCACCTCTCTACCTTCATGTGACCAGCACCAACAAGGAAGGTCTTGAGAAGGCTGTACAGATCATCGACGATCTGATGAAGAAGGAACTTCCCAACCTGGTCGACGAGCGACGGTTCCGTAGGAGGGAGCCTGAGCAGCAAGTAGAGCGGGATGAATTCGGTCGCGTATGATTTCCTGCTGATGAGCTGGGAGGGAAATGTAACATTGCTGACTTTATACAGCCTAAATGGCCTGATGAGCGGATTCCCATCGACCTCGAGCCGATTCCTGGATTCAACCTGCGTGCCCAGGTTGTTGGTCAGGGCGGCAACTACGTGAAGCACATCCAGCATAAGACTCGCTGCCGTGTCCAGATCAAGGGCCGCGGTTCTGGATTCATCGAATCTAGCACTGGCCGGGAAAGCGACGAACCGATGTTCTTGCACGTCGCGTAAGTTTCAAGAAACCCCCTGACTCAGGAATCATTCATACTAATCATTCTCAACAGCGGTCCCGACCCCAATGATGTTCAAGCTGCCAAGGAGCTCTGTGAAGACCTTTTGGCCAACGTCCGGGAACAGTACCAGCACTTCAAGGATAACCCGCCACAGCACAACTACGGTGGATACGGCCGCGGTGGCGGAGATCGTTACCACGGCGGTGGTGGAGGTAGAGGTGGATATGGCTATAGGGATCGATACAACGATCGCCACCAGCAACATCACCAGCAATCCCCCGGTCCTTCCGCCAGCCCCACCGATCAGGCTGCTTCGACCGCCGCCAGTGCCGACTATAGCGCGTATGCCCAGTACTATGGATCTGCCGACCCTTACGCCGCCTATGGTGGATACCAAAACTACGTGGCCTACTATCAATACTACCAGCAAGCCGCTGCTGCCCAGCAGCAGCAACAACAAGCAGCCGAGGGCCAGGCGCCCCCTCCCCCTCCTCCCGCCAGCGAAGCGCCCCCCCTCCCCCCCCGGGCTCTGATGCTCCTCCCCCACCCCCAGGCGGAGGTAGCTATGGTGCGGTATGTGACTCTGTCTTTAGACCCCTACGCCCGGACGTAAATTTGACTGACATCATTCTTCAGGTCCCACCCCCACCTGGTCTGTAAATACACAGTTTCCGCGCAAGTGGGCAGATTGATCTTGCCTTCATGGTCATTAGGGAGCATGGAACATACATGAACTTGGTTGACGGGGCTCAAAATGGGTAAAAAGGATACAGCGATCTCGATTTTTCCCTGCGAGTTTTTCTTAAGGTCGAACTGGTCTTCGTGATTATTTTCAAAAAGGTGTTTTTTTGTTTTTAATTTCTCTAGTGCTCTTCGTCTTCGATAATTAAGATGACGGTAATAGTATCGCCTCGCCAGCGTTCAGTTCCTACTAGAATTAATCCAGTGGCTTCCTCCCTCTGCACGTCTTCACCTTGGTTATATGCCTAAACAACACCGATATTATCGACTTCTTGGTGTACATTGGCAGTTTGAGAGCCGACTCTTGGAGACTAGGGAGGTCCAGCTAAACATGCTCTAAAGGGGATTATATTTGGTATGAGCAGTCACCTGGTTCATGTGAAAGCACTGGACCCAAACACCAAAACAATGCAAGTAAGAAGAGATAGCAGGGGAAAAGAACAAGAGTACGCATGCAATAGAAAAGAAAAGGGCATCATTTCAGTGAACGTGTATCCAGACTAACCATAATCTTCACGGAGATCATTTATTTGATCCATCATAAAACCATAAAGAGCATCAGCAGCCTGCATCTTGCCCTTCCGCTTTGCCAAACCAGAGGGACCCTCCTTACAAAAGTCGCAAGCATAGTCACAAGGAGATGCAGATGGATCGAGCCGATCAGGCCTTGCACCACCATAGACGGACGGCGGCTGCTGAGAGCCCATCTCTTCCAACTCATAGTCCCCGAAGAGGTCTTTGATCAATGCATGCCGACACTTAGTAACTGTCTCGCAGTAGCGGACGACCTTTTGGTAGCTTTCGCGCCGTGCCATTTGATTCTTGAGTAATCCGGCAACATGAGACTTGGGCCCGCCACGATTACGCACGTTATCTGCGTCGCGCATGAGTCGATCGGCGATTCGATCTCGCTCTTGGGTGTTGTAGTAGACGAGAGAAGCTGCGGCGCGGCCGTCACGACCCGCTCGGCCTGATTCTTGCACGAATCCCTCGAAACTGCGTGGTGGGGTCCAGTGGACTACGAAACGGACCTGGGAATTGTCGATGCCCATCCCGAAAGCGTTTGTGGCCACAATTATTGAGAAGGTTGGAGGTGGTTTTCCGTCGCTACTCTGTGGAGGTGGCTGTGGTGAAGTCCACATTGCCTGAATCCGAGTTCGGTCTTGCGAGGTGAGACCCGCGTGGTAGGCCACGGCAGATATCATCTCTTCTGAGTCTAATCTACAGGCAAGTTCTTCAGAGGTTGCACGAAGTCCGACGTAGACGATCCCGGACATAGGAGGACGTTGCGGTGCTGTGTCTGCGCCGATGCGAGCTTCTTGACGGCGTTTGATGGCCTTGAGCCAAGCCAGTAGATCTTGCACCCGGAGGTCTTCCGGGGAGATATCATCATCTTCGTCGTAGTTTTGAAGATACCGTACTTCGTAGTGGATGTTAGGACGTGCAGATGGGGTGTTGAAAAGCTTGAGTTTGGCGAAGTTCAGGCCCAGAATAGTGATAATATCCGAGCGAACCCGGGGAGTAGCGGTAGCTGTGAGGGCCGTGATAGGGACGGGCGGGTCATCCAAATCCTTTCTGAACCAGCTCAACTCCTGGTAGGCTGGACGGAAGTCATGGCCCCATTCGCTAATACAATGGGCTTCATCGATCGCGATGCGGGTTAATTGGCCCTGCCGATGGACAGTGGAAAGGTTGCGACGGAAGCTATCTGTTTGACATAATTCTGGAGTAACATAAAGAAGGCGTGTACGGGGATGCCCTGAAAGCATGTCATCCATGATCAATCGCCGCTCCTCTAAAGGGGTGCTGGAGTTGATAGTCTGGACTGGTACGCCGATCGCCTGGAGAGCATTGACTTGATCCGTCTACCGAGGAGTTCGATTAGTATCTCACACTCAGAATCTAACCATGCTTAACATACCATCAAAGCAAGAAGAGGACAAATGACAATGGTGACTTGGAGGATGTCAGTGAGGTGTTGCAAGTATGAGTATAACCTGAATCTTCATGTAAGACTTACGTCCATTGCTGATGACGGCAGGGAGTTGAAAACACAGACTTTTGCCAAACGAGGTAGACGCCTGCAGAAACACATCATGGCCTTCGACAACTGCAGCGATGACTTCTCGTTGCAAGGGACTGGCACCAAGTCAGTATAGTAATGCGATTTTCGGAAATCACTGTACCGACCGGAACGATGTCTTGCGGAAGACGCGATGCAGGTAGAATTCCAGGTCTGGCTTTCGCTGCTGCAGACCTCCCGAACTAGCCATTTGGTAGCATGTCAAAGACAAATTTCCCTCAAAGTTGTCATATATGCTGGACGGTTGATGCGTTTCTTCTGAGCGCGTCGTCCTCGCGGCTGGGGACACGCGATATCACGTGATCGTATATTGATTTCTTGGAGAACATTCTCATTTGGGCAAGTATGCACTGCACCATTTGCTAAGGCACGACTAAGACAGTGCAAGATTACAGATCTCAACAAGCGACATTCATACCTAGTGAGTCAATGAGAAGTATTGAAAGTAGTATAGTCGAGATCTCAAACATTACTCATCCGTAAATAGGCGGGAGTCAGCAGGCCGTCGTACCAAGCATATTACTTTGAATCCTCATCACCATGAACGCCTGAAGTTTTGGTAAAAGATCTCGCTGAATTGAATCGGTATATGGCAGAATCTAAGTATAATGTACAGGTATCAATCACAATGCACCCTACCCCCTTGTCTATATTATGTTACAGTTTTGGACGAGGACCTTTCGACATTTGCTTGTCGAGCTCTTCCTTGACGACAAGCACGTCGGTTGCCTTGCGATGATGCGGGTGCCAAAGTCGTTCCAGTTGTAGCCAAGCCTCCATGACCTCCTTGGGTCCATAACAAGCGCCAAACGCACGTAAAATGATAACAATCATCTTCCGGCCAACAAAAACACCGTTCTCCAGGTACTTGTCGAGGTCGTCCGGCTGGTGCATGCCGATGCTGATTTGATCAGCTTGGCTTAATTCGGAGAGGGACATGGGGCTCTGAGTGACTCCAGACTCAGTTTCGGGAGCGTCCTCGGGCTGCGGCTTCCAAGAAGCGTCGGAGTCCATGTCAAAAGCATTTTCATCATCTATATGATGTTCGGCGTATTCCTCTGGTCTTTCGGATTGAGGCACGGAATCTGGGCGTGTCTCGCTGCTCGCGGACGGGAGATGCATATAAAATTCGTCGGATGTGTCGGCCACTGCCTCGTCCAGCTCTTTTTCCAGATGCATAGCATTGGCTAAAGGATTTTCCCATTCCATCTTCCCGGGACTTCGGTGCCGCTGTTGCGCATCCAGTTTTGCCTTTGAAGTACGTAAAGCCCGTAGGTAAGCATACCAGACCAGACGAAGCCTTTCAGCAGACCAGGCCTTTCTCTGAAGGCCATGGATCGAGAATCCCTCGAAAAGCATCATATAGACGATCTGATTGGGAGGTACAGCGTAGGCGTTTTCCATGTCACGGAGAATCATCGCGACTTTATCGAACTGACCACTCTGACGTGCGTAATATTTGAGAAAGATGTAGAAAGTGCGTGTGTCTGGAGTCATGGGAATGGAGTCCTGGAGAGCCTGGTGGTGCTTAGGAAAATGGCGCTTGAGCGCCTGAGAACGCTTTAGGAAATCGCCAAGGGCCCTGCTGTTGGTTCGGTACTGGGAAAAGCCCGATGATAAGGAGTGCTCAAAAACCACGCGGTTTGCGTCAGTGGTGAGTGATTGATCAGTGCTAAGTTTGGCTTTCTGAGCCTCGATCATGCGGCCGTACAGCTGTTCTGCCGCGGAAGGGTCCCCTGCTCGGATAAAAGCAGAGCACAAACTGTTCAAAACAACGGTATCGACAATGTCGCCGGCCTTGACGAATTTTTGAAAGTTTTCTGTGATGCCATCCAGATCTTTTTGCACGCCAGCAGAATAAATCTTGGAAACTAGTCCAAAGCGAGTGAAGTCCAGCTTGCGCCTTTTCATCTCCTGCTCAAGACGGTCTGCAACGGTAAACTGACTAGCCTTGACGGCAGCGTCATATAGGATATTGAAGACCACGTCGTCTGCTTCAATTCCAGCAACATGTTCCATCTGCTGCCAGACACCAATTGCACGTACAAGATCCCGCTTCAGAACTCTGCCGCTGCCACTCCCTCGACTAGCAAAATGCACCGCAGAAGTCCACATTGACCGAGACATTTTGTTTTCCGAAGCAATCATGTCTTGTACCAACGCAAGATAGCGCCGAGCATCGGCCCATCGTCGATTAGGAGCCTTAGCAAAAATTCGCATAAGCTTTCCGCGGACCTGTCGGGGCAACTTCGCCATTCCCGGCGAAGGGATATCTCTATACAGGCGAAATAGGTATGATGTCGAGGGTGACTTTTCGTGGTATAGCACATGCATCAGCTTCGCGACTGATAGCCTGTGCAGGGCAATCTCCTCGCTAGGGAACTCCTTCGCCTCTCTCTTTGAATGCACGCGGTCTTTCGGAAAGACAACATCCATGGGTTCTGACCACTCGTAGTCGTCTCCCAGAATTCGACGATAAAGGTTTGAATTCATGCGATGCATCTTTTCGTCGTACGAAAGGCCCGCTTCTCCCTCGGGGGCTGAGAGCAACTCCAAGTCCGCAGATAGTACAATTGGAGAAAGATCCTTCGTTTGCCCAGTCCTCTGTGCAGAATCTATCACTGAGTCGAGCATCTGCGGCCAAGTTTGTCGATGTGATGATGCTTCATCCGCCGTTTCCCTTGAGCCGGCCCTCGTGAACTCCTCACTCCCCCTTTGTTGTTTCGATTGTGTATGTTTTGTGTAGTCATGTGCATGCGAAGGCTCATCTGCTGGAAGTAAAGCCGTACTCAGCCATGATCGAGCTCGCGATGATTGCATCGAAGATCTCATGTACTCCCAACGTTTTGCGGCAGACCGTTGTCCATGTCCCTGATTGGCCACACTTTTCCCGCGAAACCTTTGAAGTTGCGTCTCTGATGTCCTCAGCGAAATTGTGGACAGGCTTCGGTGTTGTGGTGTGTGCTGATTGCAGAAACCTGCTAGGACTAGCGAGCCGACAAAAATGTCTGCTATTGACGCGACGGACGGTCGAAGACGGCGGGTAGAGAAGCGTCGAACGGAGACATGATAGGGAGGCGGTTTCGGATGAGACATCGACGGTCGAGAGAGAAGTAGCTCGTCCAAGGCCTGCTTGGGGGGATCGCGCAGGCTCGGCGAGCTGGGAGACCTATTGGGAGGAGGCATGAGAGAGCAGACATCGTGGCATTGGCTTAGCCATGCATGTCCAAATGGTAAACGGGCCGATCGCACGAGACGGCCTGGACTGCTTCTCGGACCAGGAAGCAGACGGCGAGCAGATGAAAGGAGAAGATACGCCAGAAGGACAAGCAGTAGGTTTAGCTTGGGGTGTTTTTCTGAAGGCCGGGCGGACTTTCTGGCTTTGCAGCGGGACCCGCCTCGACCAATCGGAGTCGCGCTTTGCCCAATCCCATCTTTTTCGCTCCCGCAGCATCGCAACACCTCGACTCCCACGACCTCCACGTCCTCGTCGCCCTTCTATTCTCCAATTCGAGTGATCCTCGTCTCATCAACGACGAGTTCTCGTCTTCTAGGTCAATTCATTTCTCAGCCACTCGCGATTGACGATTGCCAATCGACCGTGTCCTAACCACCATGGGCAAAATCAACCTCACAGCGCTGCGGGTGCGCAAGACTGCGCTCAACCAATTCGCCAGTGGAAAGATCAATAAGCTCCCTCAATGGGTTGACGTTGTTGGCGAGATTCCTCCCTCCGAGACCCTCATCCGCAACCCACCCCCTCAACACCAGCTGGTTCGACAACGGATGAAGACCGTTGCGGGATCATCGAAGCCGCAGGTCGTTTTCGAGGTCCAGGAGAAGCGCCGGAAGTCCAAGAAGCCCAGCCGCCTGTTCCAGCCGCTTGAACTCAAGTACGAGGAGGATGAGCTACGACAAGACTTCTTCCGGGATCACCCTTGGGAGCTTGCTCGGCCTCGCGTGCTCCTTGAGAGCACTGGCAAGGACCACGAGAACTACGACTGGAGCCGGATAAAGCAGCCTGGAAAGCGACTGGATGGTGAAAGGTACGTTTGGTCTCCGGATATTTGCAAATCCTCAAATGCATATCCCCAATATAGGCTAGTCTTTGTGGGGAAGACTAAGATTCCTTTACTAACACGCGTCTCTTCTCTTTCATCAGTGTCGTCCAACGCCAGCTTTGGCTTTTGAACAATGTACCCGATATGACCAAGACCAACGCATACGATATCGCCCGTCGAGAATTCTACCGCCTGCGACTGCAGGAGGACATCGAACGTCGTGTTGCTGCTGAAGAGGCCGAGGCCACCGGTGCCAACTTCGGTCCCTCGTACCTGGAGATCGGTATGGACTTGGAGAACCAGCAGTATGAGAAGTGGAAGACCTGGGCTCGGACAGAGGCTCAATTGTTCGAGCAACGGTCAGCTGCGCTCTCCGGGGCCCCGGAGATCGCGCTTGAGCAGCAGAGCCAGAAGGAGGAGACCTTCACCGAGCAGCCCGAGGCTGTACCAGTCTAAAAGAGACGTGATCGAGTTCGACCTCCAAGAGTCATTACCCTGCTTTGCTTTGCTTGTCTGGGAAGGAGCTGGGTTGAAATGCCAGACTTCCCGTGTTGATGGTCATGTATATTATTTGATTAGTTCTGCTGGACACTGTATTCCCATAGCCTTATATTCCACAACAGAGATTCACTTCTTGCCATACTATTCAAGTCTCTTGCAAAGAAGCTCCGTATTTAGGATGTATCGACCATTTCAAGCAGTCAAAGTCCATACCCTAAGGATATAGTGTTGTCTCAAGGGATATGTTCCCCTCTGTACCCCATGGCTTTTTAGATGCTCTCCTCTCCAATTCTGTACTGATCACACCACAATAACATTGCAATAAAGTTAAACCCGCGAGGACATAAACTTCAAGGAAATATTTTGTTTTTTGTAATGTTCGGCCCCCAGATTCAAACGGGTGGGCCGTGCCAACGCTGAAACACCCAAAGACGTTGATCACCCAGCTCCGTTAGGCTGCGTCTCGCCCAATCACGTCCCTTCCAGTCTTTCCAACTTCCTCGCAGTTGCAGACTCGACTGAAGCTGGTCTGCGCCCATTGTTTTCGTCATATTCCTGCACCTGCATTGTTCTAACGACCCATCCCGCTGGGCGATCCGTTAGACCTCCTTGATTCCCGCAATAATAACATTCTTGGCCCGGCGTGGCTGGCCTCCGCCTCGAGCATTTCCCCGGGCTTCGTTGCGCAGCTCCCGCGCTCCGGTTTCACCTGAACGACAACGCCCTGGATTGAACCGTCTCGGCCTCTTAGACTCTCAAGCCGGAACCTGCCAACTTCCTTGGCTGGTTCATACGTCCTGCCCTCCTCGACCCTTTGCGCGCGATCCGTTTCCTTCAGACCTGCATCTCACGCATCTCACGACCGGATAACCTGCCACCTTTCCGAGACTGCTTACCAGTCGACGATGTCCTGTTCACGCCCGTATAGCATCTCCTATCGGTAGTGGCCAGACCCTTGTGAACGCCCATTGATTGATCGCCCATCTACATATCGACAGCGCGCCTCTCGGCGTCGTCGTCGTTTCATAACCCCTCTATTCGACCATGTTATCCGCCATGACCCGACCAGAAGATACGGTGCGAGGGCCACGCAGTTACCGGGGTGAGACAGACGAGGATGAGGGAGAGAAGGGCTCGACCGATTCCCTGGTCCCCCCTCCATTGTCATACAATGATGGCTCGCCGCGTACAGAGGAAGATGGGTCGAGACCGGGTACCGCGATGAGCGACCACCCTGGCAGTGGTAGCAAACAATCCTCAAACCAGAAGCTGTTGACGCACGAGGAAACGATCGAACTCGCCCGGCGCGCCGTGGAAAGTGGAATTCAAGATACTAAACGGTCTTTGGCGGGGAGCGAGGCTGTCACGGATGTGGTCAAGCCTAAGTTAACAATTGATCTGGGCCATTCGCATATTGTCAGGATACCGGAGCCTGTGGTAGACATTATCAAGGACGAGGTAGAAAGGTACGTTCCCACCCTATAGTATTAGGGACTTTATACCGGCACGTTGCATTTCAGGATCCGACTAACTGAGCTTGGATTCTAATTTCTCAGGCTTTCCCTGTCGAATAACCATCTGTTTCATATTCCTTACCGTTTTGCCGAGTGCTCCCATCTCCGTTATCTCAATATTCGAGCAAACAATTTCCGTGAATTCCCTAAAGGAGTATGTTTAAGGCTCCCTCGGTTATACCAGCTATTGATGCTGATGCCATCTAGGTCTATAAATTACCTCTGCTGGAGATTCTTGATCTCAGTCGGAACAAGATCAATGCACTTCCAGATGAGATCAGCAAGTTGAGATCCCTACGGGTGTTGTCGATTATGCAGAACCGGTTGGATGATCTCCCAGTTGGGCTGTCCGATATGAACAAGCTCCAAATTCTCAAAATAGCGGGCAACCCTCTGCGATATCCTCTCCGTCGTGTATTGGAAGCGTCAGAGGCTGAAATAGCACCTCACATGACGGACAATGAAAAGGAAGTTGCGGTGACTGCAGAGCTGAAAAGGTTCTTGAGAACTAGACAGCAATCGACAACACCCGAGCCAGAGAACAGTGGCGATACAAGGTTTGTTCATTCGTTGACACACCTTTTTAATGCAAAGCACATAAACCTAATTTATTTCCAAACTACAGCGATATTTCATTTGAGACGCCAAGACCCGTGCCAGTGAAACGAAAATTGAGTAGTCGATTTCCCGTTATCCCAAGCACCGGTGACGGATCCGCTCCCTCATCTCGATCTCCCTCCATCTCACGCGCACCGGCGATTCCAGCCAAATCACACTTCCGAATGGCCTCTGGTCAACAACCCCTCGGCTATCATATGCCTGGTCTTCAGCGACCCGGTGCGAACCCTCACGCTGTCAACGAACGCAACCGAAGTAACAGTGAGGGTATCATCCAGGCATCTTTCTCAGCTCGTAATAAGCGCATGGGCCTCATTACTCGCAAAAATACCGATCTTGGGACGTTGGATGAAACTCGGCCATATCGAAACAGCCACTTGCGTGGCCTCAGTCACGGATCTGTTCTCCGAGCACACCCGACGGCACCAGCTCCTGCCAGCAGCAGTAGCTCTTCTAGCCCGAGTAGCCCACGAGAACGGCGACGTGTACGAGATGGCTGGGTCAACCGGATGTCGAGTCTTCCAGAACACAAGGGTGAACGAGGATCAGACGACCCCATCATTGAGAGTGCCAAGGGCATCCTGTTTGCGCTCTTCCAAATCCACTCTCACATTTCTACCCTGATCAACGTGATCCAGCGCGACGACACACGACGCCACAGCCTAGAGCTCGTCTTCTACAATGCTTCTACCCACGTCGATCGGCTCAACGAAGCCCTCGAGAATGCCGAAACTTCACTGCCCGACAGTCGCGAGTCAGCAAGAATGATCACGGAAACAGTCAAGCGCGAATGTGAGACATGTATCGTGGCTTATACCCACGTTGGCACACAGCTGCGGAACAGTGCTGCAAAGATCGTCTCAAATGCTGACTCGCGCTATGTGCGCTCGCTCATGTTGATGATGTATGGCAGTCTAGTGGAGTTGCGCAATGCCTGTGCTAGCCTCAATATCCCGATGTACCAGCCTCAAAAATTTACCCCGGCTCCCAAGGCAATCATGCCAGAGCCCATCAAGGGCCCTCCTCCCGACCGGTTCCAGCGATCTATTGTCACCCCGACTCGCGACCCAGCTCCCCCAACACGGCGATTACGAAGCGACACTACAATCCGACACCCTCATATGGCCATGGGTAATCCGTTATCCTTGAATCCCACTAGCCATTCAGCGACTGGATCACCTGGCTACACTACTCCATCCTTCAATTATGCACGCAGTCGGTCAAGCAGTCGGTCAAATCTCATCAACACTTCGGTGCCGTCCTCTTTAGCGACGCCACGTTCCGGAGAGGCCTTCCCTCCCATTCCCACATCAAGCGGCGTACCTCGAATCAATCCATTGACCGGTTTAGATGAGATTGAGGAGGAACGAATCTTCGAGAAGATCTTCCATCAACTCACTTCCGCATACAGCTCCGCTCTCCAGGCACTCCCACTCGCTCGGCGACAATTCATCCGATGCCTTGAAGTGGCAGAGCAATCGCGCGAGTCAGAAGGAATTCAAATTCTCTGGAATAATCTCATCCGCCGATGCCGCTTCTGCCTGGAAGTGTCCGAGGCACTGGGAATGCGCCTCTCTAACATGAAGGTGAAGGAACCGGGCGGCGGACTACGGAACCAGCGCGAGTTCTGGCAACTATGCAAGACCTTTATGCAGTCTTTCGTCGATCTTGTGACTGATATGCGAGAGGTGCGGAGCATGCAACTTCTCCCTGGCGATATCATCATTATACTCCGCCCGGTACAGAAAGCCAGCCGCGAAGCGGGTCGCCTGATTGAGGCATCTCCTTGGTCGTATCTCGCAGATATGGCCCCAACCCACACGCCAAGCAACTTGTATGGGCCGCCCCTTCAACCCCCTCAGCTGCACTCGCAACACCAAACCTCGGTCTCGACCTCGGCCATTGGGTCTCACTCAACTGCGTATCAGCTTGCTGCGAGCATGTCCCCGCAATCGGTCACCGTGCCTGCAACTCCGCTGAGCGCTGCGCTGGGCCCCGCCGCGCAGGCTACCGTGCCCTCTACGCCGGCGAGTGCATACAGCGACAAGTTCTTCGAGGGTGACGTTTTCCAGCGAGCAGACTCGCTCCTGTCCATGCCAAACCAAGCACCCTTCTTCGCTCGCCGATGAGCAAGTTACTGCACCGTTTGACAATTATGCATTTCCAAAGCATGAGGTCCAGAATGGTCAATTTTCATATTCAGTCTGATCTCTGTCTCATTCCTCACTTATCCCGATTTCATGATTTTACGAAGTGAATGCATGTATTCTTTATCTAGGTGTGGATCACTCCCTCTTTCGTGGGACATGGTGCTACCAACAGCATCGGACCCCTCCCCTATATGTCCTTTATCTAGAACTGGGTGGAATGGTGAAAATCATGACCTGGGTCTCTTTTCGGTTTAGAGGGGGAAAGAAGCATGTGTCGGATCATATACGGTGTGGCTCTCTCAATTACAAGTGATATCATCTTAGCGTTTGGGTAATAGACCCTTAACTGTCGTGACTTTGATTTACTCAATATTCACCAACAAATTGTAGATTAAGCTTCACGCTCGTATATTCTATGTATTCATCTAGACCTCGCTACACAATGTTAGCGTTCAACTCATCCTGGCTCGTTGGCTAACTACTAAATACGTCGCACGGCCTCCTCTAGGTCGCCTGATTCGTCACGGCCAAGTCCACACTCGGATTCATCATGACTCATGGTGGCTCATGGTGAGCATAAACCGATATTGTCTGAATGCACAAGATGTAATCAAAACTCAGAATGACAGTTTATGGAAACTTATTGGCATCTTCTGGTAACTGTTTATCAGATTTGTTTACTTGCTGCTGTGGTGGTCCACTCTACGTACGGTGACGATGTAACAAAATCACGACAGGGGGCTGCGACGAAGGCCGTGAGATTATAGGAGATAGTCTCGACTTTTCTAGACATATAGCATATATAGCATGAAAAATAGTACGCATATTGAAAACAGACAGAGAATGGAAATTATGTTTTCTGAGTGCCAGAGATGGCGAGTTTGAGAATTCCCATATCCTTTCGGACTGTAAGTACAACCTGTCAATTGCCAACTATATCCACACCCAGAACTACAAAGCTGGAATTCTCGAGGCAATGACGAAGACTTCTTTCTGAAGCCAGAAAAAGGATCTCTGGCCTAATTATCATGATGTACTTTTCTTGTCGACATCGTCCGATCGCCCATCATTCTCATCTACATGGCACATTATCGCACCCAAAAGTGTTCAGATTCATCACTAACGAGATACAATTAAATGAAACTAGGAAAGAACGTTTTGATCAAACAATATCACTCTCCATCCCACGCAGTTCAAGATAATCAAAGGAAAACGAATTCCTATCAATCTTTTTTCGTTCTCACCACCACGTCACGAACGTATGCAAACATCTCGCGCGGCTTATTGGCAAAGACGCTATGTCCTGCCCCCCGGAACAGATGATACGAAACACCTCGCTCCTCCGCCCAGTTTCCAGCAACCTTGGTCGTCGTATTCCTCCCTCCTGATCCCGACCCAGCAGAGCTGCCCACAGGCATCGCATCGTCGACGTAAAACAACTGCTGCGGTTTCGCAGAGAATCCTTGTGCGCCACGCCATGTCATATTTTGGATAGACAGTTCGGTGCCAATATGATTGAGCAACATATCCCACTCGCCATTGTAAATGTGAAGAGAGATGTTATGCTCCGTAACCAGGTTTGGCAAGATCGAGTACGCTGGGGGTACCACCGACGGCGCACCGAGAAGTGTGCCCAAAATCGTCGAGTTGCAAGAACTGTAGGTTCCGCGACTGCTAACGTGTAACGCAGCCTGAACGTCGGCACGGCTGAAGTATTCAGCCATCAAGGTCAAAGTTTCGATTGTGCTGCAGTCATGATGAATGTCATAGACGTCAAAGCATGGGATGCCTGTCCCAGCGGCAGAAGCAGTGTCTACATAGTCCATCGCGGTAGAGTACGTGGCACATGGCCCGTAGCAGGTTGAGTTGAAAATGGACTCATTGACATCCGCAACTGTCTTCGGAGATATGCTGCACGAAGAGTTCAGAACATCCGTCATATCCCGCCGGCGTCGCCGATAATTGAAGTTCTCCGGATTTCCTGGGATATCGATCTTACCCTTGGGAGGGTAGACCTGTGCCTGGGCGAGGACATCATCGAAACCGCAGGTCTGATCTGCAGCGGTAAAGGCTGCGAGGATGTCTTTGGGCAGTTTGAGTGCGGTCGCCTGCGAACGCATGTATGCGCCCATGCCAGCAGAGGACATGGCAGCTGCATTCCCCCAAGATCCGTCCCCTAGTGACATGGAGCGAATGTCGAGTGGATGCGAAGTATTGCTTTCCATGAGGGCGGCGGTGAAGTACGGTATGTAAATCCCTGCATAGGACTCGCCCATCAAATGAATTTTCTTGGACTGAAGGTGTGGGAAGTATGTGAAGAAGTCGTTCAGCCATGCCACAAAATCCGCCGTGATCATCTCGTTGTTCGTAACAGGGTAAGGGTAGCTGGCGGTCGAAAACCCCGTGCCAACCGGCTGGTCCACGTATAGGACATGGCCAAGCTGTGTCCACGAGTAGGGGTTGCGTTCGAGTGAGGTTGAATTTCCTTCAAAGGAAATGGGTCCGTTGCCGCCCGTTAATCCTACTAGCGATGAGCAACCTGGTCCGCCGTTGAACCAAACTATACAACGAAGATATAGTGTTAGCAGGGCCTTGTCAGTTGAATTAAACATTCTCGGGTTCACCCACTGATGAAGGTATCATCGTATGATTTGTTCTCCGCTTCGAACAGCCAGAAGAAAATCTCGTTTCCATCTTTCCTGCCCGGCACTGGCAGTCGTCCAGCCCAGCTAGCCGGCAAAGTCGGACTATCTGGTAACGAGCGAACTTTGAAACGAGAAGCGTTGGTCGACTTGAATATTGGCAAGTTTGGAATCGACCATAGAAATTGAATGAAACACAAGAAAGGGGTGATATTCATAGCGACGCTGGGGCTATACTCGTAGAAGTACGAGTTCTCCAGCAAAAATGACCGTTCCACAGCGACGATCGATCGAATAATTGATTCTGATATCTTGGGAAAGGAAATATATCGATCATAGAGGGCCACGAGGGTGCCATGGCCCTTCTTTTTGAATGCTTTGTCCCCTGCATGGCGATGATGGCTAGTGGGGGGAAGCTCTTGCGCCAATTTCCTAATTTGGGTGTGAATAGAGCGGGTGGTGATCCTTGGAAAGCGACAGGCTGACTACATGAACCAACGATGACCGAGCAATCAGCCGAAGAAGCCTGGAAAAACTAGAAACAGTATACAAAGAAAGCTGCAGCCTCTGGTACATCGGAAATTAAATGTGTTCGGCAAGTCGAACATTTCCTAAAAGGGCGTTGAATAGAAGTGGTGTCTTGGGTGGAGGAGAAGGTTTGGCCTGATTTTATGGCCTGATAGATCAGGCTACAAAGCTCCCAGGCACTAAAATGAGCCATAATTCTAAGGTGTCAAAATATTCAGGTGTCAAGGCCACCAACACACCGCATCCGTAGGAGCCCCACTTTTCCCGCCGATCGCATACCTACGGTTTAAACTTGTTTCGAACGTTCTCACTTGCTGAAATCCACCCGCCCAAAGTTCCCAAGCTCCACTCCTGCGGTACTCCATACTTCCGTCCTTCGCCAACTTGAGAGTAACCGTTCAACAATTGAACGTTCAATTGTTCAACCCAGATCCGTCTTCCTTCCCTCTTCTCCTTCCCCTCCCATCCTGGTCCCCATCACCAAACTGGCTGCAGTTCTCCATTGCTGAGCCAGTGGTTCTCCGAGAAATCGGGGGGCGAGTACCTCACGTGGCCAGTGCGTCTCAAAGTGAGGCGTGAAAGGGGGTCGAATGGCCTTCACGATGAATGGTTAATGGTGGGAAAAGGAAGCCCTAAAGTCGGCCCCCTCCCGAACTATACACCGTGAAAGGGGCAAAAAAAACAAACTATCTCCAACAAGATCGCCGATCCGCACGATCGGTAATGGCAAATAGGGGATGCGACTCGATGTGATGGAGCGTCTGCTGGTTGTCTCTCGAGGAGGCACTGGAAGCGGGTAGCAGCAGTCTCCTTGGAACGATTGGAATGTGAGCTTTGATCGTCACCTCCAGTCCATTACCGCTCGCTCTTTTCCCCCTCCCAAAGCCGCGAGGACCACAATTTGATCTCAGTGGATGCTTGCGTCTGCCCGGGTTCAGTCGGTCGAAAACGTTTGTTCTCGACGAGTTACCACGGTCAAACTGGGGAGGATATTTCACCACGATGCGCCTATATCAGGCCAACTCGGTCGCTTTTCCAATTCCCCCTCGCTTTCTCTGGCCTCTTGCTCTGTTTCGCTCTCCTGATTTGCTCTTCACGGCTTTACCGGACCTAATCTGACCAATCCTTTTGGTCCGTTCGTGTTCTCCATCCCGAAATATTGTAACAAACTCTACCCTATGTGGACGACTTTGTTACGCTGTGGCTGAGAACCGCGATTCATCTTTGCTTCGCTGTCTGTCGGACGATTGAGACACATCCTCACTATCCAACCTGCTTCTACTGTACTTCATCAACTGCTACTCATTTACCTCTTCGTCACCATCACCACGAGGCCGATCGTCCGCAGATCCAAGGCTCAACTGTTGGCTCCACTACAATTGACAGCTCACTTGCATCACTTTGTCGGCAACTCGGGATTGGCTGCCTGCCTGAGGCAAACAGGGGGCGCGTGGGAAGAAAAAAAAAATACATTGTAAGTCAAATGAGCACTTAGGGGCTGGACCGCTGTTTCCCCCAAATTTCTTTCTTTTGGTTTCCCTGATTACATCTGTTTCGCTCCAACCAATTACCCTTCACGGTGCGCAGATGGTAGGGGGATGTTGGCGTAGGGCTACAGCCTCCGCCACAACTGGCTCTCCCTGCCCTTCTTTCGCTCTGTCTAGGATTGTTCTTATCTAACCTTGGGTTGCAGCGAGATCAGTAACGCCTAGGAAAGGACGTACGGCTATCCTTCCTCTCGGCCATGGATCTCCAGGGGACCAAAGAGGCTCGTACACAGGAGGAGGGTGCCGACGGCCCGCTGGATGCCTATGGCGCTAGCAGTGGCCGTTCAAAAGAGTTTCGTAAGAATGAGAGACGCGATTCTCACAGCCATGAGAGCTCATCCAACGTGAACACCCTTCGTCGTCATCAGCCACCATTTACGTACCCGCCCGGTACCCGCCAGCCTGGGGCATCCTCGCGATCGGGATCGGGATCGACATCTAAGGCTGCACCTCGGTCCCGAGACCCATCACCTTCCCCGGAGGCCATCACTATCCCGCAAGCACTAGGCCTGGGTGCACGAGACCAGCGGCTCCTCTGTAAGGCCCGACGACAACCTCCCGTAACGAAGCGGACCCTGAGCGAACTCGATCTGCCTTGTATCATGAGCAATATTAATCTCCGAATGGACGCCAACTTCGATCGCGACCTGCACTTCAAGCCCGATCTGGATGGCGAAAAAGGAAAGCGCAAGCGGAAGGAGGCTGCCGACTACTGGGATTCTATGGCTATGGAAATCGCAATCTACGCATACCGCGCCGCAAACCCCGATGACGATGTGGATGAGAAGAGTCCTCGAGATGACAACTCGAAGCGCACATTCGAGCCCCGACTGCCGGCCATGTTTGAAACCTTACAAGAAGTCATCAAAACTCTTGTCCCAGAACGTGATCATCCAAGCGTCATGGAGAACCTCGAAGTACCTCTACTCATGCAACAGGTTCGCAAGGGTGTTCTTGACATGGTGGCACTGGCGACATGGATGGCGGCTTTGCTGAAGACACATTGCGCGCCAATGCGCGATGAATGGGCGGATCGGATGGTGAAGCAGATCACTGAGGGGTCGCAGTCGCAGGAACCAAAGCAGATCGTCAATGGGCTGCAGACTCTGTTTGCTATCTTGGAGGCAATGAAACTGGTGAGAAAGCACCACCTAACCCCCGTTTTTTATTTTTATTTTTCAAACAGCTAACATGACCTCAAGGATGTCGCTAATCATCAAATACGCACATTCCGTGTTCTTCTCGTCGAGGACACAGTGCCATTCCTACAAGAGTACTTCCAAGGCAAAATCAGCCGTGGTAGCTTCCAAGTTGAGCCCGCCAGAATCTGGTATCTTGCAGCGCGGGAACGGGCCCAGAAAGAAGATGAAGCGAAGGGTCCAACCGCAACACAGTCAGATGATACGTTCAAGCCCCTCGAAGCCCTATTCCGAGGGATCTCAGACCAGCTTCTCCAGTTTAATCCGCCGGCGGACTACCCGGAGACCTTCCTCTTTGACACGGACCGGCTGTGGCAATTGCGCTCGACCATTCAGAATCTCATCAATCTTGAGATTGCATGGTACATCTTTGAGTCATATGTCCACACTCAGAAGCGGTATCTCTCCGCTCGTGGCGAGACTTATTCCACTTTCCGCTCGCGGATTTGGTCGCTCATGGAGGATGAGCTGAGCTCCGATGGGCGAAGTGCCAGCGAAGATGACGATCCTGATCTACGGGGCAGCAAGCGCTGGCTGCAGAACATGCGCGGCATTGCCCTGGAAATTGCTCGGTTCGCCTGTGCTGCATGTTGCCTGGACGTCGTCGTTGCTGACGAGGTTATCGCTCCGGTCGAGGAGGCTCTCCTGTGGCACCTATCCAACGAGTCCGAACTTTTCCGCTACTTCCAGAATACCATGCGTGACAAGGTTCTCACCGCGACACTCGCTTCGGCTCGGAGATACCTACCACTCTCGCCGCTGGCTATCTGTGAGTCCCAGCGCACGGTACCTCCACCGTCCACTGCGAATGGTCCTGCGCCTAACCCTCCGTCGTCGTCGGCTGCGGTTCCTGCTCCATCGACATCTTCAGCCTCATCCTCATCGCAGACTATTTCCGCACAACAATACGATATTGAACGTATCGGTATGCGTCTTGGTCATATAGGCATCCTGCACTGGCGTGTCTGGGCATCGCTTCTATATCTAAGAGACGAGATCGCCGACTCAAGACCCGAGCCGCCAGCTTTCCTATAGACATCTCTCACTTCTCACCACACATACTCACCCACAGCTCCTGGGATTGATTATCTGTCACATTATGCATGCGATTTCTTTGTTGGTTATTTGCTCTTCAGACTCTTTTGATCTGCTTTTCAGCGCTTTGCATCATTGTTACTATGGCGTTTCCCACAGGCCCATGGCCAGGCACCAGCACCGAGCAAGGCGTTCGTTGGAGTCTCCTCGGATGGAACCATAGCATTGGAACTGGCTTGGCTTGATTTGTCTTCTTTGGGATATAGACTATGGCGTTGTTTACTCTTCTATCGTTTTCCTTCTTGTCGTGTCTACATCCCCGATTTAGTGTATTACACTCTCAATCCGATCCGGGAAAATACATATCAGATTTCTCACAATTTCCAATAAATAATCCAAACCTAATCCGATTGATAATAACCATCTCTGAACATATCACATTTTCAATTTCCCGCGTGGGCTCTGCGAAAGGTAAAAGATCACTTCCCACTGTAACCTGCCGAACCGACGGATGCGGTAAACTCGGCCCGTGCATCGATCGGCGCGATGGACTCCCAACCCCGGCCATCCTCAAGCCTCCATTCCAGACCAGTCTTCCATGCGCTCGTTTGCCTACTGCGGTAGTCGCTGATCGGATCACGCCATCATCGTATCCACAACCTAATCTCGCTATCGGCTCATCTCGAGTCAAATCTCGATCTGAACCTTAAGTCTCCCGCAAAGGGAAAAAGCAAAACATCTCGTCCCCGTGCAGGGAGGGTCCCTCACCCGCTCACCCCCTTAGCCCCAGACAGGGCCAAGACCAGGCAATGCAATGCGTCTCACCACAGTTCTGCGCGCATCCCGTGCCTCTGTGTCTCAATTCCCCTGGCTCGGGCCGCTAAAGGTCGCGCAACTCCAGCGCATCGCGCGCGCAACTGGGATTCAATCCTCCGGAACGAAAAGCGTGCTCGCGGCGCGCATTGAGGCGGCGTTATGTCAGCAATTAGCTGTCTCCTCACGGGAGACGAAAATTGATGACTTGAGCGTGTTGAGTATTGATATGGGCATTCAGAATCTTGCGTTTGCACATCTGCGCGTGCCGAGGGCTGCTGTGATGCGAACAGCAACGCGGGCGCCGTCGAGGCCGGTCCTTACGGCTTGGCATCGATTGAAAGTCTCTGAGATTGGGGAGTTGGATTTGGATGGTACGGGTGCGAAGGTGGATGGTATCGATGTATCTGGACTCGTATCAGAGTCAGAAGCTGGATCTATATCATCCACGCAGCCTATCGAGACCAAGTCGGCGGCAGGCTTGAAAGAGACGTTCTCGCCAGATTTGTACGCTGCGATGGCATATACATTGATTACATCCCTTCTATCTGCATACAAGCCTACTCATGTATTGATCGAGCGCCAACGCTTCCGGTCCGGTGGCGGGAGTGCCGTACAAGAGTGGACTATACGTGTTGGCGTGCTGGAGGGTATGTTACATGCGGTGCTACATACGCTACGACACGAAAGTGGGAGTGGTCTCGCTGGTATTGAAGTGTATGGAATTGAACCAAGGCGGGTGGTTCGATATTGGGAGGAGATTAATCCTGATACCGCCCGAGAGGCCAAGGATGGTACCAAGAAAGGCAGGGTTACTGCTCGAGAAGTCAAGAAGGCCAAGATTGACCTCGTGGGACGGTGGTTAAGTGCTTCTCTAGAGAATGATGTCTCTCTAGATGAAGCTATTCAGGCAGATGGGGATATGGCACAGGGTACCACGGTGGATGGGAAGATTAATCTTGCGGCAGATAAACCTGCAGTACATGATCTCGCGGGTTCGTACCTGCGGAAATGGCGTGGCGAAGGAACGAGGAAAAAGCGATTGTCTGCCACAGACCCAAGTAGTGCAATCAGCAAGCTAGATGATCTTGCGGATTCTCTGCTGCAAGGCATCACTTGGGTGGAATGGCAGGCTATGCGAGAGAAGCTTGCCCGGGAAGGGCTAGAAGCATTTGAATGACCTGATGGCCTTGTGTATAATATTCAAAGTAATGCTTCGTGGTCTCACTACCAGTGTACGATGCTCATGAATTGCTGCCAACTCCCTGATACATGAAGCCTTCCGGGCGAAAAAAGAAATGGCGAGACGGCTGCCACCCCCTGGGGCCTTAGATGATATAAGCAGGTGACTGTCTTTCAAAATAGCCTACAAGATATCAAGAACCACTACTCATGCTCCAGACAACGTCCCTCTAACTTTTACCGCGCACTCGATTTATCAACCTCGCAAATCGGTTCTTTTGCGCATCTTCTAGAATTTGAACAACCCCTGTCTGCTCATATTTAGCTGCCCAGCACATCGGAGTATGGCCACGTTTATCCCGTGCGGAGCTATCCAATCCTAATTTCAGAAGTAGCCGGACTGAAGACTCCTGGCCCGCCCAAGCTGCGATATGCAATGCGTTGCGACCATGATTGTCCAGATCTGAGATATCTGCACCGGCCTTGAGAAGGAATTGTAGACATTCATCTGACCCGCCAATCGCAGCGACTAAGAATGGGGTGCAACCGTGGCCATTTCGTACAGCGATATCAACGCCGAATTCAAGTAACAGTCGCACAATATTGGCATGATTCATGAGGGCCGCGCGATGAAGTATGGTCTCCCCCGTCTCCGTTGGAATGGAAGGGTCTGCCCCTGCTTCAAGAAGAATCCTTATAAGGCTTTCTCGTGCTAACATAGTTTCGTGATGTAGGGGAGTCAATTCTCGTGGCAAACGTCGGGGATTAAGGTCTTCGCCGGCTTTTGTTACTATTCGCAGAATAGTCGTGTTCTGTCCACACGCCTCATGTAAGGGCGTCCTTTGACTGTGATCCACCGCGGAAGGGTTTGCACCGTGGTCCAGGAGACACTGAACAATTTCAATTGCATTTTCTTTGCAAGCAAGATGAAGCGCCGTTTTCCCGCCCTCGTCCTGGGCTGATAAATCCGCGCCAGCATATATCAGTGCTTTTACCATCCGTTGATTGGCATTCCCGATTGCTTGATGAAGAGGCGTCCATCCTTCGTTGTAAAGGGTGCAGCTCTGTGGTATAAATTTAGTGAGAGGTTGAATTAAGTTATCAAGCCCCTGTTCAACAATTAGATACAAGAGGGTGTGGTTATTCTCATCTCGAGCCTGGATATGTCGATAGTTGAGAAGGGGAGCAATTTGGGGAATGGTTTGAAGCAAATTCAAGAGATCCGAAGGTTGTAAGAAATCTGCGATTGTAAGAATCACTTCCAAAGGTAGCTGCGGAGATCTTTGAGCTGCCATAATTGCCATCGAAGCATATCAAATGGAAAGAGGGGTTGAATTCAGATAGCAAGGACGACATATAGCAAGCCTAGTCATGTGATCCGCCGGGCAATGGGGCAATGGGGCAACAGGGCAACAGTGGAGCAGACATTATCCAATAGTTCTCCAAGAATTAAGAATTAGAAAGGAGTTTTTCCAAAGGATATATACAAATATCGAATCATATAGCTCTCGGTCTTTGTAGACTGGGCAACAACAAGGGGGCCGTCCGAGGTAACTATGATGCACCTCAAGGAATGCCCTTTTCAAGAGCTTGTCTTTACCTAACTGCTCTTATTCGGCATTTTATTGATATACCAACAGCGCTCGTTATCTCAGTACTGGCTGTGTTTGTCTTCCAGTTTGAAAAGACTTATCTATTTGTCACTCAACAACGAGTGATGGAACCCTATACTGACCCTATACTGCACCTGGTCTCAAGCAGCGCCTAAAATCTGACTATGAAACCCATTTCAATAAACTGTCCAACTCTACATCAGCCTAGAATGGTGCTCTTTAAGATGCTGCATTGGTGATGATATTTGCCAGAAAACTGTTCTGACTGCTTTGGATTTCTATCTTCTCATGCGATTTTGCTGTTCTCCAGTTGGAAACCCCGATCCGGGAAATGGTCGATGTGTTGACTTTATTTCGCTTCGGCTACTCTTGTTGGCTAAAGTGGTTATACCTCACGACAAATTCAGTATTTCTGCGGTTGAAATAGCCCCACTGTCTGTAGTTCATGGGACCCTTAGCATTTGACTGCCTACCTAGTCTGGAACTGGCCAACTTGGCTTTCATACCTGTTAGCACCTTGACCTAACATTATTGAACCCACGGGTTGAAAGACAGCCCAAAAGTAGCATGTCAAAACATATGTACATTATTGATTCATGTTTGATCTATGTCGTGAGCCTTGGAGCCTGGGGCTGCTAATCGTGAAATGTCCCTGTCTATTTAGGCCATTCTTTTGCTTTCTCTTTCTACACAGCTCTCATATATATACCACTTTCGCAAACATACATCCTCTCTTATACAAAATTTTCTTCCGTCCTTGGTGAACATGCTGCTCAGGACCTCCTTGAAGAATATATGGACCCAACAACAAGTCGCGTGTCGGCCATGATTCTCCGTCGACATGCTTCTCAGTATTTAACTTAACCACTAAGAATGCGGAACACCAAAGAATTCTGTTACCCTGGACTATATGATACTGGACTTAATGATCCTCCATGGTGGATAAGAATAACACCAGGTCGTGACTGCCTTCCAATATATGTATCCTCGCAGAATGTGAGAAATGCTGCAAAAGCCGCTAAAGAAAGGTCAAAACTTGATGCTGAAAACTTTACTCCTCCGTATGAATTCTCACACCCTGATAGCGTAAGTCCAAGCCCAGATGGAATTTACCTTCAGAAGATCGACTAATACCGGTTTGGCATAACAAGGCGGCGCCAGCAAAACCATTCCGCGATTGCTCTAGGTTTATTATCACTGGAAGCATTACCAACGAGCCCGGCACTGCGTTGAACAATAGCCGTTGAACCAATGGGAACTTCTATAAATTCCATGAAATGAATGGAGGAGTGGGGTCATGATGGGCTTTGAGTTCTACCAGATACCCCTTCCCTATTTAGGTCTTCTCTTGCTTCATCTTTTACACATGACAGAACATATTTTCTCTTGTGAGAAGGGAGGAAAGTCTCCTTGACTCGTGGAAATTGCCGACATGGAGAGATTACATTACCCCAGGATCTTATTATCCGTTATCAACTCGGTTATCAACTGGGTTGGAGCCAAATCAAGACCCTTTTTGGTAGCAGAGCATGCCACATTTTCACCGTGGATTTACACTATCAAGTCACAAGTCGAGGTATTTACCCAGAGCACGACAATCTGCTAGGTAATTCCCTTGAATAAATATTATCAAGTCTATTTCTATTACTTACACAGTTCTAGGCCAAATCGCAGTCGTCTAGCTACAGCTACGTCTGCGCGAAACAAGGCTTGCCGACAGCCTTTTACATCAACCACTGCAATTTTGGAAAACAATATCGGAGCAGCCTGACAGAAAGTCAAGAAATCTACGAAGCCCAGAGTTGATGTGAAATACCACCACATTCGCAATTAGGTGGCAAGAGGATTATATAGATCTGTCAAGATCCTTACAACTGAACAGGCAGTCGCTGGCCTACGTTTCGTGAAACTCCTGGGAATTTGCCAATTACCTGGTTTGGGAACTGGGGCTGTTCAGTGCCCTCGACAATTTCAGCGTTTTTCGGCGTTTTTGGCATAAATATAGGTGCCCTTTTTCGCACAGGGTGATAGATTTAGAGACTAGGGGGTTGTTGGTCTATATAGTTTGGTGGTGGAAGGCCCACTCACTTGCCAGTCCTAATGATATAAGTAAGAGGCTTCCTGGTATAACTAGTTCATCGACCAGGAAGCCTCTTAACCATATCGAACACCATCGATGCAGTAAGGCTAAGACTTGAATTGCTTCATGACTACCCATACTGATCCTAGGCATGACTGGACATGAAGTTCAGTCAAATCTTCTCTCTCCAATTCCCCCAATGGTTAGTTTAACATCCGCTTCTACTTGGCGTGCCGAGTCCCAAAGGACGGCGCCAAAGAAGTGCCAGTCTAGGACGGTCAGATCTACGCGATTGCGTCCTTCAGTTGATAGAAGCGCTAGCACGAATTTCGATCAAGCGACCGTCGTACTTAGTAATCGGAAAATAGAAAACTCCCCAATAAGTAATTCAAATAGAGGGGCGTGTTGCGCTAAGATTCCAGCGACTGTGATCGCTCGTCTCAGGAAAACTCCAGTGAACGCATCATCTGGCGAACTATGACAGCCTAGTTCGTGCATGTCATTGTGCAAGCCCCCCGAATTCGGTCGAACAGCCCAAAAATGGCAACGTGGTGTTCAAAATGCCAAAAGTTTGGAGGAGTGAAGAGATTTTTCCAATCCAGTGGGCGGGTGTTGAGTAGCCAAGGACGGGATCAGGGGGTGATGGTGAGGTTTTTGGTGTTTCAAGCTAAAAGGTTCTCCGTGGGTTCGGTCAGACCCTGTAAAGAAAACAGAACGAGCTGGAAAATAGGTCAATGGAAACTAGGAAATCAATATCGGACCCTGTTATGACGGAATCGCTTCGGGACTCGAATCATCAATTCTCTCTGGATGCCTGTCGTGATCAGTGTTGTAAATGATAGATCCGATGAGACAATATCTCCTGGCGCAGGCGAAAGTACCAAGTTAAATGAGTTGGACCGGGCTGGACAACAACAGCACACATAGTCCAGTAAGGCGATATTAATCCCGCTTCAACGAGGCTGTCAAGGGCTTAGACTCGGCCTCGCTTGTTGAAGTGTCACTCATTCCAGGTCCAGTGTGGTATTCCAGAGAATTCAAACAGAGCAAGTATACATACATTCTGGAAAATGTAGACTCGTAGAAGTGTACTCCGTGCATACGCGAGCGGCGAAAGTTAGTTAGGGACGGGGGTGATGTGATGCGGCGCAAACGTGCCGTCACCCCCACCGGGCCGAGCGCTGGCGAGACGACGGGCGGCATTTGTGATCGACTCTTTAGATCCTTTGCAACGCTCATCTAACCCCGGCGCGCAGAGTCCAGAACCACAACGAACCACGAGGGGAGCATCCTCGACTTCCTATCGAGGCGTATTGCGATGCACATCATCATATAAACCAGCGGCAGAGGCAATATATCGCCCGTGCGATGCGGACCCTGGGACTCCAAGGGGGGCAATGCAAAAAGGCGGGACTTCCCAATCAGTGGCGCGGGGTGGTTTATGTGAAACTGTAGCTTGGCTGGTGTACGAGCATTACAGCGGAATAGCGGATTGGAAACTCGTTTCCATACGGGGATCAAGATCGCACACGGGGGTCATTGAGAGGGGTGGTTCAGTAGGGAGTCAGCATCAGAGGAAGCAAGTCAGGTCTGAAACACTGAAACGTTGGCTGCGACGCCCGCTTGGACGATCGGGCAAGGTGCGCTTGCGGGCTGGACGAGTCAGGATCGTCGGAGGGCTTGATTCTAGACGGTCGGGATCGATGGCGGGCCCGGGTTGTGCCTGAAGTGCCCGTTGAATGGACGGTTCAGGCTGTTTTAGTCTGCTCCACTCGGAGACACTGGCCGAAAGTATGTCCCTTGTACCTCTTGGAGGGACTCCGTTGTGTATTTGGTAGTCATCGACAGCCTGGTCAGTTGGTTCGTGGCCAGGTCGGATAGTCAGACAATCTGCCACAGCCCTCTCTCATTTTGAAGGCCCGGTCCCGTTTCTGTTTGATCCTGCAGTGTTACATCACCGTGTCTCGTTGCCAAGTTGACGGAAAACTCTTTCGATGGAGCCAAGGGGGGGGGGAGCTGTTCACCACAATAGGGGGCAAAGCGACTGGCGCCACCAGCGGTGGCTGATGGAAATTGATATGGCATCAATTCGTTCAGGATCTTTCGGTAAGCGATGAGATTAAAGGCCAGCGCCTTCTGGAGTCAAGTGGAATGGATGATTGGTATAGGAGAAAGTGGGCGGAGAGAGAAAAAGAAAGCAGCCAGTCAGCGGGCGGTGCCTGAGACGGTGGAGTCGAGAAGGAAAAGGATGGCGTGTACCGAATACTTGTGGAGTCGATATCTTTGGGAGTTTTGACTATGCAATTGTGTTGTATAACTTATGGGAAGTATACTCCGATGTACCTAGACCATGTACTCGATACCTGGCCTATGTCTCCGCTATTATGACATATGAGTATTCGATATTTAATTACTTTCTACGGAGTATACTATGTACATGCACGGATACACTTCTGACTCCACTCGGCCTCTCCCGGTATTACCGAAACGTGCTACTTTGGAAGACTCTATTCAAGGTACACAAGATTATTCGAGCATTTAATAATAATAATATACCTTAATGTCGGTAGATTAGTGTAATCTCCAAAGTAATCTACGGAGGACTAGTCTCCCCTCTCTCTGATAGTGACCCGCCTTTTAATTAACCCGCTGCCTACTTCCCTCTTGGCTCCTTCTTTTCTCTTCTTCAAGCTCCATCTCCCTCTTTTTTCTTCTCTTCCGGTTCTCTGCGAGAATCTTCATTCCTTCACGTTGGCTTAACGTTGACTTTCTTTTCTCCTACGAATCGACTTCGTAGCAACCCACGCTCTTTCGTTCTTGCCAATATCCCACATTCGCTTATCGTCCATCGACAGAAAAAGACATTGACTGTCTTAAGATTCCAAAGAGAAAAACTTCCAGACATCCACACTCACTCCAACACACCATGCTGTTCAACAAGTTGACCTTTGCTCTGGTCGCCGGTCTCGCCGCCGTCGGTGAGGCCGAGCACCACGCTCGTCGTGTCCACCGAGTCCGCAGCATCATCCCCAGCGGCTCTCCTGCTCCTCTGCCCACTATCACTCGCACCGTCGTCCCCACTCCCATCGAGTCCGGATCTGATGCTACCTCCTCTTCCTCTTCCTCTTCCGCGGTCGTGGCTCCTTCTGGTCCCGCTGCTTCAGGCCCTGCCTCCTCGGGCCCTGCTTCCTCCAGTGCCGCTCCCTCGCACACTCCCTCCAGCATCCCCTTCTCTCGCCCTCCTCCTCTCGGCACTGGTGTCCCCAGCCACGGTGCTGGCTCTGGCGCTGCCTCCAGCGCCACTGGTGATCTGACCCTGACTTACACCGTGGGAACTGGCACCTCCACCAGCGTTGTCACTACCACTATTCACCGCACTACTACCGACGTGCACACCGTGACTGCCGTAAGTATTCTCTCGAGTGATGCCCCCAGTATAGCCAATATCAAACTAACTTGTGGGACGCAGACTGAAAGCCCCGATGCCAATGGCCACAACCAGGGTGGCAACGGTGAGCAGACCACCACCCTGCACTCTACTGCCACCGAGACTGTCACTCTTGTCGAGGTCCCCACCACCTCCGTTACTGCTGGCAGCGGTGGCGAGGGCAACTGCAGCCCCGTTACCGTGACCGTTACTGAGACTGTGACTGCCGTACGTACTTGTCCAACCTGATATGTCTTAAAACGCTGCGGAATGCTAATTAGCTTGATAGAGCGGCACCACTGTCACCTCTGCCCCCAGCAACAACCACCAGCAGGAGGGCAACGGCAACGGCAATGGCAACGGTGAGAACAACGGACACCACCACCACCATCACACCACCTCCACTGAGGGTGATGACTCCGAGACCACTTCCACCGAGACCGTTGTCCCCACCCCCAGCGCCACTCTGATCCCCGGCCGCCCTCCTTACGGCAACGGCAGCCACCCGATCCCTTCCTCTTCCCGGGCTCCCTCCGGCTTCGCTACTAGCTCCCAGCCCATCCCCTCGGGCTCCGCTAGCGCTGTGCCCTTCCCCAGCCACAGCGGCCACCCTGGTGCTCCCTCGGGTGCTCCCAGCGGCAAGCCCTTCCCTCACAACTTCCGCCGCCGCTACATCTAAGCGACGAGCTTGTGAGATTTGATAGAGATGACTCGTTCTGAAGGTATGGGCTGTGACGCGACCCTGGCGATAATTTGAGAGCGTTCTGGTTGTTTGAATTCTATTCTTCCTGCTTAGAATTTTTGTCTTTCGTGCGTCGCACGCTGGTGCTGTACCTATTCTCATATGGGTGGATGGGATGGCGGTTTTTCGATTCCAATCTCGTCGATCTATGCTGCCATCTATGTCTACGCATGTTTTACCTTTCTTCTGCATTGTGGCTCTTCAAGAGACCTATCTGGACCGTATCATCCGCATACTTGGATGGGACCCAGGTTTTCTGTCGAAAACACTCTTTGCATCCTCTTCTCTTATTCTTTTTCAATGGGATCGATCTCTTACTATCTTTCTCATTCGTCACCAGAACACAGTCTCGTATTTATCGCCAGCTTGCAAAGCGCCCACTCTTTGGAGATGGGTCTTTGTGCTTTTACTTCGTTCTGCGGTTTGTGCAGTGCACTTTGTCTACACGCTTTTTCCTTTCTTGTACAAAATATTTAGTCTATGGGCCGCTTAGAGATCTATCGGTCACTCGAATGCAAGTCAAGTGCATTTCATTATAATAGGTCTATACACCATTTGATTAGGTAGCATGTAAGATTCGAGGCACATGATGTAAGTCGTATAGATGTGAAGTCGTCCACGGGTGCAAGTGGACGGCTTACTCAACTGTAGATTGGAGTACCTATTTACTGTTGCAAGGACCGGCCCATATTGCCTATACTTAAAGATGCCCCCACGCGCAGTCAGTATTTAGGCGTCGTATATCTAGTGCAAAATATCAGCTGATTCGCGTTACACCTCTATTGCTAGGTTATGTTAGAATGTATTTTACGACGTTCTTTCCAGAGATTTCTCGCCGCCCGTCCATTATCTCATCGTCCAAGATGCCTCCTGACCAGTCTTCACGCGTTAACGATTCCTCTGAGAGTCCATCATCGCGACTGGTAGCATGCAAGGGATGTCATAAGCGAACCGTGTCTGAAAATAGGCCGCGACATAATCGTCGTTTCTACGTCCAGCTTCTGTCTTCGTAGCGCACAGATCCAATACAGCACCTTTGGCTGCCTCCTTTTTCATTGTCGCAATCAAATACGTGAATCTATTTTCTTGTGGAAACCATGCTTTCGGGGGGCACAAGGCGGAGTGTAACATCAATTCAAGTCTCAGTAGAGAAAGGCCACATTCCCTTTGCCTCCTTCTCAGATCTCTCTCCGGCCACCTTTTCAATATACAGGGCCATAAGCTCCTTGTTCTGCCTTCTCTTCTCGTTAATATCCAATTGTGGCGCAATCCACCCTTCTGAATCAGTATCAAAGCACTCTTCAGCAAGCATTCGAACCTCATCCCAAGCCTGGTATTCAGCGAACTGTCGTTCATGCTCGTCAAGTTCTGCTTGGCTGAACGAATAAGAGCACTCCCCAGAGAAACCAAGACTTGCCCAATTTTGACATATCTCTATCAAGCATGCATGAAGCGGAACGATTCCAACTTCAGAAACTTCCCCGCATCGGATACACAGTTCTCAGAACACACGAGGTACGCTCATGGCATCATGTGCTGCCCTGTCTTCAAGGTATGTTGACACCTCATAAGCCTTGGCCAATTTCACCTGGGACCATTCACGCAGAGCAATAGTTCCATTCTCTTCGTCAAGCCTGTCAAAATCTTCCGGCAGCTGCGGTTGAAATATTCCCCTCTCGTAATCGTAATTCTGCGGAGGCCGTAGAAATATCGGCCATTGGGCCTGGAGAAATGCGGGAAGCACAGACGTTGACTGGAAATCAATGAGCGAAACTATTGTTGAACACTCGTCTGGGTTGACGAAAATATTTTCCATATGAAGATCGGTGTGCCACAAAGTAGGCTGGCAAGCTTTCTTCAATAATTCGTTTGAGTCTAAGAGCTTCATGGCGGCCGTGGTGACTTCCAGGGGCTGCCTTTGTTGCTCAGAAGTTCCACTGTAATAGTTAGATTGGCTTCGTTGGCCGTCTTTTGATACTAGAGACAATTCTCGTTCTGCAATTGATATTCCCAAGCCTGAAACCGAATTCCCTATATAAATTTCAGCATGCGAAGTACCAAGTGGTGCTGGTAACGTACAAGGCCCTTGGTTAAGTCCCGGCGTCATATTGGGATTGAAAGCCCGGTCGCAAGAAGGCTCAATACAAAAAGACTGGGATGGATCAATATCGCCATCAAGGGGCCTTTTTGACCTGCTCATATCTGACCGAAGGTACAGTCCTCCGTACACGGGCGTACACGGGGAATTTAATGGTTGCCAACTGAGCCTCAAGCTTGGTCAGATTCTTGATTAGCTGCAATCTTTCAAATTCCGTCATGGTGCCCCAAACTTGAAACAAAGGAACCCCAGGAGCTTTGTCCATGATGATATATTCGGCACCCACGTTGTTTGAACCATCGGATGACCAAGAAAGGACGCGAGGCACAGGAATGGAAGTGTGTCTCTTGACTGGGTTGTAAAATCTTAGTGAACCGAGTCGACGTGACTGGACATCACATACCATATTCTAAAACTGCCACTTCACCAGCCGTTGTTAATGACGGCGGGCCAGCAATGCGGCACGGTATTTTGGCTATCACATCCGTTCCATTTGCCCTTTTCATCAGGAAAGCCTTGCTGAACCCCCCTTCCATTTTATCAATAGCAGTCACGAGGCTAGAATCTCCTCCAACCAAGGCCGCCGTACTGCAGAGCGCGTCCAAGTCGAACCGGACCTATCGTCGGCTAAACTGATGTTCTTCATCGACAAGGAAATGGCCATTGGTGTAAGCGAAAAGATCCTCACGCGCGACCGGCCTGCCTGCTTGAATATTCAGTGACTATCTCCAAAACAATGCTCCTATCTTACCTTGACAAGTTATCGATAGAGGTACTCCGGGCTGGCCATAACACGATTTTGAGAATTTTCGGGTGAGAGAAAGCATTTTGCACAAGTTTAGAACGTTGTCCACTGCCAGCTTGCAGGAAGCAAAGACATGTGGTGTCTCATACGAAACTCCTCTTAATCAGATCAAGCGATATTGCCAAGTCTACTTTGAGCGTCCATCTTCGGACCGATACTACTCCGAGAAACGTTAACCCATAACGGCCAGAAAAAACAGCGTATAAATAGTTCACTTGACCAAACAGCACTCACCACAACACAGTTATTTGTAAGTAGGTAACAAGGCAAGGTCGAGCTGAACCGATCTTGGAGAAGATTTTGATTGATTGAAGAAAAGACAAATATCATAGAGCAGGCTAACATAAGGCTAAGATACACAGTGTCACTACAACCGTTAAAGCCAAGGATAGACCTCGACACAGCCCGCTCCTAGAACCCGCCCGGCTGATGGGCTGTGTAGGCCGCCTATTTGTTGCTTATTCTGCGTAGGATGGATAAATCGTTGATTAATGTTTAAATGTTCCTGTTTTATTTGGTTTGATCCGTTTATAGACGCCGACCCTTATTTAAGCTGAAGCTATATCTCTACGTCGCTTATATCCAATCAAATAAACTCGGGCTCATAGATGAACAATGTGTCGCAGGGCTGCAATAGTCGCGCACGGGTGATATAGGGGTTTAGGCGGAATAGCAGTATTGTTTTTATGCGGGAATTCAGTAAGTCCGGGATGAGAGAAGTTTTCTTATTTCAAGATGATCTTGAATGACACGACGTTAGGGACTTATATACACGAGTCATTGCCATTTTCACCCACCCAACGATTTTACACATGCTCCCCTCGAAGATCAAACCTGGAGGGGAGATGTGGATGGTTGGGGTTTCTCCGGAGCTCGCTTGGGATAGCTCGTATATCAACGTGCAAACTGGGGGGCCCGTGGGTCTGGGCCCAACGCTAATCCGTTAGGGGACCCATTGGCGATCCGCACGGGATCTACTGCTGCCAACTCTATCCTATACAGTATGTGTTTACGGGGATTATCATTGGGTTTGTCGTGAACAGGCTTTCTTCAGTGACCTGCCTAGGTGGTCTGGGTTGAGACATGTATCTTAATATGTCGATCTCTTACCAAATTTCCTTAGAATTGGGGGCTATTATTTCCAGGGGGGCTGACAAGGCTGTGAAGGCCAGTTGCAAATGACGCACGGCCTTCGGTATTGAGGCTTATCTTTCTTAGGTGGCTGAGATGTGTAGCCAATGACAGGAGAGTCTTGTTCTCAACAACACAAGAACAACTGGCAAGTGGGGTTGAGGTATACGACTCAAATATGTCGATCTATGCTCAATTTCTTTAGATTGGGGGCCATTTCTAGGAGGCCAAGGAGTCGGTGAAGGCCAGCTGTAAATGACGTATCATGTATGGCTGTCAGTTTTGAGGCTAGTCCATTTGGGGTAACTTAGTTGTACAGCCAATGACAGCCAGGCCCTGGTTTCTAAAATAACAAGAGCAGCAGGGGTTGTAGGCTAAATTGCATAGCATGGCGGAATACTAAAGCCCAAGGTGGTTCTGAAGTGAAGACCCGAGCTTTCTTGGCGCTCTTGGCCCAGGCGGCCACTAAACCTTAACAAGTAACCAGTTCAGAGACCAAATAGGAAATAAACAGTAATAACCCCTTTGCATTGCCAAGAGATCGAAGCTCTAACACGTATGCGATCGGCGTGGGGGCGAAGGAAGCTGAAAATCAGCCTTATTTACCCTCCAGACTTAAAATATGCCGTCTGCTGCCAGTGATTCTTTTTTTGTTTTGTTTTCGAAAGTGATACTGAAGGAGAAAAGAGTCTCTGAATCGCTTGACATCAGAGAGATTTTGGCTCTGAACTGGTCTCGTGCAGGAGACGATACAGAGATTACCCGGAACCCCTAAAGTCTGCTGCGACTTCCTCGCAGTTGCTACCGACACTTCGTGTCACAGCAGATATGATGGACTTTTGGAGAAGGGAAGCAGCAGAAGCCTCTACGGAGGGAGGCTTTGAATGTGAGCTTGTGGGAAAGGCGATGGGCCCCATGGTGGGCGATGGGGTTTGTACACGCTATGACCTCAGATGCATTGTTCATGCTGCTAATTTTTAGTAGATTATTATCGGCTTCGGCGGCCAAGCGCTCTTATCATTAGCCCTATCTTTATGGGTATTTTTCCTAACGACCCACGGCAACCTGGATATCATGCACCAGGAAGACTCTAAAGAGCGTGAGATCGAGCGCAAGCGCCTGGACTTTGTTTCTAAGATTTTAATGATCGGGTGTGATTTCCAAACGACGCTTGGAATAGCATATTTGGTCACCGCTTTCTCGATGGTACGAATCTATACCTACCTATCTGCCTCACCCTTGGTATTATTATTGGACAAAGTTGCTCATCCCTGTTACAGAGTACAGAGATGGATACATACCACCTCCACCTAGTCTTCGACATTGCCAGCTTCGTCGGAGTCTCAAACACTGCCGCCCTTGTCTGTTGGAGGTTCTGCCTTGCTAAGATGGGCGAATTCCCCGGTACAAAGAATCGCTCCAGCGGTCCCACCAGGCGCATTTCTCTACGCACATATTGGACGGAGGATCGCTACCGTGCCACCTTTATTTTCATCATCCTATATCTTGCCCTTTTAATTCTCCTTGAAGTCCGCCTCCACCAATGGGCGCCTGACGCAGAACCCGGTCGCTGCTACTATTCGTACCTAGTAACGAGTGCATCGGCCTCACATCCTGGAGCTGATATGGTTTATGTGGCCATTACTGGCTCCTGGTTGATCATTATCGTTCTTGCTGGCATGTTCGCTGGTGTCGCAAGGCGACGATGGATTCTGATCTTCTCCATGCTCCACTTTCCCCTGCACCTCTATATGACGATTGCGCTTCGGCAGGCAAACCAGGGCAAGTTTGAGGGCGAGACAAAGCACGAGCACGAATGGGATTTCGGCCAGACCACGGCAGTAATTCTGCTGGGAATCGCGGTCTCGGAGTTAATCACCAAGGGGAGAGAGTACTATAACTTTGAGCGTCATGTTGCTAAGTTTGGTATCTCCCAAGGTGAAAATGAGCCATCAGTTGGGGATACTGAGGGAGCCAGTAAGAATGGCTATGACAAGCTTCCGAGAGACGAACGGATCTCCGAATCGCAGCATCCTGCTTCCAACGGATATTCCAGCGGCTGAAAAGCCGGGTACGAGCCCTACGCTGGAAAATCTCTTCTTTCAAGAGAAGATAATGGTGAATTCCGAGAAATTTCTGAGCAGAGCGATGGAGTCTGTATGTCCAAGATTTTCCATGTTTGAATTACCTACTTTTTTCGTACATAAAGCAGCCCTGGAGGACCGCTGACGGATTTGTGGTAGTATGTTGATTCGAAGGTCTCTAGCAAGTGTTCTGTATGCTTTAATGTCTGATTTCCGGCCATGTAATGCTTGTTTTGCGTGTTCTGTTTGATACGGCTGATCGTTTGTTATGTTTACTACCTATAGAGGGACTTCGGGATGCTTCATGCCAAAGAAGAGGAAGGGAGATCATCAACATATGTTCTCACTACGAAAGTACTTTATTCACCACTGTTGCAGTCATAATTTATAGTTATTCAGTTTGTCTTTCCTTTGAAGTGGACAAGACGAGCGGACCAGATTGCATGGAATCAAAAGAGACGAGGACATTAATCTTCGTCGACGTGTCGCGCCAAAAATACACAAAAATACAACAAGGGAGCACTAAGCTTACTCGGATGGGGCTTGATTAAGCCTTGCAACCCGTTAGCCCATCGACAATGCTTGGCATCGACGAAGATGAGCTGGGAATATACAAAAAGTATTTTGATGATACAGCATACGAAAAAGGAAATCCAGGCATTAATTGAGGTTTATCACCAACTTCCAGTTATTCCAGATAATCTCCCCCTTCATGGCCTAGTTGGTCAGCCAGGTTTGCGCCACCTGGTTGGCCAAGGGTGTGCCTGTGAAGGAAAATGAGGGGAAATATGGTTGACTGGTGTCCGATGTCGAGCATAACTCCACGGATGACCGGGCACACCCTGAGGGGGAGAGTGGGCGAGCGAGCTAATCCCCCTCGCTCGCCGATTTCTTCTTTTGTTCTTATTTTTTTTATTCAATAGATAGATATCTCTTATATCTTCCATTCTAGATCTAAAACATAATTCTCGAAGGTATTCTGGTGGTGTAAAGGGAACCTGTATGGTGGGTGTGGTCCCGGAGGGGCGGAGGGGATGGACTTCGGCATCGTGGGATCTCGATGGAGCATTTTGATGAAGTATATAGGGAACGTGAAGGTCGCGGGTTCGATTCATGGAGTAGATAACTAATTCTTGTTTTGAATTATGCTTTATATGATCTTCGCAATCTGGAATTTCCCTCATTGATCTCTGTTTCACGCTGTAATAACAATATCCCGGGTATTCTATCAAATTTCCAATCCTCCTCTATTTGGTAGTCTCAATAACATCTCCCAACATCACAATGCTCAGCTTCGACTTGTCCAAAAACTTCTCCTCATCGGCAGCAATCTGCGCAGCGGCCTCGGGAGCATAGACCTTGGCACCGAAGGCCTGGAACGCAGCCTGATCGGCAAAGGTGAGCTCGGCGTAGGCATCAAAGTCAAAGTCCGCCTGTTGACCGACGATCACCGTGGCGGGGGTCAGGGCATTGCGATCGCTGGCACCTTCTGCAGCGACCTCGACGGTGTTGCGAGCGACGTAGCTGCGCTTGTGGGAGAGGGGGAAGTCGTCGCCGGTGAGACGCTTGATCAGGTCGACGTGGGCCTCGTAGTGTGTCTTGAAGTCCTCGAGGGAGAGACCGGGCTTGCGGTAGGCGTAGATGAAGACTGTGACGGACATGTTGATGGTGGAAGATCTGACTTGGAGGAGATGGGTGTTTTTGAGAGACTTTGAGACTGATGATTTGGTTTTTTGTTGTATGGTGAAAAAGGGAGCTTTGGAGCTGGTTAAATAGAGAGTGAGTTCGATGTTGTACACAACGAAGGTACACAACTCCAAAGTGCTGCCGGTCTGTGATGATCACAAAGCAACAAGCAAACGTGGGGGCCAAACGAGGGGAGATGCGTTGGATGCGGGGGCCAAAAACAGCTCAAAGGGACTATCGGGTTCCGTCATGTTTCCGCGCCGAGTTGCAGAGTCAACTTAACATGTCCGGGTATCCTGGTTCCTTGCAGTGGTACTACCTCGCAGCTTTCACAGCCCCCAAGGCATTCTCGTCTCGACACTCCTGACTGTACGGAGTTTATTTCCTGACTGTACCTTTTGGATGCATACCTTCATCTCCACTTGACCTCGACGGCCCCGGGGCTGGTCTATTTCGGGGGCTGAATGCCGCTGATGTCTAACAAGGAATGTCAAATCTCGACATCAAGTTCTTCCAAGACATTGATACTTTCAATACTCATTGCCATACCCGTTTGAACAGCGAAATATTACCACAATGTCCTGGTGTCAACTGTTAGATCAACATCGCTCTCCCCGGCCCCAAGACCCCCAACTGCTATCATCCACCCATGACAGCAGTCGGAATGGATTACCCGGCCGATGTCATCCTGTCGGAGGATTGTACGTTCATGGACAATCTGGAAAGACGTGACTGTAGCCTGAAGCTGTCTCACGGGTCCGAATATGCTTGGCTAGGGGCGTATATAGACGGACGGTTCGGTCTAATTTGAAGCCATTGACCGTCAATCATCAAGTCTACTTCCATCTGTCAAGATGTCTGGCAAGTCTATCAAAAGTGCTGCTATCAAATCATTTCACAAGCTACTCGCCCTGCATCGTCAAGAAATAGATGCATCGTTACGGTTGCTTGGGTCTATCGGATACCATGCCTATACTCTTTGGCTCTTTTGCTTCAATGATCTCAAGACAATGGTCTTCCCAAGTATCGCATTTGCATTCTTCCACTCAAGCCACCTACCGTTGAACACATTCCTCTCTCGTCTACCCTTGATGTTTGCTTATACCTGGTTCAACCTGCTCGGTTTCACAGTCAACAACCAGCGACATCCAGGCTCCGTAGCTGAGGACAAGCTGAACAAACCATGGCGACCTATTGCAGCTGGCCGCCTGACTTCGACACAGGCACATACCTTGGGCCTGTTGTCCATTCCAATCGCCTTGGCTGTGAGCGCTCTCGTTGGGGGTGGCGTGGTCCAGAGCGCTTTCTTAGCGATATTCGGTACTATCTATAACGACTTTGGGGGCGGTGATGGCCACTGGCTTGTTCGGAATTTACTCAATGCGGCTGGATTTACATCCTTTGCCTCGGGTACGCTCGAAGTGGCCTTGCAGTCATCTCTGCCTCGATCGACAATCCCGTGGATCTTCCTCATCGCCGTCGTTGTTGGCACCAGCGTTCATGTCCAAGACATGTACGATCAACCCGGCGATGCTGCGGCGGGTAGACGCACGCTGCCATTGGTGATCGGCGATGAGATGGCTCGGTGGAGTATCGCCGTTGTGGTAACTGTCTGGAGTATCTTATGTCCGCTCTACTGGTCTTCCGGCCTGGTGGGATACTTGGGTCCAATAGGGTTGGGAGTATGGGTTAGTTTACGCTCGCTGACGAGGCGGACGGTAAAGGAAGATCGAACTACATTCCGGATCTACAACGCATGGCTTGTAGCGCTGTACGCGCTGCCGATGACCTCTCGATATAGGATCTCTGTATGAATGCTTCGAGCGAACTCGCCAATTGGTTACCATTAGATCAGTTTTCTACTTTAGCTTTGCAGTCAATGTAATCCTTCATCCTTCGATCCTTCGTCAGAACCAAGTTCAGTCTCACGAAGATCATCGCGGGAGCAACACTTTCGACTCGGAGAAACATTTACTGTGTGCGTATCCACTATTCATGATTGGTTGGTAAAAGGTTGATCAAGACCCTGCTTCCCGCTTCGTGGGCTAGTACTGATTCAGAGATGGGGCTTACTTCGCGGGCTGGCATTGGGGGCGCTCCCTACAGGCTTGCATGCACCAGCGTCTCGGCGCTGTTGGGTTGCCTTAGCTGCGGGTGGTTCCACAGGGCAAATCCCTAGCTTGGTAATTCGTCCTCATTTTGGGTTACATTGACGCCTTAACTGCACAGTGCATTCTGCAGGATTCTAAGTAAAGATAGTCTCGCACTTGTTATCCTGCAATGGCCCACACCCACATTGCCTTACCCCGCCTGGAATGTTATTCCTGCCAGCGGATCCCAATCAGAATATTGAAAGACTCGGTCAATGAAATACCAAGGATTTTAGAATTCAAGAAAAAGATTTGAAACAATGACTGATAGTGATTCATGAGAAAAAAGAAAGACTGTGGTACTGTATTTGCGTCCATTCTATGCGTGCTTACACCCGGTTATCTGCGTCTGACTGCACCTCAAACTCGCGCCACACAGCGATCTCACCTTGTCTGACTTTGACCGGTGTTGGGGGCAGGACTTTATTATGGATTTCGGTATACTGCATGTTTTGTCGTTTGTCCCAGCCTGGTCCCAGTGCCATCTCGGTGCTACCCTGGCTATCGCTATGCTGGCGACTGTGCTTTTGAGATGAGCCGTAAGAAGTCTTGTTGGGCTGGTAGACATAACGCTTGTCGAAGCGGCGACGGCGCTCTGGGAAAATCACCGGGCCAAGCATTGGAACGCAGGCGACGATAATACCGACAGCCATCTCGGCTACGGTTAGGATTGCACTGTCCGCAGTGCAGTATGTAAAGTCGGATAGGCTGCAGCGGAGGACTTGGATGATACGAGCCAGATTGATGGCAGAAATGCTGTACAGCGTCAGAGAATGCAGGAGTAAGCAAGATCAGAGATGTCTTACCCCAGACTCAAAGCAAACGTGGCCATCACGGCAGCCTTCTTCTGCTTGCTCATATGCAGACCCCAGATCACTGGGACTGGCAGGACCACGATTCCTATGTCGAGGGCCATGTTGAATGCAGCTGCGGCTAACTCAGCTGTTCCTTCGTCGCCGCATTTTCCGTGGATATTTAGGTCCCAGTTGGAAACGATTGGGCGACACATCGCCAACGTTGTCGTAATACTGCCGACGAAGAAAAGGCAGACGATGGTCATCGCACCGTAAGCAAAGTACTGAAAGATCCGGGTGGGGAAGGCTTGGACGTAAAAGTCCAGAATAGCAAGTCGGAAGCTGGCGATGGAGATAGCCCAGAAGAACTGTGATGAGAAGAATGCCTGTGCATTTCAAATTAGCTACTCTCCTGTTGCTCATCTGTAGACGCCTGATTATCTTGCCTTCAGGCCAGTCTCCATTGTGGGTATCGGGACTTGAAGACGGTGGAGTCCGATTCCACCGGCAATCGTGCCTGTCAAAGTTGTCAGCTTTGATAACGGAGTAATGATGAAACAACTATAGCACGTACCAACGAGCAAATCGATGCTGTATGCGATAAGCATCACCAGCGATACGATACATAGAACATCGTGTATTTTGATTTTACGATGAACCACCGTCATAGAATAGAAGCGAAGACCCATGGCAATCACTGCCAACAGGTCCAACACCGCAAAACATACAATCACTGTAATCTGCTTTGACACGAGGGCGGCCATGTTGAGCAACGATGGAGGCGATGATGCAGATTCTGTCAGATCAAATTCAACTCGAGCAAGACAAGTTCTGACCCTTGAATAAAGTATTCAGCTGCAAAACATTTCTCCGAGCTTGTCCCTAGTGTAGCCCCCGAGAACCTGTCATAACCCCCCTCTGTGCACACATGGATCATGCAGCTGCAATCACCAGGTGGTAGGAAGTGTATGCAGTATACCAGACTTTGGCCCGGGGGCCAAGCCAGCCCGCGTTACACTTGTTTTAGCCCCCAACGGAAACGGTTCAGAAGTAGCTTTGAGTAACTATTCAGCTAGCGACGAAACTGATGTCACTCGAGATGAGTCGTGCTATTCGTCTGAAATCAAATTCGGAAAGGGTACTAAAATCACAGCCCGCCCGATGGGGCGAAAGTTCATGGCCGTGCTTCGCTCCCGTCGCCAAGTCTAGTTAATAACCCGGCTAAGGCAGATCTTCATGACCCATGTTATTCAGGGAAAGTCTGCAGAGTCGATATGCAGACTTGCTGGCCCCCATAAGCAGCCCCCTCAGCCCCTCCGGCCCCTTATTCGTCCGCAAGTTAGACTCGTTCGAGTTTAGTCCTGCAAATTATGTACTCTGATATCGCCAACGGGCAGTGCTAGGATGTTCTCTGCAACCTCAGCTACCAACTGAAAATAGATTCTGGCAGATAGACTTCGCATGCTGTGCCTGCTTCGGGTAAACCGCCATGCCTGTCTTCGTTGCATTCGAGAATTCTGGACCTCGTGGGGGCCTTGGGGAACCACGCCATGCCCTAGGGCCGTTCGGCTGGGGCTGTTCATGTCTAACACTAATGATCCTCAGATTGGCCTGTGCCCTTTCAGGCTCAATAGGGTTCTGATGACGGTATCAGAGAGTGTACTGACATATTGGAGTATTGTCTAGTATTCATACAAACCAATACCGCCCCCAGAAGAACATGCGCCAACGGCGCCAAGTTCCTCGTCGAGTTGAATCACAATGGCCTTGTTGTGCACTTAGCCAAGGAAGGCCTCCAAATTCGTTCTTGGAACAAGCTGAATGGATGGAGAGAGCCACTACCATTACATGCAGCTTTTGCGCACTTAATTCGCACGCATTCCACTTCTCTACAACTGCAACTATTCTCTTTTTTCGGTTTACACAGCAACAAGTCTTATCCCACCATGACTTGGCAAGAAAATCTTGCAGCAACGGCACTCGGTGTACTTGCTCATCTAGGGGTTTTTATTCGAGGAGAATGGCATCTTCGAGCGCCCAGTGTTGTTGCCTGTCATGCGGCTGCTCTAGCCACGGGAATCTCCTTGCATATCCATAAACACCCCGAAGCCGCAGCTTCAATAGCTGTATGGTGGCTACAATGCCTTTCATACTATTTGTTCGGCATGTTTACCAGCATTATTATTTATCGTCTCTTCTTCCACCGTATTCGCCATTTCCCCGGTCCTCGAGCTGCAGCCGTTAGTAAACTGTGGAGTGTGTACCAGTGTCGGGATTCGCGCAATCACTTGTTGCTGGATGGACTGCACAAGAAGTATGGCAACTTTGTGCGAACAGGTCAGTACATGATTGAAGCCATAGTTAGGAAGTCAATCTCACACAGAAACTAGGACCTGGTGAGATTACCATCTTCCACCCCAAAGCATGGGAGGCTATGGATGGAGCTGGCAATGCCAACATCCGCTCCGATTGGTATGATATTGTACACCCGCGAGTTTCGCCCATCTTCTCTCGTAAAGAGGAAGACCACATTGAGCGACGCAAAGTATGGAATCGAGCACTGTCAACAAAATGTGAGTTCATCGTATCTTTCCGTTGTTTCTAACTCGCAACTAATTGATCACTTAGCAATTCGAGAGTACCTCCCTCGCATCCTTCGACAAATCGGAACGCTGGAGTCAATCATTGCAAGTGCGAGTGCAGACGGTGAGCCAGTAGTACCGAATGATATCATGCAATGGTTCGCCTTTGACTCCATGGGGGAATTTGCATTTAATGAGAACTTTGGCATGATGAAAACTAAGACTTGGCACCGCGCTATCATACAACAACGCTCTGCACTGGCCATTCTCGGTTCTCTTAATCACACTGTCTGGGCAATTCGACTGGCTTTTGCATTCTTGGCCCGCTTCTGGCGCGTCAAAGACTGGATGGGGATGATCTCATTCTGTGACCAGTGCATGGAACGACGGCTTCAGACTGAAGCTACTCAGCCAGATATTGCTTCTCATTTCATCAAGGAGTTCCACGAAGGGAGGAATCAGCAGAATTGGGTGACAAAAAAGCAATTGCTCAGCGGGAATACTGTTTCGGTGATTGTAGGTGGAAGGTATTTCTACGCTGAGACTTTGAATTGTAAAACTTCATGCTCACTTTTGACAGCGACACAACCGGTCCGAGTCTGATCCTGTTGTGGTACTTTATGGCTTTGTATCCCGAGCAAGCTGAGCGCGTATACGAAGAAGTCAAGGATGTTGATCCTTCCGATATTAATACACTGGCAAACCTGCCATGTCTGAACGGTTTCATCAATGAGAGCATGCGACTTATCCCCGCCGCGCTCACTATGGGTACACGCACGACTCCCCCAGGGGGCATGACAATTGACGGGACATATATTCCTGGTGGTATTAAAGTTGCCGCGCCGAAGTATACAATTTTCCGAAGTACGTTTTCCAGACATCACCGGCTTGCAATCTAACAAAGCTAATTAATCTACCTGCTCAGTGGAAAGCGCATTTGAAGATCCCCTATCCTTCGTCCCCGAACGCTGGTATAGCCGACCAGAAATGATCCGCGACAAGAGCGCCTTTGCGCCTTTTGGTGTTGGTAAGTCTCTTTTCAACACCTATTTATGGTTCAATCTCTAACTTGCAATTTCTAGGTCGCCGTGTTTGTGTTGGAAAGAATCTAGCTCTTACCCAGATTCGTCTAGTAGCTACGATCTTACTCTCTCGCTATCGTGTCCGATTTGCGCCCGGCGAAACTGGTGAGGCCGTGGAGCGCGATATGCGAGACCAGCTGACGGCGCAGCCTGGTCGCTATGCAGTAATGTTTGAGCCACGAAGTGTAGTCTCGGCATGAAATTGGAATTCCGTTGTTTTTAATTAGCGAATATATCTTGTTCAGGCGCTTGTTCCTTTTTAGGCAGTCGGGTAGGTACCGAGGCACCCGCTCGAGTAAACAAAGAAAGTCCCACCGCTTTGCCCGTCGGGCCCGCAACCCCCATGATTGACCCGTTGACTCCAGCTCCATTCATCTAAGCTCTCCCGGATCTCCACTCAACCCAATGATAACGATATGCCACAAACTCTTTCGCAGATACAAGAATCGCTGGGAGGGTTTGATCAACATGGAGTACGCTCAACACGGGGTGCCGGTGCCTGTATAGCTTGCCGGGCCTCATCGGCAAAGTGCGTGGTTGTTGAAAAACTACCTTGCCGTCGGTGTATTCGAGAGGGTCACGAATGCGTGTTTCACGGGACATCGAAAATGCATAAGCGCCAGAGGAATGGTATAAAATGCAGGAGTTGTGTTCGCCTCCACTCCAAATGTGAGCTGGTCGATGGACGACTACCCTGTAAGAGATGCCTGGCGGCTGGCCGGGAATGTGTGCTCCACGAAGGGCCTTGGAAGCCAAAGGCCGCGGAAGTACCGGTGCCCCAAGAGTCTATCAATGCTACGGCCACGACAGAAGATGTGCCCCAAAAGACTACTGGCACGATTAGACCTGCAGCCTGTGTAAGCTGCCGAGCCGGAAAAGTCAAGTGTACGATTATCGACCAGCCACCTTGCACAGAATGCCGTCGGCGAAATCATGAATGCATGTTTGGGAAGAATCAGCCCTCTCTAAAACGGGTCGCGCCCCCGAGAAACCTTATGCGATGCATGTCATGTAAAATCGCACACTGTCGATGTGTGATGATCGATGGACGACCTCCTTGCACGAGATGTCGTCGGAGTGGCCAAACGTGTGTGCCCAAAGCATATGACAAGTCTGCAAAGGCATCTCGGCCTAACAAGGCTGTGAACACTCCATCTACACGAAAAAGTGTCCCTCAAAGGACCACGGACGCTACGGCTACAGCTACACCCTCAGCCTGTACGAGCTGCCAGGCCCGAAAGGCCCAGTGTGAGATTGTCGACCAACCACCTTGCACAGAGTGTCGCAAAAAGCACCGCAAATGCTCCTTGAATGCTCTGCCTTTGCCGTCATTTGATGCAACTTTTCTCCTCTCGGAAATTTCCCAGTTTACTTCTCTCCCCTCCAGCCCGAGGCTCTCTCGTCGGAGTAGCCGAAGGGACTCTAGCGACACTGAGACCAGCGACACCGACTCCGATCGGAGTCTTGTTTGGTCTATGAAATCGGAAATGTCACGAAGCCCGATGCTCATAAACCAAATTCCAGCTTCTGAACACCATGCGAACATTGATCCTATCGGCCATGCCGTAAACGGAGTGTCCGTTGCCACACAGCCAACAAAAATTCTCCACACAGAATCTGCAACAATGCAGCCAACTACTCCGGAGCCCGAGCTACCTCGACATGATGAGAATCGTGCTTCTAACGGCCTTGGTGTTAGCGAACGGTCTAATACAGCGCGGCCAACACAAATACCGCCCCCAGAATCAACAACCATGCAACCAAGTGCCCTAGAACAGGAAATGTCTGAAAATAATGACAACAGTGATTCTAGCAGCAATGTCATAAATGGGACTAGTGCAACACGACAAACACAAAATACACGCATGGAACCAGCGACTATTCAACCCCCAGCTTCAGGATTCGAGCCATTCCTATCGACGAGCTTCGGCTTGCATGTCTCTGAATTCGGCCAGACGATAGTATCCGGACTTTCTCGACCCAGTGAAGAAGTTCTGGATTTGTGGTGGGACAATTGCAACTTCGTTCGGGACGGTTGGTTGACCGCACAAGAAGCAGTAACTTATCTGGATCTGTAAGGCGTCCTCAAGCCTTATGATTTGCTATTCATCTGACTTTTCTTTAGGTTCTCTCAGTATTTGGCTCCTTTTTCGTACATAATATCCCAGGACTTCCTCTCGCACAAGAACCATGGCCAGCTACTCAAAGAAGATCCGATGTTGTGCTGCACTCTCCTGGTGATATCCTCTCGATTCTTCGTTCTTCCGGGCCCCGGAGGCTTGTCTCGAAGTCACTCTATTCATAATCACTTATGGAAACATTACGAGGTCCTCACCCATCGCGTTTTGCGCGGGGAGGAAAATTACTTCGCTGCGAAATCTCGAGTCTTGGGAGCAATCGAGAGTCTGATGTTAATATCAGACTGGCATCCCCGATCATTCCAACTTCCATGTGATAATCTCGACTGGGCAGAAACGACGATGCATGAAGGTGACCGCCGGAAGATAAAACAGAGAAATCGTGATGCCACGTCAATACGGTGGCAAGAGGATGTCTTTGGGCCAATGTCGCAGTCGACGCGAAAGTCCTGGAGGCTGCTAGGCGTTGCGTTAAATCTCGCTAGCGAGGCCCGCATCTTCTCCGATGAGCCCCTTGTATCCCTTGGCTTTGATACTCGGCAGGCTACTCGGTTTCACCGCACAAGAAAACTTCTTTATATTTACGTCGCCCAGATGGCTAGTCGGCTAGGCTGTTCAAGTCTCCTCCCAGAAAATCTGAACTTCAATTCGACTTCTAAACCACAAGACAACGAACCAAGGGGCCGATGGTGGGATAGTTGGATGACCTTGTGGCTGGACTTGACGAAACTTATGAACTCGGCATTTGTCTGTTTCTCACCATCAAGGCCTGCTATGAAGCAGGTAATCGCGGGGAACTACGACTTACTTCATCTTGACTGGATTCCTTCTCTTGCTCATTGGAACGAGCGGTTCAAATCTCAGAGTTCAGGTAAGTACAAATATCTACAATCATCGTCAGTCGCCGGAAACATGCTTACATTTCACGATGAAACAGGAATGCCCGTTGACCTAGTCTACTTGCTTTCCATTGAATACCATCATCTCGAAGCATGCATCAGCGCCTTGGTCATTCAAGCGGTTGTTGAACGAGCAGAACCTCAAACCAACGGTCAATCCGAAATACCCGAGACGCATAATCCTAGGCCATCTATGCTCCCAGATGATAGAACACTCATCGACAAGACGGTTTCCGCCTGCTGCGAAGTCCTCAACCTTGCCACGATTATGCAGGTAGGAGGAAGATTGAGATACACACCTCTGCGAACCCGTCTCTGCATAATTTCAGCATCGATTCTCCTTTTAAAGGCCATCAGTCTTGGGGGCCTCTCACATGACGTCAAAATCTCGTTGGGAACCTTGGATCAGTGCATCGCTGGGTTACGATCGTGCGGCGTCGATGATCTGGATTACTTGCCTCGGTATGCCGAGCTCGTTGACAAACACCTGCAACAATTCCGAGAACAGTTCACCTTGTTGCAAGGTCAGCCTGGTCAGAACCTTGTCGGCAAAGAGCCTTCTAGAGATGATTGGGTTGTGCGACCGTTCGATCTCAGGATTGCTCCATGTTCATCGGATAGAAAAGCGATACCATTAGGGATCAGTTCAAATTCTCTGGACTTTTTGTTGGAACTGTTAGAGTCGGGTGGAAAACGATGGTGCATTACTTGCCCCTATGAGCCTATAGACGCCTTGATGGCCAATTGATATCCGGGTTGTAAATAATTTCCGGGCATGAATTATGAATAATATGTGTACGAAGAACTTCGAATGGATTTTTTGCCCATATTTGCGATGTTAAGACCATATTAAGAGCGTTGGCAAGCGGATGCAGTGCTGCCACACCCCAATGGGATGGGATTCTCGCAGTCTCACGTGAATGGATGATGCGGTGTGCTTATCTGAAAATTCAACTGACGTATTAACCTGGACTTTACGACCATCATTCGCCAGGCAGACCAAGACCTTTTGATCTGACATGACACAATATGTGCTCAGCCTTTGTTGTCTTCAGTGAGTTGATTTGCCCCGACAGGGCTCCACTGCCATCCCCCATCACATGATCCCTTCCCCATACCCCTGTATACTTGATGCATTGGTAGAAAAGCCAGCAACTGCGTCACTCTTTGCTCCCTTTCGATCGACAGGCAAGTCCATGTGACTACCTTAGATTCTTTATAGTTCAGCCAGGGATAGTTAACGTGCTTCGAGAAGGCATCCCCTGCTTGCCGCAGTCAATCAAACCATGTTTTTGGCCTTCCCCAGCACTAAAGACCGGTTAAACGCGGAGAACCCTTCGCCAGTGCAACACCGGGCCGAGTCCAACCCCCCACTTGCCCCGGACTCCGACAAACCAGAATATAAGGATTGAGTAACATAATCTCACTGACTTGCCCTTTCAAAGTTCCAATCCCTGGAGAAGCGGGTCCTCCAGGTTTTTCTAACTTTTCCAGAGGTCACCAGCGACCCTGCAGAAAAAAGATTGAAAAACATTGAAAATGCCAGATAAGCGCCGGGTTCTGGGTTCTATAATATTTCCACCGATGCAATGACACTATCAACGAATAACAACCATATGGATACTCGTAAGAGATCACCAAGGTAAGACCCAGACTATTCGAGGTCTCGAGCTAAAAGACGAGATTACCATCTCCTGTTTATTGTTAGTCCATCTAACAATGCATTCCAACAGTAATTCCCCTACTCCCGACACAGTCTTCCTAGAAGCATGCGACATCTACTTCCAACACTGCCACAATAAGCCCTACGGCTTCTTCAACGCCGAACTCTTCCAACAAAAAGCAGCAAAAAATCAAGTACCCCTCCATCTTCGCCTCGCATTAATCGCAACCGCCACTCGCTACTCCTCCTGTTCGCAATGGAGGGAAAGGAAACAGAGCACGATCGATGGCTACGCCCGATGCTCGTGGGAACTTATCGTGATGTCGCAGAATGGGCTAGATGATACCGACGATGTGACGGTGATTCAAGCCCTTGCCTTACTGGCTGTGATCGATGCCACCGGTGAGTCTTGACTTGACAAACTCAATATTAGTTCTGTTCATATGTCAAATACTAAATATTTGACAGCTGGCCGGCGGCGCGGTGCCTGGGTGAAGATTGGTATGGCAGTGCGAATCAGCCAAGATCTACAATTGATGCTTGAACCAAGTGCAAATTTCTCCAGCTTGGAGCGTGCTGAACGGAGGAATCTCTTCTGGTCATTATATCTTCTTGATCGCTTCGTGTGCTGTTCCTTTCAACGACCGCCCGCCATCAAGGACTCGGATTGTCTCCTTACGTTACCCACGGATCGGAATTCGGGGAAAAGAGAGTCGAAAATGACATTGAAGAGTCTATTAGACGAGAAGAACCGAGATACGTCGCTCCGTCCAGGAATGTTCGGTATCAGCATTGCATTGGTGTCTGTACTCGGCCGGACAATCAAGTGTGTGATGAACACGGAGAACGATCAAGAAAAGCCCTGGCATTCGGATTCGGAATACCGAAGGATTCACAGTGACTTGGAGTATTTGAAGGAACTAGCAGTGAACAACAGCCCAGTTCTTGCTGCGCCGGGCCAGGCTCGTCCTCAGGATGAAATGCAGGACCGCGATCGCGAGCGGATTGCACATATGGTGCTTTCTCACACATTATATCACCTTTCCCACTGCATTCTCAGCCATCCATATCTTCTGAGTTTGAAGATTCAGTCTCTTTCCTCATCCGATATGCCTTCTCCCTGGCTGGAAGAAACCCGCTCAGCGTGTCTGGTACATGCTGGTTCTTTGATCACCGTTCTTGTCGAGGCCAAGGCAGCGGGATACATGCCCGTTCCCTCGGTGTACAGCTACTGCATTCTAGTAGCGAGTACCATTCACGCTCTTTACCTACACAGCGACGATGTAGTCATCAGCCACAGCTCGGCAGAGTACCTCAAAACCTCACTCGAGTACCTGAGTGAAATCTCCGAACTATGGACAAACGCACAAATGATGGTAAGACGGCCTTTCCCTTCCCCTCTTTCATTTCCTCTTAATGCAACCCCCATATCTAGATCATTCTTTAACCATACATACCACAGGCCAACGCGCTAAAATCCTTCGCCCTCCAATGCACCCGCTACAGCGCACTCCTCCTCCGCTCCCACCCCCTCCTCGACGAACTAACACACACCGAATCAGCCGTCCTCCGCTCCGTCCTCGACTACTGGGCCATGATGGACCCACACAACCCCGTCTTCGAGATAGCGCAAAAGGGAGGAGCCGACGGGCTTCTCGATCTGCCTGATATCGGATTCGGGCCGGGTTATCTAACGCCACCTACGCCGTGTGCAGCGGAGGGGATCACGTTGGGGGTGGAGATGTCTCAGTGCGGTGCTGCTGGGCTGGGCGAGCTGGGCCAGCAGAAGAATGGGAATTCGGTGGATCCTGATATTTTGATTCAGTGGCCGGTGTCGATTATGTCACCGATGGCATCGGAGGATGGGAGGTCGCCGAGGTGGGATTGGGATTCGGAACTGAGTGCTATGAATGATTAGGTTGGATATGGTTAGAGTTGTTAATAAGTTACGTCTAAAATATTGGTTTATCCTAGAGTCTTTCCTCTTGCTATACTTTCTTGATCATTTATTCTGTCCATTTCAGCTTTTCTACTTCTGTATGTGTACTAACTATCTGTGGGAACTTCGGTACACCCCTCCTTATGTAAAAAGAGATAACCCATCCAATAAGATCTCTACACTCCATTTCGAGCGCGGCAGTTGAATAATAATTCTCCCTTGCTCACCAGGACAGTCGAAAAATCTGTCTCGCATTGAAATCCCGTGTTGGCGCAAGGAAATTGCTTCTCCCTCGTGGATCCAGCGAATCATAGAATCGTACACGGAGGACCCAAGTGGGGAAATTATTTATTTAGATTGGCTTGGCCACAGATTCGTTCCCGCTCGAGGCACATGGTTGGTAACAATGGGACTGTCATTATTTGAGCGATCATATAATGGGTCAGTGCTTTTGTTTGCTTGCTCTTTGTGAATACAGCAAGTTGTCTTGTCCAGTGATGATCGAATGATCGTTATACCGCCCTCCTAGGCATGGGGTAATAACCTCCACACGATACGAGGGGCCAACAATGATAGTCAAAACCCAGCCATTTCCACATATTAACCTCGCGTCAATTCGTATACCTCTTTGGGACGGATGCATTACAATGTCGACCAGGCCGATTAATTATTCTCAGCCGCCCCGCATTCGAAGCGATCTCGATGGTGTCTGCTCGGAAAACATGCCATTTGCCCCCAATGGAGGAGTCATGGACTCCTGTGTGGCCCTCTCCAGGCTCCACCAAAGTGCATTTTCCCTGCACCGTCCATTTACATAAGAAGTCGGCACTTTGTAACCGAGATTTAGTAGAATTCCACGAGGGCCAATTATATGGGATATGTTCGATTGTACATACATTGTACATACATAATGACAGGTGGGAAAAGTTGACGGATCATGGGTCGATTTGGGGAGGGAAGTTCGCCCTCAAATTTGGGGCCAAGCCACCCTGCAAGGCTCTCGATGGTGCTTGCATGTACTCGAGACTTGTTACTTAACTGCTGGAGACTGGGAGGAGTGGTGAATGGGGCGAAGAGGGTTCAGGGTGGTGTACTGGGGACTTGGTGGGCTTCAATTGGAGGCTGTGGATGGGCCGTCGACTGGAGAATCGGAATGCAAGTGGTCGGTCTAGATCTGCCGATCGTGTAGTCTCCGCACTCGATTGGTCGTAAACGAGATGGAGGACGAGCCGAAGAGAAAAAGGAAAATGGGTTTAGTCTTTTGAAAATGTACAGTAGAGTTAAAAAAGACGGGTGACTATAGTTTATGTAAATGAACCGGAAAGAGGAAGAATAGGCGTGATGCTTAAGATCTGGGCCTGACCCTGGCCTGACCCGCTGTTTCAGTACCAAGTGTTCTCTCTCGTGTCTAGACCGCCCAATCTTGAACCCGCCCAAACCGCCATTTCCCCCTCGAAAATCCCATCCCCAACTCTCCCCTCCTGGTCTTCCCCTCTCCTTCCTCTCGACTTTACAACCCTCGTCCTTCCATGCACCTTTTCGGTCCTCCGAAAATCATGGTTGCCGTCCTCCCCAGATAAAGAGAAAGAGAGAGAGAGAGATCGCGAGACCTTCGCATATTCCACCAATCCCTTATGGACTATGTCCGAGTCCCCCAAGCCCGATGTCCATAACTCCGCCCACCCTCGTCCCGCCATGACCTTCCCCTCCTGCAAGTCGGAATGCCTCACCGATGGATTCACGACGGTACACGACGACGGAGACACACAGTTTGACGCGTCCGCCCGGTGCTGGAACGATGTTGCCCAGACCGCCGCCATTGAGCAGCTAGTGGCTCTCAAACAGGGGTTAAGAGCCTTGGATACCGAGCTGTTCTGGAAACGGCTCATGGAGGATATCACCTCCATCACCAAGGCTCAATATGGCTTTGTCGCTCGCCGAGTACATGGAGGCGAGCCCATGCCTGAACTGGGCGGACGCCGGCCGTCCCTCTTCGGAGCGGTCTTTTACTACGATGACGGGTACCAGAATGTCGGACTCCAACGAAATCGATATTTCGCCGGCGGAAACCCACTGCTACATATGGACCATGAACGACCATGTCTGATCCCGGAAAACCTCAAATCCCTCGTCTCATTCGGTGACGACCAACTTCCCTTCCCCGCCGACGCGTACCTGGCGATTCCACTCTTCTCCGCTGGCAAATGCCTGGCGCATCTCGGGTTGATGTGGTCCAAGGACGGTGTACGTAGTCGAAACTTATCTTGGTCATTCCTCGAAATGATTCTACACTCCTTGGAGGGTCTGATCGTGCAGCGACTCTTGCTGGACGAAGTCTTTCCAGATCACGAGACCACCCAATTCCCGACTCTCGACTCTCCCACTTGTCTCGATCCCGGACACGACCATATTCGAGACTCCTCCCATTTCACCGCTCACCCTCTCAAACCCTTCGCCAAAAGTCTATCCCATGAGCTACGAACTCCAATGCAAGGTGTAGTCGGCATGCTGGACGTTATGCATGCCACCGTGCGGGAGGCCATGGAAAGCAAGACCCCGGTCAAATCAGGCGGCATTTTTCAGGCCCTCAAAGAGGGTATTGAGATGGTTCAGGACAGCGCACGGCGCGCTGTGGAGGCGGCCGACAACGTCGTTCATGCGTATGATCTCAATATGCAGGTTCCCAAAACACCCCAACGGGAGCGGGAAAACGGACTTCTCGACCCAGGTTTTGCCACCGATTCTACCGAGAGCCGTCCCAGTGTCTTTATTGAAGGAAGCAACATCGCCGTAAACCCATATAAACGACGACGCAGCCTTCCTCTGGATATGAACACTCGTCCAGCCCGAAAGCAGAGACTCCGGGCAGCATCCTCCCGACAAGAGCTTTCTCCACGCAGCGAGGAAGTTAAAAACGCCGTCCACGAGAGTGATCAGATCGTTCATGCTACTCCAGCCCGTCAAATTGAAGCAGTAATGGCCAACATGGTGGATCCCCGTCCTTCAATTGCAGTTCGACGATCAGCACCTCATCTTCTCCTCGAGGGGATCAACATGAACATGCGAGGCCCAGCCCTCCGATTCACGAAACTTCGCGACTTGCTCCGTTTGGTGATTAATGAGTCTCTGCATGTCGGTGGCCGACCGGACTCGGCAACCAGCCAGGCGACTGCGTTTGGCGAAAAGATTGAAATTCGGTCCCGGTCCTCGAACGGTGAGATCTTCACCAAGATTGTGGACTGGTCCGTTGACCCCGCATTGCCCGACACCCTTCTTGCAGACGACCGAGATCTGGCCAAGTTGATCTCCTGCGTCTTTTTGAACGCTATCAAATTTACGAATAACGGCACTATTACTGTCTGTGCTACCGTCGACTCTCGAACCAGTGACGTCCTGATCCTCGTCCGGGATACTGGCCCAGGCATTCCCGAGGCATTTTTGCCCAACCTGTTCAAGCCCTTCGCCCGCGAAGATGCATCTACCACCCGCAGCAAGGACGGCCTCGGTCTCGGTCTGCTGGTAGCCAAGGGCCTTTCACGGAAGATGGGCGGTGATTTGATTTGCGTGCGCTCCTCGACCACGGGACCCGATCATGGTTCTGAGTTCCAGATCCGAGTACCTGTCAACCAACGTGAAGCATACAACTGGCCCGGAACCCCCAGCGAGAGAAAGATGACACCTCCAATTATCACCGATCACACCCGACACGGAAGTGGAAGTAGTTTCATCTGGGAGCCCACCTCCTTTTCATCTCCCCCGGTTGCTCAGAATCAACAAATGCAGCAACCCACCCCAAGCACTGGTGATGAAAGTACATCTCAGAGCTCCACTCCGCCGCGGACAATAACCCAGACCCGGTTCAAGCAGCCTCTGGGACATACTCATGATAAAAAGCTTGGCGAGAAATATCCTCTCCGGTTCCTCGTCGCTGAAGATAATCGGATCAACCGCCGTGTGCTGGTGCACATGCTACGCAAGTTGGGGTACCGGGATGTCCTCGAGGCGGCCGATGGCAAAGAAGCCGTGCAAATCGTGCAAGACATCCTATCTGCTTCGTCCTCTGCTGATAACTCTCCAACGGTTGAACCCGGCCCATCGACACAGCCATCTACCCCAGAGATGAAGCCCATTGACATTGTCTTGATGGACCTATGGATGCCCGAAATGGATGGCTATGAGGCAACCTCTCGCATTCTTCAGATGGTGGATGACCACCAAAGCCAATGCTCGAGTGCCGACGATGACCCTCGCCGGATGAGCATCACAACCAACTCCGATGTCGACATGGATGCTGTTTCCAGTCCGATTCGCGCGCATCGTCCGCCTACCGTGCTGGCCGTCAGTGCGGATGTCTCCGACGAGGCGTTGAACCGTGCCTCCAAAGTAGGCATCAAGGGTTACATGACGAAGCCTTATAAACTATCTGACTTGGAACGTTTGATCCTTGGATTCTGCGGTCCTATGGAGACAGTCGTGGCGACTGCATGAAAGATTTTCTAGCAGTGTCACTCAACCTCGCCCAGAGAACGACCATCGTTCTTCTTATGTCGCTTGATCTACCTCTTCCTTTGATAAGGAACTTGGTATAATCCCGTCGAGGTAATAAGAGGAACCTCCTGGTGTCCTTTTTTGTCTTTTCTCGACCTATTTTCACTTCTTGGCCATGCCTTATACCATATTGTGGACATTTCCACCCCTACCCATTTTATTACCCCTTTGCCTTGGACATAATGAATCATGACCCCCAAACAAAAATCAATATCATATCATCAATGAAAATTATTTCTGCACATGATTCCTTCCAATTCGTGATCTACTCTACATCAACTCGATTTAGTAAAGTAAAAGGACTTGAAACAATGGAAAGAAAAGCTGTTCATTACATCCATTATCAAAATCGACATCGCTCTGACCATGCAGCTCTCAGCACTCCACCACCCTCCATTTTATTCCACGAAATGTAGGCTTCTAACACTTGGTAGCTGGAACATAGGTATGGCCCCCTTTAGACCAACTAGCAGTAGTCCAAGAGAAACGGCCATCATCCAGCTACACATCCATCCCAACCCAGAAAAGAAAACAACCCCCACACTCAAGAAAAAGAAACCCAAAGATCAATATCCGCATAAACTGGGCGTGTGTGTGTGGTACAAAGAGACTCGAAGCAAGAATGCAAGGCTTATAGAAAGGGGCTTTAGAAAAGAACTTGTGTCAAATGTGGGAGATTCCAATCGACATCCACACCGTTTAGGTCAACTTCTGCTTGATGAAGAATGACCGCAGATGGGACAGTTGCCAGGCACAGGCCGCAGATAGGATGGCCAATTGGATCATGGTCCAGCGAACGACGCGGGAGTTGGTGGTCTCGGATTGATCGCGGAACTCAGCCTCACGCTCCTGTAGAAAGTAAGAATGATAAGTATTAAGCGTTTGAGAAAGTGCAAATGGAAGCATAGCGTTGCCTATCGCCCAGGAAAGGTGATAGGTGATCGGGTCCGGGGCTAGGGGGAGCTTACCCGCTGGTACACCTGCTCACGACGAATATCATGCAAACGACCATTCAAATCGCGCACACGCTGCACAATATCCTTCATCTTATCCTTATCCTCAGTCTCGATCTTGCTCGTCTCGCCAATGGCAATGTCGAGCGTGACCCTGACGGCGCTCTGACCATTAGACATCCAGCCCGAGGTCGAAACGTCGGTTTCGGCCATGAAGCAGATACGGTGTTGGCCGGCGTCTGCGGCGGAGAAGGTGAAGCGGCCGGAGTGGTTCTCGCGCTTGTTGACGACGCGGTGGTCATTGTCGAAGGTCTCGTCGACGGTGATTTGGACCTTGAGGTTGTGGTCGACCGCGTAGGTGTTGGTGTTGGGGTTGATTACTTCGGTGGAGAATTTGCCTATATTGTAGGAGGTTATGGGTTAGTAAGGTCGCTCTTTGTGAATATCTCTCCGTTTCTCTCCGGTCGTAGCCTCATAGGAAGGTTTGCATACCTGCTACCAGGGTGTCCTTGGGGAGATCCTCGAAGAAGCACTTTGTTTGGCGGCCATCAACGTAAAAGTACAGGGCGTTGGCGGGGACAAGAAGAGAGAAGATAGAGAAGAGAGCCAGAACGGCAGCGAGCCATGACGGCGAAGATGCCTGGTAAGCCATGGCTGGATAGGATTTGAGCAATTGAAAGGAACGCTGCTGCGGTCAACTTGTCAACAGGCGGAGTGTTGACCATCTGGCACCATCGCGGCCCCACACCGCCTGCTACTTTCGTGGACCCTCCCTTGGCCAGAAGCCGCGTTTGATTTTCATCTCTTGACTATTTCATCATCGGCCAGCGTATACATCTGAGGAGGCAAGGTTTATTTGTTTGCCTTGCCTTGGTACGCGATCTTATATTTTACATCGACTCTTTTCGCACCAGAAGGCCTGCTTGAGCCATCATGGCCGCCGCCTCGGATGTTCGCGACATGCTGGACTTGCCCGCTGAGGGCCAGCCCAGACCGGCGAAGAAGCAGAAAGTTGTCGAGAAGCGACCAGGTTCGTGTGGAATGGATTTATCTGTCGTTTGAGCCGTGTCTAATCTGGTATGCAGAGGGAATCACCCGCGAACTGTACGCGCTTCTTGGTGAACGTGCGCCACCAATCGCGATCAACGAGAACAAATACAAGGGGCGACCCAAGTTTATGAACAAGCTGCGAGTGCGCAAATGGTATGCACTGTATCCACTGTGAGGAGACGTGATGGAAGCTAATTTTGACTCTTTATAGGTGCATGACGCCCTTCGCGAACAAGGCCAGGTCCGACGGCCTGGTCTTGAACCACTGGCAACGAGAACACGAGTCGACTCGACCACCCGCGCCCGAACCAAATCAGATGGAACTGGATGGGGCAAAGGAAGAAGGCAAAGAAGAGACAAAGCCGACGGAGCAGGAATATGCATTCGCCAAGTACAACATCAAGGCCCGCGTACCCCGTCAATACACGGACGAAGAGTACAACCGACATCTGAAGAGCGACGACTGGAGTCGGGAAGAGACAGACTACTTGATGAATCTCGTTACCGAATATGATCTACGCTGGGTGATCATTGCAGACCGCTACGACTACCAACGACATCTGGACTTGGAGCCCGACGCCAACGCGATCGTGCCAGCCAAGCAATACCGAACGATGGAGCAGATGAAATCCCGGTTCTACTACATCGCCGCCACAATGCTGGCAATCGAGCACCCGCCCTCCGAGATGTCCGAAGCCGAATTCGCCCTGCACGAACAAATGTTGAAGTATGACCCAGACCGTGAGCGAGACCGTAAGGACCTCGCCGCTCTCCAGCTCAACCGCACCGCCGACGAAGTGCGCGAGGAAGCCATGCTACTCGAAGAGTTGAAGCGCATCACAAGCAATGAGCAAAACTTCATCACCGAACGTCGCGAACTCTACTCCCGCCTCGAAGTCCCCATCAGCGTCGGCAACACCGCCATGTACCAGTCCAGCCAAGGTCTCTCCCAACTCCTCCAAACCCTCCTCCAAGCCGACAAGAGCAAGAAGCGCCGCTCCATCCTCGGCCCCGAAGGCGCCATCCCCAGTCCAGTCGGCCAAACTCCCACACAAGCCACCGCCCTAGGCCGCGCCGAAACACCCAGCACAACCGCAGCTACAAAGGATACCAAGAAAGGCCCAGCTGCCCCACAGGCCCAACCCGCCGTACGCACCCTCACTCCAGCCGAGGAAGCCCGCTACGGCGTCCAACACCACGAACGTCTCTCAGGAGGCGTCCAATTCCGCAGCGACCGCGCCCAGAAACTCACCCAGGCCAAGTCGAACGTACAAACTCAAAAACTGGCCAGCGCCCTGGCCGAGCTCGAAATCCCCGTGCGCCTGTTCATGCCTACCGAGCGCGTGTGCAAGGACTTTGAGAAACTCATTCAATCCGTTAACTTACTCCTGGACGCGCGCAAGGTCGCTGAAAAGGTCGAGAGTGAAATCCGTGTCTTGGAAGCTGCCAAGGCTGAGCGTGAGCGTAAGAATGCTCCCGAGACGGGCAAGGATCCTGAGCATCCGGAGGTGAAGACTGAGGCGGATGATGGTGCGAATGGTGTTTTAGGGTCTACTGCTGCAAACGCGACTGAGGCCCCCGCTGAGGGCGAGACTGGCCAAGCAAAGGCTGGTGAAGCTGCAGCTGATACTACCGCTACGGAGACGCCCGTCAAGGAAGATGGGAATCACAAGCGGTCCGCTAGTGTTTTGAGCAGTGTTAGTGACAAGAGCTCGAAACGTCAGCGGCGCTAAAGTGGTTGCTTGTCTTTGCAATTTTCTCGCAATTTATGCTTCTGTATCATAACTCGGCGCTGGACTCGGGATACCTCTGTACGATTAATGACATTTTGGGGAGTTGTATTTTTAATTAACAGTTTGATTGCTCCCCTATCGGTTAACAATAACATATAACCCATTGCGTAGTCCTTCTCAGTATGAATAGAGCCTGCAGACTCACACTCCGTATACCCAGTTCCTCCCAAACGAACGCCCATCACCGATCATCTGTCGTAACAAGGTCCCACAGCATTCGACTAGTCCGACTAGCCCATCGACTCCCCTCAAAGGATCCGGGCATGTCAAGACATTCCTGGTACATGCTCGCCAGTTCCTCCACATTAGTACCGATACTCTTAGTTGAATTTTCTCGCTCCAGGCTATTGGAGCTATAGCCCTGGTATAGACCCTGCGATATCTGCGATACCTCTTGTTGGTGTGGATTTGAGTAACGCTTGCTGACCCTATACTTGGACAGCCTGCGGACCCAATTTGCACCTCGAGCATTGCTTGGACGTAAGAAACGAGCTACGTCCTCGGCGTTGAAGTCGTGCTCTATGCCGAGATAATCTGGGTCAATGTCCACTGCATTGTGGTCCGACATGGAAACATGTCGCTCTTTTCCCTGACGAATTGAGTTCTGTATCGCAGCTCTCCGGCCTCTTTTGTTCTTTGAGCTCTGTGGATTTGAATTCAACGATTGGCTGAGGCGAGGCGAGCGGTGCACAGCAGTATCTGAGTGTTGGCCGGAGGTCTGTGGGACGTGACAATGTTCGGATTGAGCCATTGAAGGAATCTCAACTGCATGAAGACTTCTTGTGCTTCGCTTCCCCGATATCACGGATCCGCCATCGTGTTCACGGCTATACCGACCTGCTAGGATGGCTCGAAGGTAAGAGGGCTCCGGAAACTCATTGCTGACTTTATCGGAACTCCGTAATTTGGGAATAGTTGCTGGGGCAGGCTCAGAGCGGTTTGCATGGTAGGTGGCTGATTTACACTGTGATTCCGGGGTGTTTGGGGCAGTTGCAGGCATCAGATCGGTTCTTCTCATTTGATCTTGACAGACATATCCTCCTTGAAGATTTGGAATGCTCATTGCCGCTCCTGCTTTCTGCTCTCGTGCTTGTTGCAGTCTGGGATTGCCATCTTCGTGCTGCTGATACCGTGCCGCTTCGTCGTCTGGCACTGGATTATATCCATAGCCGACTCGCCGGCCGCCAGACATCCAACCCACGCTGACTTTGCGAGGTGCACTTGTTCCATGCACCTCTTTCGACGCAATATGTCCGTGGGAATCCGGTGGAGCCTCGTTGTCGCAGTGCTCACGGAACTTGCTACCAATAGCGCCACTCGCAAGAGGTGAACCATTTTGTGGGTTCAGATCCTCGGCTGACACATTGTACCTGCTACCAGGGACCATACCAGCCTGTTGCTCTGCATCAGGTGCGAGCGAATGGGAGCTAGGCGATGCATTGGCTGACAAACAACTTGGCTGGCGAGAGTAATATGACGATGCTTGTTGGTGGTGATAGGCCGGAACTTGTGGACTGTTTCCAGAGGTGATTGAAGTGGTCGATCTCAGTGCAATCGGCATATTCTCCTGTGAAGCGTTCATAAAGGGCCCGTATCTGTTGTTACAAATCAATTCCGCGATCGATGGGTTGCAAGACATGGGCGCAGAAGATGCAGATTGGGAAGCGAGCCGATAAGAAATGCGCATATCTTCCAGATGAACTGATTCATTGTCCATCAAAAACACGCCCGAGTCAGTCCGCTGTCGTCTTTTGGCAACGACAAGGTCCGGGGGCTGGTTCGACAGTGGGTTTGAAGAAGCCATTCCGTGCTTGTGACTGCTCATGCCCATGCTTTGACTGGTTGTTAAATGTTTCTGACCATTCCCACCTCGAATGTAGTCGAGGGCATGAGAAGGTCCGGTGCCCGAGCCATTGCCTCGTTGACTGGTCGAGTTCAGATCAAACATGGACTTTGCCGAGATCATACCGTGCTTTTGGTCACCTTCCAAAGATACAGCATGATTGACTTTTTGGTACGGACCGCGGTGGCTTCTGAGGGTACTAGGTGGGGTTTGTATAAACCGCATCCCATAGACCGACTCGGGAGGCTCGGGAATATCGTCACCCATGCCGATGGCCCAACGTTCAGAGTCCTGCTGTTCCTGACTCCGTTCAATCAAGCCACTCAGCTCCATCCGACGGCGGGCACGGTGTGCGGGAGAGTCTATGAGTTCCCGTCTAGGAGTGGAAATGAACTGCGCGTCACTGTCATATCGACTTTCGCTCATCAAGCTGCTGCCATAGCCTCCCAATGTGGCAAGCGCGGTAGCCGGTTTTAAAGCAGATCTTGACGACTTGCGAGGGAATGGAAACATGAACTTGCTTGGCTCATGGTGAGCGCTGGATGCTCTGGACTCGCGAGAGAATCGGCGGCGAATGATGCGCGAGATGCTCTCAGGGTGGTATTTCGAGTGCGGAGACGGTGAATGGTTTGGTGCAGGATATGGGCCTGTGGCTTGTTAGAATGGTTTTTTCCAGTTCAATGACATGGAGCTTCGAAGGGAAAGATCGATTGTCTCGTACCTCGAGTCCGGTGCCACTGGGCCTCTAGATCACAGGCGTGGGTGGCTTGGTTTGATCGAGCCACGTCCGAGGGGGAAGCAGGCCGCGGCTTTCGCCATGGGGGACAGTGGAGAAACATGATATGTCTGTTGTAGTGGATGAATATGTGGTATCTTGAGGATTGAATTTATTTAGGACTGTATATTTGTTTGAGCTGGAGGCGACCGGGTCTTCCCGTTAAGGCAGGAACGACCCTGCCGGGTCTTGTCATACACATTGGCCATTGTATGGAAGACAAGGAAGGAACAATAGTTGTCAACGGGCTACAGAATGCGGAATGAATTTCGCAAGCTCATCGGGATCGAAGCTTTGACTTGGTACCAGCATGGCAGCGGGCATGGCAGTATGCATCGTGCATCGTGCATGTTGGCAGATGTGTCATACTGGCCTTTTCCTTGTCAGCAGATGAATAAAGCCCTCGGGATGAAACAATTGCTTTGATTTTGGGAGAATCCTACAGAGTAGAAATATCCAGCCCATGCTTGCTTAGATTCTATGACACATCAGGTAATTTCTTGTTGATTCATGTGAATAATACATCACAGTCATTGAATTGGGACGGATTAAGGTTTTCATCCGGTCTCGTTCGCCCTGCGACCGACTTTCTGCCGATTTGGGATGTGGACAGCTTGTCATTTAGCTGGTGGTCAGCATTGGAGATCATGGAAACCATTGATAATTATTAGGTCCTAGGTGCCTAACTGAATTCTCGAGGTTGATAATGGTCTTGTAGTGCTATCCATGAGGTCTATGTAGGTAGAGATATATCCTCGCCCAAGTAGACTAGCTACCCAGTCTTACCACCGATAAAGTTCTGGTTTTACATTTTCCTGACCTTCCTAGACCCAATTGACACCTCACCATCGAGAGATACTTTTTCCAAGTCCATGGAGTATCTCTGACCTGCAATTGGCGCGATTCTGCTGTATCCTGCACGAGCAGAAGAGACCATTGACCGGGATCCAAAAGGTGGCTTCCGGCTGACCCCGCTGATGAGCAAGTTGACTCGTTGGCCTTTTCTCAAGCGGTGTAGTTGTTGAGATAGGAGTTCATACTCAATTCAATTATTTTGGTTTCTAGCTTCTACAGCTTCTAGTAGAATAATATTTAGTCCCTTCTACTACTAACTACTCCATCCTTAACCCCTCTAGTTAAAAAAAAAAACAGGCTTATCGTGTTATCGCCCCGTGGTCGAATGGCGTGATCTCCGCCGATCACGGAGACTGGAGTCCCCTGAGTATTGTATTTACCGTATGGACGTTGATAGTGGGGTTACCTTGACATCGGAATTACCATACTTACCGCCCCCTCGGGAATGGTTCCCCGACCGACCTAGACTCCGGAGTACCGATTTTCCCAGTCACGATAGTGAATGCACGTCCCCGATGGCGTATTCTCCCCCGTACTTCTTGGTAATACTTTTAGTACTAAATGTAACACTACCGTACCACCAGTACTGTAATCTTACCAGGTTAAACGCATCTCTGCCCCTCCATCCCGTTGGGGTTTAGGCCCGCTTCCCCTCCCTCCATTTTTCTTCTCAGCTTTTCCCTCCTTCTCTTCTTCTTTCTTTCTTTTCTCTCTTCAAAGGCAATTGGGTTCTTTTGCATCATCCATCTTTCTTGAGATCCCGCCTTAACCCCCTTTTCCCCTTCATTTTCACACACATCCGTCAGAATGGTTCAATCGTATGTTTTCCTTGCTCTCAAACTCCCATTGTTATTGACTCATTTGCTGACCTTTTCCTCCTCCAGCGCCGTTCTCGGTTTCCCCCGTATGGGTCGGGTCCGTGACCTGAAGAAGGCCACTGAGGCCTACTGGGGTGGCAAGTCCACTCGTGATGAGCTCCTCGCTGAGGGCAAGCGTCTCCGTGCTGAGCACTGGGCTCTGATCAAGAAGGCTGGTGTCGACTCTATCCCCAGCAACGACTTTGCCTTCTACGGTAAGCAACCCCTTTCCCAATGCCAATTGAAACCAAGGATCCCGTTCTAATATCCCACATAGACCAGGTTCTCGACCACATCCAGCTCTTCGGCGTTGTCCCTGAGCGTTACTCCAAGTACAAGCTCCACCCCCTCGACGAGTACTTCGCCATGGGTCGTGGTCTCCAGAAGGAGGGCGTTGATGTCCCCGCCCTGGAGATGGTCAAGTGGTTCGACTCCAACTACCACTACGTCAAGCCTACCCTGCAGGACAACCAGGTCTTCACCCTCGCTGCTGAGCCCAAGCCCGTCGCCGATTTCCTTGAGGCCAAGGCTCAGGGTATCATCACCCGCCCCGTCATTCTGGGTCCCGTCTCCTTCCTCACTCTCGGAAAGGCCGACCGTGGCCAGTCCGTCGACCCCATTGACAAGCTGAACGACCTCCTGCCCCTCTACGTTGACCTTCTCGCCCAGCTGAAGGCTGCCGGTGCCGAGGATGTCCAGATTGATGAGCCCGTCCTCGTCTTCGACCTGGCCCCCAAGTCCAAGGCTGCCTTCAAGCCCGCCTATGAGGTCCTCGGCAACCTGGGTGACAAGGCTCCCCGTCTGACCCTTACCACCTACTTCGGTGACATTGTCCACAACATCGATGTTCTCTCTTCCCTCCAGAACCTGCACGCCATCCACGTCGACCTTGTCCGCAACCCCGAGCAGCTCGACGCCGTCGTTGCTGCCCTTGGCCCCAAGCAGACCCTGTCCGCCGGTGTTGTCGACGGTCGTAACATCTGGAAGACCAACTTCAAGAACGCTATTGAGAAGGTCGAGGCCGCCATCCAGAAGCTCGGCCAGGACCGCGTTGTCGTTGCCACCTCCAGCTCCCTCCTCCACACTCCCCACACTCTCGAGTCCGAGAAGAAGCTCGACCCTGAGATCCGTGACTGGTTCAGCTTCGCTGTTGAGAAGCTGACTGAGGTTGCTGTCATTGCCAAGGCCGTCACCCAGGGCCCCGCCTCCGTCAGCGCTGAGCTCGAGGCCAACGCTAAGTCCATGCACTCCCGTGCCACCTCTTCCCGCACCAACGACCCCGCTGTCAAGGCTCGCCAGGCTGCCGTCACCCCCGAGATGCACAACCGCAACTCTCCCTTCGCCACCCGTATTGCCGAGCAGAACAAGACCATCAAGCTCCCCCTCTTCCCCACCACCACCATCGGTTCCTTCCCCCAGACCCAGAACATCCGTGTTACCCGTAACAAGTTCACCAAGGGTGAGATCACCGCTGAGGAGTACGAGAAGTTCATCGAGCAGGAGATCCGTGACGTCGTCAAGTTGCAGGAGGACCTTGACCTTGACGTTCTCGTCCACGGTGAGCCCGAGCGTAACGACATGGTTCAGTACTTCGGTGAGCGCCTCAACGGCTATGCCTTCACCACCATGGCCTGGGTCCAGTCCTACGGTTCCCGCTGCGTCCGCCCTCCCATCGTTGTCGGTGACATCTCTCGTCCCGCTCCTATGACCGTTAAGGAGTCCAAGTTCGCTGTCTCCATCTCCTCCAAGCCCATGAAGGGCATGCTCACTGGTCCCATCACCTGCCTGCGGTGGTCCTTCCCCCGTGATGACGTTCACCAGTCCGTCCAGGCTCAGCAGCTCGCTCTCGCTCTCCGTGACGAGGTTGCTGACCTCGAGGCTGCCGGTGTTGCCGTCATCCAGGTCGACGAGCCCGCCCTCCGTGAGGGTCTGCCCCTCCGCAAGGGCGTTGAGCGCGATGCCTACGTGAAGTGGGCCGTCGATGCCTTCAAGCTCTCCACTGCTGTTGCCCGCGATGAGACTCAGATCCACTCTCACTTCTGCTACTCTGAGTTCCAGGACTTCTTCCACGCCATTGCTGCCCTTGACACCGATGTCCTCTCCATCGAGAACAGCAAGTCTGATGCCAAGCTCCTCAAGGTCTTCATCGACGAGAAGTTCGGTGCTCAGATCGGACCCGGTGTCTTCGATATCCACGTAAGTTTACTCTGCTGATTGTCTTCCGCACTGAATCTTGCTAATGCCTTCATCTAGTCTCCCCGTGTCCCCAGCGAGCAGGAGATGAAGGACCGCATCGAGGAGATGCTCCAGTTCCTCCGCCCCGAGCAGCTTTGGATTAACCCGGACTGTGGCCTCAAGACTCGAAAGGAAAACGAGGCTTTCGGTCAGCTGAAGTCTATGGTTGCCGCCGCCAAGTTCTACCGTGCGAAGTTCGCCCAGTAAATGCTGAGGGCTTCCCATTTTCTTTTACCTCACTTCCTATAATGTGTTAATCTACGGAGGCGGCTCTCTCAACCCGGCCGTCTCCAGCACGGGAGGTTTTATTTGGTTTGTTTTATTTATGTGATGAGTTTATGACGATGATACCAAAAGTTCAACATACGGGTTTCAACGGTTTTGTGGATTAGAGGGCACCAAAAAGCGGGTTTACGGAGTTTCAACATGACTAACGATTTCAACATGGGTGCCGCCAATTTAGGTGCCAATTATTTCAACAATTGCTTTGTTCTCCCGTCCTTGCGAAGCAGTTGCTGTCGCTTGGACCTTGGAGAATGAGGAACCTTTTTTTCGTGTGTAGAATTAGCTGTGAATATACTTCTTTTTCTATGCAATAATGTGTTTTCTTGTAGAGATTGGATAACATTAGTTGGGTTGATGTATGGTTTGTAAAATCCAAACCAGCTTGCAGGTTTGTTAATCAGGGATGTGAACAATGGCCAGTAAGTCGTTATCCGCCTATTTCAGGAAGTATGCCTTGCCTGCCATATTTATAGGTCCGATAGTTCTCAGTGATAGTCAACCTACCCATCCTTCTCTGGCTAGCCTGCTCTTATTAGAAAGCTGGATGATTTTGTTAATGGAGAGGAGATACAATGCAACAGTTAACCCACGGAATTACCTGGATTTAATTGATTCCTAGTATAATTGGCACCATTTCTCTACAATACTACTTGGTTATCTCCATAGGAAAGGAGCCATAGGAGCCGCGAAGGATGAGACATACAAGGCATTACTCGGCAAAACGTACCAAAAAGGTTGATCATTTCCATATTTTCCGTTCCTTGCCATGCATCAACCGGAGGATCCTTGTACTTTGGTCTATATGGTTGTGTTACGTGTCGTTCGGGGCGGACGATAAACGCCAGTTGCTCAAAACCCATAATTAGTCAGTTTATCGACTTTGCCCTGATGCCTTCTTCTTTAGGCCAGGGTGACGCTATTACTATAGTACCGATTTGACTATCCCCTTCCTTGTCCTTTGTCTTCTCTTTTATCTTCTGTAGGTTATGTGAATTCTGCCGGACTTTCTGCCTTAGAAAATTAGTTTTAAGCAATTGGCGCTTATCATCCACCTACCTACTAGTGCCACTATTTATGCATACACGAGAACGGCTGAGAAGTAGCGGGAAATAAATCCGAATGATATCTGATTTAACCCGCGCTAAAGGAATGAAACTAATATAATACCTTTAATGATAGTAAGTGGATGTAGTAGTATGCTCGAATAGGTTAAAAGTTATTCGTTCTGGTTGAGCAAGGCTGCTACTCAGTCCTTGGATAATATGCCCCGCACCATGGTAAAATACTTATATAGTTTACCCAGTGCTCAATTAGAGTGAATCAGTATTGAAATCATCTTTATTCTTGAATTGAAAAGAAGCCATGTCGAGACCTCAAGCCAATTCTCCGGGCGAGTATATTATGATACGTAGTAAGCGTGAAGGCGAAAGGTAAGTGGGTTATTTTACAAATTAACGATATCTTGCAAGATAATTCCCTGACAATGTCATATTTCATTTCTCAGATTGGATAAACAGTACACAGTTTGGCAAGCTAATATCGAATCCCTGCTGCACCCGAAAATCGTACAAAAACAGCGTATGCGCATCGCAGATGAGGAACAGGAATTGGGTAAGACTCTACCATCTTCCTCCTATCAAGGGAATATTCTTTACAGGAGATCACAAAACGAGCACGAAGAATATGGCTACAAGACCTTGCCAACACTCTACCAGACGACTGCCAACTCGACGGCTTCGATCTCTCCGAATCAATGTTCAAAGACATCATCATTCCCTCGAATGTGTCATTCTATCAACATAATCTGCTAGAGCCCTTTCCAACCGAGTTCCTCGGGCAATACGATGTCGTCAATGCCCGTGCATTAGTGGTTGCATTATCCCATGACGAATGGGAACCTGCACTTCGCAATTTGATATTCTCCGTAAGCAATCAGTCCAACCCCGCGAAGAATTCCGTTACTAACTTTAATAGGTTCCGGTAGATATGTACAATGGCTTGACTGCTCGGTGGCAGACTTTGTTGTCAAGGGTGCGACGAATGGCCACGTTCCTGCCAATGCTGAACGGTGGGTTGAACTTTTGCAGACGAACGCGAAGTCGCTTGGTAAACGCCCAAGTAAGTTACTCTGATCCATTATATCTCAGACTAAAACCAGTGATCTAATTCGCAGTCTCAGTGCTGTCCTCGAAGGAATTCAGAACTTCATGATTGCTGCGCTAAAAATTCGCAAATTCGATTCGATTGACTCGGTTGATCAAGTCATGGAAATGAGAATGGCGGCGGAGAAGGATTTGCTTATTTCGGCTGCTGGTTCAGTTACAAGGTTTATGTGGTGGTAGGCAAGAAAGCTTGAGTCACTGCTTTAGGTCTCTTTGGAGGCTTGTTTTACTTTCTCGCCCGGGTAAGCTTTATTGGTGCATTAACTTTGCTTTCGACTTATGTCGGCACCACTCTTTTACCTTCACAGCTTAAGATGCAGATCCGTGCGTACACATAGGCTTACATAAAGGTATGACTAGGGCGGAATTGCAAATTGAGAGCAAGATGATTGATTATTGTATTATCTCTCCTTGAAATGTGTGGTCCTGAGTGTAAAAGGCATGCGACCTCACATCCATTGGCACCAAGGCACCACAGCACCTCTTCCAGCGACACCCTTGTCCCCAAACTTCTCGACATACCATTTCCGGCCCCACCGGGCATGAGGCAGCATATTAGCAATGGCATTGATAACAAACAGCACAGCTGGCAGAGGGAGAGGAACTCCAAATCGATCCGCCACCCACGCAGCAGGGACAATCCACGGCGCAGGCTGAAGCGGTGGAGCGACGACCGCACTAGTGGCAGTGCCGAGCTTGGTAGACAGAGAAAGGGGGAACACCGCGACTCCAGCGAGAGCAAATCCAGTCCACTCCAGCCACTCAAAGACGTAGTGCGGGTACAAGATAGATCGGAAGACGCCCTGCACTGGCGGGATCACATAGACCTTGTGGAACTTGTTGGCACCGCCAGCAGGGGCTTTGTCGTCTGATTTCTTTTCGACGCGCTTCTCTACTTCTTCCCTCCTGAGACGGAAGAGTGCCGTCTCTGAGTAGATGTTACCAGCCATGCCGATGATGAATACGGCAGTTCCGACTACTGGAAGGATTTGAACCAGCGAGAGCGAATCAGAGGGCATGGAAGAAGAAACCAGGGCCGAGGCGCCGCTGATGCGGTACCCAGCGATGGGAATCTCGTACCCGGATAACCATGCGGCTAGACCAGACGAATTAAACCAGTTGAAGCTCATTGCACTGACAATCACGAAGACGTGAATGGGCGACATGCTCGGTGCCGAGAAGAAGGGTGAGATCACGGCGCGGTTGGCATAATGGATGCAATAAAGAGCCGCGACCAGCTGGTTGATTGCGGGCAACTCAGTCAAAGATGGAGTGCTCTGAGAAAGGTTGTAGAGCAAGTTGACGGGACCAACGATCTCCATCGCGCACCAGGCGACTCGGCCTGGGATATTGAAGATGGAGCTTTTGAGGGATGTTTTCCCCGCTGGATGCCACGAGAGAAGCCATTGCAGGATAGTAAACTGCGACTCTGGTTAAAGGTCGTGTTCTCGAGGTCAAGCCATGTATCAAGGGGTCCTTTGTTTACTCACCACCGGGAAATATTGGAAGACCGTGACCACGGTAGTGTAAGCCGCCGGAGTTGGAGGGTAGAACTCGGCGATGGGCGGGAGAGACGCCCACGAGGTGGACAGGGCGGTGCCCATGGTGAGGAATGCTGGAATTACGAGGCGGACAGGGTGATTACAAGGGTGAGAGACAACGAACCGCAAAGGAGAGGAGGCTAAAGCTTAAAAGTAAAGTTTAAATGTTCCGCGGGAGCATGATGTAACTCGCCAAATCGGGCAAGCGGTCATGATTAAGCTACGATCTATCGCCTTGAGCGAGTTCTATGTACGTCAGGGGAGAAGAATGAAACACGATGAGCGAATGAAATTTCGCCTGTTCTTATGTAACTTAGTCGGCAGACATATCCATCTGCTCCGTTGCCGATGCCTTCTTGCCCCGTCGCTCAGCCTTGAATGCCTCGATCTTAGCCTTTAGCTCCGTGTCTAAAGTGACCTATGTTAGCGCGAGATTATACGGCTTCGAGAATCGAGCTTACCAGGCAAAACATCTTCCATCTTCAGGGGCACACGATTGAATGGATCGTGAGGATCACTGAGCAGATGCGAGCGAATTGTCGATCGATCAATTGAGATCTTTGAGCTTGGCAAAATCACGGGGTCTTCCATCAGAGTGTACATAAGAGGATCTGGAGAGACATTAGTTCTTGCTTGATAGTAATAATCGAAGGGGTAAACATACCCAGGAAATCCTCCGGAATCTCGCCCAGGTCCTCCTCCGCTTGCTGATCGGCCTCCTTGGCCTCTTGGACCTGCTTACGCAGCCGATCCCAGCGTCGCAAGTCCTCTTCGGGTGTCAGTCTATGCTGTCGTAAGAGATCGGCAGCCTGCTTGAAAAGCTCTGGTCTGTACGACCGTCCGTCGCGAGCAATAGCCGTGATAAAATTTTGCTTGTTCATCAGGTTGAGATAGATCTTTGCGATCTCGCTGAGAACCACTTTTGGATCAAAGCCATACTTCTCTACCATCAGCTGCACATTGCCTTCCACTTTAAGCTCGGAGCTCTTGGGCCCGGCCATAGCGTCGAGATTGTAGTTTAACATGTCAGCTAACCGCTGGACAATCTCTGGCATAGTGAACGAGTCAGCCAGGGCGGCAGTGAAGAGCTTTAGCATGGCCATGGTCTCATTAGTCAACTGCATGTAGGATCTGGCGCTCCGTTGCGTTGTCGCCAGATGCTCTTCGCGTTGTTCCCGAGTGCTGGGCTCCATCATGTCGCCTTCGCTTCTGAGCTGTTCTTGGATGCTGCGGATGGTTTTGAAAGCACCAAACGACTCGTCAAGAACGTATGTCACATCGTTCAGCAAGAGGTTGACAAACTGAACAAAGAAGTCCTGGTTCTGCGTTGCTTGGTTGGACAGCTTCTTTCGATACAACGTGTTGGGCCAGATACATTTGATGATCTGGAAAATCTCGTATCGAATATTGAACTTGTCAAAGAACTGAGTGTGAGCTCCAGTGTGTTCTGCCTCGATATAGAACTTCATTACGGCATGAAGAAGGTATTCATTGGCAAACGGCATGGAGTTGAGCAGGTCGACAAGGACACCGCGCTGTCCTCCAGGGCGGTCTAGCGTGCCCCGATAGAGCATGGAAACAAGGCCAGCCTTGAGGTATGGATTTTTGACGTAGCTTGAGCTCTCAAGGAATGTGATACACAGCATTACCAGCTCATCGCCCAGGGTAGCTGTGATAGTGTGCGGCATAGCCCAGCTGACGAACTTGAAATTGCTGATGATGACATCCAGGAAATACTCAGGAAGATTTTGGAAAACCTCGGGTTGCTGCTGCGTAAGAGGCAACTTAATCTTCTCTTGGGGGTAATTCACCCCCGAGGCAACTCTCAAGAGCCAGACAGCAATGTGCCGAATAACCTCTATTGAGCGGATCTGCCATTGTTCGTCAAGGAGCACAGCTTGGAGACTGTACTTCAATGCTAGTCCCAGATCAAATTTATCACGGTACTTCTTGAGCGCCTGCTCGAAAAGGCGCAACTGCGCTGGGTTTGACATCCATCGCTCCCGCTCACCTTCAACCCTCTCGATATTTTGTTCCATGTGCTTCAGATCTTTCTCGAGCTGATCCAGCTTCGATGTCAGGGATTCACTGCCATATTGGTGAGAAGCAATCGTGAGGAAAAACAGCTCGCTGTTGAAATTAGAGTTACCATCCAATTTCTTGGAATAAAATGCATCTGAGGCATGCTGATCCGCGTTGATCTTTGTTTCCTCTTTTATGTCGACCCGAGGATTCCGTTGGAAATACTCTCCATGGAAGGTGTGGATTTTGCGGAAGTCAATGTTCATGATAGGAACGCAAAGTTTGTCCAGGGTCGAGGTCAGATTGAACATGAAACCATCAGAGGCAACCTGCTCCGGATCAACTTGCATAGCACGTCTTTTGTGATTGATATTCAGGGCGGTTGCGACCCAATCCAGGAAGCGGTTCTTGGCGTCTGTGGACGCGTGGAGAATCTTGCCTGTAATGTAGTCGAGTTCCCACTGAATCATATTTTGCATCATGCGGAGAGAGCTCTGCGAGTTCGAGATGTACCCGTGGTCTCTGGTCTTGGGGCTGGAAAAGTAAGACATTGTCACGTTGGGCTGAAGAGGAGAGAGCCGGAACCATGGTCCTAGCAGAGTCGTCTTCTCGAATTGAGCTGGATCTTCTGAAGCATTGAAAATCGAAGACTCGGTAATAGCCGCGGCAATAGCTTTATTATCGACGAGATTTCTCAAGGCCTGTGTTTGTGATTAACATTGCGACTTGAAAGCCTGGAGAGAGAAAATCACAAACCGTGAAATATGGTTGGAATTCCCCATTTGCATCCTTGGAGGACAATTTGGCGCTCAGTTCTTCAACCGCAGCAATCAAAGCTGGCTTGATACTGTCATCTTCATCGAATTTTCCGCTTAGATCCTTGAGGAATTCGGGAGTGATTCCTCTCCTCGAGCTATCGTCAGGGCTCAACAGTAACTGCCGAGCCAATGGAGTTTCCTCGGACGAATCGATTCTGCACAACACATGGTCAGTATCTTTCGATCAATACCCAAGATCGAAGGTTATCTCATACCCAAACATCTCTGGCATCGTGATCGCGAAAATGCAGTAGCTAATGCACAGCCTTTTGGCCTCGCCATAGATGTCCCACTTTCTCGTGTCTGGGTCCGGTTTCTTCATCCTGTCTTGAATCCTGCTCCAGCAAGGAACCAAGTAATCCAGCGGACGTTGCTGCTCCGCTTTGGACGCGGCTTCCAGGAGCGCTTGGTCCAAGATCCCAGTGTGCAGACGCAATTCCTTGCCTTCATCTTGCAGCTCATCCCGCAGTCCGGAGAGGACAATCCGGCGATCCTTTGCCTCCAATGTGCCCTCCTTCAGAGTGACATTGAACAGAATTCCCAGAACCTGATGCTCGAAATCCTCGATGCTTTGTGGTGACGGCTTTGCGGGTGAATTGGGTTGGGAAGAAGACGGGCCAGTAGAGCGCGGTCGCTCAGGAACCGAGGCTGAAGCAGTCGGTGTGATCTTAATCCGCTTTCCTTCTGGCTGCTGCGAGCTCTGTGTAGCTGACGCCGAAGTGTCATTCGAGGCCCCATCCTGGGTTGGCAGCGACGGCGACTGTGCTCGGGAAGGGTTGGAGGAGGTCGGAGGCGAGCCGGGAGACTCGCCAGATGAGGGGCCAGCCGATGCGACTGGGTTTTGAAGCTTTGCAAGCCGCTTGTTGCGGATCTAAAGGCCGTTGGTGTTAGCCAGCGGCGGAGACAGAAATGCCGCTACGGCGGACTACCTGGAGAGGAGCAAGGGCCGACCAACCTTTTCCGCATCAGAGAGTGTGTCGGACATCTTTGCGCTTGGTCAAGTCGAGGTCCAGATGCCGCTGGGGTATGTATAGCGGTTTGCGTCTAGCGGGGCGGAGCCGACAGCAAGGCGGCACTGTTGATCACAGTGTTGAAGTCGGCGACAGTTCTTTCAACGCGAGTTGCACGACCTCATCAGCACCGATGCGTACCGGAAATGACAAGCCAGCGAATCTAGGATTGTGACCTCCGGTTCCTCTCAAGTGAAGACGGTGGAAGAGGGGAATGCGTTGGACAAGACCGGGGATTCCTTCATGATCTCCGAGATTCGTTTGCCCGCCTTAGCTGGCGGCCCGCCATGATGCCAGTTGACTAAGCGGCCGCCCAAACGGGCGGGCGCTGGGTAGGAGAGATGCCCAGGAGCCCTAGATGCTAGTGTAGGAAGCACACGAGTCTTTACTTTGTACTCCTTGTCTTGCTAATTGACATGACCAGACATGAACCCACGGTACAATCAAGGAATTCAGATCTAGTAAGTCCATTTGAGTATAGTCGACTTCAACAATCTCTCGTGCAGAAAGTATATATCATGGCTGGATGCAATTCAAAGACACTATACAGAGTGACAAATCAAAGACAATAAAACCCAATAGACGCCATCTTTCGTGCTATAGCTCTTGAGAACGAGGAACAGAATGGTAGGATCCGAGAACGAGATCTCCCAATTACACAGGCTTGTGGACTAGCTCAATATTTGGCTTTGAGTTGATTCCACTGGCGGCAACTCTTCAGCTCCATCGCTCGCGCCTCCTTCATCTTCTCAACATCTGGGAAGAACCAGCCCTGTGCTTCTTGAATCTTTCGCTCCTGCATTTGTACCTCAGACTCGCAGTCGTATCGAACCTTCGCCATATAGTCCATCTCCACACGCCGGTCTAAATCACGGAATTTGCGTGCGCCGAAATCTTCGACTTCCAATGGATTCACGAAGTAATTGAGGTTGAGCCTGGGTGTTGTGCGGCCCATGGTGTAGGGGCTTTGAGGGGTATCGACTCGATAGCCAGGACCGGGAGTAGAAGAGCCAGAGAAAAGGGAAGATAGGAGCGGAAGGACGAAAAGAAGGATGAGAGGCAGTAGTTGACGAACAAAGCCCCAGCCATCAACGGCTGGCTCTGACTCGTTGTTGTTGGCGGCTGCGCGAGGTCTGCGGCGCGGTACGCCGCCTCCGAACTGGTGTACGCGGAAACCGGGGCCACCTCCCATGTTGAAAACGAATTGTGGACCCGCTGAAAAAGACAGTCAGTCGTGAGCATATACAAGCGAGCAGATTAAGATAGAGCGTACCAAATGGGCCGAAACCACCACCACCCATGCCTCCAAATCCGCCATTGAAGAACCGGTTAAACATCTCTTCAGGCGAGATCTCAGCATCGAAGCCCTGGCCGCCCCCTGCGGAGCGTGGGAATCCACCACCACCACTGAATCCACTGAATGGAGAACCACCACTAGAGGCGCTTGGTCCGGGGTTGAATCTGCTATCGGGGTCTCCTCCAAACTTGTCATACCGGGACTTCTTATCGGAGTCAGAGAGGATCTGGAAGGCACGCGAAACCACTATCAAAGTAACCTGTTAGGATCAAGGCCTCAAGACGGGGAAAGTGCCATGTGATTGCTTACTCTTGAAAGCCTCGTCTGCACCATCATATGCGTTCTTATCGGGGTGTGTCAACAGACTCAATTTCCGGTACGCCTTCTTGATCTCGCTATCCGTGGCAGTCTTTTGAATCGAAAGAATCTCGTAGAAATCGGTTGGCCCGCATTTTCGGATTCGTAGAACCGCGGCCTTCTGCTCGGGGGTGTATGTGCGATCTTGGTTGCCCTGATTGTGTTCGCGCGACCGCGCAGCCCCGCCTTTGGCATCGGAGCCAGACGCCGTAGCAGACGGCATGGCGATCGGGAATTTAAAGGTCGCAAGGACCTAAATCACAAACGTTGTGGGATGGTGCGAGGACAAGAGCGCAGGTGGGTGGGTTGGTGGCGCGGGACCGCGGAGAAAGGGGATTGCAATTCTCCAGAAGGCCAGGGGACAAGTCAAGCCGAGATAAAAGCACGGGCCGATCAACTAGAAAGCCGATGCCTTGGAGTTTTAGTGAGATAAAGCCGAAACGAGCGGTGGAACGGGGGGCCCTGGGGGGTTGTCGACTGAGGAAAAAGTATAGTCGAGATAGGTGTCTTTGCCAAGCGCGGGAACGCCATTCGCGGTGCGCCTGCGGTGTCCGTCGGCTGGTATACCACCGATGGTACCTCCGCACCTCCTCCACATTCTCCAATCCCAACCTCTGCAACAGAACTCCCACGGCTGATTGTGACCTGTGATTTATTTTGCTTGCAGATACTACCTGGTATCAAGTCAGAGAACCTTTCATCCCGTCCGCACACCTACCCATCATCATGGCAAAGGATTCCGCAATTGAAGAAACCAAGCAAACTTTGGTGCAGCGCTTCAGAGCATGGGGTGGTACGTACTCGATATTCCAAGAATAATCATGGGCCGATAAGTGCGCCTGAGGAATCAAAGAGACCAAGCTAATTCCATTCTCTCTAGAAAACTCATTCCCGCCGACCCTGCTCGCGTCTCTTATCTTTGCGCAACATGCACGTCCCTTCCAGTTCTTCCCGATGCTGTTCCCTCCAATCCTGCTTTTCACCAGCTACGCCAATCTTCAAGGTTTCAAGACCGAGACTGCCGGTATTAGCGCCGCCTGGTCTGGACTTTACCTACTCCTTGCAGGTCGCCGTCGTCATCCATTCATGAAGAAGTTCGGCGCTCGAGGTATTGTGCGCGGCGCGACGATGGGTCTCTGTCTGGTCAACATGGTTGGCGGTGGACTGGCCTATACTCTGGGCAAGCGGGAGGAGGAAGAGGCCAAGTCTGAGAACTGAATGAGGTTGGTATTGATAGATGATGTGGATGATTGGCATATCTGTGGAAAGTGTACGATATACGTTTTCAAAAGTTGGCTTGTCTGATTCAAATCAAGCTGTGGGAGTCGGCGTTACCGTGGTTATCGAGGGGTGTCACATACTGATGTGCTTATATACTCATCTACAGGAGTACGGGGTGATTGTAGCCAGCGCATTGGCGATACACGACTGCATTCAATGTTACAGTTCAAAGTATAATCCTTCGAGCTATCATATCCTAGTACCCGGGCTTTCCTCCGAGTATGGCCTTTCAGATAACACAAATTGCCGCACATTATCCGGGACCAGCCATTCCAGATCTTGAGGAGCGGACTGTGCGGCCTCGCGAGCTCTGGTGGAGCTGACTGGCGGGTCTTCAGGCTTCCTGCCCTCAATGAACTGGATTTTCTGTGCCCATTCCCTCGGTGCGCCTTCAGCTTCTCGATCCCCACGAGCGAGACTGGCAAGGAACCCCTCCTGCTCTTCCCTGTCACCCCAATCATCGCCAGGTCGCAATGTCACCCGCAACCGATGCTGGGAGAACAGGGGCCCGAGACGCTGTAGCGTGTGCTCTGGGGGGTAATATTTGGGATTGAAGATACGGATCAATGTATCGTAGCCCACGAGATGAACTTGCTCCAGGGGGGATGGATAGTGATCCGAAGCTTCAATGGCCGCCGCCTTATCGATAAAGTAAGGTTTCTTGGTGACAGCGATGTCAATTGTGGGAATATGTTCCATTGAAGAGGCTGTTGTCGAAGAGTGTATCGCTGCAAGGTGAGACCGTATGTCATGCGCAAAGAGTTCCATCATAGCCAGACGGTCCTCAAAGGGCGCCGGCTTAGATGGTTTGTCGGCATTCTGAGTGGCAAGCAGAAGAAGCAGACGAGAGCCTGGCTCTAGTTGTTCTAGGAGTGCGGAGCTGGCAATGCGGAGGTGGGCGCGTGTAGGAGGATTGAACGACGAGTCTAGCACGTATAGTGTTTTAGGCAATGAGGCATGACTAGGGGGCACTGTTGCGAGGACTTCGAATTCTTTAGCTGAGGCAATGAATTGCTTTAGCCGCGAAGCATACTGAGATCGAAGCGCCCGAAAGGAGGCCATTGTTGCCGAGTTCAAGCAGAGAGCGTGGGGGGAATGTGGCGGGGATAAGATAAAGAAGGGCTTATCGGCTTATCAAAGCTAACGAAGTATAGGTAAGTTATAGGAGACCAGAATAGGATACAAAGTACAGGCACTTCCTAAGAGACATATAGACAAAACTTATTGAAAGACGTGGTAAGATTGATAAAGTCTTTTCTCGATGTAAGTCCTTAGTGCAGGTTGGTATGCTTGGGGAAGGTATCACTGTTCTTGCTTGCTCAGAGTCACGGCATCCGGAGCCTTCCAGTATTGTCAACCAGGAGCACACTCCAGGCAAGAACTTTGCTTTCTGCTCGTGATTGTTATCTTTGAATCTCACATCTAACAGCCTAAATATCCCTCTTCTATCTCATCACTAGAATTTCCTGTCTCCTATGACTTGCTCTCTTTCAGCTGCCAACTATCCATCCATCCAACTTCACCACTACGCGATAGCTCAGCCAAGAACATGAATGAGCCGAACCCCGAAACTGAGTACCTCAATGGGGTAGAGCCTATTGGTGCCGGTTCCTCTGGCACAGTCTGGGCTCCTCGCGGAGGGGAACCTGCCTTCAAGCAAGGACATCGTGGACGAGAGGGATCCCTTGAGAATGACTTCAGAATGCACAAGCTGATTATCAGAACTCTTCACATTCTGAGAAAGATGAAGTCCCTCAATTTTGAGGATGAAAAGCTTCCACAGGTCCAAATCTCTGAATGTCACCACTACATCAAAGCCACCGACGAGGAGTGGTGGAAAGCAAACATCAAAATGTTCCCTGATGGATTCATCCCGTGCAACTTGATCAGGTCGGAGAGAATCTTTCCCTTTGCAGATGCCACCAAATATCTTCTCATGAAGAACTATTGCCCACCCGAGATCACCGAGTTTCACATGACGACCAACAAAAAGGACAAGGACTGCCTCATTCGCCCGTATCTCGGCCGCCGTCGATCCCAAAAGCCCCAAGTGACTCTGCACAAGTACAGGTTCAAGCTGAAAAACTTCCCGCTTCACCATGACCAGATGACGGATATTGGTATTTCAATGGCGGATATAAAGGGGTACGCTGCTATCATGGGTGAGACACTGGCAGCCATGCACTGGATCGGCGAAGTTGATGGCCGCGACATTGAATTCGTTCTCGCACCTGCCGAGTGCAAAGATTTCAAAGAATGACAAATGTCCTCGGCGATCATTGCATGTGGGTTCTGGACTTTGATCTGTGCCAGGATATTTCCATGGACATCAAGGGTGTTCATCAAGCTGTCAACGCGTTTTGGTGGACCGAACCATTCATGCCTCGCCTGGAAAGAAACTCACCAATATGGAAGGCTTTCCGAGACCAGTACTTGAAGACCAGCCAGAACGCACAGATATTTCGCGCAGGAAGGGATGGGATCTCGCGTTTTGAGTTGGCCTCGAAGTTTATTCATCTAGTGGAGGTGGAAGGTGCCCGGCGTCTTGAGAGAGCCATCTGGAACGAGTAAGCTGGCATTGAATTCCCATGGAATCATGACCCTTGCTGGTATGACGGAACAGACAGAAGGCAATTACTCGCATGCAGTGAGTGGCCAAAGACCCAAGACGGTCCTGTTTTGTGGACACTACCTACGAGTAGTCCCAACCTTAGGTTACTTAGGAATATGAACAAGGTTCCGAGCAAACATCCTGTTATTGTGATTATTAAGGGTTGTCTGGTTCAAAGTCGTATAAATTTCTGTATAACCAAAGATTGAATGAAAAACCAGGTAGCAATACCGATCCGTCAAGTAAGATGGAAGAAGCGAATTTTTGGAAAGAGGATTCAAAAGAGGAAAAGTTAAAGCATATACCCGGGCCTGGGCTATTTTTAATGCCCATACATTCAGAGCTCTGAACTGCCATCATGTCCTGCCCAGCTATATTTCTCAGCAGCTCCGAGGGGCCCCACGCTGTTAGCTCTTTTGGCATCGTGATACCGAGGTTGATCGGCCGCCAATCCCGAATTAGGGTCACTAAGGTCCCCTCTCTACTGTGGAGCTCTTCACCACTCAAAGCTTCTGGACAACTTCCTTTCACAATACAATTCAAGTACTCAGAGAGTGAATTCAAAAATTTTCCAAATGACTACCATATCTCCATTCACTATCGCAGTCCCGGACTCTCAAATCGACCAGCTCCACAAGAAGCTCGAGCAAGCTACTTTCTCTGATGAATTCGATACTGCTGGCTGGGGCATGGGTGTTCCACCTGCGGAGATGAAGCGACTAGTTACCATCTGGCGTGAGAAGTTTGACTGGCGAGCCCAGGAGAGAAAATTGAATGAGCAGCTCCAGCAGTATACGGTGCCTATCTCGGTTGACGGGTTTGGGGAACTTGATATCCACGTCATTCATCATCGGAGCCAGAATTCAAATGCTATTCCGCTGCTTTTTATTCATGGATGTAGGTTTCTTCATTGATATCACCATGGTTTCATCTCTTGATTAAATGCGCTTAACGAAATCCTGTCTCGTAGGGCCCGGTAGCTTCCTTGAAGCGACCAAGTTGATCCCTCTACTCATGAAAGAAGACGAAGGACCTGCATTCGATGTTGTTGTACCCTCATTGCCTAACTTTGGCTTCTCACAAGGTGTATCGAAGGTATGACGCAGATATTCGGAAGATCCACGGGTACTAACTCTACCTTCAGAAAGGATTCGGCCTAGCCCAGTATGCAGAAACCCTTCATAAGGTGATGATCGCACTTAAGTACGATGAATATGGTAAGAAGACATCCAACCTAGCCATTAGTTAAAGAATGAAACTAAAAGGGCATCCAGTCATCCAAGGAGGCGATTGGGGCAGCATGATTGCCCGCGCCATGGCACAACTATACGCCAAACACATTCAAGCCATACACTTGAACTTCATCCCAGTCATTCCACCATACCCATGGCGAAGCCCCCTCCGCTTCCTCCAATCTCTCGCCAGTGTTCCATTCTCGACCAAGGACAGAGCATACATCGCTCGCACAATGGACTACCTCACTCGTGGTAATGCCTACATGAAGCAGCAGGAGAGTCGACCCGAGACTTTGGGATATGGATTACAGGATAGTCCGGTCGCACTATTAGCCTGGATCTACGACAAACTTCATATTTGGTCCGACAATTATCAATGGACTGACGAAGAGATTTTGACCTGGGTGAGTATCTACTACTTCTCACGCGCGGGACCGGCAGCTTCGATCAGGATTTACTATGAGGCTTCTGCGAAGAAGCCTGAGAGTACGAGCTCTACTGGGCGGCAGGATGATCAAGTGAATAACTGGATTACCCTTGAACAAGTCTTGGCTGCTCATGCACCGCCCAATGTACGATTTGCCGTGGCGCAGTTCAAGGAGGAAATCCTGATGTGGCCCATGGCTTGGTACCATGCCATTGGAAATGTGGTCAAAGAAAAGGAATTTGACCGCGGTGGCCATTTTGCGGCGTGGGAGGTGCCTGAATTGCTTGCAGGAGATCTTAAAGAGTTCTTTGGGAGGGATGGAGCCGCTTACGAAGCTGTTCAGGAGAAAGATGGCTATTGATTTGGCGTTAGATCAGAACGATTAGTATCGTAGGTGTCTTTAGTTGGGCAATCTTCATAGGTCAGAGTCAAAATTGTGACGTGATGGTGGTGCTTGTATTATCATGATAGAAGTAAGAGAAAACATATAGTCGAGGGCTCAGTACTTTCTCGATCGAAATGTCGTCTGCCCTCTCGTCACTGCTGTGGCATTTTGCCCATAGCTGACCGTCGATGGAACATCATCATCACGTGGAGACCACAGACGCCGGAGTTTGCCCTCAGACCAACAAAATGCCCAATAATGACCGATTTGAACCCCTTCTGTCCATCCCCCTCTTTAATCTTGACGTCCCTTCAGTAGTCGCTGGGTAACCTTGTCCTTCTCTATGATATACACCTGGGCGCCCCAACCGGAGAGGGCGTCTCGGTCGACGGCACTCAGTAGTGCTTGGGAGATGGTCTCGAAGAGGTCCTCGGGGCCCTAAATGCCATGAATTAGCCTGATAAACATGCATTCGAGGGGACAAGACTTACAAGATCGGGCTCCCACAGACCCTCGCAGGTACCGAAGAGCTGGTCGCTCGCCGTTCCGCTGACAATGAAGTCCTTGGCGAAATCGATACAACCGATACTGTCAAACCCGCAAATGAAGGGCTTTCCAGTTGTTTGGTTGATACCTGCCAGGACGGGACTGACGAAGAACGGACCGAAGCGCTTCTCGTACAACGATGAGCTGACCAGGTTGGCCAGGGTCTGGGGGAGATATGGCGCTCCTCGCGCAGGCGGTACATGTTAACCTTGTAGCGGAAGAGGTCCGAGACGGTGTTGACATCGGTTGCAAGGCCTGTCAAGCCGAGATAGGTGGAGGGAGCGTAGTTGAAGATCTTGGGGAAATTGTTGGAGATGGTCAGGGCTTGCATGCCCAATCGGAGGTCGCAGGCGATGGCGACGCAGTCCTTGCCCACCATGGCGACACAGGCACCGCCATCTGCGTATATATTAGTATATCGATCGATTGGAGGTTAAAAGTCAGGGTTCATCATACTGATGTCGAAGGGGGAGCCCTAGTGATGGCAGGAGATGGTTAGCTTCAGGTCCGGCGACAATGAATGACGGGGTCAAGGGACACAGTTCCCTTACCATTATTGCGGTTCTTCCAAATCAATCCAGTTGGCAAGAAGTATTCTGAAGCTTCAGCAAAGAAAAACTGGCTGAACGAAGGGGGTTGCGGAGGGAGGACGGGGGTTGATGATGGGGGGAGATGAGGAGATGACGGGGAGCTGTGAAGGAACGCGAGCCGCCAGAGCTCGGATGACGCCGCACCGCTGCCTATTTGGTTCGGCCTCGACCTTCGACTGCTTTCTTCCGCTCTCTTACCCCACGCTTTGATTTTCTGGTCGGTTCAAGCTTTTGTCATCATACAAACTCCTTCCATTTCTTTCTGAAACGACAAATTCCTCTTTCCTACGTCTTTCCATCCCGCCGAGAGTTCATATAAACACCACAGCCATGAGCGCCCACGTCGTGGTGATCGACGCGACAGCCCGGCGGGCAACAGTCAAGACAACACCAGGAAAATACTTGACGGACATTCTACAAGAAGCATGTTCAAAGCTCGGTTATAGCGCTAGTCAGTATGGCCTTAAGTATGTTACTATGAGCACCTGCTGCCCCGCTGAGAAAGTAATTAAACTGACGCTATACTGCCACAGGCACAACCGCAAGCAACTAGACCTCTCTCTTTCCTTCCGTCTTTCCGGCCTCAGCTCAGGAGCAAAGCTCGAGCTTGTGCAGCTATCCCGATCCCCTTCTATTGTCACCGTTGCCTTACAACTTCCTGAGGCGGAGGCCCGTGGGGCTCCAAATGGGCGTATAATGGACAAGTTCCCGAGTACGACAACATTGTGGCTTGTATTGCGCAAGTTTGAGGCTGGGGTAGCAGGAAGTGGGCCGGCTAGGAATCTCACTGCGCGCGGTGTTCCCTCTATAACTGGGGACTCTGGTGCTGGGCGGTTGTTCTACGAGATCCCGGTGCTTCAGATCTTGGGGCGCGAGCTATCAAGCTTCACGGACCTACAGAAATCCCTTGCCCAACTGGGTTTCAATAGTGGCAACGTGCTTATCCGACTCAGTTTTCGGCGGACAGAGGAGCCGCTCGAAGAAGCAATGACGAAGATTGCTGAATACTTCAAGTCACCCGAGGACGAGATGCCAGCTGCTAGGCCAGATCAGACATCCGCCACTCCTCCTGCAAAGGGGACTCTTGCCGAGCCCCAGGATCAAGCAGCTACGCTAGCGGTCGTCGATGAACCTTCCGTTACAGGTGCTTCTGGGCAAGAGCTCCCAAGCTCCGTCTCTGATCAACCTGCAACGTTAACAGCTGGCCGTGCCGTCACGGTCTTCTCTCCCCCGACTAACGATACACCATCCTCCGCACAGATATCTCATAATGAAGAAGATTATATCCCCTCTGTTGAGCACGCGAAAGCTCATCAGCGGCTCCTCAACGAAGCCTCGCGCAATAAACGCCTCCTCACAGATGCGGAAATTGCCGCGAAAGCAGCCGCAGAGGAAGCGCGTCGCTCAGAGGTTCGCGAAGTAGACGTGAAAGTCCGCTTCCCGGATCAGAGTCAGGTGGTAGCCAAGTTTGGACCTCAAGACTCTGGGTTGACACTTTACGGATTCGTTCGCAGCTGTCTTGCTCCTCCATTCGCGGTAGAGAAGTTCACTCTGAATGTGTTCTCTAGCCCAACTGCTGTTCGATCGGCGCATGCAAATACAATCCCCGACTCGGATCAGACACTGTTAATCAAGGACCTTGGCCTGGCTGGTCGAGTTCTTGTCAACTTCTCATGGACTGATATATCTGCGGCTGGTAAGCGCCGAACGAACCTTCTTCGTCCAGAGCTACGCAGCCAAGCTCAAGAACTCAAGGTCGAACAGCCTCCCGAGCCCGTGGAAGAACCATCTGCTTCTACGTCGGCAAAGGCAGAACCAAGCGGTGCTCACGATGGTGGCAAGCCTGGCGGAACACGAAAGCCTGGTGCGATGCCCAAGTGGCTCAAGCTGCCGGGGAAGAAATGATTCAAGATCAACGACGCTTATTGGCATATGAATGATGAGAAACCTGGGTGGATGATGACTATGGCTTTGGAATCTAAGCGCTTCATGTTAGAACTCTATATCAGATATCTCGATAGATCTTATTTGAACCTGGATTTCATGACCGCCCAGAATGCTTGGACTGAATACTGACAATTCCAATCTGCGAGCTCAGCATTGTAAGATTAGATATCCCAAAAACACAAGTATGAACTATTTGTCCCTTCTTCACTTGGCCGTCGGTCCACCATAGCCTACCGCAAGTTGAATCGCTAGATCGACAGAGGAGCCACTCTGGAAATAGCAGCAAAGGCACCGCAAGTTGGCAGAATCTTCCATCTACACCAAATCATCCCATTCTTTACCCTGCCACCACGAACTCCCGACTTCTACGATGAATGCACAGCATATGAAGGTATTGAACAATATTTGTTTTCATTATGGTTTCGCTTCCGAAAAACAGGGAAGGGATTCCACTTTTGCCATCCCCCTGCATCCACCGTTAAGCCACACAGAAAACCCCATATTCCGATTCGAAGCCATATGCTGAATGGCGGCCATAGGTATTATCACATCAGACCTGCCAGACTTCGACCATAATTTTTTCTTCGTGTTCCCTTGCGCGCGCCAGGTATTCGAGTCGTTAAACGAGAGAGAAAAAAGGTAACGGAATGGTGCATTTAGTGAGCCTGGGTACGGCGGGCCTCGGCAATGACCTTCTGCATGTCCTCGACCTTTCTCTTGCCGCGGGTGAAGGTGCCGAGCTGGAGAGGAAAAAGTTAGCTTTTGGTTCGGACATCATTGTGTCTTGTATGCTGAACGGTTGGATCAATGGTAATGCTCGGAACGTAGACCTTCGGACTTGGCGAGAGAGGAGTGATCAAGGTTGATGAACCAAAGCGTGAGACATTTCCGGCCGAGCAGTCTCGGCACTGCCAAAGTATTCACGCAATGGTAAATTTGCCACATCACTCTCCCAGAGCCTCCGCCGATCCAAGATCGAGTTCACAAAACAAGCCAGAGATCGAACAAATACAGTTGCGGGTATAAGGATTCAACGAAAAGAGTAGGGATTCGGTAGACATACGCGCTTCTTAGCGAGCTCTGTGAGTGAAGTTAGCGTCTAGTCTTACGCGGCGAAATTTTCAGATTTCAGGGTTGAGGGTACGTACTGCGAGCACGCTTGTCCTGGGCGTTGCGGAGCAACTCAATCACACGGCGCTCATAGGGGGCAAGGCCAACAACCTCACGGGCGATCTCGCGGACGAAAGTGGTGCGCTGAGAAGACTTGCCCTTGGTGCGGCTAATCTTGTTCTTGGGGGTGTTGAGGGCGGTGGTTTTCTATAAAATCCAAAGTCAGTCTGACTGTTCCGTGCAGATCCGGTAGCCATGTTGTCGCCCGAGGGTGCTCTGTTGATTTCGGTGCGTGTATTTGAGGTGCGGTCCGGGTTCGAGATTTCCAGGTCCGACTGATCATTGAATTGTTTCCACCACATAGTCCTTGGCGACTTTGCTCCTCTGTCTTGTCCCCCTCTTCCGTCGCCTTTCTGTCGACATTCTGATAACTCTTTTCCGATTTGCTGTGTGCTGGCGGCTGTGGAATGGACCTTGAAACCCCGACTGGGCTCGACTCGAAAAAACGGACCGAAAAGAACAGAGACCCGGGACAACGACGATGAATGAGTATTGGAGATGAACGTACGTGGCCCTTGTTGGTGCCGACCACGATACCGGTGCGTTCCTGCGCCATTTGGACGGTTGGTGACTGGGGGGATTGGCGGTGTTGTCGAGGAAAGGGAATGAAGAAAGTCTTGTGGAAATCCCCTAATGCTTCGGGAACCGCACACTGCGGGTCTTGGCACGGGCGTTGGTGCGTAGGCGAAACTTTAGGGCTTAGGGCAAGTGTGATTACTCCATACGGTTAGTAGGCATGTGACCGCATTTCCATTTTGGCCTGAGGCACCCAGAGCATGTCTTAATCACGTGATATGTATGAGCTGCTGGGCTTCGTTAATTTCTATGGTCATCTCCCTTTTAACAAGGTTACTTTTCTGGTGAATCACATCGCAGCTATACAGCCGAATATCCTGATGCTAATCACTATAGCCTCACTCCCAACACACCATCGAGAGCCTCCTCCCAACTCTCCATCAATGACCCACAGAACAACTCGACGTTAGACGAGTCCAATGTAGTCTCCAGAATGTCCTGAATCTCCTTCTCGGATTTTGCAAACTGCTCACCCTGAATAACGAGGTCGACCAATGAAGAAAGCACACCTGATGCAGAAACACGATGCTTCAAAGCTCGTGTGTTCGACCGTACCAGTTCGTAGATCTCAGACACGAGCGTAGAAAGCCGTTCCACACGTTCTTTGGGCAACTTGGCGGCCTTGGCTCCCTTCTTGTTTGCCAACCCGACGAGCTGGGACAGTGCCTTGACAGTCTCAAGAAGGACAAAGGTACTGTGAAGATATTTCCAAGTAGGTCCGATCGGAGTGCCAGTCCCGAGGGATACTGCCGTAGAGGCGATGAGGGGAGAGATGATTGCCTCATCAAGATCCAGGGCCTTCTTCTTCATATCTAAGAATTCCTCAACGCGGCCAAGTGCACCGTCAACTTGCTCCGAGCTGGTCAGCTTGGAGCCAGCCATGAATGTGGCCACCTTCAGCAGGTCCGCATGGATCCTGGCCGACTCTTTCTCCGTGTCAGTTTGATCATTCTCAGTTTCAGAAAGGGACAATGTCTCAAGGGAAGGCAAGTCCATATCCGCAGTCAGTGGTCTTTGTAAAGAAATGCCCTTCAAAACACTGAAGAGCTGGTCCGTGATCCGGGCTGAAGAGAGCCAGTTTGTCTAAGGGGGTTGTTAGCTCATGGATTTGAATACATGCGTGATTCGTGGACGTACATTGGGAAGTGGTCCCAAGCGCATTCGCTCCTCGAAGCTAGGCTTGTTTATGAATTCACAGGACATGAAAGCGCCGAATTTCCGCGAATCGACGACTGGTGAGCTGTCTCGGGCTATGAAATCTGTCAGTACGCAGCGAATATGAGAGTGGAATGAAACGTGATGCGGAACTTACCGAGCTCATCATAGCGGGTCATAGGATCGCCCCCAGCAAGTCTCTGGGTACGGCGTGCATCAAGAGCAAACATGCGGCGGTTTATACTGTTGGACAAGCGTCTCCGAAGCTCAATAATCTCTTCGGTATTCACATAGGCTCCTTCATCCAGACCGGCAGTACGGAACCGCATGGTGTTAACCTCCGAGTTTCGGAAGAAGTTGAGGCTCTGGACGTATGCAGACAGAGGATCGAAGTCCTTGTACTCCGCACCCTCAACTGGTGGTGCAGAATGAGGGTGGACGGTTGACAGGCGTGTGAAGAGAATGTGAGCCACTGAATCATATTGGATTTGCTTGACGGACAACTTGCTGAAAGTGATCAAGGCAAGAGATCCAGCACCTAACAAGAGGTAGACTCTGGCTAGAAGAAGCAGCGCCTCGTAGTTGTGGGGCGAGTCGCGGCAGAGGCGTTCCAGAATGCCTGCGGCGCGAATGAGGGCAGTACCTGGGACCTGGGCCACCTTCTCATCCGCCTCGGCAGGCTGGAGGAGACACATAGCTGCGAGGATACAGAGATCATCAATAGGCTGACTTTCGATGGTAGACGACGCTCCCTGAGCGCCATCTTCCGACTTCTTCGCCTTGCCCTCCTTATACGCGGCCTGGTAAATCTTCAGGCAGCGCGCGACAAGATCGTCAATCTTCTTCTGGGAAGGCGTGTTCTCTGATCCTGATATATTCAAACAGTAATCTAGTTTGAGAGCATTGATCATGGCAACAGACCCCTAGGTGCCTGTTAGTACGTATGCAAAGCTAGATCTACCCCGGAGTAAATACCTTCTCCTCGGTAGCGTGGGTTTCCAAAATGTATTTGAGCATCTTGGCCAGACCGTCCTTGTCAGAACCTATGATCCTTCGGATATCGTTGAAGGCGTATAGTTTGTGGATGTGGTTGTCGATGTATTTCTGGCAGGCTGGGAGCAAGTCATCCCTTGTCATTTCTCCGCTTTTGATCCCGCATAGCATCGCGTCAAGGCCAGCCATAACCGCGTTACGAGACTTGGGGCTAGCTGCGGTGAATTCCTCCGCAAACTTCTTTGTTTCGGCGGCAGTTCTAGCGAAGAAGACGTCAGTTGAGTCTCGGCACTGTAAATTTTCGAAAAACCAACCCAGGGGTGTTAGAGAACTCTGTCGCCTGAATCAACAGGTTCCAGATACTCCAATCGTCAATCTCACGAAGAGCCTTAAGTTTCTTTTTATCATCGGGGACTGTGTAAAGGTCCCTCACGAAGGAAATTCCTTCGGCCCACATCTTGCTCATACCCAAGTTGAAAGCCTTATAACCGAGGAACGCAGAATCATTTTGGACAATTCTAGACTTGAGACCAAGGTTCTCGCTGTCCAGAATTTTCACGACTTCAGAGTGCCGCCCTTGAGCTTCGTAGATCTTGATGAGCAGGCGCAGCTCTTCAGATGTTTGGATGGCTCGAGGTGGACTCAACAATTGAGACTGTTTAGATGACAAAGTAAGTGAAAATGCCATATGTGTCAATGCTCGGTGAAAGACCTACGCCTTCTGGGACATCAGCGGCAGCCTTTGAAATCATACGATACGCCAAGGTGCCAAACAGCTTTCGATCGGTTTCCGAGCTAGCATCATCAATCGCAATCATGTGGCTGAGGAAGATGGCCCAAAAATAGTATTTGCGGTCTTTGGGGAAGTTCTTCTGAAGACTCATAGCCGCCTAAGACTCGAAAGATATCAATGGTCAGCAAATTATTGTGAGGCGTTTTAGGGGCGAATTTGATTATTCCACGGCCCGAATAGACTGACCTTCTGTGCAGACTTCCAATCATTGCTCTCGAATGCATGAGTGAACCAACGGCCTTGGATCTCCAGGTCCTGGGGTTTCGCCTTGGCTGCCCTCTCCCAAAGATTGCTCCTCGTCGCATCCTGTCCATCCAGCTTCTGCAGGGTCTTGAACAGCATATCCAAGGTGTCAATATCGGTCGTCGGTGGCTCCGCTTTGCATAGCTCTAGTGTCTCAGCAATACCGCGCTTGTGGTGGGCTTCATCTGCATGGCGCCAGAGGATATGCGCTTTCCAGGCCTATGCAAGCAACAGTCAGCGAGGCTCGGGTACTGACCGATGAAGTGGGCACAGAATATGTGCAAGGGCTCAATTGTTTATAGACTTGCACCGCTTACCTTCAGAAACCGCGTATCCTCGCCCTTCTTCATTCGCTTCTCAATCAGCTGCAGGGCCTGCTTCAGATTCTGCCCGTCAATGGCATCTTGGATCTGGTTGTTGCGGCGGAGGAAAACCGCGTCGTTGATAGGCGCCATGACGAAGAGCTACCCTTGGACCGAATCGTCTCCTGAAGACCCCGCTGACTTTTTTCCGTCTCCTGCGCTGGGCACAGCACACGCGCAATGTTTGGTCAATCGTGGGGATCAGAGGTGCTGGTGCTTTTTTGGCGGGGAAGCAGTTCATTTGGAAGGCGGTCAGTGTTGGGGGGTTGGTCAACGTGACGCGCCCCAATGACGTGCACTCAAAAGTCACTTGCCAGATCGATTGTTCGATGATGCTCGCAGTATGTTTATTGGGCTATCCCATGTATTGATTTTCTATCTCTACGGCATTCTCATATCACCAATGCAAGTACAGATACTCACAAGATACGAAAAGTCCCTAGCGTAAAGCAAAACTACAGATATATATCTCTGCCCCCATCAACGTCCGTCTCCTCCAAACTTTGGGGTCCTAGATCGTGAGAACACGTTTCAAAACATCACATAATTTTAGACAGAAGTGTGCAATACTTTAGAATAGATGCCGATGAGTCGTTCTAGGTTCCCATTAAGAATGCATGCCTGTAGAGATGAAAAGGAGACAGAGTAGGGTAGTATACAGCCTCAGATTGTTATCGAGGGTTGGCAAAAAGACCAGTGCGCCAATGGAAAACAACTTTGAACCCAGTGTTAAGGGCCCAAAAAAAGAGAATAAACAAATGTGCGCAATATTGTAACAGAATTCGGCCACTTCAGATCTGGGCGGGATACCCAGCGGTCGAAGCGCTTCTGGGAGACTGATAGTCAAGCAAAAGAGCCAATTGAAGGCACCGCTGACGTGTGGTTCAAGATGGTTCAAGCGGATGTCGACTTAAATTTCTTGAAGACCCAGAGATGGCCTTTCCACCAAGGCCAAAAGCACTCCCGAAGCTTAATGATCGAATTATTTTGACTGAGGGCTTGCTGCCTTCTTTTGGTTAAGCTGTACAGGGTGTTAGCGACACTATTCTCATAAGCGAAGCTTTCAGCATCATGGAATGCTCAGAGGCGCAATATGAATGGTATCGACGCCGTGTAAAGATGACTCACCCAGTTCTTTTTACAGTCCCGATAGGCTCTGTTAGGAAGTCGAAGTTAGTAATGTCCGTATGGCGCGTTGAGCCCTGGAGCGGATCGAAACCAAGACTTCCCGCGGAGTCCCGTCTTGTCGTGGGCCAGAATTTCACAAGGGATGCTAAGAATAAATAGATAGACATACTGAAAGTAGTCGCCGCACATCTCGCGATCAAAGCCATTGCGCTTCATGCATTTTAGACTCCTGTCTGCGAAGTCCTGGCAAGGATCGTAGTATTCACTGGCCGTTTTACTAGAGCTTGGTGTTAGCCCTACACCCTTCAAAAAGTTGATTTGAAAGATAAAATGAAAAGAATTGAATAAGACCATGGAGCCATGTAGATCACAGCTTCATGCTTGACTGGGACCACCGGACCGAGTGGTGCCCTCGAAGACGACAAAATATCCACCAAAAGACCCAAGGAAAGTCTGGATCCAAGATTGTGACTGGAGAAAAGGGTTAGAAGCTTACTGTGAGAATTTCCGCTCAGCCTTCTCCCACGCCTTGTCGTGTTGTTCATTCTGGACGGTGTCGGCCGGCATGGTTGTGGTATGATTGGTAGAAATGAATGAGTACAAGAGACTGGCAGGAATCACAAATTGACTAGTGACTCGAACAGTTTATTCATCGAACGGGACGATGTTAAGAGAGCTTTGAGGTTGATGGAAGATCGAAAGGTCGGTGTTGCTCCGGGAAGAATTGGGGATGATCAGCAACGCAGTCTTGGCGTGGAGATGTCTCGTCTTGCCGGCATTCGCTTTCTGATTGGCCCTTCGTCAGCTGTCCAATCAGCATTGACGATTCTAGCAAAATGTAGATGCCAGCAAACATGGTTGTTGTTTTCTTAGTGATTCTTCCAAGCTAAGCTACTTAACATTAGGCTTTTAAATAGACCAATATAGAGCCCAATCAGTTCCAACTGCATTCAAGTAGTCTCTCTTGTGGACCGTTTCCATGATTCGAATAGTTGCCTCGGTTTCGAAATCAGCCGAGAGACGGCTTATATCGTATCCAGTGACGATAGAAGCTACACAATCTCATGTCAAGGCTTAATAGTATCTTGCCATGCGATCTTCCTCCTGCTTTGAAAGCCTTATTGACAGCAATTCCGCAGGTCGTCCCACCCCAGATATCATTCGATACAAGTGCTCCATTCCAATAATCAAACTTTGTCCGCTTCTCAACGTTTAGTCATGGGATAAGAGAGCACAGTCCTATCTTGCAAAAATTGCTTAATGTCGTTATATTAGTAGTAAAAGCTAGTTAACTTCATATACTACCAAAGATAAGATGAGGTTTTAGCGGCGGAAGATCTTGAGCCGCCTCGATAGCCTATCGTCTCCTAAGTGGGACCCGACCGGGGAGCCATCGGGTTAAAACTATATGTATTTGATATTTAATCCAGGCATGATTAGGAGTTTAGAGAATATGATAGATGGTTCGAGCCTGAAACCGATCTGGATTTGAAGGATTCACTTATCTATCCCAACACAGTGAGAACGATGGCTTTCGGGATTCTAGAGCCAGCTACTGGCTTTCAACCAACTTCAACATGCAAGCTTCACACCACTGCTCAGAACGAAGAGGGCAATAATCGTGTCCTCTTCCCTCAACCTTGTCAATCGCCTCTTGATCCCCTTAATTGGTCCCGAATCAGGAAAGAGCTCTTATTTGCGACTATCATTCTAGGATCATGCGCGACTGGTTCTTTAGGGCCCATCCTCGTCCCCGGATTCGCAGTTGTTGCCGAGAATCTCAATGTCAGCCTAACAAATGTGACTCTTTTAAATGGTAGTCTAGTCATGGCACTAGGTGTCAGTGCCTATCTTTGTTCATGCGTTGCCTCAGTCTATGGAAAACGTCTGGTTTATCTATTTACCACAATTCTGTTGTTGGTCTCTTGCTGCTGGGCCGCCGCGTCAAAATCTTATCATTCCCTCATTGCCTCGCGCATCTTCCAAGGTTTGTTGACTCGTTTTACTGCTCGATCTCTTATTTATGAATGAAAAGCTGATTGCACTGTTCTTAGGTCTCGGAATGGGTGGCTTCTTTGGTCTAGCTGGAACCAATTCTATCAATGATGTGTTCTTCGTTCACGAGCGAGGACTTCGTGTTGGACTATGGAATTTCGGAGTCATCGCATCTGTCAATCTCACTCCCGTGATTAGTGGTTATGTGATATCTAACCTCTCGTGGCGCTGGAGTTTCTGGCTTGAGGTCATTTTGTACTGTGTTCTTCTCGTTGCGGTGATTCTATTCTTCCCCGAGACGTCTTTCAACCGCGACTCATTTGAGAACACCCAAGCAACAGAAAGAACACTTATTACTGATGAAGCAAAGGGAGGCATCGTACTGGTGAAGTCTTTGCATGCCGACACATCACGCTGGCCTTTACAATCCTTGATAACTTTTATCCTTGGGGATAGTTCGTCGAGACCACCAGCCCAGCATAACTTGCTTTTCGCCTGCGTGAAGCCCTTCGCCATACTATTACACCCTGTGGTATTATGGGAATGTGTCATGTGGGCAGTGGTATTCACATGGACGATTTTGCTCGGAGCAGTGGCCTCTCAGATTTTCACCGCGCCACCATATAGCATGAGTACCGTGGCCGTCGGCAACCTCACCGGTGTCGCCCCCTTCATCGGATCCGCGCTTGGAACTGCATTAGGTGGGTGGCTTTGCGACTTCTTCGGGAGAGCCTTGTCAGATCGCACTAATGGCATCTATGAGCCCGAGTTCCGTCTCTTTGTGATGCCATTGGCCATCGTGACATTGGCTGTTGGGAGCTTCGGTCTTGGAGCCGCCATCCAAAATGAGGCCTCAGATATCGCATGTGGTGTTATTATGGCCATTCTCAACTTTGCTGTCGGTGTTGGCTGCACTGGTATCGTGGCTTACACTAACGATGTCTGCGCCGACAGGGCAGGCGATGCCCTCGGGCTTGCGATGGTATGTGCTCTCAGACTCGATTCTATTCTTTCTCAATTGATTGGGGTTTGATTGGTTGGCTGACTGATATTAGGTTGTCAAGAGTGCTTTTGCGTTTGGGTTGAGTTTTTTGTTTAATGACTACCTTGCTCGAAGCGGCCCTTTAGTCTTCTTCTCAACCTTTGGTGCTGTTACCATCGGGGTGATGCTCACCACTGTCCCTCTTTATGTCTATGGGAAGAGAATCAGGGCCTGGTCCGAGGAACACGGTTTGCTAGAGAGGGGGCCCAAATAATCAAAGCACGGCCTGCTCAATATGTAGCTATTTTGGGTATAACTATACACTTAGAATTAAATGTGCTCGTGACCGTTGAAACTTAGTATGCTTTTTAGTTTAAGGTTCTAACCCGGCAATATTTTGTTATTAAAGGCGTGTTAAAACTATCACCCAGTGTTGGTTCACCTGCTTCGTGAATTGGCCGATACTTTCGCACCCCGTTGCAATTTAGTCTCTTCTGTAAATATAAATAATAGCAGCATACTGGTCTGCGAATTGAAACTAAAGGCGATGGTGCCGAGAAGGGCAGGAGCAAAACAAGAGGAAACCAGGGTAGCGACAGGAACGAAGATAATTTAGCTATTCAAGTTGGAAGATAGAATATATGGAAGCACAGGTATAGAACACCAGCTGTCACTCCATCGAAAACACTATGAAAATCTGGAGACAGTTAGACCAAAGTAAACATTGAGTTCGGCTTGGATTGTTCAGTATCTGGTCCAGCTAGATCAGTGATGGAGTGTCGTCGAGCTGACCCCATTCCCTCGTGTCTAACATGTGGCTTAACGCCGCCATGTACACCAAGCCAAAGCATGTCGGGCCGGCTATAATGCCCACAAAGATCGACGAATGCTCTAGATTTGTGAATTTCATCCAAATCCAGGTCAGCATACACAATCCCCTCTTGAGTGCTCGGGATGAACTCTGAGAGCTGACGACCATCGGGGCCGTAGACTGCAGAGAAACCACCACCGGGTACGTTCATCACAACTCCGGTCTGTGTAGCCATTTCATCAATTCCAGCCTGGCTGACGACTGCAGTAGTGCACAGAACGAAGGACTGGGACTCCATCGCGTATGCTTTAGAAAGAGTTTCGGTGCCTTATAATAGATAGTTAGTGCGTTGAGCATAATTTGATGAAAGAGAAAATAGGCGGAAGAGTGACGAGGGATGTATGTATACCTTGGCGTGTCATGGAGTGTAATCCACTACCGTCGTCGTCGAAAACGGGTGGCCAAGCTGCAACGTGAATTTGTTCCCGCTGTGAATACGTGTGGTACTTGAGGAGTGGCTGAATATGCTCCCAGCAAGACAAAGCTCCGACTCGACCAGCTGGAGTGTCGGCTACGCTATGCAAGCAATCACCAAAGGAGTCGCCAAAAATCGTTCTTTCCATGTGGGTCGCCTTGATCTTCTTGCGGAGCGTGAGGATCTTTCCATCAGGGCCAATAATGGCCTGAGAGATGTACAATGAGGAATGGATGTTTTCGGAGAATCCAAGGACAACGGTGATCTTGTTTGCTGCTGCACATTCCTGGATCTTGATCATCTGCACCGAGTCCACTTTGAGAGAGTTTTGGATGTATCTGGTTGATAGTTTCAAATCAACTGGACGAGACCTGTATGAACCACAGCAATCGGTTAGTTTTAAATCGTAACTAGCAATGTATAGAAGCCACAGACATACCAGATCCACGCAGGATATCCCGGAATCCAACACTCGGGGAAGGTCACCAATTGAGCACCGTTTTCTGCTGCTTCGTTTATAAGCTTGCATGTTTTTTCGACTGTAGCATCGAGATTCAACCAGACAGGCTCAGTCTGAGTGACGGCCACGCGTACGCGAGAGCCAGAAAGTTGAGGCTGTGATATATTAGGCTTTAGGAGAATCACTAGGTCTGGTAGAATGAGGACTTAGTGATAGAAGACTGGGAGGCTGTTGGGTGTGGATTGAGCCGATTGATAACTCGTGTTGTACTTATAGTGAGTGAAGATGAAGGGGGATCAATGGCCATCATTCGGACTAAATTAATCTATAGAATGACAGCAGTAACGGGACTCCTCGAGACATTGCGGGGCTATCGTCGCTATCACGGCGGCAACTCAACTTCCGCCGCTAATGCAGCGCTGACCCACACAAGATGAATACGTATGGGGTATGTGCTCAAGATTATCTTTGACTTAGATTTGCTTATCATTTGAAAAAGAATAGAGTAAATGTGGACATGTCTCGTCACCTATCTTACCACCATCGGAGAACTTGTGGGATATTTTCGATGACTGAAAATTAGACCGTTATGGGAGTGCGTTAAGGTGCCTTCAAGTCCCCGTGGCAGGATTCCACCACTAATCAATAGCCTTGTGGAACCGAGTAGGATCCTGGTAAGGAAATATGCATCTCGACAAAATATACGATTGAGAACCCCGGAAATCGACATGATGAATAGGCTAATAGGAATGATGAAAGGAGTTACAAGAGTGGAAGGATCCATTCAGCGGCAAAGTTTCCCATACATCACAGTAGAAGATTAGGATTTTGCACACAATATCAATTGCTATCTTCATTATACCAGAAACTCTCGATCCAACTGTCTGATCCAGCAGGGTTTCCTGTATCCATAACCTCAGTGCCGTACGAGAGGAAATTGGCAGGATCAACATCAGCCCATGACAGCCCGTCAAATGTGTTGTCAAGATGAGGATACTCGCTTGTTTCCTCAGGCGAGGCATGCTGCAATTCTTCACATGACGGGGCAATGGGCGTCTGATTGTCTGAAGCAACAATTTCTGGGAATCCATTCAGAGGAAGGGCAGCCAAAATGTTCCATCTCTGAGCCAATTGTTGCAAAATCGAGACTGATTTTCTTGCTTTCTCCCACCGTTTCTGCATAGTGATCAGAGCATCAAAGGACACGCGAAATTGGCTGATCGATAGTCTTCTTATAGAAGATTGTGACGAAGTAGCATTTAAGAGATGAGTGACCGCAGCCGTCATGATACTGTGAACCACGAAAGGAGGGGCCTTCTCCAATTGTGCTACTTTCCTATATTCCCTGATGAGCCGCACCATAGCGGCAGCTGCGGTTGACATAGCTTGCACAGATAGTGGGAAAGCCTTGCTTTGAGCAGGATGCATGAGATATGGACGGTGGATTAGCATCTGCGACGTGTTATAGGACATATGAAGAACGATGACCGGTGGGATTGTATCGCCGGGCCCTAGCCGTAGCCTCGTGTCGAGACCACGATGGAATGCGAGAAACTCTTCACGGGCGTTGAGAAGGAGTCTATATTTTTCTAGCTCTCCCAAGTCATCAAATTCAAATGAATAGCTGCAGCATGGTTAGGGCTGGGATAATGGGTGCTTCTTGAGAGGGATGGAAAGTCTCATACATTTGATCCATGTGCTGGTCATGTATAAACCATAGTCTGCAGTGGTAATCGAATGCAACTTCTTCAAGGCTTGGTGTTGTATTGATAGCGTCGAGATAAGTTACTGCCCGCACTCTTTTCCATGGTAACAAGCAATTCCGCCCCAGGAGTGATGTTGCGATTCTGGGTTTCCCGATCAGATTGAGACTCGGAGTGAGAATAATGAATGGAGTATTACATATACATACCTATCTATCAATAGCGATGACCAGGCGGTTGTCAAGCGTACGCGGTTAATCGAGGAGGAGAGTTCGTCGTGTTCCGTTTTTCCATCGTCCAGTATTCGTAGTGAGCAGACTGGAAGCCCAAGATGCAAAGCCATTCCAGCACACATTGCTGTTGAATGTCAGAGCAAACCGTTTGTTAGACCCATACATATTTATCTCTGTGATCGAAAATATTCCAGCACTTACAGTTATACATCCATGCCATGTTATGGTGTTCGAGACCTAACTCACGCCAGCACATAATAGCAAGGGCCTGAACGAGCCAAACACTGGGATGCTGCCGACAAGCGGGTAGTATAATTGAGTCCACCGCAGATGCTGCATCATTTCCAAACGTTCGACTATCATTGTCATCCGAGAGTAGCGACCCGGCGGCAATAGCGGAGTACTTGGTGAGACTCAAATCCGGGTTCAAATTGTCCCCTCTCAGGCTGACCAGAGTGTCATGATCCACAAAGAAATGAATAGAATTGATATGCTGCTGGAAAAGGTCCAGGAGATAATTCGTAATTTGGGCCTCGTCACGTTGGGACGGGGATTCGCTGCCTATCGGTTCGTCTTGGTCCAGCGAATTTGACTCATGAATAGGTACATCTTTTGTGCTAGGCTCTTTGGGGGTAACGGGAAAGCAAAAGTTCCCCGAAGGACCAATAAATGCTTTTTCTCCACTGTCGTCGAGTTTCATACGCCACATGAGTACGCTCACATCTTGAATGGGGGAAGGCCCTTCCAGAGAGGATACCGATGTATAATTTCCGATTTGCGTTTCGTGTTGAAGATTATCATCTTCAATGGTGCTTTCAGTGGAATCAAGGTGTTCTGAGCGACGAGGAGCGTTTCTTGCATTCAGAGCTTCCAAGCGGCGCACTTCTTCTTTGAGAAGCCCAATTTGGCCCTCCAGCCCAGAAACATAGTCCTGATCTCGTTTTTGCCTATTTCAGATTCAGCCATGAATTGTGTATAAGATACACCATAGGCGTATAGAAATACAGACCTAGCAGGTCTTTTTGACTCATAATGGCATTCCAGATTCCTACTTAGACATCCAAAGCAACGAGGTTGCGCGCCATCGCACTACAACAACGGTGAGTCAGTTGAATGCATACGAGCTGCTATTCAATATTTTGACAGGACGCACCTTTCTCTTCCGCTTGCGACACATCTCGCAGGCTAGACGGACTCGCGCTGATGGCTCCAGAGTAGACATGCTTGCTTCTTCGTCGTGGGAATTGACGCGCGATAGCAACGCATGGCTCTGTTAAAGGTGGGGCTAAACTCGATCTATTGGGACTTTCCGCGCGAGATTTAGGGATTTGGCGGGATTCAATCGGCCAGATTGTAAACGTAAGGCGGATATAGCGCTGACTATACACCCGCGCGCAATTCGTCCGAGAATCTTAAATAGTGGCCCCACTGGTGCGGAATTAGTGACATCAAGAACCGCATGTCCCTAGTAGCGTAAGTATGTGCCGGAGGACAACAATCTCGATAAGGATCAGGCCTTTTGAAAAAGACAATGCGTACGGCACAACTCGCTTGTAGTCATATATTATTTATAGGGGACAAATGCTATTGAAAATGATCCGCTCAATCTGTAAAAGAATCTTATGCTGTAGCTCCAACACTGACGCAAAAAAGACGCCATGTGCTATAGATGACTCTATGGGCCCTATCGCTGGTAGACCGAGGCACCCAGGCCACAATATTCCTTAAAGAGGCTACTTGGTGCTGTGTGCGAGTGGCAAGTTGTCGGCTTATAGTAAAACATTATTAAAGTTCGCAACGAGAAATTTTCGCGATTTCCTCTTCAGTAATCTATGGAAGAGGGATATTGTGGTAACCAGTCACATGCACCATGCCAGGGCCAACGATTATGTAATATGCTGCCTTAGGCCTGCAACGACAAACACGACTGTCCCTGGCTTGATGAAGGTTGCTTTATCTTACTTCTAATCAGCATTCCCCTTCCTCTGCTTTACACCTACGCTCACCTCTGCCTCGAATCCCCGAACCAACTGTTGTTGTGGCTCTCCCGTGTACCTTGAACAACCACCTTGCCACAATCTCAGGGAACTTTTTCATCCGACCCCCACCGCATCTTCCGGATTTCGCGCCCCCGCGCCTCACGACTTTCAAACGCGATTTGATTGATGCTTAAGCACTCCCTCGCCAACTGAAGACACCCAGACATCCCCAACAGCCAACATGGCGGGTGGTGATGGTTCCGAGGCGGAGGCATCGGGGGTAAGAATAGGCTGGACCCCAAGTGTGTTACAGAGTACTTTTACTGACGCGTTCACAGCTTGTCAACACGCTCCAAGGGCATGTCGATGACATCCGAAGCCGTTTGCAATGTGGAATTTGCATCAGACCTCTTTATGAGCCTTTCAGTCTTGCTTGCGGACATACCTTCTGCTACACCGTGAGTGGCCACCCCCCATCAACTTTTGGTCTACCGAGGCCCGCCTCTAATTCTTTCAAAGTGCCTTGCGCAATGGTTCAGTGGTGGAAGATCGAAGCGGACATGTCCGGATTGCCGGGCTCCCGTAAAGACACAGCCCGCGCCAGCGTATCTTGTAAGTGAACCCGTCTCCAGAACCGTGTCCACCACATGCTAACGCCTCAGTTTTAAAGGTTCGAGAGATCGTACATATGTTCACGAGTCGAGCAGAGCTGTTGGATAAGGGGGAAACCACCGCCGAGCATTTAGTGAACCGACAAGCAGAATCGGAGAAACTGGACCTAGACAAAGCAAATACGAACCCACAAACTGGTGGTCTGTTTGGAGGTCTCTTCAAACCCAAAGCTCCTGCGTTGAAACCCCTTGTCGATGTAGATGATGGGGTGATGCGATGTCCAAACTGTCAGTGGGAGCTCGAAGAAGATGCGTGTGGGGGTTGCGGATGGGTTTATCGCCCGGACGAAGATATAACCGACTACAGTGGATCTGACGAGGATGACTACGATGACGAGACCGATTATGACTCGATGCTTGACGGGGAGGACCCTGAAGAGGATGAATTTGGGGACATTGATGATGATGACAGTGCTTGGGGGCCGTACGGGGCTTACGGCAGGCCATTCCTTTTCGGAGAGGGAGGCCCAGATGCTGCTGCTCTCTTTGGTCCTTTCGCCCATGCTCTTGGAAGTCATGTCTACCAACCGCATCCATGGGGGCCAGTGCCTGTTCCCGGAGACTTTAATGGTCATTACGACGACGAGGAGGGCTTCGAGGACGAAGATGAGTATGACGAGATGGACTCCTTTATTGACGATGAGGAGCGTCCAAATGGCACGCAATACGACTCCGATCATTCGACTGTTGTCGGCGCCAACGGACCTCCGAGTCGTGCTTCTCCGACCCGGAGACAAGGGCGACCCGTTTTGAACATCGACTCTTCATCCGAAGATCCAAGCGACGCCGAGGAAGGCGATACTACTGGCGTGTCGTTCGCTGATGGATGGAACCCTCATTCTTCTGGAGGAGGGGCGTCGAGTAGCCCTCCCTCTCAATACCACGACACACTGTCTTCTCCGATGGGGTCTTCTCTCGTTAATGACGAAGCGTCAGAAAACGAAGACGAAGACGATGGTGACAGCGACAGCCAAGACGAGGGTGATAATGAAGTCGACGACGATGAAGATGACGAGGAGGATGAAGAACCTCTTGTCAGCCGTGGGCGTTACCGCCAGCGACTCGAGGTCCCTGCATCGAGTGATGGGAGTGGTTACCGCCAGCGACTCGAGGTCCCTGCATCGAGTGATGGGAGTGAAGTAACAGAAAGCCCGTCACCACGACTCATAAGGCCTGCTAGGCATACGGGGTCTTCAGCCCACAATGCTATCACCATTGCCGACTCGGATGAAGAGCAACCGGTTGGTCCGGGGCGGCGAGCGGCACAAAGGCGAGCGATGCAGAGACGGGGCACTCGCTTCTCGCCTTACTGATATGACCATGCACTTCTCGGCATCAGCCCCGTTTTCTTCCTTGTTTGGCTTCTTCGGCTTTATCCCATTGCGATTGCAATCAGCGCGGCGCACAGGGTGGGATAGAAAAGTTGCACCACGCTTCTTATGTGATTCGCACAACCCTTTATCTGATATACCAAGTCCGTATCTCTTCGGCCGGCGCAGTGACTTCTTTGGCACTATTCTCTGTCTCCGTTTGGCTTCCACCTTGGACTCACCATTCTTCCTGCAAATACCCCTATCCTTTTGTTTGATTTTTTCCCCTTGGCACGGACAAAATACGTCAGCTTTTCTGCCATTTATTTCTTATCTCTGGTTGTGAGATCATAGCGAGCGAGGAGGTATCCTGGGTGCATGTATTTTTCTTTCTTCTGTTCGAAAGGGCTTATTCTAGTCTAGTCTGCTGGCTCCGGCTTCTACCAGGGACATCCAAAATCTACCATTACAAAATCAATAATTCTTTGCCTTCGCAATGCTATCCCAATGCGGTCAAATATTAGCTTCTACAAGAAGTAAGGCCTCCCACTCAACGGACCCCAAGTTGTAAGAAAAGAGTTGCCTGTATGCACCGGCGGATGCTGGTGGGTGACTCATCAAAGTGAGACCCTGGCGGGGCAGCGACGACATCAATCTTATAAAGCTCTGCGATTCTCGTTTTTTTTTCACAATAATTTTCAATAGTATCGAGGATTATTTCTGTTCTCTTACAGACTCGCCGAAATGAGCCCTCCTCAAATTGCGCCTTATGGCCATTGGAAGAGTCCGTTGACCGCGGAAGGTCTGGCAACATGCAGCATCATGCTAAACGAAGTGGTCGTTAATGTTAGTGTCGAGCCCTAAATCCTTGAAAAACAAAAGGCCAAGCTGACAATTGACAGGAATCAACGGGTGCAATCTACTCTGTTGAATGCCGACCAGTTGAAGACGGCCGATCTGCCATCGTGCAGCATCTCAATGGAGAACCCAAAGATGTTCTCCCGAAAGACCTCAGTGCACTCGCCTCCGTGCAAGAACTTGGAGGTGGATCCATCTCAATGAGACCCGATGGAAATATTCTACTCTCAGACGAAGATTCTTGCAATATCTATCTACTGGATCCTACGTCGGCTCAAACCACGCTAGTCCAACCAGCTGAGGAAGGCATTCGCTACGCAGATTTCTCTAGCCACCCTACAAACTCGCGATGGATCATTGCAATCAAGGAAGATCACCGAGAGGCTACACCGGAAACTCAAGCAACCCACGTCCATAACACGCTTGTGGCAATTGATATCGACCTTGACCCGAAAGACTCGGGCAAGGAAATCACCATTGCCCAAGGTGACGATTTCTACTCTCATCCTAAATTTGATCCTTCTGGAAAATATGTTTCCTGGATTCAATGGAGCCATCCCGACATGCCTTGGACGGGAACTGTGCTCTACCTGGCCGAGTGGAAAGATGGGTCCTTGGAAAATATCACACGGATTGCGGGCGAAGCACAGAAGGAGAGCATCGCTCAGCCAAAATGGGGTCTTGATGGAAAACTGTACTTTGCGAGTGATTCTACCGGCTTCTGGCAGTTGTATTCATACAATCCAGAAGAACCTGGAGTATGTGCGTTGACATTCAAGGGAATGGAGAAGTCGGACTTTGCAGTCGCCGAGTGGGAGCTTGGAAGGTTTGTGTCGATCCACAATAGAAGTCTTGCCTGCAATACTAACAAATTTCAAGCTCTACATACACATCGCTGGATGAGAAGACTATCGTGGCAACGGTGATTACCCATGCTACTAGCAAAGTGGTTCTAATCGATACCGCTACTTCATCTGCCCGAGACCTCGACATTCCTTATGTGGATATCGATACAATCTGTCGCATCTCAGCTACCAGCTTTGCAGTCGTCGGGTCGTCAAAAACCTCACCCCAGGAATTGGCGCTAGTCTCGTTTAACTCTTCATTCGAGACAACCAGGAAGGTGCTCACTTCTACCGCGTCATTCGAACTAGCACCTGAATTCGTTTCAATTGCGACGGACTATACTGCCCCTCAAAAGCACGGTCCTCAAACCGATGGCGAAGTCCATATGTTCTATTTCGCTCCTCGCAACCCTGACTTCCAGGCTGATAGGAACAGCCTGCCTCCTCTCCTGACATATGTACATGGAGGTCCCAATGGGGCTGTCACTCCCGCTCTTGACCTCGAAATCCAGTACTGGACTACCCGTGGCTTTGCCGTCTGTGCTGTCAACTACACTGGCTCCGTCGCTTTTGGCCGAGAATACCGCGAGCGACTGTCCGGGTACTGGGGTCTTGTGGACGTGGGAGATGCAGTCAGCGCGGTCGAATTCCTAGTAGACAAGGGGTTGGTCGACAAGACTCGGGTTGGAGTTTATGGTGGAAGTGCCGGAGGTTACTTGACTCTCCGTGCCCTCCACATGTATCCCGAAGTCTGGGCAGCGGGAATCAGTTCCTACGGTATCAGCGACGTCAAGGCCCTGCAAGCAGATTCTTACAAGTTTGAGAGTCAAGACGTGGATAGATTGCTTCTTAGCAAAACCAAGCCCGAGGATCGAGAGGCGGAGCTCAAGAAGCGCAGTCCGTGCTATTATGCAGAACAGATGACGGCACCATTGTTGCTGTTACAAGGAACGGAGGATATGGTCGTTCCGATCGCACAAGCGCGCATGATGGCCGATGCTATGCATTCTAAGGGCCGAGCCGCCGAGGTCGTTGAGTTCGAGGGTGAGGGTCATGGATGGCATGGTCAGAAAGCTATCCTCGAGTCTTTCACCCGAAAGGAAGACTGGTGGAAGCGATATCTGGCCTGAAGTGTGTTCGTAAGAGGCATTATCATATTTCCTGATTAAGTACATTCATCATCTAATTACCATATTATTGTGTATCGGGGCGGTCACAATTCCCAGTCCAGTCATGCTACCTCCTCGGAGTGTGAAATTCCATAGTTCCTTCGCCGGTTCATCACTTGCCCGGCAAACAAACAGAAATCCTTGCAATACTGATATCGCACTGCCCCAGCCCTCCAGAGATAATTGATCTGCAACATCCACGAGGTGGGCCAAATACCATGAATGACACTCCATCCCCCTGGATGCCAGGCTACCCACGAACAGAATCCAGAATAGCAGATCGCTCTTTGCACCCTGGAGAGTACGGTAGCTCTTACACAGGCTGTGCTGGAGCGTTTCGAGCAGCACCTCTAAGCATGGCATCCCATACAGACTCCAAACCCGTATAGAGGAGTAGACTAGGATGGAAAGTCGCACAATCTCCTCGAATGGTGAAAGGGAGATCTCAAATGGGAGCGATAATAGACGATGCGTTAGATAAAGTAAACAATCATTCTCAACCGACATCGGCTCAGCAGAAATAGTGCTCAGATTCTCATAATATGAGACCAACTGCTGATACCAGGAAATGAGCGACTTGAACTTCGGTTGGATCTCATCCGACCATGGAGCATTGAAAAAGCGAGCTCCTAATGCGGAGGCTTTCGTGTTCGTAGCACGATTGCTCGCCTTGATAATCATGGACTGCTCCAGAACTCGGTTCTCAAATTTGGCACACATAGGAATCGCTGGTCGTGATCTGCTTTTTATCATTCCGTGCAAAAATACACAGCTGTAAAGTCGAAGAAGTTAGCAGAAATAGAAGGGGCAATGGATGATATCACTTACCTATAGATCATGGAGAGAGTTCCTCCATCAAGTTCATTCAATCCGCCTGTCACGGCTATTATCTTTATCATTCCATTCATATGCGCCTCGACGGCTTCTATATTACCGTCAAAGCCCTTGGTCATTTTGCGTTAGTAAACGGAGTGCTGATCGACGAAGCCTTCTTCCTCTTTAGAAATTATATATAGAAAGACACTCACTTCGGAAACAATCAGGTGAGATATGGCGAAAACCGTTGACTCGGTGTATAATTTGCTTTCATTCCGAAAGATCTCTTGAATTGATTTGATCATTCCAAGACGAAGGCGAAGCGTATCCTGCGTGGGTTTCTGCACAATCGAAGCAGGGGCTCCCGAAGCCTTGAGGATTGCTGCTCGGTGAGAAGCACTGATTGATAGCTTTATTTGCATCAAAGGGGGGTCGTCGAGCACTTTCCTCCAGAACCAGAAGGTCAGTTCGTTAGGGCAAAGAGGAAAGCATGATCTCGCCGAAAAGACATGATCTAGTAGTTGATTAATTAATTTTTTTTTGCCATTCAAACCGCAGAAGAGTTGGACTCTTGCTACGTCAGATGCGGTTGGTACTCACAGTGTTGGAAGTACACATTCGGATTATGCTTCGTATGGATGACTAGATCGGGAACTCCGTCCAGGACCCCCACTTCGAGGGATGGCGATATGACAGATTGCTCAGGAGAATGATCATCGTCGTCTTGATTACTCGATAGATCATAGCGACCATATGTAGATTCACCGAGGACACTGGTCTTGGATGTTGGAGGCCGACGCTTGGTGGCGGGTGGTGCGATTAATTTCGATTGAAGCGATTTTTTCTCTCTTTGCAATCGATGATGCCTCGTTCGTACAAAGGATTGTTTCGATCGAACGGCTTCACGGTTCTGGGACTTATCATCCTGGTAATTGACCCACAGAAAGTCTCCTGATACCCGTTTTATTCGCTGCTTGGTGGTGGGAACCGCCTTCACAAATTTGGGATCGGACGCCATAGTGATCACGTTTGACACTGGATTTCATGACCAAATGGCAATAGGGGCCTTAACAGTGAGACCCGATATTTAAACAGTGAGGCTTGACTGTAGTTAGGGACTTATTTTCCCCTGGAAACGCCCCCTGGTCGGCATTTGCCACAACGTCCTCAACCCCTCGATCGGACCTCACGTGAAAACCTAACCATATTGGGTAAGGTCATCAAAGTCTGTACGAGTCGTTGAGGGTGAGTTTGAACGGCGGAGACTAGTACCGTGCTGTAGCAAGTTAGCAGGACTGCCGAGGGGGCTAGTACCGCCCCTGGCTCCGCTATGATCCACCGGGAGAAGCCGAACGGTAATTGCCAAAACTACACTTGTGACTAGTTGCATGATTGATTCACCAGGGCCCCAGTGAACTAGCGAGTAATCACTAATCCGTAACTAACTTCTAATATACTCCTCGAGTCGTGGTCGAGGGCGTATGCATACATATATCGAGATAGGCTGGCCTAACGGTCTCGGCGCTCAGAGCCTCAATTTCAATCCCGTGAGGATCCACTTGGTCGAACTATGTGCGACGGCATGTACACAGTTGTCGTAACACATCAATACCGTTGGGATTTTATACCGGATAAGATCTTTTTGTGGGGTTTGTTTGACTTTTTAACTTTCTTCGGGACAGGCGTAACGGTGCATAACTGTTGAGCACTTTATGCCTTTCCGCGTAACGTCCTCGTGCTGCCCTTCAGCCAGACCCAGGCGCTGTCGAAGGTCGTGCTGGAGACTACTTCTCCAAAATGAGAAGTACTTAACAACAGTTGAATTGAATGGCAATGACGGCTTGAGTTGATCATGAACACACTGGTATGTGGGAAACAATGCGAGTGTTCAAGTAGAAACCTTTCCATAATCAACCATGAGTGCAACTCGTAACTGCAAAGAGCATAGTCCCGAATTCATCCATGTTTTCAAGCCAGCGGTTGACTCTATCGCGTCTTTCAGCAATATCAGCAGCATCTAGACCTGGTGGCATGGGCCAAAGCTCGTCAATAGTCAGATATTGCCTCGTCCACTCCGTCAGAGAAACATTGTACTCCTTCTCCCACTGCCGTCGTGCTTGTGCCTGCCACATGAGTTTGTTTGCCGGAGCGGGAAGCCCTCGTAACTCCGTACCCAGAAAGGTGGGGAGGTTCTCCTGCGAGGAAAGTATGCTGTCGAAAAGGTACATCACATAAAGTGTGCGCCTCTTCGATTCAGTGACAATCCACTCTTCCCATTTAGGACGCGTATGATGTCGATCGGCTGTGCACACAAGGCCTCGACGAGATGTAGAGCACGCTAGCTCTTGTAGTGTCATCATTGCTTGGCGAAAGAAAGCACTCGAGCCTTGACTCAGCCGGAAGAATAACACTAGTGCATATATGAGATACGCTTGATAAGCAGCTAGAAGCGCCATGTCATCGTACTTTTCTCGAGTTGCGGCTATACTCTCCATTTCTCGTTGAAGAACAAGAGCAGCAGCACTTTCGGTGCCCGGTAAGGGATGCTCGCTTATCCGTATTAGACTCAAGCAAGTATTCAGAGGTGAACTTGCTGTTTGGCCGTTCATTTGTGCGGGGTGGATGAACGGGAGTATACCGCGTCCACGAGATGCACTGGCAGCATACGAGTTCAATATCCGCCAAATATAGTTTATGACAGTGACGGGATAAGACTTTATGGTTTGCTCAGGACCAGGAATGTAGGGGTTCAGCCAGCGATTGCTAATATCCTCCACATTGATGGGACAGAGTAAGTCCAGGCACCCAAAGTTGAGAGAACTCTCGGCCAGATCATCTGTGCTGATGGCTAGAAGCACTTCGTGGCGCGAACTAGTAAATGATGTTCTTGTTCCATGATCAGAGCCATCGAGACTATCATCCTGCGCTTGGCCACCGGGAAATTCACCAGAGCCAGAAGGTACTTTGGGATAGACACACGAGAGACTTCGTTTAGCACATCTTGCGCAGGGAGACTGGCGATCACATTTTGCCTTTGAGGTTGAGCATTGGTCGCATGATTTCTGTCGAGATGCAGAATATCTTGATGTGTTCATAGCGTCATAGTGTTCGGTTTTGTGAAGATGTACCTCTGCTGGAAGGGTGATCAAAGGTTGCAAGGCTACGCGGCAGGAGCAAGTTCACGATGTCAGCGCCTCACGTGATCTATAGATCAGAACGATGATCATGGGCATGAGAACGAGATCCGCCCGAAATTAGGCCTACTTTGTTGCGAGAATAACAAGATGAATCTAAGCATTACCTAAAGAATCTATCTTAAAGAATCACGAATGAGATCAAGGTGTCATATAAGAAAGTCCTTTTGGTGGTTGATGATCTCTTAAAGATGATGTCTGCAATATGTATGCAATAGAGTAGAATACAGGTAAAAACTCCGACTCCGACCCCCAAAACCACGTCGTGCAACGCTCTGAAGAATAAGTCGTCAAACCCTCAGGCTTAGAAACTTCTATACATCGGTTTCCACAATAGAATCAGTGGAAGTGAACGGAACTTCAAAAACAACAGCGCCATTCCGACCGTCAGGAGCGTTGCCCTGATCGTAGTTGTTGGCGTAACACTTCCATCGGGCCAAGCGGTGCTCCTTGCCAACTGCAGCCACAATGCATAGACCTCGAGCCTCGGTCGCTGAATCTTTCTGAGATTTGGATGACGATTTTGTGGAAGACGAAGCTTGTTCGGGACGACGCTCAAACACGGCGATGTCGTTGATCACACCCTTAATCAAGGGCTGAGGTTCTTGTGCCTCGTCCTCAAGCTTCTCAACTTCCATACTCTCAGGATCGGGGGTCGTGTCGAGCGCAAGAGCATTTTTGAGCTGTTTCGACGGTGTGTCGGGAGCAACCTGACCTAGGGAGCCTGCGCCAACTGGGCCCAATGGAATAATGGTCTTCTTATCGTCAGAGATCCGCCACGCACGAACCCAGCCATCCCAGCTGCCGCTAAGGACAACATCAGTTCCAGGAAGAGTTGTGAGGGCGGTGATCCAGCGAGGCATACGCCTCATGTGACGGGTATTGCGAGCAGCAGTCTCCGGGTCGACTTCGGGGGAGAGTTCGTCCAGGGGAGGCATAGGATCCAGACCGTGGGCCAAAGGAATCGTGTAAAGAGGCTTCTTTTTGTGCATGGACCATAGCGAGATGGATCCCGAGTCGGAACCTGTGACGAAATGATTGGGAGGAAGCGGAGCAATGCAGTCAATGTTGCTCTCAATGTAAGGTGCTTTCTTGGATGCACCACCACGGAATACGAGCTGCGACTCCTCCACAACTTTCCACAACCTGGCTGTACGGTCCCGAGCTCCGACTGAAACACACTGATCAATGGTCATGGCTGCGACTGAGGTAACATGATCCTGATGGCCGAAGAGAGTTTCGACATAGGCGTGGCCAGCACCGCTGATCGACCAAGTCTTCAAGGTACGATCGTATGATCCCGAGAAAAGTTGCTCTCCGGAGCTCATAGTTGAGATGTGGCGAGCGAATGCCAGACTGCTCACAGAGTCACGATGCTGTGAAAATGTCTTCATAGGGGTCAAGGTATCGGCATCCCAAATGACCAGACGGTTATCGGCACCACCAGTAGCAACGAATTTGCCCGAGGGTGAAACAGCGACCGACAGGATACTTCCAGTATGACCGGACTCTTCGCCTGTTTCAGCGATCTTGCGCACACCCCGGGCATATTTAACCCGCCTGGGCTTCTTGCGTTGCGGACGAGGAGGCCGTGTCGACGATCCATTCGTTTCAGTAGTCGCCGGTACGGTTGGTGTGGCCAACTCCCACTTGATCAAAGTCTTATCCTTCGACACGGTGTAAACGTAAGGCGGATGAACGGCGATGGAAGTAGTCGACTGGGTATCGGAGCGGAAAAATGAGTGAGAGGGTTCAGAGAAAGATAGATGGGAGGCAATCTGGCGGAAAGTGCGTCCTTTGAATTCGTCCTAATGTTAATTGTTGTTAGCCATTGAAGCATTGGAATATTTATATCGATATCAACATACCACATCCTCTTTCAATCTCTCCGCAATCAAGTCTCGATCAATTTCGGCGGCATCGAAGCCCACTGTATCCTCGACGTCTTCTCGGATGTTGTCCAAATAGCGCTCAGCGAGTTTCAATCTCCGGTCTGCGGCCGTTTCGCCTTTATCAGAGTCTGATTCCGACTCTGAACCGGAGACCAGGGACTCCATCCCGTCTTCATCATCATCCAGGTCACTTCCAGAGATAGATTCTTCGCGATCACGGGCTCGGCGACTTCCTGCAGCGTCATTTTTGGCATCAACGCCTCTCTTCTTGGTTGCTGGAGCGGCGGCGCGATCTTCTCTCTTGCGCTTGCGTTGAGAAGCGGGGACGGTAAAGAAGGAAGACATGGTGACCTTCAATAGAAGACCTCCAATGTAAATTCCTAGTTAATTGTGTGTGCAAAATTCACCTCACAGTAAACGTCGTCGTCGTCGCGGTCGAGGACTTGCGGGCGGAGACAACTTTTTTTTTCGGAGAAAAGGCGCTAAGCGGCGGCTGAGTCAGCAGGGTAGCTGAGAGCTCCCGTCCTCCCCAGTCCAGGCGTCAAGCTCGCCGCGCGGTCATCAACCATCAACCACCAACCTTCTCATTTCCCTTCTTCACCTTCACTCGCCTTAACCCTTCTATTTACTTGTCGGAACTGGATCTAGTACTGCTGCAAATATGTAAGCATGTTATGCCCTCCATTCATTCAATCGGCCTCTGTTGCTAACAGACCATGCAGGGACGTTCTCTTGGGCATCACTGGTAAGGACTTCGTCATTGTGGCCGCATCCAAGGCCATAATGCGAGGCCCTACGATCATCAAGGCCGAGGACGATAAGACGCGGCAGCTCAACAAGAACACATTGATGGCGTTCAGCGGAGAAGCTGGTGACACCGGTGAGTAGCTTATGTTTAGCGACCATCACGGCAACCGACGGGCGGAACAAGGCAAGGATTCTGACCATCGATCGTGACTAGTGCAATTCGCCGAGTTCATCCAAGCCAATGTTCAACTGTATTCGATGCGCAACGATACCGAGCTCAGCCCAGCCGCCGTTGCCAACTTTGTCCGAGGAGAGCTGGCCCGCAGCTTGCGATCACGAAGCCCCTACACAGTCAACCTGCTCCTTGGAGGCATGGATCCAACCACAGAGCAACCTCATCTTTACTGGATCGATTATCTGGCTTCGCTCGCTCCCGTACCATACGCTGCCCACGGATATGCCCAGTACGTTGTGTTCCTCGCGGGACCTTGAATCCGCCTAGGTTGGATTCTCCGTGCTAACATATGTAGATACTACTGCCTTTCCCTTTTGGACAAACACCATAACCCCAACATCGATCTGGAGCAAGGCATGAAGCTTTTGGGAATGTGCACAGATGAGCTCAAGCGGCGGTTGCCGATCGATTACAAGGGCGTATGTACATCCGCGGCCTCTTTTGCCTGCCGAGTCACTAATTTTCTATTCGAATAGGTCCTTGTAAAGATCATCACGAAAGATGGTGTGAAGGAAGTCGACTTCGACAACGACAAGATCGTTCGGAGTGCTTAATGGACGACATGCTTAGGCGTTTGTTGTATCATATCCTATGACGTTTTACCCTCGATGACAGGATAATTTGAAATCTGTCGGCGCATTCAAGCCGTAGACAAGGGAAGGCACCTTTGATTTGTGCTCTATCATATTAACAATCCATCAATCTTAATTTCTGTAAACTCTAGCTTGCGAACATGACAAGATAGCGAGGTACTAGTTGAGACCTTGCTCTAGTGGTTTTGGCTTCTTCTTTCCTTCTCTCTTCCAGCGAGATTGGTGTCCTTCTTGTTACGCTCTAGATAGCCCAATAGATTGGTTCCCTTTCTCTTCCTTTGCGTTAGCGCCGTATGCGCCATCAAACGTGATATCGGGTTCGTGCTCATTCGGGGATCTCAATCAGGATTAAATTCAGCTAAAAAGCAGAATTGATTTGGAGCTAACAACTATTCAATATTACTTCAAATAAGCTCACAACGTCCATTCATCCCTGCGAGAAGCCTAATCCATCTTGTTAGGTCGTTTCGCTAGCCTATACTGGACAAAACAGGTGTCTGACCATTCAAGAGGATCCAGGAAAGGCCATCCCATTTGGAAGCCCGAAATATGACTAAACCCATTAGTGAATATTCCTGATACGTAGGGCTATCAACGTACATATTGCCAGTAGACTGGTCATAGATGATCTTCGATATTGCGCCTAGCTCTGGGCACCACACCGCAACGTAGCATCTCCCTATAAATGATATTAGCGTCTGCTGAGGAGTGTTATATTTAGTATGCGTGAACTAACCTATAGACAACCTGAAACTTGGTTCGAGTCTCAGCCCTTGTAGGGGCATCTAAGCTCCAGAAAAATTCCTCTGTTAGAGGGTCCCCGGGTACCTTTTCCCATACGAGGAATGTGATGTAGCCACCAGGAAGTCGATCATGTTGCCCTTGTATTTTCCTTTGCTGTGACCAAGGAGCCATGGGACAGAGGTACAGCCTTGACTCATCAATTGCTTGAACGCCTCTGGTTCACCACATACTTCAGCTCCAGTAGGTTGAATTTGCCGGGCTAGTGTAACCAAATCAGCGTCCTCGGTATCAGTGAGAGGAATCTAATAATAGATTCTCATAGAAGCTATCTGCCCTGGGTCCTCCTCTAGATGGTAAAGAAATTTACCAACTGTCATAGGAGTCCCAGTGCCCATATCAACATCCTCCTGGTCAAGAAGGATAGCATCCTCCGAGAGCTTTTTCGTAATTATCCATGAGCAGCAAGTCCCTGGAGGGGGCGAGGCCGAAGAAGGGACGCCGGGAGGGGAGGCCGTAGAGGTAGAGACGGCAGATAGCTGTGGTAGGGGGTCGAAGTTTAGAGAGGTAGTGAGTGACCCTAGTTCCTACCAGGCGGGGGAGATAGTGGGCCTTGAATTCACTTCGTGTCATAGTGATTTCTGTGAGTAGATACTGATAGTAAGATGTGGGTGGAGGTAAATCATGGTAGCTTGAGAGTATGGGCACTTTGAGCGAACGAGGTGCGAGGGAGGCTGTAGAAGGCAAAGGTAAGGATAACAAATGACAAGCATATATACCGAAGTGGGGCGCTAAGCTTTTTAAAGTGGAGCAGATACAGTGAGTAAATTAGAGGACACCAGGCAGAAACCCCTCATCAGCGAATTCAAATACCGGGACCAGCCTGTTGGCAGATCAGAGGACTATTCATACGGGAAGGATACACGAAGGATGATTTGAATTGCAAATGTCTAAATTTTGGTAAAACCACTCCCAACCAGGTACTCCCAGAGATAATGCGCCAATCAATAGGTATACACAAGATTTTATGCCTCCAACATAATCACATCCTTTTCATGCTCTTCCAGGTCTCCATTGACATCATCAGTTTTGATATTCAGATCCATCAGACCACCAAGACCAACACCGCCGTCCATCTCATTAAGCACCCATTCGACCAGGTAGCTATCGTCAGCCAACTCCTCGATACGCTTGTAATGCCTCTCGGTATACGCGGCCAAGCCCTGCATGATATCTTTCAAGCCGCCTCCGGCACGGCCATTCTTGCCCTGCACGGATGTCGTGGCCAGCTCGACGAAAGTCGAGGCAGGGTATGAACGGAAGAGAGCGTAAAGGATGCGTTGAGAGACACGCGATGTGCGTGCATTCGTGTTCCAATCACGGACGCGCAGGAGCAGTGTGCGGAGGTTAGAGGTGCCCAGAGTTTGGAGAACCTCGTCAATAGCGGGGTTACCGGTCAAGCTGTTGGCTGCGAGTGCGCGTTCTGCTTCGGACCGGGTCGGGTCTTCAGCGGCGTCAATGGCAGCGGTGAAAAGGGACAGCAGGCGGCCAGGGTGGTTGAGCTGGAGAGCAAGGGTGATGGCTTCGCGGTAGTTGCCGGCGCGAATGTGGTTTTGCAGTTGCTGATCTTGCTCAATGCGCTCGGACTCGGCATTCACAGCAGCGGAGTAGGTGGCGGAGGTTGTATCAGTCCAGAAAGTTACCGTCGAGTCGGCGGATCCACTGACAAGGGCAAAAGGTGTGCTGTTAACCTTGGAAGAGGTTCGCTTGACATCGCTTCTGGACCCAGATGGCGTTGGGCTAGCAAGGGCCCAGACTCGATCTGTGTGATTGTCCAGGGTTGTCTCGGCCTCGCCAGTGTAGGGGTTCCAGATCTTGACCAACCCATCAGCAGCAGCGGAGGCTAGAAGGGGCCTTGTGTGAATAGCATTCTTGCCGGTCGATGCTTCGTCCTCCTCGTCCTCGTCACTCTTGGAGATTTGAGGAGGCGGGAGCCAGATCACCTTGAGGACGCTGTTTGTGTGGCCTTCAAATGTCAGGAGACAAGTGTAGTCAGACAAACTCCAGAGTTTGACTGTCTTATCACCAGATGCCGTAGCAACTAGGCCGCGACTTGTGCTGGTCCCATCTTCGGTATTGACGATAGGAGTGTTCTTCGGGGCGAACCGCACTGACCAGACACCTCGCTTGTGCCCACGCAGAATACCCACTGCAGCTCCCTCTTCCACGTCCCAGATCTTGACGGTACGATCCTGGGAAGCGGATGCAAAGAGAGCAGATGCAGAGTCGATGTCCAAGGCGTTAATATCCTTCTCGTGCGCCTTACGAGTGTAGACAGCCTTGGGAGAGTGAGGCTTATCACTCTTGAGCTGACCGAGCTTGCCTGTATCCCATCGCTTGATGGTTCGGTCCTGGGAGCCGGTCATAAGGAATGCAGGTGGGTGATTGACTGGGTCGTTATAGGCGGGAGTTCCGGTCGGGGGTGGTACCCGTGGCAGAGCAATTGCGCCTAGTGACTCGGCGTGTCCAGTGAAGACGGCAAAAGACTGGAAAGAAGAAGTCTTGGGGTCGAGGCGCCAGAGGCGGGCTGTATTATCCTTCGCTCCGGTTGCCAACCAGTGACCAGACCAGTCTACATCAAGACAGATAATGATATCCTCGTGGCCTTCCAGATGCTGAATGTCAGCACCGAAGAATTCTTCACCCTGGGTGGACGGACGGTCCTCCGAGGGAGCCACGGACACCAAGCGAATGCTCTCTGTGTTCGTGGCAAGAGCAAGCATCGAGCGATCAGGACCAGCGAAAGCCAGATCGATATATTCGTCATCATTTCCAGAAATTCGGCGCGTGATCTCCAATGGCTCAATGGTCGATCCTGGCTTGTAATCAGACAGCAGCTCGACGGAGTGGAGACGGATCGTCTGATCCGCATGAATAGTCATGACGAAAGGCAGGTTCGGGGAGTACTGGATGGCCACAATGGTCTCGAATTCTTCTCCGGCCTCCTGCTCTGCGGTGACCTCGCTTCCTCGATTGCAGTCCCAAACTCGCAATTTGCCGTTCTCTCCACCGATGACGCACAGCCCACTGTCGGCGATGAAAGAGGCAGCTTCCACACTTTCGAGGACGGGAATAATCCGGCGGGTCTTCCATGTACGTGCATCCCAAATTATCACGGTCTTATCGCGGGACGCGGAAAGGAGGGCATTCTCTGTCGGGGAGAAAGAGAGGCTGCGCACAAGAGAGACATGCGACTCCAGTGCAGCAATGGACTTTCTCTTATGCAAATCCCACACCCGCACCTTACCCTCCTCGGAACCACTTGCAAGTCGGAATCCCACCGTGGAGTCTGTAGCAGTAGTGGCAGCATCTTCCATATCCTCGTCATTATCTTGCCTCTTGGACTTCTTCTTGCTAGCCGGTTTCGTATCCTCTGAAATAGAGACCTCAAAGAAGCAAAGAGCAGAGATGATGCCGCGATCATTGAAATTATGCGTGACATAACCACCGCGTATATCCCAGACCTTAATGCTACCGTCCGCAGCACCAGTAGCCAGAAGAGTACTGGATTGGTCAACTGTGGTTGAGATGACGGGCGCGGTGTGTGGCTTCAGAGTTCGGACGAGTTCGGCCTCGATGGTCTTGGAGTTCTCGTCGAAAGGCGAAAGCGAGTAGATGCGCATAGACATTGACCGGGAGCAGACGATGGCGTGCGATGCAGAGGGCGAAACTAAAGAAACGTCAGCAGTCGACCTGACCAAACTTCTTTGCGTAACATACTGGCCAAGCTTGTTATAATTTCCCCGTCCTATGAAACGAGATTAGTGACCATTCTGCAAGTCGGACAGACTAGACAGCAAAACCTACACCTTCCAGACTGGCGAGCTGGTCACCAGTCTCCAAATCCACGATCAGAGCATCTTCGCCCACACAGGTTAGCAAGATGCGACCGCTAGCGTCGAGCGACGTGCTGCCGCCGGTATAAATAGGGCGCAGCGTGCGAGACGCCTCGAATGTAGTTTTGACAATGGCCTTGGACATGATTCGTACGACAGCCTGTCAACACTTCACGCCATACACCCACTTGGAAAGTCGGAGACCGCGAAAAGCTCGGCCAACTTTTTTTGAGTTTGCAGTGTTTGCAGAGCGATAAGATAGGGCCCGTGCACGAAACGCGGCTGCCGCTCCAGGCGCTACCACAGGCACGTGGACATCCTCGCCGCCTCATCAGCACTTGTTTGATTTCCTTCATGTCTCATCCACGGAGGCTGCGACATGAGAGACGAATGTTAGAGACAAGGAAACCGTGGAGATCCTGAAACCCGCGAGGATCTGGTGTGTGTTTTCTCGCGATGGGCCGACAGGCTTACTTGAACCGCCTCGCTTTGGTAAGCGCCCCCTCTGGTGTCGTCCATCGCTCCTCATCCTCAAATGTGCTTGCCATTCATTTGGTCGGTGTTCTAAATGACTTCGAGCCTTGTTCAATCTGTTTTTCTCGGAAATGCCCTCCGAAAATTTGGTTGCGACAAGACCGTTGATTTGATCATGACTGTTCTGGTCATATCGACATACTCCATTCCAATCATTGAACATTTTCGCATCTACTTTAACGGTCATGGTACTTACTTCTTCCCAAGGGGCGGTCACCCTATGAACTTCCAGAAAATGCAACAGGGGACCCTTCCAATCCAGTGCGGAGGGCGTCGAATGTCTATTCGGATGACTACATGCAGCAGTATGACGCTCGGGGTCATCCAGTTAATCCGGAATCTAAAACCCTTGGACGGGAACTCCGAAGAGCGAAAAATGATATTCTCTCCACGATGGGAATCGTCGTCAGTGGCGAGGACCGTAATACCAGCCCTTCGGATGAACAACAAAAAATCAACCAGATCGCGACCGAGAACGATTTCGGCCTCGTGATCACCACACTTGATCAGCTTTTTGTGTTTTTCGGCACTTGGTGGTCCTCTTCTTTGACAGGAAGAATTCAGGTAAGTTCAAAACATTGAAGTTCCGGTTCATGAGGTCTTATATGAGTATTTTCATGTAGACATACAAACATTATACCCACGATGCTCTGCTTGATGTGATTCGATCAGAACGTGGGGCAACGGGCGTCCTCGGCTTCTACTTTGCTGGTATACCTGCATGGGCAGTTTCCAGTGGGTTAGCGATTGCCAGAGATAATCCGTTGAAGCGTGTGTTTGCGACAGCCCGGGACTACCTCCTTGATTTCACGGGCCATGACAAGCTCTCACTTGGATCCCGGGCACTATTCATACTCACATTCTCGGCGTAAGTCCTGCTCACCCTCTGCTGGAGCTCTAGATTTTAATCACTTCTGCTGCAGAGTAAGGAGCACAGTACTCCTTCTTTCTGTCGAGGCATACATGTACTCTTTGCTTCAATCTCTCGCCCTCGTACCTCCAAAATCGTTACCCAGTGCTCAGCTTCTGACTCCCTTCGGCGAGGGGTCTCTACTTCAGATGCCGTCGCTACCTACTGAATTTTCCATTGTGTCCATTGGTGGATTTATTGTACGACTCTTGGCTTCCCCTGGAGTCTTGACTTTCCTCCATGCTTTCTATCTACGCCCAAATCTTGAGGAACGGATCTATAGACTGATTCGTCGCCAACTGCCTAAGCCAATGCTTGCAGACGAGCTTTCGATTCGGGTTGCATATGATGAGAACCTCGTCGATTGGGTTGTGCCGACTTTAGGCCGTCGTTCAGAGGAAGAGACCCGCCGCGCGAGATTACCTCTGCTTGAAGATATCAAGTGCGAATTGTCTGTTTTCCAGGGTTGGGTGTTCTCCCTTTTTGGTCTCTTTTCAAACTCGGCCTCAGAGCCGCAAGCTCCTGATACCTTGAATCAAGAGAGAATACAAAATCTGCGAAATTCAATTGAATCTTTGCAGCATGAGCTTGAAGAAGTTCAGCTTCGCAACAATCTTGCCGGAGAAACATCTGATGCGGCTCTCAGCAGAGTATCTGGCGCCCTTGCTCGCACAAATGCGGTTGAAATGACACGTCTTGACCTGCCTACCATCGCTGAGGACGATCAAGTAACAGAGGAGCTGGATCTGGGCATCAATCAAGTCCTCACAAACGAAAATCGTATCTCACAATCTCCTGGAGAGATGAGCAGCGATTACTTCTCTGCAATGGCAACGCTTGGTAGGACGAGCGCAGCTTCCCAAAACTCCATATCGCAAAGCTCTCTTATCAATGCTCAACCTGGGGATAGCCCGAGTAGCACAACGAGAGACCGACATAGTTCTCGTGCTAATACCTTGTTTTCTCGTCCATCATCCCCCGACACATCACCGCCTACTTCGCCGCGGGTTCGAGCATCGTTGATTCATCAGAGCTCCGACATTATTACAATGCAGCTAGAGCTTCTAGGCAACCGTAACCGCAATACCCAAAATCAGACTCCAACTGGCAATTCGCCTCTTCCAAGAATGGGTCGTGGGACCACAGGGCTGCGCCCTCCTTCAACCGCCATGGATCGAAGATCAATCGCTGATTTCCTCGAAGCACTGATCTTGAGTCAAGCCCAGCAGCAGGCTTCACAATCACCGTTGTCAACAGAGCATGATGGACTATCGAACACGAACACCCAAACAAGCAGCACAACTCCTGAAGAGATGCCTGCTTTCGAGCCTATCCCCCGGAACCCGGTTCAACGGAGCACAAATTTCAATCAGCCCCCTCCCGACCTGGCCGAGGAAACTCCAGCCTCAAATATACCCAATCTTCTCCCAGATGGAGTTGAAGAACCGGCCGAGGAGGAACAAGATGGACAGCCATCATCACTTGTCGGAACCACACGAAATGCAGGAACTCGAACAACTCCTGGTGACCAACTTCCACCAATTGGCTCTCGCCTTGCAGGAACGCATAGCCTGTCTGGAGCCCATCGAGTTACTCTTCTCTCTGCCCACCCCGTCGATTCGCTCGCGTCCCATCTTGCCGCATTCATAAGCACCATTATTCTCTCACCGATCGAGTCCCTTTGTCTTCGGTCATTGGCGCATTCCTATCTAGCCTCGCATCCCTCCGCGACAGTCGGTGCGTCGGATCTCCACCCCGCTGGTTTGTGGTTTGGTGGCAACTCATGGTCCGACATTCTCGCATACAGCGGCAGAATGATTCTCATGCGAGGGATGCAGGCTGCTCTTAGAGCAGGTGTTTGGGGATTCTTGGTCGGCTCAACGATGAGAATAGGCCGGAAGTTTTGTGGCTGGGGCACGCTGTGATAACCTTACCCGGGTCGAAAGGGTTGGCAATTTTGCATTCTATGGCGTGGGCAATGGATTCATGCATCAATATTGGATAGTCTACATGGTTGAGGGCATGCTAGTCAGCGTTAATTCATCATATTTCTAGTAGTACACCAGCTTGGCAAACGACGTAAATGGAAAATCGAGTCTGTCCATGTAGACGTCGGAAAGAAGATTACGCCGCCCAATCCCTTACTTAACACAATCATCCAATCCAACTCCCCCAAGTATGATCAAATCAATATATTACTTATTTTGCCTTGCCCTTCGCCTTCTGCGCGGGAGCCTTTCTCCGTTCCCAGACCATCAAGTAGCCCTCGCGTGTGAACAAAGTCTCGCTCTCAGCACGCTTGACGAATAGATCTTGAATCTCAAGCCACTCCGAATTTCGTTGCTGCTGCTCTGCGCCACCGATATGGTGCGCGTTCTCTGCAGATACTGCTTTGTCGTGCAACTGTACAAGCCAAGAGACTTTTTCAGTGGCTGCACCAGCTCCCGACGAGGAGCCTCCAGCACCAGAGGCAGCGTTCACGCCCTTGTCGGCCGCATCTTCGGTAGCACCGGGTGCGGCGACTGAAGGGTCGAGGATGATGTTGGCAACGAGATCGTAGAGAATTGGCTCACTAGGTGGGCAGATAGATGGGTTGGGCTCGACATAAGGTGACATGTCGAGAGAGCGTGGGGAGGGGAAAGTGACGATAGTGGGATTGCGCTCACTAACAAAACGGTTCTTGCTAAACCGTTTGATATGGAAGAAGAGGTAAGGCGGGAGAGGATGGAGGAGGCGGTGTCGGACACGATGAGCCATCTTTTCAGATGCCTCGCGGCCATTGTACTTGTTCAGTAGAGTGGTCAGAGGTACCTGTGGAATGATAGACTCCCGGTTCGCCGATTGGAAAAGTGGAGTTGGAGGAAGGTCGAGAGTGAGAATTTGGAAGGGCGTGACTTGGCTCTTGATGTCACCAGATTCTGTGAACACTAGTCGGGCGTTTTGGGTATCGGAGTGTGCGGTAATAGCCTGACTTTCGATCCGAAGCTGACCCTGGAAAGCAGCTTGGATAACACTCGTGGGCGTGGAAGACGGTTTCTTGGAACCGCCCAGGGCAAGATGGAGGTTGTTCAGGAACCAAGATAGGAAGTCCACGGGGTCGGACTGTTGGCTGAGGGTAAAGCGCTTTGATGACCGCATTGCGATCTCTTGTAGCAGTTCATGCGGCGAAACATGGGACCTGAATGCCTTTGGATTCCAAAGCTTGCGTACAAGAGTACTAAAGCGAAGAGCGAGCTCAGGAGTGCCTGGTGTCGGGAATTCGTGGAGAAGGAAGAAGTTTCGGATGGGATGGACATGCGCCAAAAGCTGTACGACAACGTTCAGGTAGTCATTGGCCTTGATGTTGTTCATACCGACAAATCCTGCACCAATCAGTATACGGACATGTCTCATCAGTGACAGAGGAGGGTGTCTTACCTGGTCTGTACCTAGACCCTGAAAGGTCCCAGGCGTCATGCACTTCCTTGTCCAACTTGACGACCTCCGATTTTGTGAAGACAGGGTCGACCACATATTTGATATCCTCCAAACTCTTACTCTGCACCTCGTACCCCTCTGGCAAGACATAGACCTTCTTGGTTCCCATGTTGATATAGACATGATGGTTGTCTTCGAGGGAATGGAAATAGGCGTGCGACTTGGGACCGCGACCTTGGAAGTATTTGCCACAGACGAGACAGGCATACACGTTGATATTCGAGAGGCTGACCGAGCAGAGCTTCTCGAAATCGAAATCCAACACTCCGCGATTGACGGTGTCAAGATAGAGGTCATCGTAACCTTCCATGGGCTGAGCTTGTCGTTTTGGCGCGCTGAGAGCGGAGATCTCTTCGTCGATATCAGAGGATTCTAAAATATCGTCTGCCGCATCCTGCAGCTCCTGGTCCTCTAATTCTGTAGTTGTCGAGATATCTGCACCATTGCGCTTGTCTGGACCCATCACCTGGTCGCCGGGGTATTGCGCAGGTGGGCTGCCGTTGCGGAACTCGCCTTCAGCGTCATCCTCCACGCGTGCCTTTTTCGACGCAGGCGATCCGGGATAGTTCTCGTCGAGAGGAATCTCGGCTTGCCTCTTCGACATTGTGGCGGGGATTGTAAGCTTGCAGAATGAGTGGAGTTGTTCCTAAAGTCCGCGCGACAAGCTTGCAGGGCGGGCGGTGTGGGCGGGCACAAAGAGCTAGCAGGTACGGAGTCAGCGGTTTTCAAACCGGCAGAATCTCGATTTTACCACAGGAAACCGATTAAAATAGATTTAAATCAACTAGCTAATAAGATTACTTAAGCTGAGATTTAAATATAATCTATAATATCAATACCAATTTTAAGACTAATCTTAAGACCTAGAATCTTATAGCTAATCTCCTAAATCACCCCCATTCGTATAATATAAGGCTAGTAAATAAGGCTATAGAACGCTCTAGTAACGAGCTGTGTGATTTATGATATAAGTTATATAGTTAGACGTACGTACCCTTCTATCAAGGACCGTATTACTACGGATAAATGCGGTCCTGTGGTCCTGCAAAGAATCAAACGCAGTATGCATAATTTAAGTAGGAGGTCCCGGTGTTTTGGAGTATTCTGCTGTTAATTTACATACGTGATTTACACAATTCCGACGTACATTAGGAGGAAAGACTAGCTCTTGTTGAGCCGCCTATTGATCTTTTCCTAAACTGATCAGGGACGTTACATAGTTAGTGCTCAGATCTACTCAGTTGAGCAAAAGCGGCGAGAGCCAAAGTATCAGAGTGGAACGGGAAGCTAAGACCTGGCATAGGAAGTCCAGTCGGTAGGTAGGACCACCTAGCGGTCTCGATGTTTGGGATCAATGACCGCGGGATGCGGCGGTCTGCATTGCGGACGGTTAGGACCCGTCCAGGGGCCTAGACAGGGTCCATAGGGCTACAAAATTATTAAAGCTACCTTGAGCGTTCGAACAATATCTTCGATCCCGTGGATCAAATATACTGCACGACATAAAACAGCTTTTAAGTTGACGGTAGGATCCAAACTGTCCTGATGTGACGCTAAGGCTTATTTTCTATCCCATGGACAACGAATTGTCTAGACACACAGGAAAGGCAGAATTAGCCAGCCAATTAGCAATTACAGATACAAGACGGTTGAATGAAGTATAGCTTGGTACTCTATCAATGTGGCCCCTTAAGTCTATCCCGCTGGGTCTTCTTAGTGTGGCGCTCTGCGAGCGCTGTTCTCTAGTAATCTGACGAATAGTTACACTAGTCGGTTAAAAACGAATAGGAAAAAAAAGACATTCAGACGTATACTGCTCTTTTCTATCCTAAGGAAATTTTCTTCCTTCTGCACATCCCTTCAGAAACTGGCCGTGTGGTGTAGAGCACATCTACGATTAACGACATTTAAAAATGCTCTTCGCACGGCATGTGCTTGGACCACTCCTGGTCTCGATCGGTTTGTCGGCTGGAGGATATGCTGAAGAATACTACAGCTCAGAGACGACAGCAGCGACCAGTTCAACGACCCTACTCCCTGCCTCATCCTCAAGTACATCGACTGGTATCGCAACGCATACTGTTCAAGTCGGACCCAAGTCAAGCCCTCAGGCCTACGTCCCGCACAATCTTACGGCCAACCCCGGCGATGTTGTCGTTTTCGAATTCAATCCGACAAATCATTCAGTCGTGAAAGCAGACTTTGACGCTCCGTGTGTGCCAGCTAGTGAGGGTGTCTTCTTTTCTGGGATGATGGACAAGTTCAATGAGAGTAATGGTCAAGTTATTGGTCCGGTAAGAATGGCCTGCTATCGACTTGAGCGCTCTAGACAAATGCAACTAACATTCCCGATGGTCGAAGTTGCCGACCTGGTCAATAGTTATCAATGATACTCAGGTAAGAAAAGCAAGTTCTCTATGTTCGAAGGGACATTGGTTGACAATTAATTTTGACAGCCAACGTTTTTCTACTGTACTGCAATTGGCTCATGTCTCAAAAACGGAATGGTGGGTGTGATCAACCCGGTGAGTTCACACAACTACTCGGTCATGACAGCGAAAGCCTCTAATTATTATTATTTTTTTTCAATTTCAGAATTCTACACAAACTTTCGATGAGCAGTACAAAAAGGCTCTTACCTACCCTTACATGGTGGTTCCCGGCCAATCCATACCCGCCGAGGGCGGTGGGTCATCAACTTCCAGCAACTCAAGTGCAACCAGTGCCGCAACCAATGGCGGCGGCGGTGGTGGGTTGAGTGGCGGAGCGATTGCCGGCATTGTTATCGGAGCCGTTGTTTTCATTGCTGTTGTGGTCGTACTGCTCTTTGTCATCGGTCGCAAGCGCGTATACTCACGGGACGAGCACGCGGAGCGACGATCTTTATTCAACAGCATTGGCAGCAATCATGACAACCGCAGGAGTGACCTCGACAGCAACTATGGCAGAGCTCCAGGCACTAATTTCACTTCTGTTAGTGGCCCAGAACCGATGATGCGTGAGTTCTCGACCGCTCCCGAATCAGCGTCTGGATTTGGTGGCACCTCGTCTCGTCCTAATTCCGGCCAATGGAACTGGAACAACACCCAGCAAGGTTCGCGCACCGCCCAAGGTCCAACGGAATTGGACGTCAACGCCGCGATCTATGAACTCCCGGACAGTAGGGGCCCATAGTTTGACTTGGCAGAGTTACGCGCTGCCGGTGATCTACAACCTCGATGCCTGTTCTCTTTGTAAATGTGGGGACTGGGTGCTGATGTGGAAGTATGACCTAATCTTTCTTTCGTTTTTCTTCTTGCTGATGCATTTTTCTATTCCGTACTGCTTTGGTCATTCTCTTTATCACTCACACATTCTATACACACATGAAAATTAGGCTTGTATCGGAAAATAAGGGCCACCTAAAAGTGATTGACGAAATAAATAATATTGTGGGGCGCTATAGTGATGTTACTTTTAGAGTTAAACTAGGTGCTTAACAGTTAGTTAACCAGTTCGTTAACTAACTTCCAGCCACTCGGTTGGGTGGTTGGGCGCCCCTATGGCCAATTATGAGGTCTTTAGATGTCCTGGTGCTAGATATATCATACTACGTATCTTTATAGGCTCGAAGAATACTTTAGGGCATAACAATACATCTCTCGATTAGAGCGTAATTTTAGTAAGTAAATAACCATTTTTTGAATATATCGATCTGCCTAGGCTGTTTCTAATGCTAGAGAGTTATCGTACACTAAGAATCAAGCAATATAGTATTCTTGTTATTGATATGTTATGATCTGAATGATAATACGGAGTACTTGGTATCGTACAGATTATGGGGAGGCTCGATCAAGCGGGAATCACGTTACTAAGCGTTCTCTAGTTAACTTAGTTAGGTTAAGTTAAGTTAGTTAGTTATGCCTACGTGAATAGTCTGATTAGCTCTCCGAGTCTGAGCCTGGTCTGAACTCTACTCAGTGAGCCTGACTCTAAACGCCCTCAGAAAAGCGGCGGTATCTTAGAAAGGAAAGCACTACATTGGTAGAGGAAAAAGACTATGTACAGTGACCGTACGTACCTACCTAGATAAGAGAATTTTGGGATATTGGGGTAGAGCGTATAGGCCAGCGGAAGAAGCGGTAAAGGCACTTAGTAGGATTTAGGGGTTTTTGGCGAAGTCCCTTCTATCGTAACAATCAAATCAAATATGCTAATCGTCCTCTAATCGTCCCGTCAACTTCGACGAGAGTCGCGGTCTCGATCTCGGTCGTTTCGAGATGAATGAGATGAGTGTCGAGAGCTGCTATACCGATCATCTCGGTATTTCCTATCTCGGTCTCGCTCACGGTCCCGATCTTTGCGATGATCTCTATCATCACGATCTCGACGGCGCTCTCTATCCCGCTCTCGTTCGCGGTCTGGGTCATGATAGGAGCGATCGTCCCTTCGACCTTTGTCGTCATCGTCGTATTTTGGGCGTCTAGATGAATGACGGCCGGCAGATGAGCTTCGATCCCTGCGTGAGGAACCATTCCTTCGATCAGACCGGTCGTCGTCATAGTCGCGTTTGCGGTACTCGCGGTCCCGGTCCCGGTCCCTTTCCCGCCCGCTCTTCTCCAGGTTGCGATCCCGTCTCTCTCGCCAGTCGTCCTTGTCGACTTGAGACTTGGACGACTCTTTCTTGAGGTCTGCGAGCTCTTCCTCGGTGATATACTCGCCAGTCTTCTTGTTCCGCATCGTAACAGGCATGTAGACGCCCTCAACGCTACCACCCTCGTTTTCTTCGCCCTGTTTCCTAGATGCTTTGCGCATGGCCGACTTTCCCCAAGCACCAAGCTCCACTTCGGCGCCCTTTCCAGAATCCTTGGCGCCAATTCCCAAGAACCCCGGGCGTCGCTCTGGGACACCGGGATTCTTTGCTTTCTTTGCGGCCGTGCTGGAGCTGTAATCACCACGCCCGATAGACTGTCCATCCTTCCAGCCCATTCCTCTTAAGAGAGCAGCTCCAAATTCTTCGACAGGGATAGCGTTGTACTGATCCAAAGTAGCGGGTTCGGGGCGAGAAGCGACATCTGTTCGGAAAGAGCTGGTCTCATCGTGGCGTCTTAAAGGTTCATCATCCTCGTCGTGCTTAGAGGATTCAATCACAAGATCTGTCCGACGCTCGACTTCACCGGTAGTCTCTCGCAGCAGAGCTTGCATAGCAATCTGATCTTCCGTAAGAGGCTTCTGGTCTTCTTTGGAAATTGGTTGCGCATCAGGCATAGGCTGGTCCTCTTTAACGGCAGAACTTTCCCCATCCTGGTCAGAAGGTTTCTGAGCGAAGCTAAGACCATACGCCATGCTCGGGCCTTCGGTCTCAACGGCTCCTCCAGCTGGAGCCTGTCCGTTCTTTTGCGCTTCTTGCATAGCCTGCACTTCACGCGGTAACAAGTTCTTTTTGCCCTTCTTCACATTCGTGCCCGGGCGATCGCGCCAGTTATTCTTACTCGTCACTGGAATCACGAGTGGTTTGTTCGTATCCCTAACAGCTTGCCCATCGGCGGTAATCTGGCGACCAGTATGCGTATCAAAGCCCGAGATTTCTTCGTGCACGGGTGCACGCTCTTCGTCGGAGGAGTCATCGTCATGGCCGAGCTGATGTGGGCGACGGGGTAAGGAGCGACTCTTGCTGGCTGGAGAATCGGAGGGCCGTCCTCGAGATTGGAAAGCGAAACCAGCCTTCTTTGTAGGTCCAGTGGAAGATGGCTTTGAGCCACCCCCATTGTGATCGGCAAAGCCTCGCGATGAAGACATCCCGCCAGAACTGTCAATGACAAAGGCTCTGGTGGTTGTTTAGGAAGAGGACTGCGAGTTCGAAGGTTTGATACGAGAGCTCTTCATGGAGGCGGTGGCAAAAGCGGAATTAGCCGCGCGGCTAACGAGGGCGGTGGGCGGTCGGTCTGCTATCGATCACTGATAGAGTAGTTACTATATGAGAGACGTAACAGTCAGATTTATAATTACGAGTCTAGAATTCATGAATCTAAGCAGCTGAATACCGATTGGTAACTAATTATCTGCCAAGATAGAGTCTACAGTCTTATTCATGCTGACAGATGGACCTATGACAATAGTTCCAGACGCATTTAGAGAGGCCCTAGCTAGATCGGAACGATCCTCTCGCCATCTCAACTGTGAAGAGTATTAAAGGTACAGTCCAATATTAGAGGTTACGAGAGGAAGTACAATCGAGTCAATATGGGGTGATAAGATTCGAAACTAATCATACAATTCGTGCTCGTGAGTCCGTGGGTCTAACGAAAAAACCAACCCAGAATTTTCGCCCGTCCCAGAAGATAATACATGCCCAAATCCAGAATATTAACGAGCACTGGTAACAGGGAGCCAGGGCCAAGTCTGGTTCATTAGATTAATGAACACGCCAGGGAAGGGGAGGGGGGGGGGGGGGGGGGTTTCGGACAAGATTGAAGGTAGAATCAGAGCGCGCAGGAAAGGATTCAAGGATGGCGTGGGGGTGTCAAAAGAATAGCAAGGTGCGCCGATGTTATCCCGGAGCACCGACGCAGAAGAAAAGAGGGAATAAACCAAAGTAAAAGGGTGAGGTGGGGAAGTATGTACATTTGAAGAGGAAGGGGCAGAGCAACAAAGCGCATCGAACCATGTTGGTCCTTAGCTGCTCGCTGTCTGTGCAGGTGGAGGGTGTGGACTCTTGCTTGAGCCTTGCACTGCGCCGGCTTGGGCGCTCCCGCTGCGCTGGGTTTGGGGTGTTGCACTCCGGCTGGCCTGGGGAACGGCTCCATTCACTGCTGGCGAGCTAGTGACGTTGACCCGGTTCTGTTGGCTGTTTTGCGGAACACGCATCATCGGAGAGAACCCTTGATTCTGAGAAACCTGCATTGCGGGACCACCGTTTGGCATGCCAGGCTGCTGAGGAGTTTGGAAGTTCCCGTCGTGTGGGACCTGATAGTTGGCTTGCACGTTGTTCATACCACCTGCGGCAGCGTTCATAGCAGCTTGTTGAGACATGCGTTGCTGCTGGTATTGGTTGAGGCGTTCGGTGGCTAGCTTGTTCACTTGGTCTGCAGGAAGGTTGGGGTTGGCCCTTTGGATTTGACTCTGGAAGGTGCTGATGGTGGGAACCACGCCACCCGAGAGAGGGTTGGGCTGAGCCATGCGAGGCGAAGGAGTCGAAACCCCCTGTGGGGTGCCACTATGGAAGGACGGGCTCTGCATCCCACCTTGGGCTTGAAGAGCAGCCATCATAGCCGGGTTGCTAGGAGCACCATTAACATTGGGCACGTTGATGTTGGGGGAGTGCGATCCTTGCGGCGCGAACTGCTGGTTGTGGAACTGCTGTTGGGGCTGTTGAGGCTGGCCCGGTGCCTGAGGAACTTGTTGCTGGCGGGATTGCAACAACCGTTGTTGCTCTTGCAGGCGGTTGGCCTCTCGTATAACTCGGGCGTTGTCGGGAGACGCCTGCATCGGCATACCTGGTCGGGCACCCACGTTCGGCATCTGACCCTGAGGCATCATTTTCATGGCCATAGGGTTGTTTGGAATCTGGCCATTGACGGGTGCCGCTCCAGGTGGCATTCCTTGTATGGGTTGAGCGCGAGCTTGGTTAACACCAATATTAGGGGTCATCCCAGCAGGGATCCCGTTCGGAGTGCCGTTTACCATGGCGGCATTTGGTGCATTCGGAGGCAAATTATTAGGTCGGCCCGGAGCATTCATCATTTGCTGTGGCGGCTGTTGCTGGTTGGGCAGCTGCCCACCACGCTGAGCGACCATACTAGCCCTTTGCTGAGCAATCATCTGCTGTCGGTATTGCTCCTGGCGTTCCTGCAACTTCATTTCCCGCTCGTGCTTAAGACGGCTGAACTCTGCCGGAGAGGAGATTGGAGGTTTGGGCTGGTTGGCCTCGTTTGCTTTCCTCAACGAAGCGAGATGAGATGCATGCTGCTGCTTTTGCAATATCGTTTCCCGCTTTTTGGCCAGCTTCCGCATGGCATCAAGCAAAGCCAGATGTCTTGACGATCTACGTCTGTCCACCCGTAAGGGCTGAGTGGTTCTCCGACGCACAGGCTGCTGTGGTTGACCATTATTAGCCGCTTGTTGTTGTTGTTGTTGCTGTTGGGCAGCTTGCTGCTGAGCCAGGACGGTACGCTGGGCAGTTTCCAGTCTCTGGTGATAAGCCCGGAAATATTGCGTCTTGGACATGTCCGCTGGAAGGCCTTCCAAGCCTACCCAACGTTCGAAACATTCCCAAGGGGTACGTCTCTCCGCTCCGGACGTGAACAGTGACGGTGAAGTCAGGCAGCTCGAGATTAGAGACCAGTTGTAAGAATATTCCTTGACCAAGCGGCGGAGTTCGTCATCTTCTGACAAAGTCCACTGAGAAGACTGTCGAGATTCGAAGAATCCCACCGAAGGCATCGGATGCTCCGTAGGTGGTCGGAAGGAGTGACCAGGGTGGATGCGGTCTCGAATGGGTTTGTTCTCAGGACGGAAGAGAGCAACGTTGGTCTGCTCTGGCGGCAGATCTGTGAGGCGGATATCTGAGGCGGAACCATATTGAGAATAGTCGTATCGGGTGTGTTTACGTGGGCGCTCTTCGTCTTTATGGAAGGTGATCTTGGTAGAAGCAAACTTCGAGACGGGGAGAAGTTCATGCTTCCAAGCCGAATCGGGGAGATCTTTGAAGGCTGGCGTCCGAGTCTCATGGACGAACCGAACAGGTTGATAAAGTGGCAATTCGTCCAGCAGCTTCTCCGCAGAAGGTGTCATATCAATAGAGAAATTGAACTCGTCAGAGCCCAATGAGAAGATAGCCGCGGGAGCCACCGTATCGTGCAGCTCATGCCGAGTCTCCTCATTAAACCCATCACTGACCGATTCCTCTTCCGCGGATGGCACCAGATCGGGTGTTGGGTGAAATGCCGCGAATGTCTCGTCGCCCGTGTCTTCCCAGGGAGAAGCCACACCCAGTTTCGACGCATCGGATCTCGCGGATTTGGGGATGGGGATTTTAGCGTTTACACGAAGGAGTGACCGATGCTCGTCGTCGCTGTTGACGTATTCCGCACACCAATCAGCACAGCTCTTCGCTGCAGCTAGCTTCCACTTCCGTTCCTCGCGGAAATCCGTGCGCATCCACTTCATGTGATCCAACAGGACATCCAGGTGGCTAAAAGAGCGAGGGGGTTCAGCTGATCGCTTCATTTGTCGCAAAGGCCATCGATTAGCATTCTGTAGAGCGTAGATACGTCGAAGTGTGCGGCAGTCCATTTGCTCTTGATACTCCAGGAGATGGTTGGACGTGCTCAGTGTCTTATGGGCCGATGCGAGAAGAGTGTTGAGATTAGTTCCTCTAGGTGGAGCATACGCCCTGTTCAGGAACAGCGTGAACAGGTAGTCCTGTTCCTCGTTCAACTTGGCAACCGCATCCCCCGAGTCCCGGCCCACAAGGTCCATAGACTCAGCCTTATCTTGCAGAGACGAAGGTTGCTTTGGGAAAACGACGGTCGAAACCCTAGTTCTCTCCTTCTCTCGGCCCTTGCGATCTTTGAATCGCATGCGAGCAAGACTTTCGGGCGTCTGGGGTTCACCTGTTGGATGGCTTTTATCGTGGGCCGTGTGTCTTGGGGTCTCACCCAGGATTTCAGAAACGGACTTGTGACGGATAGCTCCAGACGAAACACGAGTTGTCATCCGTGGCTGGGCAATGTCCGGTTGGGTCGGTGGAATAGATATCGGCTTCTTGATCTCAACAGGTGTGTCGCTAGCTGGTCGATCTTCATCTGCCAATCGCTCGGTAGGGGACAGCATTTCCGTCACGGGAGCAGCCGTTTTGGTGGGAAGCTTAGACTCTTCAGGCGCGACCAAGGGTTCCCGATCGATGTCCATTTGGTCTTTATCGGCGCGGGCGTCTGCGGTCTCCTGGATGGTCCCGTGGGCCAATGACAGGCCGTTAATATTGGCCTGCTGCAGTGACTGGGCTTCCTCCATTCGTAGTTGCTCGTCCGGCGTCGACGGAATTAACCCTGGCCGGGGATGCATAGATCGGCTATCCTTGGGGCTTTGCCGACTAAGCTTCCTAACCTCGGCCATCTCTTCTCCGGGGCTGGTATCGGGCGATGCGGCGACAGGGATAGGGGTATTGGTAGAGTAAGGGTCGATTGATGAGGCGGGTGAGAGAGGTTGTTCGGGGTGTGAGGGTCCTAGTGTGAGAGAGGGTCGCGCGTCTGATTTCTTTCGAGGGAGGGAGGTAGGTGGAATCTCCAATGATGAGGGAGCTGTTCCAGTTGTCGGCGTGGGTTTAGCTGCACCAGAAGAGACCGTGATCTCTGCTCCATCGTGGTCCTGAGAGCTGAGACGAGTTGCTGGCGCCGGTACGTTTGCCGTTTCATCGGCTACAGGCTGATTGGAGGGTGCAATCGCGGAGGGAACTGCGAGATTTTGGGCGACCGAGGGAGCTTGTACCGGTTCAGTGGGTTGAGTTGAAGCTGGGGCAACCTGTGTAGTAGATGCGACAGCGGTCGTGGAGGGTAAGGTTGACGCGCCTTGGGGGCTTGCCCCGGCGGGAAGCAGAGGGGCGCGACCATCGACTGTCGGGGGGCGGAGTGATCCCAGCAGTTTGCTGGGCCTTCACCTCCGCGGTGACAGCAGGCGTGACAGGCTTCTGGATCGGCGAACGCGCGCGCGCATGGGTGGGCAACGGTAGGGTAGATTCGTCGAAGTAACGCCCTCTGGGGAAAGGCATTAGCATATTGCGCATTTTGAATTGCGTAATATGATCGATGCATGCAGCCAAGCATAAAGGAGTAACTGAAGAGAAGGGAGGGGAGGAACTTACTTGGTGAGGTCGTTGGCGTCGAGGAAGGCCTGTTCTTTCTGCTGGTAGAGAGCGTCGGCGGTCGCACCCTCGAAACCCACGGTCGCATAATACAACTCGGTCAGTTTTCGCTTGCGCGACAACAAACAGTTTCTGGGGCAAAATTAGCCAAAACTTCATCGTTCACCCTCCAGACAGGTCGCCTTTGGGAATTTTCGAATTTTGCGATTAATACTTACGCGATCTCATCGTTCTTAGACCGGAGAAGCTCGTCGCGGAGCATGAGGTCTAACTTGGGGAAACAGCATCCGATTAACGCGGGGAGAAAGGGAGTGGATTGACCGAGGTCATTCAGATTGGAAAAATCGCTCGAAATGATAAAATCAGATCTGGTTGTCGCGTGAAGCGATGGGAGGCAAGAAAGGGAGGACTTTTCTGTACGGGTTGGCACGGGAAAAAAGGGAAGCGCTGAGGAGCGGGTGGTGGTGAAGGTATGGTACAGTAAAATTACAGCCTGCCAAGGGCTTCAAGGGGAGCAAGCAAGCGGAGCAAACCAGGAATGACGACCGCCTTCTGGGGTTTATTTAAAAGGATCACGCAAGTTTGGCATTACTCTAACCAACTTTAATATACTACTTGGTGGCAGCCAGAAAGCAACATCGCCAGGTCTGCCGATGCAGGACCAACTGGCGACGGTGAGATTCGTATGTAATGTGTAATTCTACAGCCTCAGGCTTTTCATGACCAGCATTCCAACCAAGGCCGCTTGCGAACTGGTGGACACCTCAGGCATAACGACACGGATCAGGATTTTTCAGGCATCAAATGGCAGGGACATAGCGCAATGAGGCACTAAGGCATCCAAATCCTATTCAGGCAACACGGCATCCACTTTCCTATCAGCGCCGATAACCCGCGAAAAAAAATGCTACGGGAAAGCCGCTCGTCTTCCAGCTCAACCTTTGCATTTTCACCATAATTACCGTTAAATCATCTGAAACCATGGTCAAGCGCAAGCGCAACGACGCCTCCAAGGAGGAGAAGCCCGTCGAAACCCCCGCAAAAACAATTAAATCGGCCCCGACCCCGTCACAAGCTCCCGATGCAGCTCTTACTATCCAAGTGGTTACCGGTTCCTACGAACGCGTGCTGCACGGATTCACAGCCGGTTTCCCCGCCTCTACTTTGAACACCAAAGACGAAGCTTCCAATGAGTCTGACCCTTCGATTCAATGCGTCGACACGTTCTTGTTCGAGGCCCATGGCTCCGCAATCCGCTGCCTCGCCCTTTCCCCGTTGCCCAAGGCCACCGACTCGGCGGATGCTCAGAAGGTCTTCCTCGCCTCAGGATCGACCGATGAGAGAATCCAGCTGTACTCTCTTGCCGCCGCTCCTCCCGCTGTGAGCGACGAATATCCCTCTGTGCCGACACTGGCCGGAAACAAAATTCTCGAGAACCCCAAAAACCGCGAGCTTGGATCTTTGTTGCACCACTCTGCCAGCATTACCGCCCTGAGCTTCCCCTCGCGCAGCAAGCTGCTTGCTGCCGGTGAGGATAATGAGATTTCTATTTCTAAAACTCGTGACTGGTCCGTCGTCTCGACTATCAAAGCCCCACACCCCAAGGTTCAAGGCCGCCCCAGCGGTGACACGGCGCCCCCGGGTGCTGCTCCGTCTGGTGTGAACCACTTTGCGGTCCACCCCAGTATGAAGTTGATGCTGAGCGTGGGCAAGGGGGAGAAGTGTATGCGTCTCTGGAATCTGGTTACGGGTAAGAAGGCGGGTGTGTTGAACTTTGGACGAGAGATTCTCCAGAGTGTTAAGGAGGGCAAGTGGAGTAGTGGAGAGGGCCGTCGTCTTGCATGGAATGCTGCCGGCGAAGAGTTTGCGGTGGCTTTCGAATGGGGTGCTGTGGTGTTTGGAGTTGTAAGTTGCGCACGCTTATTGTTTCTACTCTCGTGTCACGCGCTAACTTTTCAATATAGGACTCGACTCCCAAGTGCAGACTTCTCCCCAACCCTCGAAGCAAGATTCATCAGATGAAATATGTATCCTTTGGTGATGATGAGGAGAAGAAAGACGTGCTTGCTGTTTCCACGGAGGATGGCCGTGTCATCTTCTATTCGACTACGGTTTTGCAAGATGCTGAGGAAGGTGATGACTCTACTATTCCCCACGCTACTCCGGTGGCCCAGGTTGGTGGCAAGCAAGCAGACCTGCCTGGACGTATCAAGGATTTCGAGGTTTTGAGCTTGGAAGGACAAGCAACTGAGATTCGTAACGATTTCCTGCTGGTGACTGGAAACAGCGATGGAGTGGTTCGTGTCTGGAAGGTGAATGGAAAGTCTTTGGTTCCTGCAAAGAAGTCCAAGGGCTCGAAGGAGTCTAAGGATACAACCCGCCAAACCGGCAAGCTTCTGACGACATATGAGACTGGAAACCGCATCACATGCCTGGCAGCGTTCGTTATGCTGCCGGCTGAAGATCCTTCATCTCTCTTCGACTCTGCAGATGAGGAGTCTGAAGAAGAGGAGTCCGAGAGTGATGAGGATAACGAGTGATTTGCTTATGCTGGTGATCGGCCATTGTATATACCCATTGTATTGTTAGACTCGGATGTATTCAGACATGCCAAATAAAAGTTTGCATAAAGCGTTTCTGTTCAATTTTCAGTATCACTATGGCTATTCTGAGAGGAAGAGAAAAGACATATCCAACCAGCTGTCTGTTATGTGAAGTTGACTCATAACCTCGTAACAAGTAACTAGAGTACATATAGACACCCAAGGCACCCAGGCTCACATTGATCGTGACCATAGACTTTCCACTTTTACTACAATGAACACCAAGTGAAAAAGAGTCAACGACACAGTAGCTAAACCTCTCTTCTAACAATTAATTCTTAATTGCAAAGAAATTTTTAATGCATCACTGATATACAGCTCGAGTGTACCTTATAGTAGGCTCTTTGTTCCCGCCCAGCCAGAGAGACACCGCCCGCTCGCTCTCCACTGCACAAAACCCCCCACCATTACATTCTTCGATCATATCGCCGCCCACCAGCAATTTTCATCCAACCTCTCCCTCCGTCCACCACCGGAACCTTCTCCCCTTCCGCCCAATCTTCTCGAATTCCGACGGGAAAGGACCACTCCGCTTGCTATATTTGAAGCTGGGAAGACCGCCGCTGAACGCGCGATCGATTTTTTCAATATGGCTACCAACGGCGATTTCTCCGATGAGTCCCTCCCGGGCAGCCCCAACCTCGATGCTACCAACGCCCAGGACTTCGACGACCAGGAGCCTCTCGATGAGAAGCCTCTCAAGTCTGCGATGAAGAAGTCTGCTGCCCCGCCTCCCGAGGCTCCCAAGCGTCCCTGGCTCCCTGAGCAACCCGACCCGACTACCCTGGACCTCTCCACACTGTCGCCCTTGTCGCCTGAAGTTATTGCCCGTCAGGCCACTCAGAACATCGGTACCATCGGTAAGGATGCCATTTCTCGAGCATGTCATTTGGAAGCTCTGTGATTAATCCATGTCCAACCTTGATAGGTCACGTCGCACACGGGAAAAGTACGGTCGTGAAGGCTATTTCAGAGGTTCAGACCGTCCGTTTCAAGAACGAGTTGGAGCGTAACATGTAGGAGGCCCTTTATTTCCTGGATTCGAAAAGCCAGTCATTAATCTTCGATCACCTTTACAGTACCATCAAGCTGGGTTATGCGAACGCCAAGATCTACAAGTGTGACAATCCCGCTTGCCCTCGGCCAACATGCTACAAGAGCTACAACAGTGCGAAGGAGATTGACCCCCCTTGTGAGCGGGATGGCTGTGAGGGAACATACCGCCTGCTCCGTCATGTGTCCTTCGTTGACTGCCCCGGGTGAGTTGCGTTTTTATGCGGTTCTGGAAGCTTGGCATAAGCTAATATATTGCCTCGCCTCTCTCTAGTCACGACATTCTCATGAGTACCATGTTGTCAGGTGCCGCCGTCATGGACGCTGCCCTTCTTTTGATTGCCGGAAACGAAACTTGCCCCCAACCCCAGACCTCCGAGCACTTGGCTGCCATTGAGATCATGAAGCTCAGCCACATGGTTATCCTGCAGAACAAGGTCGATCTGCTGCGTGAGGAGAGCGCTCTGCAACACTACCAGTCTATCCTGAAGTTCATCCGCGGTACCGTCGCCGACGGCTCCCCCGTCATTCCTATCTCCGCTCAGTTGAAGTACAACATCGACGCCGTCAACGAGGCTCTCGTCTCTCTGCCTATGCCCATCAGGAATTACAGCGAGACCCCCCAGCTTATGGTCATCAGAAGTTTCGATGTTAACAAGCCTGGTGCGGAGATTGATGAGCTTAAGGGTGGTGGTAAGTTTCATGGAATTGCTCGGCCCATTTGGACTGGCGTCAGTGGCTAACGATATTCCTTAGTTGCCGGTGGTTCCATTCTCCAGGGTGTGTTGAAGGAGAACGATGAGATTGAGATCCGTCCCGGTCTCGTCACCAAGGATGAGGCTGGTAACATCCAGTGCCGCCCCATTTTCTCCCGCATCGAGTCTCTGTTCGCCGAGAACAACCCCCTTCGTTTCGCTACCCCCGGTGGTCTTATCGGTGTTGGTACCCGCATTGATCCCACTCTTTGCCGGTATGTGCTACTCTCATAATCTGGGTTCTCGAATTTCACTAACCTCTGTATTAGTGCCGATCGTCTGGTCGGTTTCGTCCTCGGCCACCGTGGCCGCCTGCCCGCCATCTACACCGAGATTGAGGTCAACTACTTCCTGCTCCGCCGCCTGCTGGGTGTCAAGACTGCCGATGGCAAGCAAGCCAAGGTTGCCAAGCTGGCTAAGAACGAGGTTCTGATGGTTAACATTGGTTCCACTGCCACCGGTGCTAAGGTTCTGGGTGTCAAGGCCGATGCTGCCAAGCTCAGCCTGACCAGCCCCGCCTGCACGGAGATTGGAGAGAAGATTGCTATCAGCCGAAGAATCGAGAAGCACTGGCGTCTGATTGGTTGGGCCAACATCGTTGCGTATGTATTCCTTTGTCTCTACCGTATCTGGATACCTCCATTTCTAACAATGCTCTTTCACAGTGGTAATACCATCGAGCCTATTGCGCACTAAATTAGTGCGTCCCAAGTGACGTCCAGTCCCGAGTGGTCGGAAATCGGAAAGAGAGATGTTGTATGAGGATAGTTCGACAGACGAATCGCTTGTGAATTCCTCCGCCAACCACACTCCAACCGCTCGCTTTCCCTCGGGTTCACGCTCCGCGGTTTACGATCGCAAAAAGTTTTACGGTTATGACGAGTCGGAAAAAGTGAAGGCATGACATTTACAGATTCCCCCGGCTGAATAGAGAGAAGTGTTTTTTCCGAAATTTTTACACCGTCTCTTAGTCCAACTATGCGCCTTGGATATACCTGCGGCCTTTCGATATGGCTTATAGTAGGATGCCCGGTGGGTTTGGACCGAGACGGGGTAGGATATGAGTCACGGTGATGAAGAAGGAGTCTACTTCTTTTTCTTTTGTGTGTTCTAGGGAGTTGTATTGAAGAGGCTTCTTTTTTACCTGATTTTCTTTTTTCATTAGTTATTGCGTCTGCATGGCCAAGCCCTATGTAGATGGATATAGGTCTTGCTGTTCAAAGCCCATAGTGAGGCGGAATGAGTGCTATGGAAAATAAAGAATTTATTTGACTCTCGTACTTTGACTTCGGATTTCTGAGCAAAAGTCTACTTTTTAATAAATAAAAAGCAAGACCTATATACTACTAATTGGAGTCGTGATGGTTCCTGCATTGATCGCCATCAAAGCCGAGCCTGCCCGCGGCCCCATCTGACTAAGGCAACCCGCAATAACAAAGTAGCTTCTTTGGCCTTTCGAGTATCCCTCCCTTGACAACGTCGCGCATCTGCATCATGTGGATTCTCGAGGTAAGTCTATGATTGTGGAAATGAGTGATTCGACCATCACTTGATGCCTTTTCTTTGGGTAATCTTGACTGACAGCCATGTTTCACTAGCAACTCGCGCGTCTTCTCGACCGTCCGCTCTTCCCATGGAAGAACGTCCTCGTGGGGTTCTCCCTGGGCCAGTTCGTCCTTGAGGGTCTCCTCTCTCTCCGACAGTATAAGGTTCTTCAAAACACAAAGGCTCCTAAGGTCCTCGAGGGCGAGGTTACCCAAAAGGTCTTTGATCAAAGCCAGGTATGACGTCGCGCAATGAAATGATGGGAACGTGTACAGAAGCTTATCGGACATGCAATGAAATTCTAGGCGTATGGTCGCGCCAAGGCTAAGTTCAGCTTCGTTTCCGGTCTCTATGGTCAAATCCAGAATCTCGTTTTCGTCTACGGTGATGTTCTCCCCAAGCTCTGGGGCGTCGCGGGCTTCGTGTTGGCGCGGTACTTCCCCGATCGTTTCCAGGGCGAGATCTCGCAAACGCTTTTGTTCATCTTCGGTTTCAACATTCTCAGCACTATCCTCTCGATCCCGGTCTCCTACTACAACACCTTCGTTCTGGAGGAGAAGTTCGGTTTCAACAAGCAGACTCTCAAGCTTTGGGTGACGGACATGCTCAAGGGCCAGATGCTGGGTATCGTCTTGGGAACTCCGATTATCAGCGCCGTGCTTAAGATTGTTCAGAAGACTGGTAACTCTTTCTTCTACTACCTGTGGCTCTTCGGTGTCTTCGTCCAGGTCTTCGCAATTACTATCTACCCCATCGCTATTCTGCCTCTGTTCAACAAACTGTCCCCTCTGGAGCCTGGTGAGATCAAGACTGGTGTCGAGAACCTTGCCAAGAAGCTCAAGTTCCCTCTCTCGGAGCTGCACGTCATTGATGGCAGCAAGCGTAGTGCCCACAGCAATGCTTACTTCTACGGTCTGCCCTGGAAGAAGCATATTGTCATCTACGATACCCTGCTTGAGAAGAGCCAGCCCCAGGAGGTCGTCGCCGTCCTGAGCCATGAGCTCGGTCACTGGAGTCTGAGCCACACCACCAAGCTCTTTGGCATTGCTCAGGTATGCGCCGGAAAGCTAAGCAGTGTTGACTTTTCAACCCCTTTGCTAATATGATTCTAGTTCCACATGTTCTACATCTTCGCCCTGTTCTCCGTCTTTGTCAACAACAAGTCTCTCTACCAATCCTTCGGCTTTGTCAAGGAGCAGCCCATCATGATTGGTTTCCTTCTCTTCTCGGATGCCCTCGCGCCCATGGATGCCGTCGTGAAGCTCCTGATGAACATCCTGAGCCGCAAGTTTGAGTTTGAGGCCGGTATGTTAATCTTCTATCTTAATTTTCTAGGAAACATCTACTAATCTTACGTCTTCCCCTCAGATGCCTTCGCTCAGGGTCTTGGTTTCTCCAAGGAACTCGCTTCTTCTCTGCTTAAGCTGCAGATCCAGAACCTGAGCACCATGGATGCTGACTGGATGTATGCTAGCTATCACTACTCGCACCCCATCCTGACTGAGCGCCTCGCTGCTCTTGGCTGGAAGGGTGGTAAGGTCACCGAGCTCAAGGAAGAGGACAGTGAGAAGCCGGTCAAGGCTGCGGATCGCGAGCTGTAAACGTCGACAGCGTGGGAGCGATGCGGTTTGACCATATCCCGACGGATTTCTTTACCCACACATGGCGGGTCATATAAAGAGGGGGGTTTCAGGGAAGCAAAAAATAGCTCGAGGCTTCCATCATGATTCGGATTGGGCCATTCCCGAGCTTTGGCACCACTCTGTCTATTGGGGTAAAATAACACTTTTTTTATCCAGACAAATGAAATGCATGCAGTTTTCACATGTCCAACCCCAGATCATTTCCAGTAACAGGGGGGAAACATGTACCAAGAAGAGGTAATCAAGTAAAAGAAGGAACAAAGAAAAGAAAAAAACTCCGACCCAATGCAACAACGCCCATAGCTCAAAGATCCAAGCCAAACAGAAAAGCAATCAATCCGAGTCAACCTCCTTCTTAGCCTTAGCCTTCTTCTCTGCCAGCCGTCTCTCCTTCTTCTTCCTCTTGCGCTCCTCCTTATCAACAGCCGCCGACTGCTCCTCCTGCTCAGCAAAAGCCTCCGCCTCAGTCTCCATCTCCACATCCTTCATCTCAAGATCATCCTTCTCGCCCTCACCCTGCTCCTCCCCATTCTCGAGTTGATCGGCCGAAGCCCCCGCAGCGGGAACATCCAGGTAATCCTCGCCGGGATTCATCTTCTGGACGGTAAGATCGCGACCCAGGACTTCACCGGCCAGACCGGCCTGCACGCGCTTCAAGTTGTGGAGGATCAAGTTTGGCGCGGCGGAGGTTGTGCGGGAGACGGGGCCGCTCTCGTTGATGCTTGCGTTTGGCTGGAGGGAGGCATCGGTTCGTGCGCGCTCCAGGTACATAGCCAGGAACTCGTGGGCCTCGGATTGGGAGATTGGCCTGGTGGTGAGCACCGTGGTCGGCGGGAGGGCGGCGGGGCCTTGAGCGCTCATTTTGACGGGCGCGGGTGGTCAATCGCCGGTTGTTGTGGTGTGGTTGGGTTTTTATATAGACGCTGGAGGTTGCGTCTAAAGTTTGGACTGGGAATAGCGTGGATGAAGTCCGGGGGGATCTTTGAAGGAAGTCGATGGTGAAGTGTCGGCGCATTTGCGACAAAAAAGTTTCGGGACGCTAGGCCTAATCGGGTAGCATATTCAGCAATCTATAAGAACGGTGCAACACCATGACTCTGGGCTTTCTCGAGCTAGATTTTGTGTAAGAAGTAAGATTTGAATATTAGAGATTCTATTATATAACAGTACTCTTTTAGCTATTGATCTCCCAATTGCATTGCTGTTGCTCGTCTTTACTGTATCAACGGGACCCCGTGCCTGCGGCTCCGCGCTTAATTTTCTTTCGAACTTCCGAACCACCGCAACTCGGCCAGCGACGTCCATCTGCCCGCTCAACCTCACAACCACCACAACCAACCCCCCAGTCTCCCACATCTCTCACCAGACTTGGCCTCGTCACAATGCTCTGTCTTCGCTGCAGGGCCCTGCCCTCCTTCCAAACCACGGTGTCCGCCATGCGCACCCCAATGACCAGGTACGCAAAGCACGCGAGATCTGCTCCTCCTCCGCAGAACAATCCCAACTCAACCCAATTGCCCTCAACCAACTAACAACCCTTTTTAACAAATCCAGAATCACCCAATTCACACCTCAAACAACCCTCACACCCACCGCCCTCCTCTCCTCCCGACCCTTCTCCACCACTCTCCTCTCAACACCAACCCGCCTCCAGACTTTCTCCCTCTCCCTGAGGACTCCCTCGACACCGGCACTCTCCACCCCGTCAATCTCATCACTGCTGCCCCCTCAGAGCCGCTCGTTCTCGGCTACCGCTTCGCTGGGCGTGAAGCGTAACACGTTCCGTCCCTCGCGGCGTGTGCAGAAGCGTCGCTCGGGTTTCTTGGCTCGGAACACCGATAGGAAAGGCCGGTTGACTATTATTCGTCGGCGGTTGAAGGGGCGTAAGGCTATGAGCTGGTAATTGCGCTTTGTGTGTGTGATTCGTCGTGGTCCCAGCTAGGGGAGTTTGTTTAGAGATGGGCAAGCGAGTTGGAGGATGACATGCCCTAATTGCATATGTTGCATGTGGAGGGATATGCGGAGTTCGTCTCATCTGGATAGATGGGATTGTTGAGAGCTTTGAGGCAGGATTTGCCAGGCCTGTGTGTGGCCTATTTGTACCATATTTACCTTCCCTTCCGGTGGTGTTGAAACACTTGGAATTGGGAAGTTGTGGAGATTATACTCATTTCAGCTATGTTCTTTTTGTTTACTATCTATTTCCTTCCCTTGTAATCGTGTCTCGACACATTTCCATACTTGTTGTATTAGCTAGCTATTGTATCAAGCTCTACCTAGGTTGCCGTGTCTACGTTTCATGGAGCGCGTTCACTCGTCATCTTCGTCACTGTCCTCCTCCTCAGAGCCGGACTCGTCATCCTCGTCATCTTCGTCTTCGTCTTCATCATCTTCCTCCTCATCTTCATCACCAAGCTTGAGGCCGTAGTCATCCTCAAACTCCTTGAGGGGCTGGACAGTCGGGGTGAAGCCGATTGACTCGAAGCCTTGTTTAAGGGTCTGTTCAACGAAATTAGTATACCGGTTCTTGCAGCAGAGCAGAAAAAGTCAATTGATAAACATACCTCCTCCAGAACAGTACCGCAGGTGATAACAAGGTTCGCAGTCTTCGCCGAGAACAAAGGCAAGATAATCTCGCGCAGAGCACCCTTGACATCCTCAACGCCGATATCCCGCACCTTCTTGAGCATCTTCTCCTTGTAGTCGCTAGGCAAGTTGCGCACGACCTGGCGGATGAAACTGCCCTGGGCAGCGCTGGCAGCGGTCATCTGCTCGTTGGCATAGCCAACAACGATGCTGCTGATCGCACCCTCGAGCATGAGAGGATCGAAGGGGCTAGCGCCAGACAGATGGTCCTCGACAATCTGCTTGCTAGCTTCGAAAGCCTTGTGCGCGTTGGGAGAACGGTACACGTCGAAGTTAACAAAGCTGGTGTCAATGTTGTAGGCGAAGTTGGTACCGTAGGCCAGACCCTTGCCACGGACAGCGACCCAGAGAGGACCCTCCACGGCGTTCATGTAGGCAATAGCGACCAGCAAAGCGGGGAGCTTGGGGTGGTCGTAGGAATCGAGACCCCGGGCGGTGGCATAGGCGTACGACGAGTCCACAGTCGGCATGGGGACGATGTACGAATGGCCGCCGATGTTCTTGCCGGCGTCGCTCAGCAGCGCGCGACGGTTTGTGATGGGCTTCAGGTTGTCGCTGCTTCCGAGGCGCTCGGCGAAGGACTTCCAGGAGGAGACGGGGCGAGGCAGCTTCTCGAGGTCGGCAATAACGATCACCCGGACATTATCGGGTTGGAACAGAGATTTGCGGATCTCCTCCATACGGCTGACGATCTCCTCGGGCTTCTCGGCGAGAAGGCGCTTGACACGCTTCAGGTAGCGTGCCTTGACGAGGGTAGATCGAGCCCGGGCAATAGACTCCTGGTCGTAGTGGACCATGACGTGAACTGCTGCCAGCATGTCATCGCCACTGCGCTTGGAGTCGGGCACGTCGGCCAAGAGGCGAGTGGTAATAGCACGCAGTCTCTCGACATCGAAGATGGAGCTCCAGCACAGCTCCTGCAACCAGGCAATGGCGGCTTCGTACTTCTCACGCTCCACCTGGAAGGACAGACGGAGCATTTCTGAGTTTCCAAGGGCGCGGCCCGTGTCCATTCCGTAGCCGACAGTATCCTTCTCCAACTCCACGACGACCTGCTCAAAGTTAATGGTCTTGCCATCGCGCTCGACAGGAATGTTGAAGAAAGCCTCGGTGTAGATCGACAGCAAGGGACGCAGTTGGAGCGGCACAGACTGAGCCGAGATGAGGACAGACAGCTGCACAAAGCTGCTGGGGATGTTCTCAAAGTGAATGAACAGGGGCTGGCCCTCATCGTCGGCCTCAATCAACTTCTGGATCTGATTGTCGGGACGACCGGCCTTCAGGGCAGCACCCGAACGGGCCGTGGTCGTGTTCATGAAATGAATGGAATCGGTTCCGGGAATGGCAAACTTGGCCAGAAGCTCCTCTGGGATCTCCTTGTCGTTCTCGGCCTTGGCCTTCTCCAGCTTCTCAGTCAGCTCCTTGAGCCCCTTCTCGCCAAGACGTTCCTTCTGAGCGGCCACTCGCGCCTCCTCATCATTCTTGAGCTTGTCGGACAGCTTCAGGGACGGGCATCCCAGGATGGAAACATGGTTGGCATCGGCAATCCACTTGGTGATGAAAGACCGCCATTGGTCCTCCTCCCAGTGCTCAAGGGCTTCGTATTCCTTGAGAGATGCAACATCCCGCAAGGTCGAGCCATCACGCTTTCCGAACAGGAAGTCGGTGATAACGTATTCCGCAAAGGGATTGGCAGAGTTCTCGGTCGAGAACTTCCACGAACGGCGCTGACGGTCAATGCACTCCTTCAAGTACTTCATATCGAGCGGCTTGCCCATGGCATCCTTCAGGATCTCAAAGAATCGCTTCTCAACCTTCTCAAGCTTGTCAGTCTCCACGCTGGTCAGGGTAAAGCGGATCTCGATGCTAGGATGATCCTCAGTAGCATAGTAGACGGCACTGGCAATCTGCTCTTTCTCGACGATCGTGTTCTCCAGGAGAGACGCAGACGATCCAGCGAGATACAGGAGAGCCACATTCAAAGCGCCGGCTGTGAGTAAGTTAGCTTCGCTGTCCCAAGGCGCAGGCGTTATGATAAAACTTACATTGAATGGGGTCGTTGCAATCCGGTCCAAGGAAGCGAATCTCGATTTCGCCAAAGGACTCATCTTCTTCAGGGAAGTCGACTTTCTGAATGATGGATTTCTCCAAGGCTGGAGTCTGCTTGGAGTCCGTCCAAGGACGAGTGAAAGGCGCATCCGGGCTCGGGATGACATCCAAGATGGTGTCCTCGAACTTGTCCAAGATATCCAGCATGTTATTCTGGTCGACCTCACCGGTGATGACCAGGCAGAGGTTCTTAGGCTGATACATCTCACGATGGAACTCCCGAATACGCTCAGCGGTCAGAACGCGAAGCTGTTCCATCATGCCACCAGTCTCGTAGCGGAAGCCGACACCGGGAGGATAAGTTGCACGCTTAGCTGCCAGGTCAATCAGCTCAGCGGCGTTGTTCTGTACGCCTTGCATCTCGGAGTATACGACACCGGCATCGTTTCCGGAGCCATCAATGTGGTGAACTTCTGTGTAGCAGCCCTCATCCGTCAGAGTGGGAGCAATGACGTGCTCCAAGTAGACCGGCAGGATGCGAGCAAAGCCTTCCCAGCCGGCGGTGTCGAGGGTGTAGGCTGTGTGGTCTGTGGCTGTCCAAGCATTGGTGTTGGAGTAGACCCGGGTAGCCAGCTTGTCCAGGAAACCCTTGTAACGGTAGTTACGAGAGCCCATGAAGCAAAGATGCTCCAGAGTGTGAGGGGCGCCCGAGTCATCATGGATCTCCGTGGCAAGCACAAAGTAGCCGTTCACCTTGGGGCCCTTCTGGTCAATGACCACCACCCGCATACCGGTGCGCTGCGACTCATACTCAGTGAACTCGCTCGCGGAGTAGTCTGGCTTGAACTGCTGAAGCAGCTTGAACTGGCTCTTCTGCACCGAGGGCGACATGTTGATCAATGGGGCAAGCCCAGAGAAGATACTTCGCCGGAAGTTTGGCAGTCTGTTTATCTTTGTCAGCCTCATTTATTCATAAAAGGACTGTTTCACCACGTGGCCGCAAAATGATATCCAGCCGTAGATCAGATGTTTCACAAGGAACACCTTCGAACGCTCCAACTATAGCTTCTGGGAAATTGAAGGGGGCATATGCACCGTGTCCACAGTGGAATTGAAAGAGCAAGAAGCAAAGTAAACCCAAAGGCTGGCCACCCATTTACTTTGCAGCGACGCATCTAGGAGATTACCTCCGACATGGGCCCTGTGTGACGGCGGGGCAGGCAAAAATTCGGAGGGGTCTCAGGTAGGGATTGGTACTCTTCCAAGAGCCAAGGGGAGGAGCGGGATAGGTCAACTCACAGGAACTGTGTATGTGTCACCCGATTCAGGCTTCGTAGATAGAACCGAGACACGATGGAGTATGTTCTGGGATGAGCTTGTGTGTTGGACCCAGGCGGAGCCACAGGTCGGGTTCCGTGTTCTTCTTACAAAGCGGGCACTGAGTCGTCGTTTGTCGTGGTATATACAATAGAAAGCCTATTAAAAGGTAGTTGCACGTATTATCTAGCGCTGGTCATAAAACAATCGTAAGTTTTCTTTTCTTTTCTTTTCTTTTTGAAGGATCCTCTTCTTCCCAGATCACTGGCAATAATGAATGCAGCCTCTCAGTCATCCTGTGTGGGGCGGTGACGCCCAAAAGTCACGAGTGGTTGTTGACACGCCGCATTTCCGGTGCTCGAGTCCTCCACTCCGCAGCTTTCCCCAATTCTCCTATCCAGGACTTACGTTTCAGCATGCCACCATCTGAAGGTGAGGTGTGCCAGGCAGTCCTGAGCTTCGTCACAGATGGCGCCTACCCCGAGGAGAGCGTGGTTGCAGCGGAGTTCCCCGCAACAGCTCTTGCAAAGGAATTGGAGCTGATATCCCAAGCTCGGGAGCAAGTAGAGGTGCGTTGGACATGCTGACGTTGCTGTCATTGACATGGATGTCCAGTGCTAGTGCTGACCGGGTATTTTGTCCTCAATAGAACGAGATCAGCTCGCTGAGTCGGGAAAACACCACCTTCGATGCCGATGATTGGATCGTCCAAGCCAAACAACTGCACGCCGACATCGAGCGCTCACGAGTCACCGCACGGGAGATAGTCGCCCAGCATGAGCACACGAGCCCCCTCCGATCCAAAGTGGAGGATGCGAGCGCCAAAGTAGCATTGGTCGAAACGGAGATTGCTTTCAACCAAGCTGTTGCCGAGACTCTTGAGGAGGTGCAGCGCTTGTGCCAACAATTGGAGAATGGACGAGCTGCGCTTGTAAATGGTCAATTGACGGCCGCGATCGAGCAGTTGGACTCTATGAAGGCGGCCATTGGGAAGGATGCTTTCTTCACAAACACTAATGTGATGAGCATTCTTACTCTCGAGGTGGCACAGTTTCGGGAGCAGATCGAGGACACCCTGCGTGTACGCTGGCAGGAGCAGCTAAAGGTGGACCGGCAACGAGGGAGGTTCCAAGTGATCAAGGGCGATGGTGCTGACTCTCTAGATAACACCATTGCGTCCATGTCACGATTGGAGATTTTGAGTTCGGCCAGCGAGAAACTCTTAAAGGACCTCTGTGTCGCAGTTGTCGACCCGATACTACTACCACGAGCAGATGGGAAGAGTCGTGCTGTTGAAATTACAGACACCGGCATCCACGTTCAATCAGAGTTCTCAGAAACAACCGTTTCCGAGACCCTGAGCCGCATCACAACGGTTCTGGATTATTTGCGACAGAATCTGCCACAATCCATCTCATCTGAGCTCCCTCAATCGCTGATCCCATCTGTTGCGTCCAAGGCAATTTCAGGATGGCTGTCTTCTTCAATTCCAACCACTCTTGAGGGTCTGGGGAACTTTGAAGAGACTCTGGACTGTGTGATGCAGTTCGCCAATACAATTTCATCTTGGGGCTGGGCTGGGATGGAGGAGCTTGTATCTTGGGTCAACCAAGCACCTCGCCTGTGGCTGACTCGGCGTCGTGTCGACTCTCTCGACAGTGTGCGCAAAGTCCTTGCAGCTAGTAAAGGTACCACCAAGCAAGTTGAGCGAGTTGAAAAGGAACAGGTCTCCCGGGCTGATGAGGCCTTGCTAGAAAACGCCTCGGATGACTGGGACGCTAATTGGGATGAGGATAAAGAGGAAGAAAGTACAGTGGAACCGACAACGGTAGCTCAGCCTGAAGAGGAAGAGGATGTGAGTGCGTGGGGTCTTGATGAGGACGCCGAAGAAGAACCCAAACTTGATACAACTGGCCCAAGTGGAGACGACGATGCCGACGACGACGCGTGGGGTTGGGGCGACGACGAGGGCGAGGAAGCACAAAGCGATCAAAATCAACTTCCGCAGGCTGACACCGCCGCAAAGTCAGTAGATGGTGGAAAGGCAGCGCAATCCTCTGCTCCCAGAGAGATGACCCTAAGAGAGGTTTACACCGTCACCGATATCCCGGACTCGATACTAGATATCGTTCGCCAGCAAATTCACGACTCGAAAGATATCTCACAACCGCCGTAAGTATTTACCCACTAGGTTTAGTCTGTGCATCCGGCATCTCTAACGTGATAATTATAGGCATTCGACCTCTCGGGTTGCTTCATCGGGTGCCGGTCTATTGGCGCTACCCACGTTGATTCTGGCCATGTTTAAGGCCACTTCAACCTCCTTCTATTCTTTGAAGCTCAGCTCTGGTCAAATGTACCTGTACAATGATAGCCTGTACCTTGCCGGCCAAATTCGAGAGTTGATGGAAGAACATGAGCTGTCTAGGCTCAGCTCTGATGTGGAAGCTCTCGAGAAATTTGGCAAATTTGCCTACAGCAAGGAGATGCAGACACAAAGCACTATTGTCACCGATCTTCTTGATGGTGCGCAAGGCTTTGGGCAATGCTCAGAACAGCCATTCAAAACTGAATGTGAGAATGCCGTGAGCGCAAGCACTGATCGCATTCGTGATGTCTACAAGGAGTGGCAGCCCATTCTGTCACACTCCGCTCTGCTACAGTCCATTGGATCTCTATTATCTACCGTGATCAACAAGATCATCATTGATGTGGAAGATTTGGGTGACATCTCCGAAGATCAGTCTAAGCAGCTCGTGGCTTTCTGCAATCAAGTCTCCAAACTTGAGGATCTCTTCATGCCCGAGACAACCGACGATGCCGAAGCCATACCTGTCACGGCCGTTTACGTGCCAAATTGGCTTCGCTTCCAGTACTTGATCAACATCCTCGAGAGCTCTCTGGCTGACATCAAATATCTCTGGCTGGAGGGTGAATTGGGACTCGAGTTCTCCACCGACGAGGTGGTGGATTTGATCGAGGCATTGTTTGCAGAATCTAGCCATCGCCGTTCGGCCATCGCAGAGATCAAGCGTGCCCCTCGGGGGTGAGATGATTCCTGCATATTACCTATTTATGTTTCCTCCCATTAATCTAAAAAATATCTCAACCATCTCAAACTATGTATCCTATGGGACACTTTTGTAGACTCGGCGGGGCCATCTCCGCGCTTTGCGCTAGTGTGCCGCACCGGCCACCGTATTTTTTCCTCACCCGCGCAGGCTTGTTCATTTTGCGACTGCCACCAGTGCTGAGTTAAACAACCACAATCTGGACAATATTCGCCCATCATGAGTGGAGATCAAGACACATCCGCCGCTGAGGTTACGCAGCGACAGGTTCGTGTGCAGCTCACGACCCAACAAGAGGATATCGCCCTCCCTGAGAGCACCGGTCCTATTCTCGTGCCCACTGGTAAGGACTTGCACAAAAACTTTCATTGGAAGACTTCTGTAATATCTAAGGATGCTAATTATGGTTTCAAATAGGCCTGCGACGTTATGCGCTGTCGACACTGGTCAACAACCTTCTGGGAAGCGAGAAGCCCGTGCCGTTCGAATTTTTGATTAATGGAACATTCCTGCGGACCTCGATTGATGAATACCTGACTGACAATGGTATCTCCGCTGAAACGACCCTCGAGATTGAATATGTCAGAGCTCTTATTCCGCCTCTTCACATTGCATCTTTCCAGCACGACGACTGGGTCAGCGCCACTGATGTGCTGTCATCAACTTCGCACGCCGCATCTTGGGCCTCTGGCGCTACCTTCTCGAAGGGCCAGGAACGGATTCTGTCTGGAAGTTACGATGGTCTTCTTCGGATATGGAACATGTCGTCCGAGACTATCGCTACATCTCCGGCAGCCTCTGAGGGAGGACACACTGCGTCCATCAAGGCCGCCAAGTTCGTCTCGCCCAACCAGATCGCCTCCGCCGGCTTGGACCGCACCGTTCGACTGTGGAAGTATACCGAGGATGATGACTTTGTTGGAAAGATTACACCTCAGCTAGAGTTGTACGGCCACAAGTCCGGCATCGAATCGCTGGCCGTGCACGCGCCGTCTAACCGTCTTCTGACTGGTTCTTCCGATCACAATGTTGGATTCTGGTCTACGAAGAAGGCTGATGCTCCCGCCGCTCCGGAGAACCTTCTCCCTAACACTGCCCGTACCTCCAAGCGCCGCAAGTTGAACACCTCCGTGAGCACACCACAGCGTGGTCCTCTGGCCCTTCTCTCCGGGCACACTGGACCCGTCTCGGCCGCTATCTTCGACGCCAAGGATTCCACTGTTGCATACTCTGCTTCGTGGGATCACTCTCTCCGGACTTGGGATCTGGTCACCTCCGCCCTTGTCGACACCCGCACCACCTCTCACTCTCTTCTTTCTCTCGAGCACCTCCCCGAGCACAGCCTTTTGGCTGCCGGTACCTCCGCCCGTCACATCACCCTGATTGACCCGCGAGCCTCTGCCACAACCGTGGCGGCAATGACCCTGCGTGGTCACACCAACGCCGTTGTCAGCTTGGCTCGCGACCCCTCCAGCACGTACGGTCTCATTAGCGGTAGCCACGACGGCACATGCCGGATCTGGGATATTCGTTCCACCAAGACTGACAAGGAGGGTGTTGTTGGTGAGAGTGTGTATTCGATTGCCCGCAAGAGTCTTGAGGAGGAAGGTAAAGTGGATAGCAAGCGTGTTGGTGGCGAGGGTGTTAAGGTGTTCAGCGTATGCTGGGACCAGACTGTGGGCATTGTGAGCGCGGGTGAGGATAAGCGGATCCAGATCAACCGCGGTGAGGGTGTCCTTTCTTCGAATAAGCAGTAGATTGTACATAATGGCTCGGCGTTTTTAGATGTGGTTTTGGTTAAAAGTTATGTTTCGTGATATATCATCCAATTTTCCTCAGTAGCTGTGCTGTCCCGATATATATCTTTGTCCCCATGTACTGTTCGGATGGGTTAGACCACCACAAAACCTGGAAACCCCAATATTACGTAGCGAACACAGATAAGTAGTTGAGTTTGTTATTTTCTCTTTTGAATTGACATATAATACATTGATAGAGTGTACATTCACATAGCAGGCGAGAAAAAGCCAGCTCTCAAGTCAAAAACGCCGTTCCCATGCCTCCCACGCAAGATACGAGAGATTGCCCCATGATAAGGTTCGAATAAATCCAAAAGGACGTCAAATTTATAGCCGGCGCTCCATCCGGTTGAGCTTGACGGGGGTTTTGATCTATTGCAACTTCGTTAGCTTCAAACTCTGAGATATCTCCTACGCGGCCGGTCATAAAGGCTCTTGACACTACTGAGACCATATGCACCGGACGTCTGAAGACGCCGAGTCTGATCTTGGGAATCTCGAGTGCAAAGAATAAGGAACCGGAAAGAAGAAAACACCCACCTGAGTCCTTGTGCGCTGTCCTCGAACGGGCAGACCCAGTGCATGGCGACGACCACGGTAGGTACCGGTCTCCTTCAGGCGCTTGATGTCATTCAAGACCTCTCGTCGCAGGTCGTTCTCAATCTTCATATCCGACAGCACGGCGGTCAAATCGAGGACCTGCTTGTTGGCGAGCTCGCCGACGCGGCAGGTCGGGTGGATGTTGAAGCGGGCCAGGAGGCGGGAGGAGGTGTGGTTGCCGACTCCGAAGAAGGTCTCGAGGGATTTCTGTTTATTCATTCGAGTTAGTTTCATGGCGGTCAACCGTCAATTGGGTCGAATCGAGGTGCTGGAGTCGGAAGTGCGATGCTGTGCAGGGAGTGCTGACCTTGAGCAGGTTCCGCTCAGGGAAGTTGACACCGAGGATGAAGACCTGTGGAAGAGAATGTGAGTAAGAGTAGATTTGACAGAAGGAATAATTGTAAGTTTACCATCTTGATGTGCCCGAATGGCTAGCTAGACAATTGATTATCATAATTCAATATTCGAGTCGCAATCCGCGCATCGCGGGAGAAATCGTCCGGCAATAAAGTTTCTCCGAGAGAGATTCGCAGTCCGGTCATAGATTGCAGAGCGTATTACCGTATTCTTGGTATCTGATACCCCAGTTCCCCTAACAACTCTCCTCGATAATGGAAATATTACCATACCTAACAGCCGCCGCGGCGTCTCTCCGCACGCCATTGCAAGCTGGCCTCCCCTCTCGACACCTCCCTGCCTCTTCTTCTTGCTTCCTACTGCATCCACCATAAGCAGTGGCAATTCGCAACCATGAATTTCCGCAACCTTTTCCTGTCCCTCTTCTTCGTCCTGGCCGTCACCCTCGCCCTGGTTCAGGCTGAGGAGGATAAGCCCCGTGGTCCCAAGATCACCCACAAGGTAATCAATTGGCCTCGAGATCTATAGAACCACGACGCAATGCTGACTGAGCCAATTAGGTCTACTTCGACATCCAGCATGGCGACGAGTCCCTTGGCCGCATTGTGATGGGTTTGTACGGCAAGACTGTCCCCGAGGTGAGTGGTCTCTCTATATACTTCGACTTCATACGGAGCTATTACTTACTATCCCATTTCCATGCAGACTGCCGAGAACTTCCGGTATGGCTATACTTATGAACATATACATCTTAACGCACATAAACCCTAACGATACTCAGTGCTCTGGCCACTGGCGAGAAGGGCTTCGGCTATGAGGGCTCGACCTTCCACCGTGTCATCAAGGACTTCATGATCCAGGGTGGTGACTTCACCAACCACGACGGTTCGTACTATTCTCTATCGTGTCGTGAATGATCCGAAAATTAATCGCTGTTGACAGGCACTGGTGGCAAGTCCATCTACGGCAACAAGTTCAAGGATGAGAACTTCAAGCTCCGCCACACCAAGAAGGGTCTCCTGAGTACGCAATTCCACTTGGCTCCCCTGTGAAATCAGTGCATCAAGAAACTCACCTACGTTTAGGCATGGCCAACGCTGGCAAGGACACCAACGGCTCCCAGTTCTTCATTACCACCGTCATCACCTCGTACGTACTTCGGATCTATAGGTTTATAGACCATACACTAGCATTCGTTGCTAACTAAATTCTCCACATAGTTGGCTCGATGGCCGCCACGTTGTTTTCGGCGAGGTCCTCGAGGGTTACGACATTGTCGACAAGATCCAGAACGTCCCCAAGGGCCGCGGTGACAAGCCCGAGAAGGCCGTCACTATTGTGAAGAGCGGTGAGCTCGAGATGGAGAAGTCGGAAACCGAGGACAAAGGTAGCCGCGATGAACTTTAAAGGCCGGTCCCTCGGCCCCTTACTCTACTCTTCAACTGCTGGAGAAGGGTGGCTGATAATGCTTGTTTTTTCCTCCTCAAAGAATACGACGACGAACCGGTGGCTGCCCCAGTCGCCGAAGAAACCCCGACAAACGACGAATCTTCCTTTTCGATGCAACCGGTCCTGATCTTCCTAATGCTTGTGGCTGTGATTGGATTCTATATCAGCCGTCGTCGCAGCCAGCAGCAGCAGGATGAGAAGGAGTTTGAGGCGTGAGATAAAAGAAGGGAGATATAGTACAGCAGGATCAATACAACGCATATTATAAGATTTGAATAGAAGTCGTACAAGAGTCGTAGATTTGCGCCCTTCACATGATCAATATACTGGTTCTGCCTGGTAAATAGTGTCGAGTATCGAATGTATTTACTGTTTCCTCAGTCAGGCAGTCAGGTATATTCAATTATATTTACTATTTCCTTAGTTCAGCAATCTTATGCACAGAATATGCACTAAACTTTTCAAAGGCTCAGCCTCCCGTACCACGATCTCATGCCTCGGCCATTCAGGACTCGTGGCGCTGGCCTTAGTCAGCTCCGGCCCAGACTCAGGTACGCCAACTGGCCAGCAAAAAAAAATCTGTCTGGCCACCCAATACGGTCACAATACGAGAAGGGGATACATTTCAGGGCCCGCCGGGCTCCCAAGAGCGACTAGTTCCTGGCTAGTGCTTGGCAAGTACCACGGTCCCTTGGAAAATTACATCGCAGCCAGGTCTTACCAGACAATACATCGATACAATGGATCTACCACCAGACGCACAGGCGACACCACACGGGCGGGCGTACCCAGTAAGTACTCGATTTGCCTCCTTCCCACAGAAAACCTGCCATCGCGCTTCTCAACTTCCTACTTTTACATCCTCATCCCTTTTTACACCTAAACTCATCCCTCTCTTTTCTTGTGTGCTCATAGAGTTCTTAGAATCGGGGGTTTTTGCATTTTCGTTCTTCTATCCCACAATACCCGTTGTTTTGCCACTTGACTTTTTTCTTCTATCAAGTGGAAAAAATTCGAGAGACCCTGACAACTTACCTTCTTACGTCTCTCTCTTGTCCTTGAAGGTCCTTTCTCACACGCTCTCTTTGCAAGTTTACTGAGTTTTCAGATCGCTTGCGCCTTGTCGACGGAGAAACTTTCGGTGAAGCCAAAAAAAACTGTACGCATACCTTTCCCTCATCCACTCGCCTCACTTCTCCTCTCGTCCCCGAAAAACTCTCTTCTCTCACCCTCCCCCCTCCTCCGGCCAGCGACTAATTTGAGGCTTGCTTCACGTCAACAGAAACACGTCTAAAATCGCAATCATGGCCGACGGACTTCAGATGGGCAACTTGTCCCTCCAGGACTCCCAGCACGCCCCCCAGGGTGGCCCCCCTGGCCGTGCTGCCTATATTCCTCCTCACCTCCGCGGACGCAACGTCGGTGCCACCATGGACGGCGGTGCTCCCCCTGCTGGCCCCAGCGCTGGCTTCTCAGGCCCTCGGTACGATATCTGAAACCCTCTGAATTACATCCTATTCTGATCTGCCAAAAGATCTTCCGCTAACCCCAAACTGATTCTCTAGGGATGCTCGTGGCGGTAACTGGGCTAACGCCAACGCCCCCAACTTCAGCCCTCGTGGCCCTGCCAACGGTAATACAAGCCGGAACCCAAATGGACCTTACCGGCGTTTCGATCCCCATGCTTACGGAGAACCAGGTCACGGAGGCTCTTACAGCGGTGGTGGTGGTAACTACAGCGGCGGCGGCGGTGCTGCTGCCCGTGGCTCTGGCGATGGTCAGTGGCGGGACGGCAAGCACATCCCCGGCCCTGCCAACCCCCGCCTCGAGCGCGAGCTCTTCGGTCTCGGTCAGGACGACCCTTCCAAGCAGCACACCGGCATCAACTTCGCCAACTACGACGACATCCCCGTTGAGGCGTCCGGCCAGGACGTCCCCGAGCCTGTCAACACCTTCACTAACCCCCCTCTCGACGACCACCTCATCTCCAACATCAAGCTTGCTAGCTACGTTACTCCTACCCCCGTTCAGAAGTACTCCATCCCCATTGTCATGGGTGGCCGCGACTTGATGGCCTGCGCTCAGACCGGTTCCGGAAAGACCGGTGGTTTCCTCTTCCCCATCCTCTCTCAGGCATTCCAGACCGGCCCCTCTGCTGCTCCTCAGCAGGCCGGCGGTGGTCAGTTCTACGGCCGCCAGCGCAAGGCTTACCCCACCTCGCTCATCCTCGCCCCCACTCGTGAGCTGGTCTCCCAGATCTTCGACGAGGCCCGCAAGTTCGCCTACCGCTCCTGGGTCCGCCCTTGTGTCGTGTACGGTGGTGCCGACATTGGCTCCCAGCTCCGCCAGATCGAGCGTGGCTGCGATCTGCTCGTTGCTACTCCCGGTCGTCTCGTCGATCTGATTGAGCGTGGCCGTATCTCCCTCGTCAACATCAAGTACCTGGTTCTTGACGAGGCTGACCGCATGCTGGACATGGGTTTCGAGCCCCAAATTCGCCGCATCGTCGAGGGTGAGGATATGCCCCGCGTTGAGGACCGCCAGACCCTCATGTTCTCGGCCACCTTCCCCCGTGACATCCAGATGCTGGCCCGTGACTTCCTGAAGGACTACGTCTTCCTGTCCGTCGGTCGTGTCGGTTCCACCTCCGAGAACATTACCCAGAAGATCGAGTACGTCGAGGATGTTGACAAGCGTTCCGTCCTTCTGGACATTCTCCACACCCACGGCACCACTGGCCTGACCCTCATCTTCGTCGAGACCAAGCGTATGGCCGACTCGCTCTCCGACTTCCTGATCAACCAGCGCTTCCCCGCCACTGCTATCCACGGTGACCGCACCCAGCGTGAGCGTGAGCGCGCCCTGGAGATGTTCCGTAACGGTCGTTGCCCCATCCTGGTCGCTACCGCCGTTGCTGCTCGTGGTCTCGATATCCCCAACGTCACCCACGTCATCAACTACGATCTGCCCACCGACATTGACGACTACGTCCACCGTATCGGTCGTACCGGTCGTGCCGGTAACACCGGTATTGCCACTGCTTTCTTCAACCGTGGCAACCGTGGTGTCGTCCGTGACATGATCGACCTCCTCAAGGAGGCTCACCAGGAGGTTCCTTCCTTCCTCGAGAGCATTGCTCGTGAGGGCAGCGGCTACGGTGGCCGTGGCGGCCGTGGCGGCCGTGGTCGTGGCAGCTCCAACGCTACTCGTGACGTTCGTCGCTTCGGCGGTGGTGGCATGGGCGGTGGTCAGTCCTCCTTCGGCGGCAGCGGCTACGGCGGTGCTCCCTCCTACGGCGGCTCCGGCGGCTACAGTGGTGGTGCTGCTCCCTCCTACGGTGGCTCTAGCGGCGGTGCTGGCGGCTACGGTGGCGGCTATGGCGGTGGTAGCTACGGCAACCCCGGCGGTGCTACCGGCCCCTCTTCCTGGTGGTAAATCAGTCGTGGTCTGATGACGAGGCCGTCGGGTCTGATTGGCTCCCCATCTCTTATTTCCTTATGTCTTTCGTTGACGGATACGATCAGAACGCACCCTGAGTTCGTTTTTCGGCCTCGCTGTTTTCTCAGGGACGGCTTTGTCATGACTGCCACGACTCTCTTATGCGTGTTTTAGATTCATGTTTCGCTTTGCTCGTGTCTCGCCCTGATGCTCCTCTTTATCTTTCTTATTTATTTCCTTTTTCCTGTATGTGTTTTATGTTGCTTTTTCTATTGTTTTCTGTCTCGCTTCCAATGGCTCTCCATCTGGCCTTGTTTAGACACGGGGCGTTCGAGCAGTTCTGATTTCCTTTTGTGTTGCTCCGGGTTATCTCTCACGACACTTCCCCTTCTTCGAGCAACTCGGTGATCGGCACTGCATGAACATCATAGAATGCGTTGTCTTTTCTGTCCGTCTCTCATCAGATACCCCATTTTTTGTTCGAGCGTTCCCACGGTTCGGGAACGACGCTCGAATGACGCGCGCGCCGAGCGGAGAGTACAACTCTCTACGAAAAGTGCTTTCTTCTACATCTGCATTCATCTCTCTCGGTGTTGTTATGGCTGCATCGGTCGAGTTTTGCAGCATAGACTCCTAACAGCGTCGGTATCTTATGGCGGACCGTTATCTTGTGTTCCTGCCCACGTGTGTTTTCTGCGGTCGATTCTGTTTCGAAAACCCCAAAAAATCCGCGCTTTCTCTCTCCTTCTCTCTCTCCCGGCTATCTCAGGTCGAACCAAACGAAAAGTATTCTCTTTTTAAAGGATGGATGTGCATTGACGGGAGGTGCAACGTGTGGAGTCCTTGTCTTTTTCTTTCCTTCGGGACGATCTCACTGGGATCTTTTAATGTTGCTTGACCGTCGCAGATGCCTTTGCGAAGGGTGGAATGGGGGTTTTTTTTTGACATGGCTTGTTTTGCATTTCGTATGGCGTTGGCTTGACTGGCTTCTCAAAGTATGTCCTCTGGGTCCGTGGAGGCTGATTGTTTCTCCTCTTTATTTTCATGCATATCATTTTTTACGGATTCGCGGAGGATTGGGACGCTGTCGCCGGCGCTGGATGAATGGTTCGCTCTCAGGCATCATGGGGTTTCTCGCATGGTTCGAGTTTGGGAGGACGCAGAGGGGCCTGGAAAAGGAAATTCTCGAGGCCGCGAGAAGGAAAGCCTTCTTACCTAGTTTCAATGCTATTTGAAAAGTGTTTTGAGTCCATCTTAGATTTGCGTAGTACGGAGTATTAAGAGCTAAGCCCGAAATGACGTGCTGGTCAGGTACCTCGTACTCTATCTTAATCCTCGCGCCAGGATAGCCGATATTGCGCTCGTAGAAGGTACATTAGAATGCATGAAATTGTATAGAATCTTACAGAGCTAACTATTAGCTGTTTAATAAGCGTTTGATCGCTACCTGAGCGAAAAGAGCTGTCCTCATAGCAGTTAGTTCTTAAGACTTATTATAGAGCTGACGCGCTAGCTGTGTCTCTATACTTCGTCTTTCCACAGCAGACATTGTGGTCTCAGCTAGTAGTAGAAATAGGAAAGATAGGGGGAATGGATCAATAGAATAATTAATAACTCACCTAGTTACCATTCTGGAATTTAACCAAACCAAAAAGACTATGCCTTGCCAGGGCGCGTCCTCCGTTCCGCGGAGCCCCCCGATGCGGGTAGATATCACGGGCAGTGACCACACCACATTTAGCCCCGTTAAACTCTCTCAGCTTAAACAGCAACCTGAGGATCACTCGGCACAATTTCATCCTTTCCGGTCCTTCCCTTTCTTCCCTTGGCAACCCTCATTTTCTTTCCTCCCACCTCTCCCTCTTCATCGTTGAATCCCACACCCTTCATTCATTTCCATCCTTTTCCTTCATCGTCCCATCTTGGTTCTGCTCGCGCCTCTAAGGGGGCAACACGACGCCCCCAGCACTCGATTCTTCGGATCCTAACAGCTGGCATACCCACCGACAACCCCGATCGCAATCATCCCTCAACATGGCCGAAGTCGAGAATCCCCCGATCGACGAATCTGTCGCAGCCTCCGAGGCTGCGGACGACCAGACTCATAACGTGACGGCCAGCGCGACGGTCGGTACGAGGCGTCAAGCAAATGGCACCATTGGCTCGGTCTACTCTGGAAACAAGATCAGGCACCTGAAGAAGGAGGATGGCATCCCTCTGTGGCGCAAAGATATCCAATACCAGTTCCTCAAACTCGTCTTCGAGGATAAGACCCCCGTGTTCACGCGATACCCCGATGGCAAGAAGAACTGCGACTTTGCCGACATCTACATCGACGCCATGGCGAGGAGCAGCAAGACTAGCAAAATTCTGAAAGACAAGCTGCAGAATGACAAGCCGGCCGCTATCAGCATGGCCATGGTCTGCTTGTTGGTCAATTTTGGTCGCATGAACACAACCCTCAACTGTATGCCTTGTTCTCCTTGCACTTTTCTCTTGAATCCCTTCGGTCCGATTGCCGATACTGATACCAATCGCTTTGATGCTTTTTAGTCTTCCCCGAAATGCGTGCTCAGTTGCGAACATACCACTCCATCCCTTCCCTTCAAGCCCACCAAGACTCCAACGCCTATAAACAGCTCCAGGATGCCCCACGTCTGAAATCCATCTTGAAGGGTGCGTCCGAGGACGTCGATCAACCTAATACATTGGAAAAGATTAAGCGACAGGCTCTCCCTCGAACTAATCCGGTGAACCTCATCTTCGTCTTGGCGCAATATGCACCAAAGGTCTCGGAGATGCATTTCTTCCCTCCTCGCGACTTTTTCGATCTGGTGATGAGGTCCACATTGAGCAGTGAGACTCGTGCCAAGGCCTTTTTGTGGCTTATGTGGTGGTACCTGGAGAGTGACTTTACGCGCGAATCCGCGATCAACAACCCCTTCGGAGCTGGTTTAGACGGCGAAGGCACCGATGGCCTCCCTATCAAGGTTCCCGCTTTTGAGAGCTTGACGGAGGATCAGGCGAACCTGGAGAATGTGGATACACCGGAGGAATTGGAATATGGTGAATCCAAAAGACTTGAACGCAAGCGTGAGTGTCTGCTTCGTTACGGTTGCTTGATAGAAACGTTTACTGATGTCTTTGTCACAGGTATTCTGGAGGAGGACGAACCACTCCCTCGTGTTCCGAAGCGCTCAAGGAAAGGTATGCAAATATGGGGACTCTCGTACTACGTTCTCGTGTCCTGACCCTTCGGTATTTTAGATTACGGTCTAGATGAGGATTCGTTTGCCGGGGATTACTCTGGCCTGGGAGGTCGAGGCTCCGCGATGTCTACCCCTCTTCATCCATCTGCCAAGCGTAGCCTGGATGATGACGACGACGAGTTGACTCCTGGCTATTCACGACCTCGGAACAAGCAGGCCAAACGCGACTCTTCGCTCACTCGGGTCGTTGGTCAGCAGCGGCTGATTTTGAAGACTAGAATGGATCACACTCCAGACGCTTCGCCAGCACCCCCAGGCTCTAACCATCCCGTACTGAACCGCTTCATTCCCGAGCCCTCTCTTTCTCAGACCTCCGGACGTCGGCCACGACCTCTCACGCAGCACCAGATTGCCGTGGAACAGAACCGCCGACAACGTATTGAATACTTACTCGCAAAGCGCAAAAGCAATGCCTATCGTGTCTTGCGCCACAAGCGGAACCACGAGATTCCTTGCGTCCGATATGGTCGTCTTCTACAGGGCTTACCAGATGGTTACGATACCGAGGAAGAGGAGAAATCATGGGGCAAGGGTGGTTTGCTTCCCAATCCCAACGAAGAGGACGACTTTGGCGAATGCGCTAGTTTCTTCCTCTCCGTGGTTCGGAAGGCTTCACGCCGTCTAGACAGATGGGACTATGAAGATGCCAACGGACCCAAGAAGGACCGTCAAAAGGAGCGCGAGGAGCGACAGAAGGCCAAGGCTGCCATCGAGGCCGATGTACGAGCCAGCAGCAACCGCGCCCGTCCGCGTGCCGCTCGTGCTGCTCCGAAGCGCAAGTCTACCGGCCCAACATCCACTCCTGGTACCGCGAAGAAAACACCAGGATCTCGTGCCAAGGCTGGTCGCAGCCGTCTTGCTACTGGAGGTCCCGAAACACCAGCCGTAGGCACTCCTAACTGGGACGCCGAGAATGCTGCCGGCGACGAGGACATCGAAGGCGAGCTGGACGAACTTGATCGCGAGCTTTTGGGTGAAGCCTCGGGCGAGGAAGACGGTGCCCAGCGTGCCGGAGACGGGGAAGGCGATTCCTCCGACGAATCTGGTGATGACGATGGCGACGTGGATGGTGATGAGAACTCGTCTACTTACGATGGTCCCAATGGCTATGCACGACATGAAAGCTCTTCGCCCGTCCCGGAGAGCCGGCGTGACGGTGGAGATGACGCGATGGAGGAGTAAGGAATTTGTCAATTTCCAAAATTTTGTGTTATGATTATACTCTTCTGGCTGGGAACGGGACTTTTTCTTTCTGGTTGAACAGTGATTCCATTTAAGCTAATTTATGACCTCTTTCTTGACAACTTTGGTTTTCTGCTATCTTCGTAAAGCTTCAGGATAGTCCCCATCTTACGTACGACGTTGATTTTCACCCGGTCACTTCTCTGCGGACAACTCATACATCCACCATGCAGAGTACGGCTGGATTGAGTTGAAATCCACTTGTGCAGGGTCGGTAGGCGAAGGAGTGGGCCTTGCTTCGATGCCAACGAAACCGGCCACCATGAAAGTGTCATAAGAGTGCCCACCAGCATAGTCCTTGACTTTCACCGGCATAGAGGAATATGCAGGAGGAATATCCTTTGTATCGATCCTTGGGAAGACCATTTGGGAAAGCTTCAATCCCTGACGATTGTAGAGACTCTTCCCTTCGGTATCCCAGAAACAAAAGGCCGTAACCCACCCGGAAAAATAATCATACCCACTGCCAGAGTCGTGATGAACACTCTTACTCCAAAACTCCGAGACCTGTGAGGAATCCGGATGATCGAACGAAGCCACAAACGACTCCAGAACAGGTCTCAAAAGAGAGGCGAACAGACTCGGTTCTGCGCCGAACGAACGAATTCACGAACTTTTGCATGAGAGCCGTCATCTTAACGGCGATCTTACCAACGTCTACATCGAAGATAGTTCCAGGATCATCTACGAGAACCAAAATTCAACGGCAGGTCCCAATGGAAGTTGCCATCAACCTTGTTTCCGGTGTAGAGTTGCTTAAAGAGAAACTTCCCCAATGGATATTTACATGATTTATACGGGTCAGTAATGATAGAAAGAGAATGCATAATTGAACCAATCTAATTCTCCTTCTTCATGGTAAGAGCTATGAAATTTGACCCTCCTCTCTAATTTATTCACATCACAGAGCGTCCTGGCGAGTTCATGGTTTAGAAAGTTGCCTGGAGTTCCCAGTCTCCTTGTTGAAACGGCCATCCAACGAGTCCAATAGCAAGTTGAGAACCCGCCTCAATCTCCTTAGCTTTGGCTTTAAGCTCGTCAACATCCCAGTTAGCCCACAGGAATTTTCCTTTCAGGAAACGCGCCTCGGGACTTGCCAGCCAGACATAGAAGCTGGCGGGAAGGGAAACTTGATCGAAGTCAGCATTGATACCCTTCTAATAATCACCATTTTAATTACCATGATCCTCTATACCGAGAGCAGCAACTCCTCCTGCCTCTTTGTTCATAGCAGTATCCACTACACCAGGTTGGACATGGAAAATGCTGAAATTTGGGTTCGCAGAAGCCAGCGAATCCCACAGTCGATATACTGCAAACTTAGCGATGGTATAAGCAGCAAATTTAGAGCCGAAATTCACATGTGCCGCCGACGAATTGGTCTCGATAACGACTGCATCGGATGATGCATATCGCAGGAAAGCCTGAGCGACAAGAAGCGATCCTTTCACATTTTGGTGAATGCTTTCCATAAAGGCTTCGCTCTCGACATCCTCCACACCGTCCTGGGGCCCGATGGTTGCTGCGTTACTGACCAGGACATTAAGCTTGTCATTTCCGAGAAAAGTATCGAAGGCTGCGTCCACTTGTTTCTTGTTTGTGACGTCCGTGGGAGCAATGAAGACTTCGAGGCCAGGGAACTTTTGTTTGAGAGAAGCCTTTGTGTCCACCAGAGGTTGTTCTCGACGGCCAAGGAGAGCGATTCGAGACGCGCCGGCCTCTGCAAAGTAGACAGCGGTTTCAGCACCGATTCCGGTACCTCCTCCAGTGATCAGAACAGTCTTGCCCTTAGCAGAGAGCTCGGGACGGGTTGGTAATAAGGATGGGTAGGTATTCGAGTGCCATGTCGATGTTGGAGATGGGAATGGAGCGGCCATAGTGTTCGATAGTTATGAGATGTTCACTTGGATGATTTGAAAAGTGAGTGAAGACGTGAAAACTCGGCTCATAAGCTCTATTCTTATACACGTTGAAATACAGCGAGATCATCTTAGCAACGGAATAGTACAAACCGCGAAGCCGAACAATGGAACTACAATTTGGAGGGTCCGGCAACTACATGATTATGAATCGAGGGCATAAATCACCTCCAAGATGGGGAAAATGAGGAATCCGGAGTTCTTGAACAGGATCAAACCTTTTACAATTTGTTCCGGCCGTTGATCTCCTTCCAGGGCTAGGTCCAGTTGCTGACATGCTGACAAATGCGAGTATGGCCGGGCCCCTTCAGAGGCAGTTTACAACGAACCAAATAGATTTCATTGAAGAGCTCCTGTTCACGGTTCTCCGATAGTCATACGTATTGTCAATTTTCAATTTGAAATGCCCGCCGGAGATTCACATTCTGTCCTTCGTTGCGGACTATGCAACAAACCATTCGATAAGCGTGAGTTCAAACATAGCCCCCAACAATAACCCCACAACAATCCTAGAATCTAATGGTAGAACACTCAGAGTCCACGCTAAAGAGACATGGATACTATTGTCGATCTCGACAAATTGGCAGTGCTCCTCGCCTTCGGTCTTGTGTTTCCTGTGTTAAGGGAAAGACTCGTTGCGATAACAAGCAGCCAACTTGTTCCAGGTGCATCACCAAGGGTATTGAGTGTCGCTATCCGGCAAGCTCACGCCAGTCAACGGAATCAAGGATTCAAAAGATTGACAAAGGGTCAACTCGACGAAGAGATGCCTTGTCTTCGCCGCCAAATACCGACGTAGCTGCTGGAAGCTCGCTGGGCACTGAGAGCGATGTCGACGCAATCATTGATAGCGTATTCGCGTCTTCAGATCTAGTATCTACGAATATTGACGACAGATATATCGACAGTATCAACCAAGACCTTGGGCTCTCTAACTTCTTGGATCTTCAAGGATATCAGAATACTACTCAAACTCCCTCGTCAGGATGGTACCCCTTCGAAGGACAGCAAACCCCCTCGTTCTTCAACCTATCAATACCGGCACAAGTGACATCCAATCCTCGATCACTTGTACAGCGGCCAAAATTCAAAATCGGAGGGGAAGGTACCGCAGGCCTGATCTTGCATACGCTGAAATCATACCTCCGGATGATGATGCATCACAATACACTCCCGCCCTTCATCCATCCACGTACAATATCTCCCGACTTTGATCAAGGCAACACAGAGCCACTCATTAATTGCGTCAGCTTGGTCCACATGATTGGAAGTAAAGTCAGGGGAAGTCGAAAACTATTTTGGAAGAATGTGAGGCTGGAGTGCGAGCGCTTGCTTGAAGACGTGAGTCGTCCACATAGGTCCGAAGAAGATTAGTGCTAGGGAAAACTGACTAGATGATATAGCATCTCACATTGAGCAAGTGGGAACTTCTTACTGCTATGCAAGCTGTCTGCATTTATATCCTGGTTCGACTGGATGAGGGTGCGACGGATGAAAATGATTTTGATTCTTTGTTGCTTGCAGCTGTATTTGTGTGTCGTGACCTTCTTCGTCTCTGTGGAATCTCTTGCTAATACCGCTTACATAGGCAATGTCTAAACAGCTGCAGTGTTACGATCTGATACGTAAATCGCAATCGGCAGGTCACGCTGACAGCCTGGATCAAAAATGGGAAGATTGGATTTTCGAAGAGTCGGAACGAAGGTACGTACTTGCCGCTCCATCAGCACCAACCAACTCACATACTAACCCATCTTGAACAGGCTGTGCGCGATATGCCGAATCGTAAATTTACTAGTTTACTTCGAACCAGCGTCCATGTGCGATATGTCCTCGGTTTTCGTGATAGCCCCATTACCAGGCCCCAAAGGACTATGGGAAGCAAATGATGAGCTCTCATGGCATGTGGAGAGCAAAAACGTTGCCAAAATTCAGCCTTCCTTTGGATTGACCAAGAATGGTCAGGTGGTCAAGCTGCACGAACTTGAGCCAAATCATATGCATACTTTACCGGGGTCTTATCCTTTGAATGTCTCCAAATCGGAAAGCGCTGAGAATTGGGAGGAATGGTGCTCGGGTATGGATGGCCTTGGTGGGATTATTATGCTTGCTGCTTCTTTGATAGTCTAGGCCCATATTGAACCAAATGAAATTTGTTTCCCTCAGGTTCTATTAGAGGTGATTATCCAGCCCGTATGAACAGCACAGACTCGCTTCAAGTGTTATCGAGGTCTATGTGCTCATCGATGACAAAAGCACATCGAATACTTGCACAACCTCTTCTCTCTCCTCCTTTGATAATTGCATTCGCTCCGTGAGCACATATCCCTCCCGAAGCCGTGCAGCAACAATGGCTTTGGGTGTCTTCGTCCTGAAGGCCGCTTCGATGCTCTTGGATATACCATGGAATGGATAAGCCACCAGGCCAATACCAGCTTGACATACGTTAGAGCCGAATTCATTCTCAAGAAAAGAAGAGGACGAACTTACCAGAAGGCATATTTGTGGCCATTCCCAGCGCACCCTTAGCAAGTCCCTTCATTGCACCATCTCTTCCTTCCTCAATAAATCCCTTCAGAGGATGCTTGATCATCCCCGTGACACCAGTCGTCATACCGCCCACAAAATTCTTGCCGCCGACTATCGCCCCAGACTTCCAGTCATGCACGGTTCCGTATTCTTTGGGCTTCTCACCATACAGCTGAGGAGCTCGTCGGAAGCCCTCAGCTGCTGCATGGGGAATGTCGACTATGACACCTCGGAAGTAAGTGGCTGAGAATTTACCGAACCCTTGTAATGTGGCTCCTGCCATATTTGCGGCTGTTTGAAAAGCATCACTATTAGATCGGTTTATTGGAGGCGTGGAGCCTGACGGATCATCCTCGGATGGTTTCGGTGTGCGACTTTTCTTGTATTCTTTGTACGGATTGTAGAACATCTCGCCGGTAGATTGTAGCATGTTGGAGCCGGTTGATGTGGCGGCAGATAGAACGCCAGTCAAAGGATCCCATCGGCGATTTTCAATGATGATCGGATTGATAGCATAGCTGTTGTCACCAGTAAGCATCTCGTAACAAGTAAGGTGACCAAAGAGGTATACAAACCATTTGATATTCTTCGTGTCTATCCTTTTGTATTCGACCAAAATGTTCATCGCCGCTTTAGAAAGAGTCAAAGATTGCTTCTTTTGAGTATAGGCCCATGCCGCAGGCTGGCCTGGGATAACACTGCATCGCATCCTTTGCAAGGGCAGGTTGCGGTGGAAGGAGTTGACAGCCGTTTCCACGCCAGTCTCTGTTTTCATTTTGAGAGCGATTCCATTTGCTGCGACTTCTGCTTCCGGTGTGAGGCAGAATTGAATGGCCTCTGCTAGGATTTGTGGATCTAGCATGGCATGTGGAATTGGTTCAGGCCCTGCACCGGCTTTTGCGACCATGTCGCCCCAGAATGGTTGACTAGAGGTGTCTCTGATTAGCCCAGCCGAACAAAGATAACCTGTCGTCCACCATATTGATGGAGAGATAAGACTTACTCGCCAAAAAAGGGCACAATGGTGGTTGGTCGGCCATTCAAAAGACCACACGCAGTCGTGCCGGCGCCTCCATGATGGACCACAGCAGACACATGCTGGAAGAGCCATCCATGTGGACAATCACCGATGTAATAAACGTTGGTGTCAGCTGGTCCAGCCAGCTCGCTCCAGCCCTTTGAAACGATCGCACGTACACCAGCTTTCGAGACTGCCGCAAGGACTGTGTCGATAAGCTTCTGTGGATCCTCGACGACAATACTACCGAAGCCTATGTACACAGGAGCAGGACCGGACTGTAAAAACTCGGCCAGATCTGGAGGTGGTGTGTATTCAGGGGGATCTGAGAAGAAGAACCCACAAACGTCTGATTCAACATGGTGATGTTAGCCAACCAAGCTTCAATAATGGTGATGTACTCTAGGATCCTACCGATATGAGCTGGCCAGTCTCTTGGCTTTGGAACCAAAGCAGGAGACCAACAGTAGGTCATGGGAATTTCCAAGGCTTCGGCCAGACAAGGCCCCTCTGTCCTTGGGACGGGTGCCAAGTCTATCGAAGACCGAAATCGATTGATAACGTCGCCCAGCCTGGAAGCGTGGATTAGAAACGCATCTTAAACAAGCCTGTTCGATAAACTACTCACCCTTGCCAGGTCAGCCATTCCACCACTCCGTACGAAACCCAGTTTGCTGTTCCCGGGTTTTCCATGGATCCATTCTGGAGATTGGCCAAAGGATGAGGAAATGCCTTGGTACTGCTCCAAGGCATGGTAAACATTAGATGAACGGGGATCCCTAGCGCTTGCGCACAATGAATATGTGCAAAGCTGGGCGGATTTGCGATAATCGCATCTGCAACAAACGGCTCTTGTGTCACCGGGTCATCTTCGATACAAGATCTCCAGCAGCCGGCCAGCATTTCAGCGACCATGACCTGCTTCTTTTTGATTTCTCCATCGCGTAGTGTTTTAATCTGCGGGATTAGACCGGGGTTCTTGACCATGTAGGCCATAAGTTTTGCTGGATCTCCGCCAATAGGGAAGAATTCCAGGAAAGACTCCTTCACAAAGTCTTCGAAGACGTTGTGGGTGGCAATGCGAACCCGATGGCCATGGCTTTGCAAGGCGTTGCCCAGTGCGATAAAGGGCTGGACATCTCCACGACTGCCCACGATCTGAATGACGATGTTCAATTTTACATCGCAGCCGGTCGGCTCGTCGTGTTGAGCCTTGGGCGGTGCATGATACAGATCTTCTTGTTGTTGGTTGGCGATTTGAGCAAGGGATTTCGCGAGCTTGGAATCGAGATGCACATCAATACGACCGTCGGCTATAAACCTAGTCAGCTTGAATTCTTTTCTTTTGATTTCATAGGTTGATGACATACTATGGGCATCGCCGGATTCAGCAGTCAGTTGGGGGTCGATGTATGGGGCATAAGGTGGGGGAGTTGGGGATGCCCCTGGTTCGGGTTCAGGGGATGGTGACTTTCCCATGTTTATGATGGTCAGAGGTGGATCTTTACCCAAATTCAGAGGATGGATGGAGATGTTGGATTCATTTTCAAAAGTACTCCAGAAATGCTTTTGTTCATATCACTCCTTCCAGTTCAACGACATCATCCTGCCAGTGGCGAATCTCGTACTCGCGCGCGATGCCCAAACAGGCAACAGAGTTCCAACGGAATTGGTCAGCCAATAAAACAAGAATCAACAAACATTCTGACCAGATAACCTTGTTCCACTTCTAATTTCTTGATCGACTGTTTTCGTGCACTGCCAGCCACTCCTTTCTTCAGGCTGGTGAGATCTTCGACCTTTCCAACTCCTTTGGTCGTGGCAAACGGGCCGTGCAGAAGTCGATCCCCCACTGCAGTTATTCTTATGACTTGTGGCTGTGGCTGCGCCCCCAAGGAAAGAGACTCGATCGAAACTTGTTTTATCATGTCAACTTGTCGCGTCCAGTAACCAACTCAACCACCCTTTCCCCCCTTGTCCAACCCGGCGATGGAAGGAGGGACCCGCAGTTATGCCAGTCACTCGATGTCCAGCCTGTCGTTACCTCTGCCTGGAGGGCTTCCAGGCACGGACAGACGCAGGCTATTACTGATTTACATTCATGGCTTCATGGGTTCTGAAGCCAGCTTTCATGACTTTCCAGCACATATTCATGACCTAGTAACGGGCTTATTGAGCGAGGCGTATGTGGTATACACTCGCATTTATCCTCGATACAAGTCTCATGGCGAGTTACAGACAGCAGTGAGCCAATTCAGCTCCTGGTATGTAGTGTGGTTGCTCTACTCAGCAAAAAAGTCTCCGAGGATACGGACTAATATGACCTCTTGCAGGCTATCACCTCATGAAGCCGATGACTTGGATGTCATCCTGCTGGGACATAGTCTTGGCGGCATTCTTGCCGCAGATGTGGCTCTCCTACAGCAAGATGGGCGACCGAAACATCGAATCCTGGGACTTGTGAACTTTGATGTTCCCTTTTTGGGGCTTCATCCCCGTGTAATCCCCACGGGAATCATGGGCTCTGTTCCGAGGAAAGATGTAGCCCCTGAAGACCAACTTGCGGGCGAACAAGAGTCTCTTGGCTTAGAACCTGCCTATAAGCCCGTCACTCCAAATCCAAACTTTGACCCTCCATTCAGGAACGATGTTCGCCTCGTTCAACGCGGATTCCTCAAGGGTGTTATGCACTTTGTCAATAAGAACACCGACAACCTCTCGCGCTCTATATTCGACCGTCTAGTATCACCCATGAAATTTGCAGGCTGTGTCAATAACTACTCTGAACTTCGCCAGCGACATCGGTGCCTGATAGAGCTAGAAGATGCTGAATACAAGCCTGAAAGGGTACGATTCGTCAACTACTATACCATCAGCACTGGCCGAATACCCCGGAAAGCCAAGGGAGAGACCGCAAAAGAGGATTCGAAGAAACCCGACGAGACGCCTTCGGATGAGCCTGCAGAGAAGGAGATATCTGAAGATATGCCAGAGATTTCCGTGGAAAAAATCAAACTCGGCGATGAAAGCGAACCGATACCCCCACCTCCACCTACACGTAAACCTCCTGAGATACCAAATGCCTTGCAAAAATCAGAGGCAGTCTCATCCACGACCAGCATCTCACCATCTGATAACCAAAGCTTAAAATCGGTCTCATCAGACTCCACTCTCGCAGCCCAAGACATGAGCTCGGAGAACGATCGCCCATCGATCGAAACCCCAAGCATCGCATCGTCGACGACTCTTGATCCAGAAAGTGAGAAGCTTTCCGAAAGTGTCTCCATCTCGACATCACAATCTGAGCTCGACCCGGACACCTCTAAGCGGAAACTCCGCAAGTTCATCCTCTTGCCATCTCACCATTGGAAGTATAACGATAATGCTCATTGGATACCTGTGTTGATGCATGATATGAACGAAGTAACGGCGCATCAGTCCATGTTTGTGCCACAGGGTGCAAACTATGACTACCTAGTTGGGGATACTGTGGCTCTGATCGAGCAATGGATTCAGACCGATTTCAGCCTACGATTTCTGCAAGAGACTCTCGATTAGATCGCTGTGTTGATGGGATTGCTGCTTAATTTATGAGCCTAATGAATTAACCCAAGAAGTGTCAAAGATTTACTGCCAACAATTAGCCATATTAGTACCAGTAGACTGCGCAATACTAGACTTTTATTAAATTATTTCATAGTGACCTTGATCCCCCGATATGCACATTCAATCTGGATAATGCTTGAAGAATAAAGAGCGGCAATTTAGTGATGCACGAAGCCCCAGAGCAATCGGCATATCAAATGTATCTGAACCCACGGAAGTTACGGAAGATTTTATAGGCACCGTGAAGTGTCGCGTACATGCTGCCGCCGGCAGCGGCCCAAGCAGCGCCCTGGAAGCGCAGAGAACTGAGTGGGATGGCCCTTTGCTTCCTCGTATTATCTGCGATGGAGCATTAGTGCGATTCATGGCTTCGTGGAAACATAATGGAAGTCCGTATCACGCACCCGTAGGGATCGACCAGTGGGGATTTTTGGGAAGCGTCCCGACCTGTGAGTCGAGAAGTGTTTGGAAGTTATTGAAGGAGGACATAATTCCCGTATGAGCTTTGATGATATTTGCGACGTTTATGTGAAATATGAGTTGGCTGGAATGAGACGTGGTTTAGGGAATGACGTCCTAAGGTGGTCTTTATAAGAAGTACTGTGCCCAGTAATATTGTCTACCCATTGCTTATTGTCATCATCTGACAGTCTGCATATGAGGTGGCTAGGAGCTAGATGATTGGTCTTTGAAGGCATGCTGAGTTGTGGTATCCTGCTATGATTCGTCTCCCTCCCTTGACTTTCTGGCCGCGGGGTTGATAACTTGGGCTGGCCACCCATCTTGGGCAGGGTGGCGACTTTTACCGACAGCTGCGAAAATTATTAGTGAAATCAAAGTATCTTCCCGTTCCATTGTTATTAAAGCTCTATTAAAGTTGATGCGTACATAAAAGTGAAAAGAAACACTTTTGGCCTCTGAAAATCCAGCTCTTTCACACAAACGTGATAACTGACTTCCCGACACCACCTTTCGAGTCAAACACAACTTGGCACGCATCTCGAACGGCCTTGATATCTTTGTACGGCACTTTGGTTCCGACGACAGTACGCAGTTTGCCTGATTCAACCCACTCACTAATGGACTCTAGATCTTTAGCATTCGGTTCCAGGAAAATGGCTGAATACTTGACGCCGTATCGTGAGGCGCGCATAACACGGATTCGATCGAGGACGTTCAGCGCGAGGCGGACAGGATAGGGCACGGTCGCTTTGTTGTTTTTATCAGGCGACAACCGCATAAGACTCGAGTTTTGCAAAGTATCTCCTGAGGTCAGGATGGAGATGGAGACTATGGCGCCGGTCGGTCGCATCTGCGACAGATAGGTCATAGAGTCTCCAGTCGTATCAAACAGAAAGTCGACCGACTGTACAGGGATGACGGTCTTTGGGTCCGTTTTTCTGTAGTCGATGACTTTTCATTGATTCGTTAGTTAATCTCGGAGGGAAGCGTGAGAACTGGAAGTCCTTACTTTCGTCTACGACGCCATCACCGAGAAGTTCCTTCACTTGGGGGACTTTGGAAGTTGAAACTGTCGTGATGACTTTACCGGCCTTGAACACATTCTTGGCCAGCTGGCAGGCAAATAGACCAGTACCACTCACTGCCACAAGGTAAGCTTTCGTTGTATAAAGGCAAGTCGCGAGAAACGTACATCCGGCAGGTATAAACACTGTCTTCCCTTCAAGGCTACCAGGGTATCCCCGAAGTGCCTGCAAAGCAGTCATAGCCGCCAATGGAATCGATGCTGAATCTTCCATAGACAGACTCTTTGGCTTCAAAGCGACAAAGTCTTCAGTCGTTTTAGCCAGTTCACTCCACGTCCCTAGATTCCAATTTCTCACGTTAGTTGCCATGACTTTAATATCGAATTTTTCATATTGAATGTTTCACAAGGCATACCTCGATGGCATTCAGGAAGCCGAGTAAACACCTCATCGCCAACTTTGAACCTGGTCACTTGAGATCCGATTTCCGCAACGGTGCCGGCGCAGTCATAGCCGATCTTGTATGGGAAGCTATCGCCAGGGTTAATCAGAGCCAGTCATCTGAAAGAATGAAACCGCAAAAAACATACGAATCTTTCAAGACCATCTTTGACGCACCGGATGCCTTTTTAACATCGATCGGATTGACACTGGCCGCATGGACTTTGATGATGATGTCACTGGGATCGTCCACGGTCGGTGCGGGAAGCTCGCTGAGCTCGTAATTTTGAGGCGTGGCATGTTTTGAGATATTGATTGACAACATGACTAGAAGGTTAATTAGCCTATAGGCTAGATTGTCGGTATCTGATACAAACTATAGCGAACATTCGTTCGACGCGTTGAAGTTAAGGCAGGTGTAGGTAAACTCTAAATTCGGTTCGGGCAAATGAATCCGGCCGACGGGAACGGGCGAAGAGTAATCATATCCGCAGATCGGCTTTTTTGCCTCGGATGCAAATTTACATTATTCGAAGAATCCCTGTGCAGTGTTTGTATATTCATTTTTCTGTCGCGTTGTCGTTCGAGAATTATGTTCGCTCGAGAACCTAAGTCCTTGACGATTTTCGTCTCGCTGAGCCACACGCCTAGAGTCGCTCTACAAGTTCTTCTGTACGCATGGAAATTGTCTGTGCTACGGGTATATGGTAGTTCAATTGATGTTCCCCGCGAAAACCGTTTGATCTCGGGTTTCAGGGCAAATTCCGATGTGTAACGATCTTAAAATTTTGCTTCCTGTTACTCCCACTCGGCTTGTGAGGAACTGGAACCACTCATGTCTAAAGGAACCTTAACTATGAACAATTCCGGCCAAGTCCGGGTCTAGATTCGTAGGCTTTCGAAATAGCTACTTCATCGAGTATTTTATTATTTGATATTGATATATTCCTTCTCTGCTAAATGAAATGAACTATAATTAAAGAGATCGCAACTTGTTTGATTAGTATAGAAGAAGCTAAGAACATCGTGCAATTCAAAAGCAAATTAGTTCAGTTCATTCACCAACGAGACCAATAGAGAGCGCATCTTGACTGTTTCCTTGGAATGTCGACTCTTCAATGCCGGCAGGCACAACATTTTAAGCCATGCACCGTGGCATACGGCTGGTGGCTGTGACTTGGCACTTATTCGAACAGCACTGACTATCCGCTCCACAGAGTTCGCCATTATTGATGCACGTAACGGAACCAGTGAGATCTTCCTGCAGACTGCAGATATTCCTCGCCCCTCCGATGGTGACCTCATTGCAGACCAGTGGATTCTCGCAGTCATTATTGTCAGTGCACGAGACACCATAAATCCTGTTCCTCTTGTTGAGGCACTGTCTATGATCTCGATTGTACAAGCCGTAGCGACAGACCAGTCCCGGAGCGCAACGAGTATCATCTATACATCTAGCACCGAACTGGCCATCGGGCTTCATGCATCTGGAACGGCAGTTTCCGGAGAAGCAGGAATTGTCCGAGTCGCACATCTCTCCAATGAGCTTTTTGATGTTGCACCTGCCCATGTCTGGGTTGCAATACCATTGGAGAGAGGGGCAGGTATTGAGTTTATTGGGGCCGCAGGCCATCTCGTTGATAGCTTTGGTCACTGCATCCTGGTCCTCGTCGAGGAGCATATCATTTGTGAGTCCATCGATGTAGACGTCCAGTGGGATGTGGTGGTATCGGTAGTAGTAGAGGACCTCGGAAGGGATCATTGAGGCATCGATGCCCGAGTTCTGAGTGAGGATTCTAGGGATCGCGAGAGTAGCGGGAATCAAAAGAGTGAGCAGGGTAGCAGCCGAGGTATGCATTGTGCTGGTGTTATAGGCTTTATATTGGGGTTTCTTCCAGAAGAGCGAGCAGGATGAGGTGGGGGACTCGATGGAGCAGCGCAGATGGATGTCTTCTTATAGCCATCAAAGGCCTAGATAATATATTCTTCTGTGCGATGGGATTGTAGCCAAGTTAACGAAATCTTCAATTAATTGGATGAACTGATATCTCCGAGTATCCGGGTTTGATCGTTAGACCGGTTCAGTTCAAGCCAGGCTCTCCTGATGGCGCTTGCTTCCATCTCCCTGGGGTGACAAGGTAACGTGCTCGGATGCTATGAGAGCTCAATGGAGCCTCAGTGATTTGTCGTCCAAATATAACTGTCGATTGCGCGATCTACGACGGTCTGAGATCCTATAGTATCATTTCCTCTTGCATTCCGGGCTGGGTACCGGATCAAACTAATGGGAGGTGGCGAAAATATTCATCTATACCTCTTGAAAGCTCTCGGAACTAAGACTCAATTTACGAAAAGATTCTTCCGAGGCTCATATCTGTGAATTTTATGGGATTAGATTTTAAGTAGAGATCTCCATCTAGCAGTCGTTTTTTGTAACCAAAGTACCACGTCGTGGACATGAGACGTTCCATACGGCCATGCAAGAGCCATGTAAGATAACTTCCTATTATCTTGTACTAGCCGGAAAGAGCACTTCTATATAATCTTCATCCTCGCAAAGGCTATTATAACTCATCATTAAACATGGTCTGTCCTTTATTACATTTCGAATAGCGACTTGGTCCAAATCCACAAAGGGGGAGCCCTTCCTGCATAGGCCTAGGCTCGCTAGCAGGCCAAAACTGCAAATCTGACCGAACTTCAAGTTAACATATGCGTGAGACCCTTGTAAATAACGCACATAATAGTTAGGGGGGGGGGGGGGGGGGAAGCGAGACCAGTGGGGAAAAAACGCCTTGGCTGAAAGCAGGGACGGTCATACAGGGCGCATAGTGAAGCTTCTTGGATGAGTCAAACCCGGTCCTTAGAGGACAACGCAATTATCTCCGCGTGATGTGATTAGTTGCTCGGCTGACATTCAACTGTTTGCTCGAAGCTTGGCTTACACAGACGTGCAGGCGGGTGCAGCTCGTAAAAGCGCCGCTTCCCAAGTCTATTGGATCAGCGGCTGATGCATCTCGAGTCTCAGGCCGTTCGAAATGGAAGAAGTCGGGTGTCAGGTGCCATTTGAGAGCATCAATGGTAGTTTTAGCCTCAGTTGGAAGTCTCTTGCAGGCTTTTAATAGGTAGTTTCTGTAGACTAGGGTGCACTTGGGCTTTAGGATGGCCAGGGTATGGAGAGGAAGGGTCTACCGAGCTCGTGCCTCTATGGACTACTCGAGCATCAGCAGCAGCATCTCAATACGAAAGGATCTACTCCTTTCTGTCAGAATGAAGAACTGCGGTGGTGATACCCCACAGTACATGCTATTAGTGACCATCGAGTCAACAACTCTCCACCCTCGCCCCCCTCTCCACCGTGCCACCGAGACATCGAAGCTGCAGCTTGTAGTGTGGACTGACATCGGGGCATGTGATGGCCCCTCTTTTTCTCCTCTTCTATTCTCTCGTAAGGCTTCTTCTCGTTTCTGTCTTGTTCAGTCCTACTTGTGTGTGAGACCGTCTGAACTACTTGAATACATTGGGTGGACAGCTTTGTGAACAGTTACTACTGTATCTCCTGCTGGATCACGACCTCGGGAAGACCGGCAGCAATACAACAAGAGACCACGAAACACGAAACTTGTGGACACGGTTTTCTATTCGCCGAAGTGGATTCCTAAGGAACTGTGTCAAAAGGCTGAAAAGTAAGAACACTAGAAGAGAGCAAAGTTCGGGTGTCCCAAACCCCGACTCCGACTCGACTACTGCAACGGAGGAGTCAGTCCGAAAGACCCTGGGGACCGTCACTGACGTATTCTAGTCTCTTCCCCAACAGTTTCACTTGACTTCATATTTCTCTCAGTTCTACCCAACACCCAAACCCATTGCGCAGGATACAGACTACCGCGAAATATTCTGACCTGCTGGCAACTAATTGCATTATTGGTAAGGGTGCCAACTCCCCCGGTATTCTTGCCACCGAGCGTGTGCCCGTTCCCGCTCAACACGATCCCGCCGAGAATTTTGCTGACAACAATCCGGCCACAGAAACCGCGTCGCACGACCGAAATTCGAAGCTACCTACTCCGGCCCATTTTTGCCCTGACCTTCACCTTGCTCGGAAGTTCTCCTTATAGCAGAATTGCGTGGTTACAAACTCGTGTCATTAATACTACGCCCCGATCAGAGCCTCTGATTTTCTTCAGAGGATCCCCGTGTCCCCCGATTGACACGATCCCTTGCAAATAGCTGTGGGAACCCTCTTGAGAACAGAGACGACCTGCAAACCGCCCGTACACGATGGCGGAACAACCTCGCATTCTGCGGCCACGTCCACGCCGTGCCTTTGAGGTCACACCTGCGTCCAACGAGTCCTCCGCACCTCCTACGCCGAGCGAACCCTCCAACGCCGATTTCCTAAACGCCCCGGGCGCGGACACGGCTCCCAATTCGACCAGTGTCAGTCGCACGGGATCAATCTTGAACCTGACCTCCTCAACCCTCTACGGCATCTACTCCCCGACCGCGTTCGACAGTCTTCGTGATGAGTCCAGCCCCTGGGGCACGGAGGCCCACACCCCTGCGGCACAACATCCCCCGGAGCCATTGCAGCGAGCGGCTGTCAAGTCGGCCATTGAACCTCGTCGATTTGCTTTGCGCCGGACGCGCTCGCGACTCAGTCATGGCATGTTCCGGGGTGTCGTCTTGCCTCAAGTGTTGAGCAGTGCTCTCCTGTTTGGCTTTGGAATTGTCTACGGTGTGATCACTGTGCATTTGCACGATAACCACTGGATTACTCCCGTCAAGCTGGAGAACATCCACTACTACGACTCATGGCAATACTTGGGCTTCTGGGGAATGGCGGGCATTGCCCTAGGAAACATTCTGCCCTTGTTGGATAGCTGGCGCGACAGCGAGTTGGCGGAGGATGATTCCAAGGAGGACGACGATGCGAACCGCACCCCATCATGGGTCACCGTCGCTCGTAGTGTCGGTGCATTTGTCGGCATTGCTTTTGCTATGGTCAGTCCCTCGTGTCTCGTTTTTTTTCTTTCCCCTCGGGATTTACATTCCCCAATACCCTTTTTGCTATTGATCCTCTGCTAACATTCAGTCTTTTCTAGCGACGACTCCCCTGGCAATCTACTACCCAAGCCTCGCTGACCCTTGCCCTCGCCAACCCCGTGCTCTGGTACCTGATCGATCGCACCTCGACCGGCTTCCTCCTGTCCACCGCAGTTGGCTTGACCGGAATGAGTGTGGTTCTGGGCTTGAAGCCAGAGCTGATCCCCGCGTCCAACGGCCCGACCTTTGGCACTACATTGCTGAACGGAACTGGGTGGGAGCATGCGTTGGGGGCAGAGATTTCACAGGAGAGCATCGCGGTCCGCACTTGGGTCGCCAGTGTCATTTTCTGCGCCTGCGTGTGCTTTGGCAACATTGGCCGTCAGCTCGCCATTGGCGCTCGCAGCAGAGATACCGTCAAGTCATGAAGAAGCCATGCAGAAATCTTCTCGAGTTTTGGGACGGTCATCGTCGCTGAGGCTGCGGGATTGCATAGGTGATTTGTTGACATTGGGCACGGCATGTTTATTATTCATTATACGGAAATTTGTTCTTAATTTGATAGATGTAATGCGAAATGGCTTTCGGGCTAAATGTTGAATCCATGGAGAATAATGTAATAGAAAAAGAAAATATATTCATTATATATAACTCTGAAGATTTACGTGTGGATTGTAGAATCAATCATTGCAATTCCTACCACATGAACCCGAAGGCCAGGCAGGTACTGCACCCAAGATCGAACCTGTACAGTCAAGCTGTACTTGGTCTCCATTCTCTATGACGATTTCCGTACTTCCTTGGACGAGTCCTCGTAGGAACGCTTTTTGAGAAGAATGTTGTTATTTTGCGTTGTTCATGAAGAAGAAAAGAAAAAGAAGAGGAAATTGTCGCGACAAATTTTTGCTTTTGAAGGCATTGGTCACATGATCTGCTGACTCACACCACCACAGCGATTGGGCCCCGATGATGCAGTATCTGTACCGTAATTTTCATCGAGATTTACTTCGCCATTTGGTGTGTATTGATCGTATTCCGCACGTATCACATTACCCCCCGTCCGATTGCGGCCGAACCCCGCGGCGGGACAGAATTATTTCTTTCTCACTCTCGTTCAAGCTTTCATACTCCATTGTTGCTTGGATTCAGGTATGTGGAATCGGGGTTTTATCTCCTTTGAAGCTCAATTGAAGCTTGTCTTGAGGCCTTGCTTGCTAACTAGCTTACAGTGTCGACCAACATCATGTCTCAAAAGTCCGGTAGGCGCGCTTGGCCTTGATATTGTTCCCCGGATCATGGCTCGGTTGTCTGGAGGTCTATACCCGGAGTCAATGCTGACATACTCGCGTTTCCTTTGGAACAGCTATCGTCTCCGTCTACGACAAGACGGGACTGCTGGATCTGGCCAAGGGCCTGGTTAAGCAGAATGTCCGTCTTCTTGCCTCTGGCGGTACCGCCAAGATGATTCGTGAGGCTGGCTTCCCCGTCGAGTAAGTGTGCTCCTTAGGTCTCGTGCGATTCAACACACATATGCAGTGATGGAGGTCCTTGCGAGTCTATACTTGTTTTCAAAGATCATCATACTAACAATACCTTTCTAGGGACGTCTCCGCCATCACCAACGCCCCCGAGATGCTTGGTGGCCGTGTCAAGACTCTCCACCCCGCCGTCCACGGTGGTATCCTTGCCCGCAACATCGAGTCGGACGAGAAGGACCTCGCCGAGCAGAAGATCTCCAAGGTCGACTTCGTCGTCTGCAACCTGTACCCCTTCAAGGAGACCGTCGCCAAGGTGAACGTCACCATCGACGAGGCCGTCGAGGAGATTGATATCGGTGGTGTGACTCTGCTCCGCGCTGCGGCCAAGAACCACAAGCGTGTCACTATCCTCTCCGACCCCACTGACTACCCCGAGTTCCTCAAGGAGCTCGAGGCCGGTGAGATCACCGAGGCTAGCCGCAAGCAGTACGCCCTGAAGGCTTTCGAGCAGACTGCCGACTATGACACTGCTATCTCCGGCTTCTTCCGTAAGGAGTACGCTGGCAATGGTGTGTCCCAGCTCTCTCTCCGCTACGGTACCAACCCCCACCAGAAGCCCGCTTCTGCCTTCATGCCCCAGGGTAAGCTGCCCTTCAAGGTCCTGAACGGCGCCCCCGGCTATGTCAACCTGCTTGACGCCCTCAACGCCTGGCCCCTGGTTAAGGAGCTCAAGCAGGCTCTCGGCTTCCCCGCCGCTGCCAGCTTCAAGCACGTCTCCCCCGCTGGTGCTGCTATCGGTGTTCCTCTGACCGAGAAGGAGCGCAAGGTCTACATGGTTGACGACATCAAGGGCATTGAGTCCTCTGGTCTGGCTCAGGCTTACGCCCGTGCCCGTGGTGCTGACCGCATGTCCAGCTTCGGCGATATCCTCGCCCTCAGCGACATCGTCGACACCCCCACTGCCAAGATCATCTCTCGCGAGGTGTCCGACGGTGTCATTGCCGCCGGCTACGAGCCCGAGGCTCTGGAGATCCTGTCTAAGAAGAAGGGTGGCAAGTACCTTGTCCTCCAAATGGATGAGAACTACAACCCCGCTCCCGAGGAGTCCCGCACCCTGTACGGTGTTCAGCTCACCCAGCACCGCAACGACGTCGTTATCTCCCCCAGCAAGACCTTCAACAACGTCATCACCCCCAAGAACGCCTCCCTGCCCGAGGCTGCTCTCCGTGACCTGACCGTTGCCACCATCGCCCTGAAGTACACCCAGTCCAACTCGGTCTGCTACGCTCTCAACGGCCAGGTCATCGGTCTCGGTGCTGGCCAGCAGAGCCGTATCCACTGCACCCGTCTGGCCGGTGACAAGGCCGACAACTGGTGGATGCGCTTCCACGACCGTGTTATCAACATCAAGTGGAAGCAGGGCACCAAGCGCGCCGACAAGAGCAACGCCATTGACCTGCTCTGCTCCGGCCAGACCCCTCGCAACGACGCCGAGAAGGTCGAGTACGAGCGCGTCTTCGAGGAGGTCCCCGCTCCCTTCACCCAGGAGGAGCGCGAGGCCTGGCTCCAGAAGCTCGGCGAGGTTGCCGTTTCCTCCGATGCTTTCGTAAGTCTTTCCCCCTTGGTTGATATATCTTGTCCTGTTAGCACACGTACTGACCATTCAACTCTAGTTCCCCTTCATCGACAACGTTTTCCGCGCTGCCCGTTCCGGTGTCAAGTACATTGCCGCTCCTACCGGCAGCCAGAACGACACCCCCGTCTTCGAGACCGCCGAGAAGCTGGGTATCACCTTCGTTGAGCAGGGTGTTCGTCTGTTCCACCACTAAATTGGGTTTGTGGTATGAATGCTGAGTGTTTCGGGTATACCCTTTTCGGGGACAAAAAGAAATTTAGGTTATGATGATGATAGCTTTCTTTGTTTATGATTAGAAATTCACACATATTGATTGAATTTATTCCTCGTTTTTTGGTTGATAGTTAATGGCTGGTGGTTATTAAAAAGGGGAGCTTTTTCCTGGATTTCTGGGGTTAAGCAAGGTCGGAAAATGGAAGGGATGATGCTTCTACATCTTGACACATGTCCATTTCTCTATACCGACGGTGTGTTGTACAAAGCGGGAACAAGTAGGGTTGACTTCCGACGAAATTCTGAAGGAGTTGATGGGTCTGGAAAGATCATTGACTATGGATGATTTACCCGATGTCACATTAGCCTCCAACGGTCAGGACCCTGAATCGATCTCGTGCCGTCGGGTCTATACCACCAACAACTTGAGCTTTTTTCACATCTGAATGACATCTCGCGGTGACAATGAGAAAGGCCTTTTCAAATTATCAATTCCGAATTTCAAGAGTCTAGGGGAAAATCCAAAGGATGATGGTTGAGGGCATCCCTGACTAAATCAAGGCGTTTGGCGCGACCCGGATTTCGGGACGCCTACATTTACATTCCTGTAAATGGAATGCCAGAAATTTTTTGAAAGTCTTCAACTGCCAACTTCTTTACCCTTGTTCTTAGACATAATTAGATGAGAGGGTGTCCATGCTCGGAATCCGACGTTGGGATGGCTTGTACCTCCCCCATCCCCATCCCTTCAATCACGGTCAATGCCTTGCACAACAAAGGAGAATTTGTCAGGTCCATGTGAGCTTTTGGCATACGTGTGGGATAAATGCTGGGGAGTTCTTTTATAAAGATACCACCACGCAGCAACGCCAGTTGATGCGAATGGCTGGATCCGCTGTGTAGTCGAGCAAACGACTTTGTGGAACATATCCATAGAATGGGATGCTAAATAACACCATATCGCGACGGCACTCCAAACACTCTTATTCAACATGCCTTCATTTACGACAAGCTTAGTATCCATTTCGCTCGCGCTTTTCGGGTCTGTCAGCGCGCAATCTCCCCACTATTGCCCTCTTCTTGGACCAGTTTACCCACCTCCCACGAATCTATCAAATGACCCAACTTTCGCCACGGCAATTCAGGATATTACCTCAGTTCTCGATGATGCCACCAACAATGGCAGTCTATCCGAGACCTCGATCTCCGTACAGATATTTGACGCAAGCGATGCTGCCCCATTGCTAAATTTCGCATACACTGCTGACAACATAAACACCACTCTGGGTGTGAGCACAGTCGACCAAGATACCGTGTTCCGCGTGGGAAGTGTATCAAAGCTATGGACGATGGTGCTGCTCCTGATCGAAGAGGGTCTCTGGCCTTTCCAAGAATCCGTTGCACGATTTGTCCCCGAGCTGCACGAGGCTGCTAGCAAGCTTCAGTGGGATCCACGGAGGAGGCGGGATGGTATTAATCATCTTGACTGGGGAGAGGTCTCGATAAGAGAGTTGGCAAGTCATATGGCCGGCGTTGCCAGGGACTGTAAGTAATCTCCCTCCTTTTTTATCATGAAGAAGGACCACACTGACTCTGATACGGCTTCCTAGACGGTGTACTTGACCTTGCGGGAATGTCTTCTCAAATGGAGCAACTTGGATTTCCTGCGCTTGCGCCGTCTGAGATTCCACCGTGTGGAAATCCAGATCCTTGCAGCAGAGAACGTGCGTTGATAGAGACCTCTGCACCCTTTAATAGTTTTGGCTAATGGAGAGACATGCTGTAGAATTTTTCAATGGGCTGCTTCAAAGCCATCCCATTGTGCCGACATCCTCGACACCAGTGTACTCCAACGCAGCATTCCAGATTCTTGCGTATGCACTGGAGACTATGACTGGTCAATCATATGAAGTGCTGCTACAACGAGATATTATTACGCCGCTAGGGCTCAATGGAACATACTACAAGACACCCAACATATCACTCGGTGTAGTTCCCAACGATTCTGGTGAATACTGGTGGAACTTTGACCTCGGCGATGAAGGACCGTAAGTCCAGTCTTCTCAACATTGTCTCGCGAATATCGGAAGCTAAACTGTTTCAACTAGCGCTGGGGGTATCTTCTCAAGTACAAGGGACATGGCAACTCTGGGCCAAGCAATTCTTGGTAGTTCACTATTTCCAAAATCCATCACGAGACGATGGATGAAGCCTGTCACCCATACATCATCACTGGATTACTCCGTTGGAGCCCCGTGGGAGATTGTCTCATTTGGTGACGAGCGTCCTATCGACATATATTCAAAGGCAGGTGATATCGGGGCCTATTCATCCATCATCGCCCTCTCACCTGACCACAATGTCGGCTTCACAGTCCTTGCCGCAGGCGCAGACGGTCACGCAAAAGTCGCTTTAGCAGCGGATCTCATCTCCGCCAAACTTATTCCTGGTCTCGAGGAGAGCGCCAAAGATCAAGCCACCGCGAGGTTTGAAGGAACTTATGCTGCGTCGAATGGCACAAACTCTTCGATAGAGATCACGACAGATGATGGACCCGGGTTGCTGGTTACGAGCTGGATCAATAATGGAACCAATATGATCCAGTCTATGATGACTCTTGGACATGCCCAAGATCCATCCACTTTTAGTATTCGGTTATACCCGACTGGTCTTGAAAGTCCGGGTCAGATCTCTTTCCGCGCTTTGATGCCTCCTACACTCTCGACGTTTGGGAATGGACCTTTTACGTCTTCTTGTATTACGTGGGTCGTCGTCGATGGGCAAGTTTATGGTAATGTGGGGATTGATGAGTTTGTTTTTAATGTGGATGAGATGGGTATTGTGAATAGTATATTGCCTAGGGTTCTTCGTACTACTTTGTCGAAGACTTGATATGATGAATGAATGAGATAGTATATTCTCTGCTACATAGTGTTGTATTTGTCTAGCACTACTCGGGTATTAGTTCAAGTGACAAGAAAGTCTTGACGTAAAGTGGATCGTTTATGAATATGACTTGATGGTTATGTTACTTTCCATTCAACTGAGTATCAGTGTCGGAGCACTTCAATCTTTCAATGAAACCATCGATTTCTCATTCTTTATGTCTGCTGCAGCCATGCAAAACAGGCCAATCAGCCAACGCAATGGTTGTAAATCGCAGACCCGCATTTCACCAAATACAGTTAGCCTCCCCTGTTTAGGCTTAACTCCTTATCGCGCCCCTACCTTTAAATTTTCCATCAAACGCAACTCACGAGGTTTTTGAATTTCATTAAACCTCACAATGATGGAGGGTATCGAGATTCAAGATGGTGCTCAGCCGTACTCTAGTATGGCTGGGAAGCTGGATTCCAGACTCCTCAAAGCCCTCGACGTGATGGGATTTTCGTTCATGACCCCAGTCCAACAGCGTGTTTTGACGGAACTTCCCACTTGGCGCACCGACTGCCTCGTTCAAGCCAAGACAGGCACGGGTAAAACTCTTGCCTTTTTGCTGCCAGCCTTACACTGCCTTTTGGAGGCTCGTGCTGCACCTCCCAGAGGTCAGGTTGCCATTTTGATCATCACGCCAACCCGAGAACTCGCCCAGCAAATCGCCAAGTCATGTGATCAACTGACATCGCAGCTTGCGCAGCCTTTGGAGTGCCATATTGCAGTCGGAGGAACTGCCCGCGCATCTGCTCACTCCCGTTTCATGAATGGAGCACCTTCAGTTTTGGTTGCGACTCCGGGACGTCTGAAGGACTACCTGTCTGATGAGTACACCGCTGAGAAGCTGGCCAACATCCAAACCCTCGTGTTGGATGAAGCCGATACGATGCTCGAGAGTGGCTTTTTGGCCGACGTGAAGCAAATCTTGAAGATGATTCCTTCCAAGAAGCAACACGGCTGGCAAGGCATGTGTTTCTCGGCCACAATCCCGCCCAAGGTTAAGGATGTAGTCAACGTGGTGTTGAACCCAGGCTACGCAAGTATTTCGACTATTCAAGAGAATGAGACACCGACTCACGAGAGAGTTCCCCAATACCACGTTATCATTCCGTCCGTGGCAGAGACCTTTACAGCACTCACATCCCTATTGAGCATCGAGAGCAAGCAATGCTCGAAGATCATCGTCTTCGGCGTTACTGCGAACATGGTGGCTCTCATGGCCAAGGTGTTTGCCCAGGGTTTGACTCCGTTGAAGGTGTTTGAAATCCATTCCAGACTTAACCAGGGCGCTCGCACGAGAACCACTGCTCAGTTCAAGGAGGCATCGGCCGGAATCCTGTTCGCCTCGGATGTCATCGGCCGCGGCATGGATTTCCCCAACGTCGATCTGGTCATTCAAGTTGGTCTGCCCTCGAACGGCGAACAATACGTCCACCGTGTCGGTCGTACCGCCCGTGCAGGCAATGACGGCCGTGCCATTATCCTCCTCACCCCAGCCGAGTCCTTCTTCATGAAGGTCAACCGTCACTTGCCCATTCAGCCTCACCCCGAAACCAATGCAGTTCTCGAGGGTGCCACTACATGCACAGAGACTGTTACTCAAGCTATGTACAAAATCGACGAAGAAACCAAGCAGCGCGCCTACTCGTCATACATCGGTTTCTTCGCTGGCTCTGGCCTCCTGAAACAGGTCCGTCTTGATAAGCCCGGCTTGGTCCAACTCGCCAACGAGCTGGCTATCAAGGGCATGGCCTGCCCTGAGCCTCCACCAATGGACAAGAAGGTCATTGGCAAGATGGGTCTGAAGGGTGTCCCCGGTTTCAACTACGCGACTGGAAGTGACCTCAACGGATACAGCGCTCCCAGACCTCGCGGCAACCAGCCCGGCAAGAAGCGTGACGCTCTGAGCCCTGGCGCCGGCCAAGGAGGCGCTCGAGGCGGTGTTGACAAGAACCGCGGTGGTCGCGGTGGTGGCGGTCGAGGAGGCCGCGGAGGTCGTCGTGGTGGAGGTCGTGGGGGCAAGCCAAAGGCAGCATGATTTGGTTGATGTCATGAACTCCGGCCGGAAAGGCAGGCTTCTTCTTTTCTTCATGAGGATATTACACCAGGCGTTTTGGAACTGCTGTTGCATGCAAATAATCATAGAGACCTTAGAATTCTGAATGATAAACTCACATGAACATGATCTATCGACGATTGCCTTTGTAGACTTTGTCTACTTCAAGACACTGCTTCAAGACAAGAATGCCATGCTGATCATTAAGTTCTATAGTATGAGCGCTTACCTATCCTATCTATCACAAGCAAAAACAAAAACATACAACGGCCAAAAGTATGGTCGACCTCAACTAGCGCCCATCATTTGATGTTGGGCGACTCGCCGCTTTGTCTAGATGTCCTTCAGGCGGCTTCCAGTTCACCCACCTAAAATATTTTCACCTGAAGGCCACCTGAGGTTTAGGATAGGCTGGAAAACGGGGTATTTATATATCTTGGTTTAGGGACGGATATTCTTGAGGGGCTAGTATATAGTACACGACGTGTTATTCAACGCACAGACCATCCAATGCTAATTTACAGGTGGTAGTTCTACATAACTTGTCGCATTCTTGAGGCAGCCTAGGAATTGGTAGGCTCATTGGGTTTAGTTTTCAGGTTTGTTTCACGAGAACTGGTGTATAATGGTAAAAGTCCACATCCACCTGTCTTTAACCCTTTAGCACTGTAACTCCTAAAAACATTTGGCTACGAGGGTTCGGAGCCAACGGAGCATCTCGAATAATCCGAACGTGTCTTAAGGACTTGTTTCAATTTGAAGCTACCCAAACCACTTTCACAGATAGTAGAACAACATTCTTTGTGACAAAGGACCAATTGCCCTTTTCAGATTCAGAACATGGCAACTGGGTTCGTGGAGTTCTCTGGCCTGTACTGGATAACATCCCAATGTTCAACAATACAAGTCCCGTCCATGCGATAAATATCTGCGAGGGCGGCTGGCTCTGGATCTTCATTCACTTTCACGTACGCCAAGCCGGTATTGTTGTTAAAGTTTGATAACAGAAGAGTGAGATTTGCGAAAGGAATGATTTGTGACAATCTTGCAACAATGGCGTCACGGTCTTGTGCATCTTCTGGGTCGTGTTCGATGATGTTAGGATCGACGTAAGTTTCGAAGGCCTTGCTGACATTCTTCTCGCCATACAGTGTTTCGAGGAAAAGCGTGAATATTTCTTGTTGAAGACTCTCGTCCACTTCACGGCCTGGACAATATGGCTCTCGCAGGCAAGCTTTGGCGTGATTGTCGTGGGTTAGGTCACTTCCATCGCAAGGGAAACCCACAGAGTGTGGTAGGTTCACAGCTAAGGCCAACGGGGGCACAGCGAAGAGTATAAATTGGACAATATGCATGCTTGAAAGACGTCTCATTCAGGGCCCGGGACTTTGAAGGCAGTGGCTCAAGGTGGTTTCGCAATCAGTTGCTGTTGTTGAATCGGCGGCGTTTAGGGGCAGACCTAGAAGCACTTATAAAGATCTGTGATTCAGGGTTTCAGCATACATTCAGTGAATTCTTGGTCTTGGGTCGTATTTCTACATTATGGTTATGGAATGATGAATGTTAACGTATAAATACCACCAACCACTGATCCAGGTATGTTTATCGCCCTGCATTATACCTTAATAGCCCGGGACATTTTCCAGCCAATCACAAAACAATTGTATTTACAAAAGGAAGGAAATTTGATGGGCTTGCAGAAGGATTTGATTTGTGCGAGTTTACTCTTCTCAGGCTCGACACATTCTTCGGTCGCATATATACATATGGCAGATGCACGTATTTCCCTCAAAGTCTAAAGAACGTACCTGCTAGCGTAGGGGTTGAAGGAAAACCAGCACTAGATTCTCCTCGTACTACGTCTCTGATTTTTGTGTTCTCCTTTTCTACGCCTGTATGCGGTTCTCCTACGCAGAGATTTGTACTAAAGATTAGACTTGGTCTGCATTCTTATACTGCGATGGCTGTGAGTACGTCAAGATGACTCTGCGCATCTATCTTACGCCCGAAGTACACGAAATTTGATCAAGACTAGGATAGTCAAGGGATTTAAAAGTGACACTGCTGTTGTTTCTGTTTCTTGATGAGGAATGCTGAGTGGATATAAGGGCAATAATTCCAATCAATGTAATAATTCATAGAAATTTCTAACCCAGAGATACTAGGTAGAGGGTCCTAGACGGTTATGTCTTTGTAAATAGATGAAAAGGAGACGATGTAGAGTCTGATGTCGTGACTTACTCGCATCCATAACAAAGGTTTAGGTGGATCGGAATAGCAACACGAACATCTATTTTTAGAGATCATTAGCTACATGCAATTAATCCTGTTCTTAAACATGTGTAGCGTAGTAAAGAATTGCTTTTATTGAAAATGATTACTTGTAGCAATTGGTACCAAATTATTGTTCTAAGTTCCATGTTGTAGACTGAAGTACATCGGATGAGTCGCATGCAAGTATTCTCTATTCGGAACAACTCCTAGGCAGTATCTCGGCGACGATATTAGTAGATGCATCACACTCTACCATCAACTAGCAGAGTACCTCACCCCCAAGTTACCCGGCAGAACCAGAAATAGCATGCTCATCGATCTCACCACCAAGCGTTGAATACTGTTTATGCATACATAAGTTTCTTTTCTGCATTACGAGTTTATGCATTCTGCCTAAACTCCGACAGATCTTTATACTATACACTAATACTCGCGTACGTGGTAGATTTCGCCTATTAATTCTTAATAGTTATAGTAGCTACCTTATACCCTAATTCGACAGAATCTATACAGAAAACGATATTATACTACTCTATATAACTACGCACTCTTCGTATCTTTTACAATCTCTAGATATTAGCTATTTTACGGTGCTAAAGCGTGTATACGGTCGCTTTATGAGCGATCTTACCCGTGTGGGATATAACTATACCGATAAGCTTGATTTCATAGAGGACTACTAACGCGCTCGATTAGAAGCTGTCAACATGTGGATGTTGTGGGGTCACATGACAAAGGACCCACTCATATAACCCCTCTCTATATCTAGATCTTCTTCTATAAGATCTACCAGATTGATCCTCAACGATCTCGCTTGTAATTGCCTACCTAGGCGGGAGACTCTCAACACTCCTGATTCTGTTGATCTTTTACCATGCTTCCTAAGATATAAATACCGCCCTATCTCCTAGTTAAATTGAATCAAGTTTATCATCCCTTTTCATCTCTCTTCTTGATCAGCGATACTCTTCCACAATCTTGGTTCTTCTATAAGAACGCAAGACCGACATACTCATTCTTGAGTCCTACCACAATCGTGGTACTTCTTCTCTCTAAGAAGTGCGCACCACCTTTATACTCAGTATTGAGTTCTACCCCTTTATGTACATACTGTCTTCTTATGTGCATCACCACGACTTTATGGTCACCGCCTAAAGTCCGACAGAAGCCTTTATACCGAGTACTATTCAAAATAGCTTCGTCGCTACCGGTCTAAATCTAATTAACCTAGAGAGGGTCCTTTTAAAGCTAAATATCTCTCTACGAACGCCTACACTACTAAGTAGCCAACTAAGAAGTAGATCTAGTTAATTCACACCAAAAACGCCCATAACCGTCACTCAGCTATTCAAGCAAGCTTCTCTATTAAAGATATACTAGACCGGCGGTCGTATACCCCTCTAAGCCTAATCAAGACCGTGGTAGATTAGATGATTAAGGGTAATTATCTATCCTTATATAGCGCTATATTACTCACGTAAGAGAACGCCAATCTACGAGTAGCGAATAAGAAGAAGCGCCAGAAACGTAACCGGTCGCATAGACTAATACCCTATTGTCGGACTCAAGGCGGTGACCATAAAGTCGTGATTATACACACAAGACGATAGTGTGTATAAGGATTGGTAAATACTCAATGTGGTATCTGAATACACGGTTATGAGTCTATCGGTCGTGCGTACTAGCAGAAGTACCACGATTGTGGAAGAGTACCACCGATCTAGAAGAGAGATCACAAAGGATGATAAACTTAATTCAATTTAGTTAGGAAACATAGCAGTATTTATATCTTAGAAACATGGTAAAAGATCACATAAGAAAGGATAGAGAATTGGAGTGTTAGATAGTCTCCTGCCTAGATAGGCAATTCAGTGCGAGTATGCAATTCAATGCGAGATCGTTGAGGATCAATCTGATAGATCTTATAAAGAAGATCTAGATGTAGAGAGGGGTTATATAAGTGGGTCCTTCGTCATGTGACCCCACAACATCCATATGTTGACACCTATAATGGTGGTCTATCGGTTAAAGAAGGTCTACTACTAGCTGAATGAGGTGGTATCGCATACGTAGGGCAAATTGCCTATTCAGGCAGATCCTCCACGTACTAGGGCACCTCCGAGGTATAGTGGGTGTGGGGGAATTAGGCATAGGATCAATTATTGTAAGAATCGTTCTCAATAAAAAATTGTATGGGTGTTGATGGAGATAATCGATTTTGAAATTCTACACTGTGGTAGGGTGATCCGGTCGGCCGGGAATTACGTTAGTTAACTAACCCGCTTATCTAGCCTCCCGTCTTGCATTAGACAAGTGATTTCAGAAGCTATAGATTCTATCGCTCTATACTTTTGCCACAAGGAGGTCTTTTTTCACTTTTTATACTGGGTTTGGATGGTTGGAGCGGAGTGAGGAAAGTTGAAGTCACGGAGAGTTGCGAGAGGACGTACTAATTGAGACCTGAGGAATGACTAAAATCACGATGAGTCTGCAGACAAAACAAATACTTTTCCTGACCTTCGCCATGATATGTTCTTCCAAATCCGCCGATAGCCATCCGCGCCGCATTTACGGCTTTGAATTGCATATAGAAAGCTTCGTAAATGCACTAATCAACATCGAAAGTGCTTACGTTGGAGGCATCCTGGGCTAGATTCATGGATACGGAAGTATCAAATTACGACATGTTTCTGGTTAGCGGCTTAGTCAAGTATAAGAGTATAACGTAGTTCCCGCCCGTCCGGATCACCCGCCCGTCCGGATCACCACCTCCAGAATCGCGTATTCCTACTTACCTACCAACTTCAACCACCTACCATGACACCAATTCGCCCTGAATCCCGGCAGAAAGCTGCCAGTCAAGAGGGCAAGATCTTATTAGCCCTTTCCGATTTGAAAGAGGGACGCATCAATTCAATTCGCGCAGCAGCAAAGCTATACGAGCTACCGTACACTACCCTTCATGCGCGTACTGAAGGTCGAATCTCACGCGTGGATAAGCGCCCAACTGGCCATAAATTAACCCAATTAGAAGAGGATTCGCTTACTCAATGGATACTCTCTATGGATTCGCGTGGTGCATCCCCTAGACCGGCTACTGTGGGAGAAATAGCTAATATCCTACTAGCCGCGCGCGGTAATTATCCTCCTCCTACTGTTAGCAAGAATTGGCCGTCGTCCTTTATTAAACGCCGCGATGAGCTTCAATCTCGTTTCTCTCGAAGATACGACTACCAAAGAGCCCTAAACGAAGATCCGAAATCGATTCGGCAGTAGTTCGCGACCGTACAGAGTGTGATTAATAAGAACGGTATATAACCAGAGGATATCTACAACTTTGATAAGATAGGCTTTGTAATGGGCCTTATATCTTCGCAGAAAGTAGTCATAAGAGCTAAATACTACGGTCGGAGATCTCTTCTACAACCAGGAAATCGTGAATGGGTTACTACGATCGAAGCAATCTGCGCAGATGGCTATTCACTTTAGGCCTCTGCACGGGACCGGAAAGACCGCACCCAAGACCGCATTAGACCGCACCGCGCGGTCTTTGGTCCCAGACCTTGAGACCGCTGGGCGGTCCTACATTTTTAGGGACCGCACCACTGCGGTTTGGTGCGGTCCTGCGGTCCTGCAAACAAGCAAAACATCTTAGACCCAAGGTATGCATAATTTATGTAGAAGTCGCCTGTATTTTTGAGTATTCTGCTTTCAAATGATATTTAATTTTATATAATTCTGAGGTAGGAGTAAAGAATAATTCTTTGTTTGGTGTCTGTTGATTTCTACCGAAAAAGCGAGGATTGACTGATTTCCTTATGAATAGCTTATGTGGTTCTTGTTTCTATTAAAGATATACAAAATCCTCATCCTGTCTCAAGCGCTTTGGAACACGCCCAGATGAACGCCTCTGAGTAGTCCTCCCTTCTTCTAAGTGGCTATTATCAGGCAGGGGAACCTCATCATCATCATCGTCAAGTTCAAATAGCTGATCCGGGGTAGCCCTTCTCTTTCCAAGCGCTCGCGCACTAGGAAGTTGGATAGTTTCGGCAGAATCTTCAGTAGTGGATAGGTCTTCCTC